GCCACTCCTTCTACTGATTTCGTTTCTATTCACCTCCTTGGCCCTGATTTTCAGTTCCCATTGTTGCTCAACTTCTTCCTTTATTTTTTTTTTGCTCTCAGTCTCCATTTTATTGACGTCTGTGCGTGCGAAAGCAAAAAAGTTCTCTCGGCCTGCCAGTACTCACTATACGTTACGTGCATCTTCTTCCCCAGTTCAAGGGTCCAGCCAAGAGGACTTGGTACCGAGAGCGGCTCTGGGGTGAGTTTCGACCGCCCGCGTCTTCGTGCCACCCTAGGCAAAACCGCGACGGCCACGACTGAAGCCCTCGCTGTTCAACCCCCGCAGCCGCCAATATTGAACGACGACCTCTCTTCCTCTGCCGGATACAAACTTCTTTCCAATCTTCAACCACAAATTCCGTTCCACTGTCAGGTGTCGGAGATTTGCGACTTTATCAGCTGCAAATCATCGTCATTTCGCTGAAGCGTGGCGCCTATTGCGACCTGTCATATCCCTCGCGAAAGCATAGACGCTCTTCAGCGCGGCCCACTTGCCTGCCCACCCTTCAAGCGACCTGAAAGCAGAACCAGCCGACATTAATATAGCACTCTCCCGCAGGGGCCTTCGGGCGTGCACTCTTAACATCGTCCATTTCCTTCTGCGCCTCCAGGCTGTCAGGACATTGATCAGTTGCATTGCCTGCACCGGCGCTCTATCGCGAGGTAAGTGAATCGCACACTGGTGATGCAACTCACTCGACTCACTCGTGCAGCGCACCTGTACGTCAAACCTTCCTTGAACGAAGCCCAAGCATAACTTTACGCCTCCGGTCGCATTGGGGCGCTCTCTGTGTAATCGCGTGGCACGTAAAAGGTCTTGCCTGCCATGTCGTCGGTCGATCCGCAGCCAATGGGGCCTGCGCCCTCATATTCGGAGAGGGAGCGTGTTGATGACGCTCCTCCGGCTCGGTTCACTGCGGTCAATGGACGAGACACTTCTGCGGTCAGCGACATGAACGGCAACATCCACGCTTCGTCGAGACCGAGTCCACCTAGTAGCAGGCCTGGCGAGCGCCTGACTTTATCGACACGCCGCGAAGATTGGGTGCGCCCACCGCCGAATGTCGACGGACCGGAGACCGACAAACCTTCTGATCAGCCCCCTTCAAACTCTCACGCAAATTCCCATAATCCGAGCCCTCACAAACGGAAGAGATCCGAATCTGAGGGCCGTCAATCGACAAGTGGCACATCCTATCAGAGCCAAGTTCCGTCCAAGTCGCCAACGGCAGATCATACCGATTTCATCGACTCAGGCTTAGGACCAGAAGGATCCGAAGGAGACAATAGAAATGGACGCTATCATAATGGCAGCTCGACCCATGACCAGCGCGCGCGAACTCTGCCATACCCCGCCATCTCAGAACCGGATTCGCGAGACGTTGCCGCTGCCCACGGCCCTTGGTACGGTCAGGGCACTCAGGGCCCTGCGCCACCCTACAACGGATCACGGACCGATAGCCCAGCCCATACTGATGCACAGCTGGCCGAAGCGCTCCAAAGAGAGTCGCACAATCTCGATTCGAGCCGCGCTGTATACAGAAATACTCCCGAAGATGACGAGGCCGAGGCAGCCTCTCAGAGGAATATGGCAGGCGGCTATGGGACTGATCGGACCCCTCAGTCTGGCGTCCAGGTTGATCACAAACGTCGCAAGCGAGTATTTAGCAATCGAACAAAGACGGGATGCATGACATGTCGTCGGAGAAAGAAGAAGTGCGATGAGGCAAAACCTGAGTGTACGTATCCCTCTTACCACGGCAATATGCTTCGAAAAGCCAACCTCTGCCATTGGCTCCCTTTGGAGCAGGTTCGGCCTTACTTAGCTAACACTTCTTCCTCCCAGGCCACAACTGTCAAAAAGGCGGATTTGTCTGTGAGGGATACCATTTGCGAAACACTTGGCAGAAGCCCTCGACGAACCGTACTCCTGTGCCCCTGCAATCAAAAGAAGATTATCCTGTCGTACCGCATCCTCCTGCTCATCCTGCACCCGCAGTGGTGGCACCGGCACCACCCACGCAAGGCGCCTACAGGCTTCACCGCGATCCGAGTCCACCCCTCTATGCAACCAGCATGGCTCAGCCTGTCGTTCAGCACCCGGACCCTATCTCTGAAAGTGGTCAGGTGCGACCCATTATAGTTGATGATGATCACTCGAGTCCTCACGGCCCTGGGTCCCGAGCTGCCTGGAAGCCCGGATGGCCACAACACCGGCCGGTCAACCCGCCCTACCTTCCAGAACAGGTCGCGCAGACAGATTTTGTCCGAGTACCGCCGATTCATGAGCTCTCTCGCCGGGATTCTGTGGACGGCGCCACGACGGCCTCACCAGCGACAGTGAGCCATCGATCAATTCTACACCCTTCGAATGCAAGCAGTCCCAATACGCCAAAGTCGCAGGCAAAGACGGCTCAGATTGCTCTTCAGCATGCTGCATCACTGCGTCCACGGGTTGAGAGGACGCAAAAACAGAAGATGCTGTCGGGCGAACTCTATCTGCCCTTTAGTGCCCAGCTGGTGGAGGAACGTGAACGGTGCAAAGCAGCTTGTTGGCGGTTCAATAACGCCACGAATCCTACCCTCGGGGTTAGTCGAGAGGAACGGGGCCGTCTCTTTCGCGAAATACTACAGCCTCGAGACTCGTCACTGTACGGTAATCCAGAGGGACCGTCGCCGGTGGGAAATGTAGGCGAGCGGGTCATTGTCGAGGCGCCCTTTACGTGCGACTATGGCTACAATATATCTATTGGTGATGATGTCGTCATTGGGACCAATTGCACGATTCTCGATACGTGCAGTGTCATCATTGGACCGCGATGCATCTTCGGGCCGAATGTCAGCCTCTTTGGTGCGACAATGCCCTTGGACCCTCGACGAAGAAATGGCAGTCAAGGACCGGCGGTGGGTCGAAATGTTACCGTTGAGGAAGACTGTTGGATTGGTGGGGGCGTTATCATCTTGCCAGGGGTTCGGATCGGAAAGGGTTCAACTATCGGGGCCGGCTCGATTGTAACGAGGGTGAGTCACCTCTTCTGCGATACCTCTTGCCTTTTCTCCTCCAAGTTCCAAGGAATTACAAAAACTCGGCGTACTAACCCTTCACTCACAGGACGTACCCCGCTTTACCATCGTCGCGGGTAACCCAGCACGCGTCCTCCGCGGCATCTATGGTAATGACCAGAGATGAATCATGGCGCCTCTTAAATAACGGACCCATGAGGGGAAATATGTGCAGTGCGCGCATGGCTCGATCTTGCGTTGACGCGACTTGCTTGCTTGCTATAACATGGAGCACCGACAGTCAGCTGTTTTCTGACTCGTTGCTCATTGTTCCCTTTTTCTATTTTACTTTGCCTTGTTCTATTGGATTATTGCACTTGCTAAATCTACGCTGAAACTCAGCTTCGGGCTGCTCGTTCCACTGGTCCGTTCTGTCCAAGCAAGGTGGAGAGTACTTGGATCGGATCTAGGAAGCGATGGCGGAAAAGCTTTGCTACTGCTGTTGCTAATTTCTTGGCAATTTGGCATCGATATTGTGATTGAGGATATACATTTGCTGTGGATTTATATGGGCTATTCATTTTGTACTTGAACAGTACCGTGCTGGAGCTTACGGGTTTTTATTTTATTTTATTCTCATGCCGGGTATTTTCTCTTCTATCGTATGAATCAAATCGCTAGCAGAGACGGGAGAATGGCTTGATGGGTACATGGCTATGGGCAAATAAGGCAATAGGGCATGCGGATAATCGGAATGATCTGGAAGTACATATGATTGAAGCAAATTTCAGCACGTTCCATGGTAAATATCTGCTTGATTTTCATGTGTCATTGATGCAAATATCATAGGCGTAGGATTACGTGATACACTCAGTAATGAGATGGGTTTTGTCGAACGGCGATGGCAAAAATCACTATAGGACAGTCTAAATTGATCAACCGGCTTTTGCTTTTGCTGAGGTTGAGGTATCATTCTGCTTCCGAAATTGTTGTCGCTGAGACATGGCCACGCTCGATTGCTCGGCCAGGGGTCTCTAGGCTTTTCTGCCCCACAATCATGTGGCTGCTCGTCCCGTGTTCGGCTCAAGGGAGCGAAGACCTCGGGGTTTAGCGCCAACCTTGCTTCCTCGGGTTGGCGATTGTTATAGCGCGCGGTTCAAGGGCATGCTGATAGAGTAACAGGGTAAACGCTGAATTTGGCCGATGTTATCCTCAGCTTTGCTTACTTGGTAGAAAGGAAAAGCGGGAATTGAAACAGAGAGAGAGGGCTTAATTGCATTCAGCGCTTACCTCGGTAACTCTTTACAATTATAATTCAACGTCACGGTTCGAAGTGAGCAAAGAAGTTTAGTTGTAAGAACTGCATGACGTTCCGCCCGCCCTCCCCCGGGGGAGGCGCCTTGCAGATACTCCGCAAAAAGTAGACGGACTCATTGTAACTTCCCCCCTAAGGATGAACGCGTGATTAATTGCTCGAACTAGCTTAGCTAAAATACCTGACTATGGGATAAACGATAGCTCGCTATGACCACCACCAGCACGGAGATTGCTTATGCTTTTTTTTTCCTTCTGGGAAAATAAACAGCGCACTCTACCAAGAAGAACATCATTTGTTATCCAGCGCTTTCCGATTACTTTTCGATGCACGTCGTCATGGCATGAACGGAGGGAGGAAGCTAACAGATGACGAAGAGTTGTTAAACAAAATGAGCCATCAATGCGCCATTGCTCTGTCCCAGTTTTCTTCATTCTTCTTTGTGCGCACTTCAACCGTGGAGGCCCCTTGGCCTTGATGGATTTGCAATGAAGGCGTTGTTCAGACTCTGATTTGCTATTGCACATGAATAATAATCCTACGCGATGGCTACTAGAAGCTCTCATTGTACAATGCAGTCTCTGCGCCGATGCTGCCCGGCTCCCAAATTTCGTTCCAGGAGGGTGTTAATAACTGCGCCAATGCAGCAGCAGCAACAGCAAAGAATGGCATCATCCAATGCCAGTTCACCTCGTACAGCACTCTTCTTTCCAGGTATGTTAGCAAAACCGAGATATATGTATCATATTGCCGCACAGCGTTAACGGTGTACACCATTCAGGCCAAGGCGTGCAACGAGTAGGCATGGCCAACGACTGGCTTGCAGCCTTTCCCGGCACGGCCAGACCCTTTCTCGACGAAACCGACGAGATTCTACGCGTGCCTCTTTCCAAGATTATATCCGAGGGCCCCAACTCCACCCTGACTGCGACGGAAAACTCACAGCCCGCCATCATGGCGACCTCCGTCATGATTCTACGGATCCTCGAAAACGAATTCGGCTTCAAGACCGCAGACAGGGTAGACGTGACACTGGGCCACTCACTGGGTGAATTTGCAGCTCTAGTTGCCGGCGGCTACCTGCGCTACGACGACGCTCTCAAGATGGTGCGCACGCGTGGCGAAGTCATGGCGAAATGCTCGCGCCAGGCCTGTCGCGAAGGCGGGAGCGAGTACGGCATGGTCGCGCTGGTGTGCGAGCCCGACCGGCTCGAGAACCTCATTGAAGCGATCCACGAATTCCTGGGCAGCGCCTCGACCGGCTCGAAACAGGACGCGGCAGACGAGGTGCCCCCCATTCAGCAGGTCCTGATTGCGAATATCAATTCCAAGAACCAGCTCGTGCTCAGCGGCAGCATCGAGCGCATCAATACCCTCTTGACACACCTGCGGCAGTTCGCGGGCCATGACCCCCGCGCGGTCCGCCTGCATAGCGATAGTCCGTTCCATAGCCCGCTCATGAAGCCCGCGGCAGATGTGATGCGCAAGATTCTAAACCCTAAGGGTAGTGGTAGTGGTGGCAGCAAGGAAAAGGAAAAGGAAAGGGAAAAGGAGGTTGTGGCTTTCCCGGGTAAAATGCCCTGTATAAGTAATGTCACGGCCAGACCGTTTCGGTCAAAAGAGGAACTAAAGGACTTGCTTGCGCGCTCGTGCGTGGAGACCGTCCTCTGGTGGGACTCGATCAAGTATCTGGACCAGGAAGATAAAGTGCGCAGGTGGATTGGGATCGGACCTGGGAAAGTCGGACGAAATCTTGTTGGCAAAGAGGTCGGCATGCGCGGTAAGGATACGGTCAAAGGTGGCGGGGTGTGGGGAATCAGCCACCCCCGGGACATTGATGAGATGCTTAAAGGGCTAAAGGATACGGATAATGCTAGGACTGAGTAGTTCTTTTTTTTTTTTTATTATTATCTATCTACCTTATCTCTCTATCTATTTATTTATTTATTTCCTTTTGGTAGTGCTCTCAGTGTGCTCCTGCTCACCCTCGTCAATTCCCCTATATTATACAAGTTCGTGACAATGGAAAATATACAAGATGAATTGAATGAATCTCGATTGTGGAATTGCCCGCTATGGCAGATGTTCGTATGTCCTGTTGAAGATGTCGATCTGTTTTTCTACCTCCCCTGGGCTGTCGATAGGACGCTAAGTTGGATCGATATCAGTGTATAATCAGCGTGATACAGCGTAAAGATAGTCACCAGAAACATTTTGAAAGCCATACTTTGATATCCTCAGCGTTTTTAACATTCCATATCTAGTAAGTCAATTGGGATATCTTATATATATATGTATATACTATCACACTTCTTTCTCAAGACCTATACTGCAGAACTTCTCTTCTTCTACAATAATCTCATCGTCTTGTTGAGCCTTGTACTCCTTCCCGTTCATGTCTTCCATGCTCCTCGTCCATTTTCTCCTGTCTCCTGGCTTTGACGCCCTCGACGCCTTGTCCCCAGGTGCCTGCCTTGGGACCCCACTTGATCATTCCCCATGCATGTGTCCATGAGAAGCGCGGCGGGGGTTCAGGATGTGTGCGGAAGGGACTTGATTGGGTTTCTGCTTCGGGTTCTGCTTCTGACTCGATCCTGCTCGGGGAAGAAACAGGCTTGACATCTTCTTCTGCGGTCACAGCATCATGCGTCGTCGGATCATCCGTCAGAACCGTCGGACTCGTCATCGACGCAGTCCCTTCCCATCGTGATCTGACCTCCTTGTGCACGGGTGTCCACCAATTACCACCATCAGCTTGGCCATCCAAGTGATGATGATGTCCCCCACGGCTCCACCACCTGGAGCTGCACATTTCCCATAATCTGCTCTGGGCGCGCTTATATGCGAAGCGTTCGTCTTCGCCGGTGAATTGGCCCGTTAGAGCAAAGTTTGGTGCTGCTGCCGCTGCCGCTGATGACGATCCGTTCGTCCTGTCGCCGACCGCCAGATGGTGAGGGACGCCGGCATTGTTCTGGCCGACGACTACGCGATCTATAGGACCGAAATCTGCATCTTCGTCTGCGAGAACAGATCGCCGTAGGTGCCGAGGGGGTATTGTAAGATGACTATGGTTATCGGGCTTGGAAAATAGAGAAAAGGAGAATCGAGAGGCGGAAGAAGAAGTCGAAGAATCCGAGGAGGGAGAAGAGAAATAAGACAGTGAGGAAGAAGAGGAGGAAGAGGAGGACGGAGAAAGATCCGAGGAGACGTTTGGCCGAAAAGGTTCAGTGAGGTCCTGATGGATTTCGGCAAATGTTTCGGGATGTACGGCGTCCAGAGATTCGACGGCCTCGTGTGCGGACGTCTGTGCGGCTCCCTCTGTTCTTGGGTGGGATGCTTCTTCTGGCGATGAAGCGGTTGTGTGAGAATTGGTGCCAGGAATAGTTTCTGGGAAGAAAATATCATCTGGCCCGGCTGCTGCGCGGATGAGTAGTTTACATTTTGCCTCGTACAGTGCGTCGAGCAAAGTAATCAGTCGTCGCGCTTCGTTGCATAGGGACAAGGTCAAGAGGGGAACGTCAGTCAGGATAAATGTATGGTATGTCGATGCCAGAGTGATGTAGTCTGCTGGACCGAGAGCAGCGCTGCATAGCTCCGGAAAATCAAATAGTGCAATGCCATTGTATGTGCGTGGTACAGGGACGGTGCGGCCATACACGCGGATCGAAGATGGCGTCCAGGAAGGAATAGAATCCGAGGGATTTGTGGACGCGAGGGTATGAGAAACAGCATTCTGCCATGGTTGTGACTGGACCTCGTCTTGTCCTGTCTGGGATTTTGCGACTCCGAGAAGTTGGTCAGGGGTCGAGGACTCCAAGGAAGAGACGCTGCTGATGTTGGAGCTGGGGCTGGCGCTTGACGGGGTGATAAAATAATACTTTGGTAAAACAGCCGCAGCACTTGAATTCTTCGTCTTTTCCTTTTCTGCAGGAGATTCTGAGGATTTTATGCCAACGCCTTCACCGTTACCACTACCGCTACCATGACCAGCAGCAGCAGCAACAGCCTCGACAGCATTCGGATGCAAACGTTCAGAGGCCGTTGCATTCCCCAGCGCCTCCAGTTCATCCTCCGCTTCTTTCCTTCGCCAGTCTCTTGCGCCATCCATATTCCAGCTCTCGCATCGCGCATTCAAGAGTTCAACGAACTCCGCCATTTCTCCCTTTCCGGGAAACATGCCCTCGCTGCGTCCGGCTCTTCTGCCCCATCCAAATGCACCGCGGCCGCGACCGAAAAACGAAGACGACATCATTGGAGGCGGCGCAAATTCTACACCAGCAGCTTTGGCGAGTTCCTCGGGCATGCGGTTACTCGTCGCCACAAGCACGCCGCCAAGTTGGAAGAAGCATGTTAAGAGATTCGACATGATTTTCGACGCAGTCCGATCCGGTATTTGGAACTCGTCTAGAAACAAGATCGGCGAGGTGGAAATCATATCCCTAGCTAGCCAGAGAAGCGAATATTCCTGTGCACCCAGAGCAGTTGCAGGGACATTTGAGTGCGAAGATATGCTAGACAGGGAGCGGATTTGTCGCAGCTCCTCTAATCGCGCAATCGTCTCTAGCATGAATGTATTGAAATGCCATCTGCGCTTCTTTTTGCTAGGTAAAGAGTCGGCAAGCAAGTCGATTAGCATGCTTTTCCCAGTGCCCACTTCGCCGTGGAGTAGAAGCCCTCTGGGCGATTGTAATTGCATGGCAGCTTCATGGCTGGTCAAGCTTCGCGTGAGGGCAAGAGTATCGTGCCGCTCCTTGTGCGCCAGGAGCGACGAGAATAGCCCTGTGCGCTGTCGCGCAGGGGCTGATGAAGATGAGGTGTGGTCATCATTGCTCCTAGGGCCAATTCGTTGGCTGATTTGCTCTAATCGCCGCCAGTACTCAATCTCTGGTTCATAGTCCTTGAGTCGAAAGTAGAGTTTCTGAAGATGAATTGCGAGCCGGTGTTGGGCTGGGTCGGGATCGATACGTTTTGTTGCCACCAGCGCCCTGTAGAGGACTAGAGGATTGGTGATGGTAAGCCCGGTGGATGGCGGGATTGAGGGCATATGGGTTGTTCGTGGGGACGTAGTTTGGACATTCTGATAGGGTTATGTGGAGGGTCTTCGCTGTAGGTTGTCAATGTCATCATAGGTTAGCCTTATATTAGGTAATATGTTCCTTGAGCTCTACAGCCCTTCAAATCTACGAGCGATTAAAGTCGGGATAATTCACATGAATTAAGAAGAGAAGTAGGATTTAAGCAGATTTTTCAAAATTGATTTTCCGAATTATGATACATTGGAGTCTGGGGAGTCTCCGTCCTTCCATGTGGTGTTCGTTGACATGGGCGAGTTTCTTCAAAGTGCACATATGCGCTGAGGACTACCCTGCGCAAAGTAGCTTCACTCAACCGCCCTAAGATTTCTCTCCGTATGGAATATTTACAGGTCCAGCCCTTAACCTGGACATATTTATGGGTATCATGTATGAAGCAACAACGCCAGGCGTATTCCGGTCCTGTCCTCTATAAAGCTGGATCGTCGACTATTCCAGTTCCCGTTATCTGCCCTTGGGCGAGATTATAGAAGGATCCGATGCTTCGGGATGTGTTTTCACCGGCAAGGGCACGGGATTCTTCTTCAGAAAATTTTCTGGCCCTCTCAACTAGATGTGAATCATTCGGATTCGCATCCAAGCCCCTTTCCCTCCTTTATATATTTGTGACTCCCGGCGCCCATGCATCTCCAATTCGCCTCATATCATCGATAAATCTCTTGCTCGTAATCTGCGACGATTTTAAGAGCGGGTTGTTCGCAATCTCCAGCGGGGTATGATCGTCAGGGCTGTAAAATGGATTTTGTAGAAGTCGTATATACGCAGTTTGGATCGCGCGGAAAGCCTAAACATGTCAGCGGGGTGCAGCACACGAGCAAATATGCAAATCTCTTCCATACAGGCTTCAAGTCCGCCCCACGCAACCCGGTAACCGCAGTCCCACTCGATATCTCGCCCGGCACAGGTCTTCCCTCCATATCAACGACAATAATAAATTTGATCCCAGTATTCGTTAACCAGCCATACATGGCTAGTCTCTCATCAACCGCTTGCAGCAATCCCAGGTCTTGATCGACGGTCTTGTTGAGCGCTCGAATCTCGAAGATGTCGATACATGAGGAGAGCAGAAAGGAGAATTTGAGTCGGTCTTTGGAGTGCGGCGGAAAGAGAGATATATGGAGAGGATTGTTCTATGTCTTATTCAGTCATGCCATCTCATCTAAAAAGCTGTCATGGAAGCATTGCGTATGAAGCTCCATGGATGCTAAGAAGGCTCATAGCTTCACTTACGTGCTTTCCAATGATGCCTATACAGGCGATTGATGGAGTCGCCATCTTCAGCAGTCGAGCTGAATTGGATTCGCTTGGTATCTCAGTGATTCCTGGCAAGCAGGGTTTCTCTGGGAAAGGGCGCCGTCACCTCAGAGTTTAGTAGTGTAAGGTAGCTTAGGGTTTGACGGGTATAGCTGTAACATGCCACGCCAGGCGTCAAGCTAAAGATGAGTGACAAGTTACAGTATAGCGAGGGAGGTACCTGCAGTTACAGTGATGAATCAACAGAGTGGATTGTATCGACCCCCGTAGCGCCAATCAAAGTGGGCGGGATTTCGGTTGCTAAGAAAGCTCGTCCCGAACGCTTTACCGCACTGTAGGACTGTAAGTCGTAGCATCATCCATCCCCAACTATCCAGTAACTTCGCACTAACTAAACCCCATAATTCGCCCCCCCCCCGGATTGTCAACCGCCAGGACCCATCCACATCTCCACCTTTGATCCGCTGATTCTATCATTGTCCCTCAATTCTCTTGAGTCTCTTAATTATCGAGAGATAGAGAAAGGGGATTTAAGTCTGTTCGACGATACATAAACATGTCTCTCGCAACAAGATCATTAGCTCTACGCGGTATGCTCTCCCGGTTACGACACGGCTACGGGTATCTATCCACAATAACCAGACGCTAATGGCCCCAACCCCACAGCTCGACCCGCCACAGCTCTCCTTCCATTGCGCGCTGCTGGAAATGCAGCATTTATCTCCAATTCGACATCAAGACCCGATTCTGCTGCACACATCTCTAAACCCGGCGATGTCGTCGGGAATCCGCCTCCTCCGCCATCCATGGGCGTGGTGAAGAAGGAGCGCAGAGAAGTCCCCTTGCCGAGCCAAGAGCAAAAGAAGGGTGCTATGCAATATGCTTTGTATGTGATAGCTCCTCTATGCAATTGCTATTTATGTCCCATTTGGTCATTCTGAGTCTGCAGCCAATTCTACAAAGGAATTAGGGACGTATTTGATGCTAATTTCTCAATAACTATATAGAACAACACTGGATCAAATTGCCAACTGGGCCCGCCAAAGCTCCCTATGGCCAATGACATTCGGATTGGCATGTTGCGCTATTGAAATGATGCATCTGTCTACGCCGCGCTACGACCAAGATCGAATGGGTATCATTTTCCGTGCCTCGCCACGGCAGTCGGACGTGATGATTGTTGCGGGCACGCTGACGAACAAGATGGCGCCTGCGCTGAGACAAGTGTACGATCAGATGCCCGACCCCCGATGGGTGATCAGCATGGGCAGCTGCGCCAACGGTGGTGGATACTATCACTATAGTTATTCGGTGACAAGAGGCTGTGATCGCATCGTGCCGGTGGATATTTATGTACCTGGGTGTAAGCAATTTCTCCTCTTATCAGAAAATTATCTGGCCCCAAGGCTAACGTCCCCCGTTAGGCCCTCCTACATCTGAAGCACTCATGTACGGCATTTTCCAGCTGCAGAAGAAGATGCGCCACACCAAAATTACCCGGATGTGGTACAGAAAGTAAATTGTATTCGATATGCTATGATACGAAGAATGATATGGTTGGAACTGGCTCAGAACGGTAGGACGGCAGGACATACGGGTACATTTTCGTGGAATACGGTTTATCAGGTTTCGTTATATTCTGCAAATTCATGTCCAGGCTCGTACGCGGTATTTTATTTCTTTAACTCGTGCATAGATCTGCTATTGAACAATGACATCGACATTAAATTGGAACATTTTCTGGTTTCTATTGTGCGTCGTGCTGGATTGCATGTCAACCGAATGCAATCGCATCAACACGAGACACGTTCAAAAGGAAAATCTTCTGAAAAGATTCATGGATTTCATTATCCATCATGCTCTTGTTATGCCCCTAAAGTAAATACCTGCTTTCTTTATCTGGGTCATACAATGCTAGGATTGGTACAGCGCAGAACAGCATCTTAAGGTTCTCAAAGGCGTGCTGGCATTCTTCGGTCCAATTCCATGGTTTGTCCTTTCGTGTCAGTTTAGTGAGTGGTGCTGCTATTTCAGAGAAGCTCTTGATGAATTTCCGTTAAAAGTTGGCAAATCCTAGGAATTCTTGCACGTCCTTCACCTTGCGAGGCGTCTCCCATTCTTTAACTGCAGCGTAGACTGTAGTCAGAAACCGAGCCTGAACCATCTCCTTTAGTTATTCTCCTTTGGCATAGGCCGCTTGATAATTGCGAGCATGGCCTGGTGCCTTCGGTATATCTCATATCCGTAACGAGAGGGCAGAGGATCGTAAGCAACACGTATATTGAACGTCTTCCTCCCCATTCTCCGTCAGTGTTAGGCACGAAGAAGTTGCTTGTACTGCCGGCAATGAAGGCCAGCAATCACCGAAGAATGTATCCGCGAAAAAACTTAGAGGAGAGCACTCTCTCCTCTATTTGAGTTAAATCGCGTCTCCAAAACTCCATCGACACGGGAATAAGAAAAAGGTAGAGTAAATGAAATTGTTGACTTACCTTTTTATAGTCATTTATGTGAGCTTGTATTGCTTCATGTAACTCCGCAACAAATTCACATTTCCCAGAAAACATTCTTTGGGAAGATTCGGGAGAGCCGCTGAGACACTTTCCATGATATAAGTAGACTGTAGGGCTATCCGATTCCCAGCAATTGGCAAATTGCAATCTTCTCAGCCTCGTCCTTGTCCGCTTCAAATTTCCTAGTTTGTACAATGTATGTGTAAATAAAATCCCGATTCCCGCCTGTAGTCCAGGATTCCAGGATTCCAAGCTGCTGCTTTTGGAAGGCGGGATAAGACTTTAAGTTCTTTACGTTGAGCCTCCCTCCTATGCGAGACTGCGGAGTCTCTGGAGTAGGCAGGAGGTTGTTCGAATTGTTGATTCCAATTTCAGCCTATAACTCCGAAGTCAGTCATTAGTATGAATTGAATGAAATGGGGAATTAACTGAAACTTACCATTTGAGTTCGATCTCCTAGACGTTTTCTGAGATTTAACTAAAAAGTATTTAATTGTGGTAAACGTCAATTGGGATTCAACTAGATCTTGTTCGAAGCATCAGGCAAAAAATATCGCCGAGCTTAAATCGATTGCATTGTCGCAGCTGAATATTCGGAGATGTGGAAACATAGCTGATAAAGCCCGATGGAGTTATATGAAGTTTTTATACTTTCGTGGCCAAAGCGAAATTTATATATATACCCACATTGAGCGGAGCAAAAGAAGACTTTTTCGAATGCCGAAAACAGATGTCGAGACGGCGAAAATTGTGGGAATCGAAGAATTCGGGCCCAGAAAGGTAATTTTAAAAGGAAAAGAACCAACGAGCGAAAGGAAGGAAGGAAGGAAGGAAGGAAGAAGAAAAAGGCAAACCATTTTCTGGTCACTTCCTCCCATAATCTCTGTCGCTCCTTTCCTGTTCAGTATAATGGATGAGGTGGTGGATAAAAAGTAACAACGAAACAGAATGGCAATATATATATCTTCTCTGGGAGACGATTTGGCATGTGGGTGTATAAGTTAATATTGCATATTGCCCACCTCGCAACAGTTAACAAGGCTATTAACTCGACAGCTATCTGACTTCAATAATAGTAAATAATAATATTGAATTGTACTAAAGTAGAGATCTTACTTGCGTTTTGATCCTACACTTCATCATGGGTCAGTGAAACCTCGGCTGCTCGGACACGATGGGTAATTTTATTCATGCGGAATTGCATGTCAACCACGTACAATCACATTAATAAGAGTCGTGTTTATGGTGAAGACTTTTGGAAAAGATTAATGATTTTCATTATTCATCATGCGCTCGTTACACCATTAAGTAAATAGTCATAAACTGAACCTGATCCCTATCCATGCCTTTATTACTTTTTTATGATTCCTCGCAGAACATTTATCCGTTGACAACGACACCGCCGTTGGGGTGCAGAGACTGGCCCGAGATCATGCTGCTGTCACTGCTAGCAAGGAACACGAAGCAGGTGGCAATCTCACTGGGCTGGCCAGGGCGGCCCATGGGAGAAGTGAACTGGTCCTGAGCCTCCTTGGTCATAGTCGCCGGGATCAGAGGAGTCCAGACTATCGTCAATGTTAGTGCTCAATTCTAATAGGCTTGATAGTCACATGGAGCGGGGTACATACCAGGTCCAGGGCAGATGGCATTGACGCGAATGCCCTGTCCGACATATTGGTTTGAGAGGCCGCGAGTGAAGGAGATGATGGCGCCCTTGGTCGAAGTGTAGTCGAGCAAGTCGGGGCGACCAATGTACGCGTTGACAGAGGCATTGTTGATAATAGTGTCGCCGGCCTTCAGGTGCGGGATAGCGTACTTAGAGAGATAGAAATAAGGGTGGATGTTTGTGTTGAAGGTGTCTACCCATTGATCCCTGTAAACAAGAAACATTAGCAACAATAATCTTACAGGATTCTCTCAACGTGTTGGGCAAGATTTAGACATACTCGGTGAGATCAGTAATCTTTTGAATCATGGTTTGGGTCGCAGCATTGTTGACGACAATGTTAATGCCACCCATCTTCTCAAGCGCCACATCGACAATGTGCTTGCAGTTCTCCTTCTGTCTGACGTCCGTGGAGAGAAGGTAGCATTTTCCACCGTGCTGCTCAACCCGCTTTTGGGTCTCCTGTGCATCGGTCTCTTCTTCGGGCAAGTAAGCAATCAAGCTATCAGCGCCCTCCATGGCGAACAAAATCGCGACCGCACGGCCAATGCCTGAGTCTCCGCCAGTGATGATAGCCTTCTTGCCCTGCAGCTTGCCAGCGGCCTTGTACTTGGCGTAGCCGCCATCTTCACCCGGAACGTGCGTTGAGGTGGGCTTGGGGCCCTGGATCTCGGATTGCAGGCCCGGAAGCTGCTGGTGCTGGATGGGCACCTCATGTCCTAATTAGATGAGTCAGTTATCATGCAATATTTAATCAACTATCAATGAGCACCGTCAAGAGAAGGGGAAAGAGCTCATACCGGCCTGGAACTGAGAGACTTCGCTCTTGGCGTTCTTGATGACGTTCTTTGCGGCTTCCATTGTTTTTGATGGTCTTGAAAGCTTAAATTGAAAATAGAGATAATTCACAGAATTTAAGGTACAGAAGTAAAGAAATCGAAGACTGTGACAAAGGAGAGGGTTGCCGTTGCTTAAGTATGCCCAGCATACGCTATTACAGTGGTTTAATGTTTTGGCCCGTCGTACTGGCGTAGCGATGATATCACCAATACACCATCGTGGCCAGACAAGACTATTACCGAGCGATAGGTAAAAGTGACGTCCCCAGTAACAAGGGCTAATTGTCCGTCACTAGTTGAATGATTGCCAATCAAGTGTTATAAAATTGCCTATTTCTCGGTGAGGTTGCGGTTGATATGTCTATCATTCGGCAAAATCTTTGGCATTACCGTACTTTAAAATCCCATCTTGATTGTGTATTTGGGCGTATTGGCATTCTGCCAGAAATGCATATCTGCCATGCTGCCCCACGCTAGGACCAACATCTTATCTGATCAATCGACGTGGAGAAGCATTTCATCACAGTAACGTCGTGGGCCACAATTATTCTTCAATTACTCGTACAGTACATACGGCATGTGTAATGTAGACCTAGGTGCTTCTCGAAAGTTACTTTTGTATCGTAGGTACCTTAGTCAGCTATTGAGCGGCGAGGTTGTATGCAATGATACTGGAGATGATCAGTCATTTCCAATTTTGTTATTAAAATTTAAACCTCGACAATTTAAAGCATTAAGTGGTTTTCAACCTGTTCTCGAAGATTATGCTATTGATAATGTATATGTCTATATTGTCGCTTGAGACGATCACCTCGATATGTAATTGTCCTTTAGTTGCTACGTGATCACTCCGCTAGTGAGTGAAACCATTTCTATTTCCAATATCGTTGATAGATATTCAAATTTCCTCCGAAAATATCCGTTTTAATCAATGAAAAGAAAATGCGTCTCGAAATATCATATTTTCTTTTCTAAGTCTCTCCAATTCCTCTAGGAGGACTAAAGCTTATATTCTTATTTTTTGCGAGCGGGAATAACAAGGGATTTAAATAATAATAGAAAGAGACAGGAAACAATATCTCGCAGAGCCAATGTAATTGATGGCGTTTTGACACCCATCTTAGGATTCAAACTACGAGTGTGGTGGAGAGACATGTAAATGGTTTGGAAGCTCAAACAGTTCACGAAGCAATGTATGCAATTGATCATTTGTGTCGAGAATCATCAGTGGCACCTGAGCAAATAAATTCAAGCCCCGCACTCTGCTACTGAATGTCAATACATTAAATCAATAACAAGGAAAAAAAAACAAATGGTATTACTCTAAAGATGTGCAGCCCGTAACGTATGAAATTTTTTCCAATTCCGTCTCACAACGGCGCTCTACGCCGCATTTCATGCCTTTTTCTCAATCTCGCGCACTCCTGCTTCACCCTTTTGGATTGCTCTCTCCCACACTCTGGCTACCTTATCTTCGGCTGTTTCCCGTACACGCGCCCAGTCGATCGCCTGTACTCTTTTCACGGCATTCTCAAGTTCAGAGTTCCATCGGTCCTTGGCCGTCTCGACCAGACTTGCCCGTTCTTGGTGGGCACCTGCAGGTGCCACAGCAGGCGGAGGGTGAACAATTGAGTCCAAAATTGCGGTCTGTTGTCTGATTAGGGCAGATTGGTATGCCCGGTTGCGCTGGTGAATGTTCACACTGAGGTAGAGGATTCCGGACGTCAGCGTCGCTGAAGAGACCTGTGGCGCATTAGTATAGAGAACGTTTGTCTCGATAGAATTGAAGTATATCCCCTTCATGCCTCTCATAGGCAATATAGTAAGATGGAGAAATGGGAATAAACACGTACAAATGCCGTGGCGAAGCCCATTATGACAGTGGAAGAAAGACGGGAATTCTCTGCTTAAGCGATGATTATGCTGCGATTGATAGACAGGCACAGACTTTTAATTGTTATTTCGAGCGGGATGACACTGATTTAAATAGACTGGCAATGGGTATCAAGAAAACCCCGGAGGGCGGTTCATTCGGCGTTGCGCGAGTTTCTCAGGCAAAAGAATCAAAAAAGGGTCCTATCGGTCTGGATCCCGATTTGGTGGAGGAGAGCAGGGTAACCCCCACGCCTTCAGCCCTCTGTCATTGGACTGTGACTGTCAGCCCCAATACATCCCACGTTCAAGGAAACCCCATGGGGAAAAGGCGTGACAGGATGCCAAGCTGCAGGTTGCCCTAATCCGGTCGGCACCTTGCTATCTATTGAAAACGGCAGGGATATTTATCATCTCAATTGCCCCCCCCTGAGGTATATTTATGGATAACTTCCTGTTCGGATCATGACGGCGAACTCTAATACGAGTGGAGCACCTCGGTCTCAGCTTCATAAGGATGAATATGACGGGAGACCGTATCGCTCGCATTTACGTCCAGCTTGTCTTTCATGCCGTCGAAGAAAGTCCCGTTGCAAAACGAACCCTGCTGCTGAAGTGTGTGTCATGTGTCAGGTCCATGGTACAGAATGCATCTTTCCAAACACTCATTCCTGCGTGGACAGACATTTACGCAGAACCCGGAAAACGAATAATCGGGCTAAAACTGTTGACAACCCCGAACAGGAAAATATAGAACTGAATTCTAATGTCAATGATGGGACCGAGGCCGCTGCAGATTTATCACTGTTGCCTTCTTATGAGGGGACGAATCCCCGCGCCATAAACACGTCCAGGTCTCCTACCAGCCCTGTTCATCTTATGGATAATGAAAATAATGCAAATAGACATTTGTTGTCAAATTTCACCAGTTCATTTGCAGGTGCTGAAGAGGAAGACTCCCATATCATCGGACCTGCTATGGCCGTTGATAGTGAGATCTTGGAGAACTATCTTTCGACTGTTCTTGATAACGGGAGTACCTTGCGCATGATTCGGACTTCATCAAAGTCTAATACTTCAAGTCAACATGCAAGACCGACTATGTTTACGACTGCCCGAAGACGTCCGCTAGGTCTATTAAAGAACCAAAATCCCACTTCAAACAAGTGCGAAATGGTTGAGAAACTCGTAGAACCACATCTTCAGGATCTCGTGGATCTGTAAGTAATACAGGGTCTGAATTTTAGGAGCCTTTGTTACTAAAGTTCTGTCTTCCAGCTATTTTGGAAAGGTTAATATATGCTTTCCTCTTCTCGATGAGCGATCCTTTAAGAAACTCTTTTCAGAGAACAAAGAGAAGATATCGCCTGCTTTGTTGTCAAACTTGTACACAAATAGCATGATCTATTGGCGGCATTCCCCCTTGCTTTCCCGCGACCGCTGCCCTGATATTCGCTTCTGTTGGCTGCAGTCTTGCGAAGCATTGCATTCAGAATTGTTTCTGTCTCCTGGGACATCTGCAATCATAACAATACTCCTAAACATTGGCGGACGACCGAGTACGTCAGTATTCGGCAATGCAGGCTTGCTTGGGACTGCGGTTGCATTGTCCCATGCGTTAGGTCTCAATCGTGACCCTACTGAATGGGACATATCTTCGTTGGAAAAGCGGCTGAGGATCCGGATCTGGTGGGCACTAGTAATCCATGATAGGTGGTATGTGTTTTATTATTCTCATCTAGCTTGTCGGGATTAAAGGCTAAATATTCACAAAGGTACAGCTTGGCGTATGGTACGCCTCCTCAAATCCATAGGTCACAGCACGATGTGCCAATACCTACAATTAGAGATTTGTGCACGGCAAATACTTCGTCGGCTGAACGCTTGGCTGCCTCAGTTTTTATATCCCTTACCACTCTCACCGAAGTTTTGGGCCGCTATTTAGAATACCTCTACGACCTTGAGAAAGATCAGAGGAAGGCGAGGGAAATCACTCCTTCTACGTTGGAGCTTCTTCTCAGCCATTGGGAGCGGTCTTTGGATGCTGTTGTTTGCAAAATAGTGCTTCATGGATATGATCTTGATGCGCCTGGTGCAGCCAACTTGCGACTTGCATATCTAGCGACGAGGTTGCTTCTTCGAAGAATTCAACTGGATCTCGACAAGCAAGTGCAGGGGGTAGACGAGGAGGCAATAACGCATCGATACATCCAGGCTGAGAAAGCTGCAGAGGATATTGTGCATTTTGCGCAAGCCCTGAATGAGAATCATTTGACAGGGTTTTGGATCCCCACCAGTGCATTCTCGTTGACATCGGCAACTACTTTGTTGCTGAGGAGCGCTCTTAGGGCCAAAAACTTTGGCCCGGGTGGCCCGCTTGCGATTGCTAAGGATATGATTTGCACCTTGCAGTCCCATCACCGGAAGTTTGGCTGGGACCTCGCTGATAATTGTCTCGGGCAGTATGCCGATATCATTGAGAAAATATGCCCTCCAAACGGCGATGTCTACGAACCTTCGTTGCCTGATTTCGAACAGCTGATGATGTTTGACTTTCCAGGGCTGGATGACCTATTTCCGAATATCTGGGACTTTCCGGGAATATGAGTTCTGACCTTACTTGGATGTGCTACTCAATATATGCGCCGAGCTCCTCTCGGGGTGATACGATTGACCTACCACGGGAATACGAGTTTCTGAATAGTTTCGGCAAAGTACTTTCTCAGGCAGCAAAAATTTCCTTCTACCCTCAATCATTGCAGTGATCGGAAAAAGGAAATATATCAGGGTCTAAGCACACATAAAAATTTCCGGAAACCAAACTGCCCTATATCATGTGGTGGCAGGTCGGTATTGTACCGTTAACGCTATCTATGGTAGATTTCATTTGGCAGGGAAACTTATGGAACTCCTCTGGTCTAGTTCTGCATTCAAAACGGACGTTGAAAACTGCAAGTCTTTAGTATGCTTGGACAACACCTTTGAGTCCAATGGATAAGCTTGCCGCGGCGAATGTTTGACTCCTATCGATAACGAAGATACCACTGACCGCCATCCCCGAACTATACCATCTATAGTTTAGTTTGGGGTAGTTTGCCGCGGCCAACATGCAGTGCCATATCGGCCCCTCGGGCCCTGATAAGGTTTCCCGCGGTAAAGTCTCGACCACAGCTTGTATAAATACTATGGTCAAGAGGCATATTCACCATTATTGAAGCAGAACATTTCAAAGACTTTTTTGATTACAGAAAGACGAATTATAAATCTCTCGTTCCTCATTTGTGAACTAAAATCATGGCGCCATCATTCGAACCTCTACTTCCATCGGCCAAACAGTCCGCGACAGCCATCTCGGAAAGACCACCATTGTATGCGGAAGCAGACCAAAACAAATTGGAGAAGAAGGTGGAAAAATATCTCGCCAATTACGGTACCAAATTCCAGAAAGATGTCATCACAGGTACCCACGGACTATACGTATTTACCGCGAACGGGCACAAGGTTCTCGATTGGACCTCCGGCCAAATGTCATGCCTGATCGGCCACGGCCATCCAGAAATCGTCAAAGTGATTGCCGACCATGCACTTTACCTTGACCATCTCTTCTCAGGCATGGTCTCACCGCCAGTCATAAACCTCGCCGAACGGCTAGTTACGAACCTTCCTTCAGGGCTGGACAAAGCCTTCTTTCTAAGCACTGGCGGCGAAAGCAATGAAGCCGCAATCAAGTTGGCCAAAGTCTTCACGGGAAAATTCGAAATCGTTGGCCTCGGCGCCAGCTGGCACGGCGTCACAGCCCAAGCTCTTGGGGCACAATATCACTTTGGTCGCAAGGGCCAAGGCCCCATGATGCCAGGAATGCACATGCTTCCACAGCCCAACGCCTATCGATCCGTCTTTCGCAAGCCCGACGGCTCCTACGACTGGGAGACTGAACTAGACTACGGCTGGAACTTAATTGACGCTGCATCGTGCGGCTCCCTTGCCGCCTGCATTGTCGAATGCATCCAGTCCTCTGCCGGCATGCACGTTCTTCCTCCCGGATACCTCAAGGCATTAAAACAGCATTGCGAAAAGCGAGGCATGCTTTTGATCGTCGACGAGGCCCAAACCGGCGTCTGCCGCGCCGGAGACTTCATGGCCATTAACCACGAAGACGTGGTGCCCGACATCCTTACACTCAGCAAAACCCTGGGAAACGGCCTGCCCCTGAGTGCCGTCATTACCAGTGACCACATCGCCACCACCGCCGCAGAGAGAGATTACTGCTTCTACACCACTCACGTCAATGACCCTCTACCTGCAGCAGTAGGCGACAAGGTGCTCGAGATTGTCCTCCGAGACAATCTTGTCCAAAATTCACGAGAGATTGGCGCCGCCCTGCACGCCGGACTGAACCGCCTCAAGGAGAGATATGCCTGTATCGGCGACGTCCGAGGTCGCGGGCTCATGGCCGGCGTCGAAATCGTGGCCGACCGCTCGACTAAGAAACCTGCCCTGGAGCTCGCGCGGCGCATTGGTGATCGCGCGTACGAGCTCGGCTTGTGGGCGAATCTGAGCAGCCATGCTAGCTTTGGAGGCGTCTTTAGAATAGCGCCCCCGATTACGATTACGAGAGATGTCCTCGACCGTGGTCTGAAAATTCTCGAGGAGGCTTTTGCGTCGACGCCCGGTTCGATGCCGCTGTACTAGAAGTTTGAGTATCTGGTGACTACGTTATTCCGAGGATGTAACGTATTAACATAACCTTGAAAGCTACTTGGAGTAAATTTTATTTTATTATTTATTTTATTTTTATTTTTATTGCTTTTTTCTCTTCTAGCGATAAAATATACTGGTATCAGCTTTGGACATTATTTGTAATAGATATTTGACAAAAGATTTGACATTTTTCTGCAACTTCTGGAGAAAAATGGGAATATTATAGCATGACCACATGAAAACATGGCGAAGAGTTTTCTAAATTAGCCAATTCAAAGACTCATGTGTCTTCTGATCTGGTGTTCCGTACTTGTCATTTTTTCCTCGTAGAATCCGTAGGGTCCAAGAATACCATGTGAGAGAGAAAAGTGTATGCTTCCAAGGACAATACTGTAGAAATACGTCGAAATGGTGAGAAATAATGCCTCTTTCTGTGCCCACCTGTACCTGACGAATCGAGGTATGCCAGATACCCCCGTCATTCGGAAGAAGAAAAGGAAAAATGCCAATGTCAAGAAGAAGAAATAAAACATGACGTGATACCAAAAGAGAAACAGAAACAAAGCCGCCAAGATATATGCCCCGTGAGGAATGATAATAGGTGTCTCTATCAACGCCAATGCAATGCGACATGCGATGCAAAAACTCCAGATGATGAACTTTTTGCCAATCCAGAACACAGATAGGAAAAAGGAACAGGGGAAGGGAAAAAAAAAGAAAAAAATATCAATGACGAGACAAGATGCCCTCTTCGAAACTATTTCGCCGTCCCCAGTTTCTGGGCTGCCGCTTCAAAAAGGCGCCCACGGCACCGAGATAGCCCTCGTGGCGGAGGAAGTATGGCTTCTTTTGGCCCTTGGACCAGAACTTGATGGCGTACGAAAGAGTCGCCATGGTTTGTCGGTGGCCGCGGATAAAAGAGCCGCCGAAATAAATGTTTTCCAGATTATGCTTTTCGGACTGGAGATAGGCGATTTGGCCGATGTTATTGCTGAGCGGGGAAAAGTCAGTATTTGGGTAAGATGAAGAGGAATTATCGGGGGAAATGGAAAGGGTGGGGGAAAAAATTAAATGGGCGAAAATTGGAAAGCAAAAGGGGGAGAAAAGGAGAAGGGAACTCACCTGATTGCATAAAGCAAGCTTCGGCTTATATCTTCGGCCTTGAAACCACCTGAACCGCGCGGCTGATTGCCATTGATTCCATTTTCCTGCGCCGAGTCTCCTCCATCTCCGTTGACCAATTGTTCCGAGTCCGAGGACTCCTGCTCCATTCCCTTTTTCTGCTTGAAGACCTTACCGAAACTGCTGGCAATGGTTGTGCTCTTCAAGCCAATCTTTCCGTAGTCTGTGCCGTAAATGTCGCCGACAAGCATGTCAACAGCGGCGTTATCTCCTCGCTCGGCCATGCCCAGCATCTCATCAAAAGTCTTGGCTCCCGTGAGCAGAGATAATAGACCCCATAGTGTTCCTCCGCCCAGCGAGGTTCCCCCGATACGCTCGTACTGTGTCGGGCCCGAGACCTTGATCATGGACACACCTGAACCGATATTGACCAGAAGATACGGATAGACGTCATGTCGAGCTTCGAAGAAGTGCATCGGTTCCTCGGGTTCGTTCTCGCTGTAGGTGAAGACCTCCATGGGTATTTCTGTGATGAAAAAGTCGAGACCTAGACAAACGGACAAAAAACAATTTTCGTTAGGATTTGTTTGGAAAGAAGTAGGGCTTGCATCGCATCGGTTTTCGGAGAGAGAACAAACCAATTATTAGACATTCCATTTCATCTTCGCGGAGGACTTCGACACCGAGCGCTTCACGGATCTTTTCGTAATATTTGAAAGCGCCTCCTCCTGTAGCCATGACACAGAGTGCCCCAGGGATTGATCCGTTCAGCTTTTGTTGTTTCATTTTCAACTGTCTCATAAATTCGATACATGAGTCTATCTGTTCGGTCTCGAATTTGAGAAAGTTCAAACGGCCGCCTTGATCTGGGGAATTGGGTTCTCGGGAAAAGTAGACCAGTTTTGCAAGAGAGCCGCCAATCTATACCGAATGTTAGATTGAAGCGTAAAATAATGAGTTCTTTCGAATACGTACGTCTACCGCAATGTGACTCACGACGGCGGTGTGATTCGGGAGACGGATATTCTTGGTCTCGTGTTGCGCTCCATCTTCGGGATATTCGCTGGGACTGCTCGGCTCCTCATCAATGATGAAAGCGCCTTGCACGTTGATTTTGACCGCACCGGGGTGTGTAATAGTTGAATCAATATCAGACGTATTGGCCCGATTGGGCCGACAGCGCAAGACGCTGTCTGCCATGCTGAAAGATTGGACGAAGAATTGCCCCTCCAAATATTATATTGGCACGACGGCCGTCGCACGGAAATGGTCGCCTCGCAGACAAAAAGGATTGGCTAAAGCCCAGTTTCGGAAAAAAAGGAGCAAGGGCCGTATTTGAGTTGATGCTGAATGATACGAACGGGACAAATTCAGGGACTCGCGCAGTGTGGAGTTGACTCGCTCAACGACTCAACCTATGGTGGGGCACCAGCGGCCGACTCTCGTAGGATCCGCGTGGTCGGTGGCCGATTACTGAGTATCTCCGCCTCCTTGACGACGATCACTTGCAACTCGAATCGGTTGCTTAGTGATGATGGTGGAACAATATTATGGACTCTTCAAAGTGTGATTTTTATTTTCTGACAAACGTAGGTTCCCCGAACCTGCTGACTCCTCTTTTAAATGAGGAGGCAACGGAAATCCTTACTCTGTGCGCAGGAACCGTTCATCCGGCGATCCGAGGTTGGAGGGATAGTAAATACGTCGTAGAGCACAGAACGGTCCCTCAAATCAACTCAACAATGGTGGTCTGACCGGACTAATACTGACAAGATTGTGACTCTTAAGAGGGTCAATGCATTTATGACATTGCTTGAAAGACAGATCGCTCCCAAGCTTGACTGTGCCCTAATCTCAAAATTTCTCAATTATCCTCTTACTGTTCATCCTTTGATCCACTGAAACCGTTCATTTGATTGTATATTCTGCAGAGGCACTGGATTAAGTTTCTTTTCCTCACTTGCCTCTGATAAGACATAAATAATACCATAAAGAAAAAGAATTCATGCCCCAAGTTGTATAGTCAAACACTCGGTATTCACGAACCTCTGCGGTCACCAGAAGTTGCGTTGTTGGGACTGCTAGTCTTGCCAAATTACAGTTAAGGCTATTACAGATCCTCGCTGAAACTTGATATTGTAGCTGAGATATGTAACTAAATGTAGTGAGGGTATCAGTAACTTATAGTGAAGCACCTTGAAGAAACAACGAGGCAAGGGCCGCTTAAAGTTCGGTAAGATTTTTTCAGTCAAGGTCGCTCTAGTTCACCGTAATAATATACGGACAAATCCAATCATCAACTTTCCTGTGCCAAACTGCCAAGTAGATTTCCAGATCAATTGTGACGCCAAGCCCAATCGCCTCTTGCATTGTCGGGTCCGAAAGCTTTTCTTGTTCGATGCACTAATTCTTTGATTGAGGACTCGGAATCTCTTGCCAAGTGACACGCCGACTACATTTTACTACGTTCAATCTCCACCAGTCCTCAAACCACCATGGCCGGAGGAGCAGCAAAATACAGGCACTTGAGCCGCAAGTCTTCGCACCGTCAGGCTCTCTTACGAAACCTTGTTACATCTCTCTTCGAACACGAGACCATCTCGACGACATGGCCCAAAGCCAAGGAAGCCCAGCGGCTCGCCGACAAGTTGATTACCATGGGAAAGAAGAACACTGAGGCATCGAGACGGAATGCGACAAGTATTTTCTATGTAGGTCATCTTCCGCTCTCCGGGTCTCATATGATATTGTTGGAGCCCGATACTTATGGACAGCACCAACAAATTTTTGAGGATGTCCAAGATGTCAGGAGGGCGCGCTAACGGATTGAATTGCAGAAACCCGTCGAATTGATTCCTAAACTCTTTGGTCCTCTCCGCGAACGATATGCCAACCGTGACGGAGGATACACACGCGTACTCCGTATTGAGCCCCTGAAGGACGACCAAGCGCCCTCTGCTATTCTGGAGCTCGTCGACGGACCAAAGGACATGCGATTTGCCATGACGGCGAAGACCCTGGCGCGGGTACGGGCTGATAATAAAGAAGTCAATGAAATCACGGCGACGAATATCAGAAAGGTGACGAGATTCCGGAAGAACGGTGAGGAGGCGCTAGAGAAGATGGTCCGCAAGTTTGAGCAGATGGGTGTCAACAAGGAGAAGCCTTAGGGTGCTCAATCAACACACAGGAGGACAGGGAGAAAGATTTAAATCTTATTTTCGATGCTCTGGTGAGAACTGACGCAGTCACATCAGTTCCAGTTCTCGCCTTGATTGTGTAAAGTTTATTCGTTTCCGTCTCAGCATCTGGAGTTATGGGCATATGAAGATTTCTATGTATATTATTTATTGAACAGTTGACCAGAAAATGATTCTATTTTCACGGAGCAGTTCTTGATAAGAGAGCAGTATAAGAGGTACAAACGTGGATATCACCCGAAGAAAAGCAAAGGACATCATAACACAGGCCCGAAAACGCCATCTCATGCGCCAATGGTTATGTCATCATGTGTTGTTACGAAGCCAAACTACCCGTCACACTGTCGTTGTCTTCCCACAACTCTTTACTTGCCTGCTCAACACCACGCATTGCAACGGCGACATCCTCAAGTTTTGCTACAACGTCTTGTACCCCGGCTTTTACGCTGTGGAAATATCTGTCATTTGCTTCACGTCGTCTTCGAGCGAGAACAATATCATCATCCGTGCCAAGCTCTAGCTCACTGTGTTTTGTAGTACTTTCTGGTTTTGTTGTTTGCGCTCTCCCCGTTCGAGCATCACCTCCATCGGCCGCTAGAGTGGCCTTTTCTTGCTCCAATTCTTGTTCGCCATCCCTTTCGCCGTGCGCCCAAGCCTGCGCCAAGGCAATTTGCTTTTGTCCTAGTTCCTCGATTGCTCGAGAATGCTCTGCACCAAAGACATGTGTGCTGCTCGCTGCACTCAGCTCTACGTCTTCCAGCGTGTTCTGCATCTCAGCCCAGAGGGCATCGGCGCGTTCCATTGCTGCCTGCCCAGATGATCTAGAGAAAAGTGGTGGGGGTTGTTCAGATGCTTGCTGCTGGGAATGGGACGGCGCAGATTGAAAATGCTCTAAAGGGCGTGATGTATCAGATTGATGAGATGCGGCCTGCTGGTCCCGCGTTGAGCGAGAGCGCAGTAAGGGCGGTATGCCAGGCTGTCCAGTGGCAGAGTTGGTAGGTTGCAGAAGCAATGAGTTGGTGGAAGCGGCTTGGCTGGGAGGCGCAAGGAAGAGAGAGGGCGGTGGAAGCCGAGAACTCTGCTTGTGATCCCCTGGGGGCTTTAATTTGGAGGAGGATGCCATGACTGATAGCACTCTATAGGGAAGGTACGATTGAGTGCAGGACCTTTGTATAAGCTATGGGATGATTTACAGTAACAGCAGGAGCAGTTGAGCATGCTGCGTATTACTGCACTTCGGACAAAGCGGAGACCAATCTGGGGTAAGGACCGTGGATCGGTTAAACGATTTACCGAGAGGTTCAGCAGCAGCAAAGGAGGAGGTACGTACCGCTCGAAGCTGGATGTTATCAATGGGGTGATTAAGTTACCTGGTGATTAGGGCATAAACGCCACCATCGCACACACTCGCTTAGCGAACCGCTCTCATACTGTCCAACTTCGTGACGGGGCGCAAGATTCCTCAACCCGAGTACGACGACGACGACCATCTCATCGACCGGTAAGCCGCCCTATCCACGATCATTGCCTCTTCGATCTATTCTTTTCACCTCCGCAAGAAAAGAGATACGAAGAAGGGCCGTCTCCGAGAAGAGCATCCATCACTGACTGTTTACGTTTTCCGACGACATTTAGACCGCCAACATGGGTAAAGGAAAGCCTAGAGGACTCAACGCCGCGCGCAAGCTGCGCAACCACCGTCGTGAGGGTCGGTGGGCTGACCTTCACTACAAGAAGCGTCTTTTGGGTACCGCCTACAAGTCCTCGCCATTCGGTGGTTCGTCCCACGCCAAGGGTATCGTCCTCGAAAAGGTCGGTGTCGAGGCCAAGCAGCCCAACTCGGCCATTCGGAAGTGTGTCCGTGTTCAGTTGATCAAGAACGGCAAGAAGGTCACCGCTTTCGGTACGTGAGATAGAATTTTCCTTTGTTGAGATTGGAATAGGATTCGATGGAAACAATTGGTTATGGATTTAAAACGGGCTGGACGTTCATCCATAAGAGGCGGAAGAAGAATATCGGTTTCAATATGCGTTGGAGGGTCTATATCAGCAACGAGAAGAGTTATAGCTGACGGAGTCATTTTTATTAGTCCCCAACGACGGTTGCTTGAACTTCGTTGACGAGAACGACGAGGTCCTCCTTGCTGGTTTCGGTCGTAAGGGTAAGGCCAAGGGTGATATTCCCGGTGTCCGTTTCAAGGTCGTCAAGGTCTCTGGTGTCGGTCTCTCCGCCCTGTGGAAGGAGAAGAAGGAGAAGCCCCGTTCGTAAATTGCGACTACGGCATATGGTCAATCAAGCAAGGCGTTTCTGTTTCGTCGCGGAGGACAGTCGTGGTTGTGGATAAATGGCATGTTGCGGGTGGGAAATTGCATCTGTGTCATCCACAGCGAGAGACTGGATGTGTCTTAAATCACAAATGTCACATTGAAATGATAATTCCTCCCTGTCGTCTCACTCTTTTAATTCTCGCGTGTTTTGTGTCTGCGTCTGTGGAAACATTTGTCTCACGATAGGCTTCAATTCTCGAACATTTTCCGAACGGCCGCCTCTTTCCCGACTCTACGCTGCTTACGGTCACCAATGCAATGAGCTTGCCATGCCAGGACACGAAGTATCACTCGATCTTCGGTTCCGCCTTGATCTCACACACGTCGAAGAGGCCTAAGTAGTTACTCGGTCCGTTTCTTGGCGCTGTTGTTAGGGACAATTCTACTGATTGTCCTTGCCCTCTTTGTCCTTCGGACCAGCGAAGTTACGAACTCTACACTGTTTTCTCTCTCCATTGCAAGGCTTCCCCGTGGTTATGCATTTTCGATAACTGGATTGTTCTGGATGACGTAAACTCACCATTACATACCTTCATTATAAGTCGAGTAACTTGCGCAAATTTGTGAATCTAATGCCATCACTCAGATGAAGATGAAGAACTGCCCGTTTGAACCATGCGCATCGAAACCACCAGAAAGCATCTTTGCAAGACAAGTAAGAAGGAGAGCTGAAGAGGATATTCGAGCTCTGGAATTGCCCAAATAGAGAAGCTCAATAACCAAAGAACAGAAAAGAGTACGAGTAATTATTGATACACTCCTTCAGCTATCAATCGAATGAGCCAATCCCTAGCTGAATGGAGTGCCACTGACCTCTCCATGCATTGCCATGACTAATGCGAATGTACGTTATGGCGGAGGTGGCTGGGGAAATATCTGGCCGAGGGGCGGTAAGAGAGGGGGTGTCGGGGCAGGCCGTGATAATCCATCTCCACCAAGACGAGGGACACGGATGGGGCTGGGGTGCGCTTCTCAACAGCTCGGTCATGCTGCACCGACTCTCCCTCAGTCACGGTGGGTACTACTTAACAATGAGCCCTACGCAGGGATCAATTCCTAATAAGTGAATCAAGTACTTGGTAATGTATTCTGTATGCATCAATCCCGTCTATTGACCATACCCATATAGTGACTGCATAAGGCGAATACTCCAAGTGTTAAATTCCAGTGACCCTCTGATAATGATGAGGGCGATGGCTACTCCTAATTTGTTCTGAGGGCCAATTCTTCCGTCTTCGCCGAGGTGGTGGACTCCTCACGTCTAGAACGTGGTCGAGAACATTGGGAAGGTGGTGATCGCCTTGACTGTTTACCCACCTTGGGAAGCCCGAGAACCAGCACTGGTGTCTACAATGGAACCCTTTCTCCTCGGACAGGCCCATCTCTCCATCTGAACCTTAGGTTTCTCTCGTGCTAGAGAACAAAGTATTCCATGTCAAATCCCCCTTCCAGCGCGCCAATTGCTGTGTTTGATTTTTACCATGATTATTCATCTATTTTTCACATTACTGTTTGGATATCATCATTAGTTGTCTGGGTCGCGTGTCCTCACCCGGTTCCTGTTTTTGTGCATTTCGCTTGGATATCCCTTTCGGGAGAGAAAGAGAAGAGAAGCAGGTGGAAGGAGGGTGCAAGGAGTGTGTCTAAGATAGCTCATGTGAATCTAGATGATGGCGTAGTTGCCTGGGCGGGTTCTTTTGTGGCTCATCATCCCCTAAGTACCGCAGCGTGTGCGGAGTGCTCCTCGCACAGCACTTCAACTCACTCATTTTCATTCATCCGCCAACCAACCCTGACACCTCCCAGGTATTCCCGGCCGGCCCTTGGCTTTTCGCTCGCTCGCTCTCCTTGGCCCGCCAGTTTAACCAGGTCTCCCACTCCACTGCCTCTTCTCGCCGCCGCGCCTGCTGCTACTACTATTGCTACCACTAACACTCAGAATTTCGCTCCCATCCGTCATCAGCACCTCACAATCTCTTCTTCGCCTCTTCCCACATCCCACCACGCGACTTTCTTCGGACGTTGCTGCAATCCCTCTGTCCTCTCTCCGTTTGACAGCCAACGTTCCGTTGAATCTCGTTTGAAAATTTCCTACCCCTGTTCTAAACTTGCCTTTCCTGGCAACGTCATAATCTAAAGCCCCACTACCCACAACCACCAACGACATCGGATTGTTGCAATCACGCTTCTCCCCCACCAAAAGTTAGACGCAACTCCCGTTTTCACTCCGCCCGTTACAATCTTCACCCTGAGCTCAGACGCATAACCATTCTCCGGCGCACAAGATGGGTCAGACTCTTTCCGAGCCCGTCGTCGACAAGGTTTGTGCTCCCAGGTAGCGATGCTGCTCGTGTCGGCCTCATTCTACGCTTTTACCTCCCTTTTCTTCCCCGCCTTCGTCTCGCCGCGGTTCTCCTTGAGAGGTGCTTCCAGGAACCCTCCCACAAGATCCTGATTCGTCTTTCATTACTTGAGGCCTAGTTAAAGTCGCTGACAACCGGTTCCCTTCTCATTCCAGACGTCGGATTCGGGCCACAATAATCGTCTCGCATATGGATTCTCGTGCATGCAAGGATGGCGTATCAGCATGGAAGACGCCCACGCTTGTATCTTAGATCTAAAGCCTGAAGGCGAGGATGAGCCAAATGGCGTAGGATCGGATAAGACCCCCTACAGCTTTTTTGGTGTCTATGACGGCCACGGAGGTGACCGTGTTGCTATCTATTGTGGAGAGAACGTGCACAAGATCATTGCAAGACAGGAAGCGTTCAAGCGTGGTGACATTGAACAAGCCCTCAAGGACGGCTTTCTTGCAACAGACCGAGCAATACTTGCGGGTATGTCCTCTGCGTCCCGTATCAAATGGAATGAGTCATGAAAAGTGATTGACATTGCTTGTTAGATCATCGGTACCAGGAAGAGGTTTCTGGTTGTACGGCCTCGGTCGGCATCATCTCAAAAGACAAAATCTTTGTTGTACGTGGCAATGATTGTGTACATCGCAAACGCTCCATACTGATTTTGATAGGGCAATGCGGGTGACTCGCGAACCGTTCTCGGCGTCAAGGGCCGAGCAAAGCCGCTGTCTTTTGACCACAAGCCGCAAAACGAGGGTGAGAATTGGTGTTGGCTGTTTCGTTGGCCCGAAGAACATTATGCTGACTCTATTTATAGGCGAGAAAGCAAGAATATGTGCCGCAGGCGGTTTCGTCGACTTTGGACGAGTCAATGGCAACCTCGCGTTGTCCCGTGCCCTCGGTGACTTCGAATTCAAAAAGAGCCCCGAGCTTTCGCCCGAGCAGCAAATCGTGACCGCTTTTCCGGACGTTATTGTGCACGACATTTCTGATGACGACGAGTTCCTAGTCATCGCCTGTGACGGTACGCCTTTCTTCGTTTTAAGTATTTGGCTCCATAATTGTGTCTTGCTAATGTTTTGTTTCTTGGATGTGTAGGTATCTGGGATTGCCAATCATCTCAGGCTGTGATTGAGTTTGTGCGCCGTGGCATTGCCGCGAAGCAGCCCTTGGAATCGATTTGCGAGAATATGATGGACAACTGCTTGGCCTCTAACAGCGACACTGGTGGTGTCGGGTGCGATAACATGACCATGGTCATTGTCGCCTTGCTTCGAGGAGAGGAGAGCATGGATGACTGGTACAAGAAGGTTGCGGACCGGGTAGCTAATGGCGATGGCCCTTGCGCTCCGCCCGAGTATGGCAAGTCCTTTGAACACCTCAAACCCCCGTGCCATCGAATGTTAGCTAACCATTTATGTCCGTGTAGCTGAATTCCGCGGCCCCGGAGTGCATCATAACTTTGACGACAGCTCGGAAGATTACGATGTCGACATGGACCACCGCGGTCACCGATTTGGCGAGCGGTCTGGCCGCATCATCTTGCTCGGTGATGGGACCGAGGTCTTGACCGACTCCGACGATGCAGAGATGTTTGACCATTCTGAGGAAGACAAGGACCTCGCGAGCCAGGTTGACAAACGCCATGCCAACTCGGACGAAGACAATGCGGACGCGGAGAAGGAGAAGGAGCAACCCGCAGCGGAATCTCACGAATCTTCGGGCCCTTCTCAAGAATCATCCACTTCTGAGGAGCACAAGCCTTCTTCTGACAAATAGACGATTCATTATCCATTGGTGTGAGCGCACACTTGTCTATGTGCGTTTCAAATGAGGAACGATACCCGGCAGTTGTTTGCGATTTGGGTAGCAATGGGCGAGAAGGGCGGAAAGGATGATCCTTTGTCATGGTGACATGTTGCGGACATGTCGGGCAGAAATAAATGGAAAGCAGGTTTTTTTCCCTCATAGGGCATCATCGCTGCCCATTCACGATACTCCATTTCTTTATCTTCTTTCCTTACTTCTTTTTCTCTTCCATCTCCTACCTTTTTTATTCCTCGTTTGCTTTCTTTTTTTCCTGTATTATGAATCTTGTGGACGGTGGGGGGAACCATGCCTCTTGTATCACGTGCGTACAGATCCTGTCAAGTCGTCTGGGCGTTTGTCCGGGAGAAAACGACAGATAGGATTAGTTTGACTGGGAGTTGACATTCTCGACGTTCATGTGATGCGTCCCTTTCTGCCGAACTCCTGGTTCACTCGTGCTATGAGCCAAATTTGCTCAAAATATGCACATTTCGTGGCATGCCTTGAGGGGCTCATAGAACAGACGCTGTGACGGGCGGGGAAAGATACACATGAAACCTCACGGGGGTTGCACACCAGGCGGTGGACGGGGTGGATCGATGCTCGATGGGGTTGCGCAGTATTTTCCTTTACTTTTTCTATTTCATTTTTACTTCTATCAGGATTTGCATACGGCGGGCACGTTTAAAGGATACGTGTTTTTCATGATTTCATAAATGGTTTTCACGAAGCACGAGCAGCAAAGAAATGTTTGAAAGAAGATTTGTATGCATCCATGCTTGAAGATGCTTGTGATGATGAAATTATGCATGTGATGTCAACGTATCACCGTGATTTTTACTGCTGTAGTAATGTGATGAAGACTGCCTGCGATTCTGGGAAACAAGATATGGGCATTATATGCTAAAGTGCTTGTTTTTTCAATAGTTGTACAATATTTTTTTTGTAAATACTTCTGGTAATGGATTACTTGCATTTTTTTCCAGATCAAAGATTCCTACCGTGTCGAATGAAAATTTAAAATAACTCCTATATACCGAGGGATTTAGCATCTGCAAAACTAATTCTAATTAAACAGACAGTTCAAGAATATACATTATCATTATTTCTTATTGCTGATATAAAGTCGCCGGTCTGGACCACCGAGGTTTTGCGTCATTCAACATGCATGTGGCACTGCACCCTGGACTATACCACACTGAGTCATCGCCAAATTTTTTGGTTCGGAACGTCGGTTCGGGCACAGCTTCACCTTTACCACTGCAAATTCACGAGCACACAATTTAATCAGCTTATCAACTCCGCAGGAAAACCTAAAGCTCTGGACTCAATTAAAAAACTTGTTAAGAATTTAGCTCCTTCAATTGTCACATCAATGTTGAAGAAATTGTACAAGGAGCACCTCCGTCATCAATACTATTGCAGATTCAAAGAACCGCATGCCATATTAGGCTGAACACAAACCATACCATTGCGCCCAAGGGCATTGACGGCGACATCATTCTTCATAGTTGCATATTTGCTCGGGATCATTTCTTTTCATTGACTATACTACGTCTGTTTAAAACGCGCAACTCGAAAACCTTCCGCAGAGTGTGAACGTGCGACTCAGTTTCACCAACTGAGTTAAGAAATATCAGGACACTGGCGGGAATATCTGCTACAGTTCACAGGCTCACTCTATCCTGCTGGAATACGCTGGGTTGCAAAGCTTGCACTCGAACAACTGTTAGCATAAATCGCTGCATCGCTGCTGTTTCGTCGGCAGTCCAACTCCGACACTTTTCAACCTTCAAACCAGTGACGCCGATTGCCGACATGACTGCTACTACAGACACTCCTAACGGAGTCGCAGGGTCCACGGGACCATCCACACGTATCCTCCCTGTAGACCCTGCACGCATTGGGCGATTCAACTTCACAGGCAGCGCCGACTCTGTGCTAGACAGCTGGGAAATCGACTTGCGAGACGACACGACAGATGCCGCGAACCTGAAAGAGGCCGCAGAACGACTATGCACAAGAAACATACCAGTTGCATTTCCCACCGAGACAGTATACGGCCTTGGTGCAGACGCGACAAGAAGTCTGGCCGTGCAAGGGATCTACAAAGCAAAGCAGCGGCCCTCGGACAATCCTCTGATTGTGCACTTTTGCTCTCTTGAACAGCTACGAGACTTTCTCCAGCCCGCTAGACGGACTGCTGACTCCGGCAAAAGCGCCGGTACAAATGGCTCAGCAGGCGATGCAGGCCTAGAGTCGGATCCAATCCCGAGCATCTACAAGCCCCTGATCCGCAAATTCTGGCCTGGACCTCTGACAATTCTTCTCCCAAACCCAGCAAACTCGTCTCTCGCACCCGAAGTCACAGCCGGCCTGGACACATTCGGCGCTCGAATGCCCAAGAGCATTCTCGCCCTCGCGCTGATCAAGCTGGCCGGCGCACCACTCGCGGCGCCCTCAGCAAACGCATCCACGAAACCGTCCCCCACGACCGCAGAACACGTCAAGTATGACCTCGACGGCAGAATCGACGTCATTCTCGACGGCGGGCCCAGCGACGTCGGTGTCGAGAGCACAGTCGTCGATGGCCTTTCGAACCCGCCCTTGATCCTTCGTCCCGGCGGCATCAGCATTGAGCAGCTGCGCGACTGTCCCGGCTGGGAAAACGTCGAGATCGGATACAAGGATTCTTCGGAAAAGGAGAAAGCTCCTCGTGCGCCGGGCATGAAGTATCGTCATTATTCACCAAAGGCAACGGTCGTCTTGTTTGAGGCCGGATCTGACTCTCCGACCCTCGAAGATGTCCAGCGCAGACTCGGACCCAATCGACGCATTGGCTCCGTGAGGACCAAGACTTGGAAGCTGGGGTTCGGTCAGCCCGTCACTCTTGTTGAGGCGGGCTCATCCTCTCCCACTTCCTCTTCCTCTTCCGCTCCCTCCTCGTCCACTTCTTCTTCTTCTGTCCCTCCTACCTCCGCAGCTGCAACTATAAATGCAATTCCCGGCCAAACTCTCCCACTCAGCGCCATTCCCGAATTCACTATTTCCCATACCGACCTCAACCACAAAACTCTCGCCACACATGCCAGTTCCAATCCGGACTCTCTCCCACCTACATTATTCAATCTTCTCCAGTCGCTGACGACGCATGCCGTGCCTCCTGCGCGGCACTACATTTTCGATTCCATTCCTCCTCCTTTGTCTCCTTCTTCTTTTTCTTCTCCTGACTCAGCTACTACGACTGCGAATGTGACTGCTCCTGAACAGTCCGCTCCGGTCCACCTACATGATATCCATCTCGGCGCACACACGGACGATATCGCGCGCGGACTTTTCTCCGCCTTGCGCGAGCTGGACAAGCGCGGCGTCGACGCGATCTTCGTAGAAGGCGTAAGCGACGAGCACGACGGCAGCGTCGCCGCGGCTGTGATGAATCGGTTACGCAAAGCCGCGGAGTTCAGGGTTTATTAGAGTAGTCGGGGTCTATTCGTCGGGTCTATTAGTCGGGGTTTATCAATGGAATGCCCTTAGGAGCCTCCAATTGAGCATTGGCATTGGTTTTTTATGTTGATAACATCTTTATAGACGGTCATATTGATGCTTTTTCATTCAATTAGATAGACACGGTGGGGGTTTAGAAGCAAAATTCAAATGAATATATTTTTACAAACAGGAAACGTCTATCTTGTAGCAATAGCAAGCCGTTCTAAAATATCCGCTACGCTTCTCACGCCCTGTAATGCATTCTCGTCTGGCCCTTGTCCTGGCGTCCACTGTGCATGTGCAAAATCGATGAGTTTCGTCGCGCTTATCGGCGGCGGACCATCCTCTTCATCCTCTTCATCCTCTTCATCCTCTTCTTCCTCTTCGTCCTCTTCGTCGCCGCCAAGGTCAAGGCCAAACTCATCCTCGTCCTTCTCATCCAAGAGATGGACTTCAGGCTCGACATTTGGACGCTGAGATATATCATTCCCCGTACCCTCTGCCTGTTCGGCCTCGAGGGCATCCTGTAGGGCCTTCTCGTCGCCCTCGTACACGAATAGGATACTCGCAGAATACATTCTGCTTTCTTCGCGCTCGAGCATGGTCTGGATCCCACGCACGTCGTTTGCGAATCGGCGTGCCAGCATTTTTGCCGTCTCGTTATTATTCCGTGACATGTCTTTTGCCGTCTCATTCCGTGATCTGTCTTTTGCAGTATCGCTATTCCGTAATGTAAATGTGTCGGTTTCAAAAGGACTTGTTCCAGCACGACAATCCCCGGGAAGTGCGACGCCGTTGTCGAAGCGCAAATACTCTGCAAAGCCATCGGCCACATTCTCTGCCGTGAAGCTCCTGCCGTAGAACTTGTCGTAGGTCTGGTATCGGTCTGGTTGTGATATTTCGGTGGACTCCTCGTTGCTGGCATTGTTTCCTGTCGCAGTAGTGGTGCTGCCACCAGGAGGAGGGGGAGTAGTGTTGCTGCTGCTGCTAGGAAGAGGAGGAGTACTACTACTGCCAGGAAGAGGAAGAGAATCACCGCGCCATACTTTCATCCCTGCAATGCGGAACCCAAGACTCTTACTTGTCGTCTCCGCAGCGACTTTATCGAGTCGCGCGCGTTTCTCGGGCCGGGCCTGCGAGTCCCATAACTGCGCGCCGAGCTTGACGTCTAGTATATTTGGCCGCGTGAATTTCCCCGCGACATTTTCCAGCACGATTGCCAGTCCGGTGTCTAGTTTTTTGCCACGTAGCGGACCAGGATCCCGCTCGTCGGGCGTGCGGTTGTCCTCTGTAGCAGTGGCTGTGGCAGGGATATTGCTGTCGTCGGTCGTTGAAGATTGAGGGTTCGGGGTATGGGGATCTACGGTATCGAGTGGCGTTGGTACCGTTGGTATCGTTGGTGTTGCTGATTCGATAGGAGGTAGCTCAGAGACCGGCAAAGGCGTGTCTTGCTCTGAAGAAGTTCCTGGGGTCGCAGCAGCGGCGGCTGTAAGTGCAGCAACAGCGGCAGGGTCATTGTTCTGTGGAGAAAGACTAAGCGTGCCCATGAACGCGGGCATGTAGGACAGAAACTCGGGATGCGTGAATGCGGACTCGTAAAAGAATATTTCTGCCGCCGTGCATGGCTTGATTATGAGCGCGCCTGAGGAGTCGGACAGGACGCCTTCACTGGAGTTGGGCTGTGTTAGCTACAAATCGTATGTTCTTTCTTGCCTCAACAGAAAAGGAAACAAGGGAGAGTTGAGGAGAGAAAACTTACTGCCCGGCGGCGACATTATCGTAGGCTATTAAATCTGTTTCCTTTAGAGAGTGTTGATGTTGCTGTTGTTGTGGAGACATGCTGGCCAAGGAACCAAAGCAAGCAAAGGTTCAAAGAAAGCTCGGGAAATAAAAATGAAAAAGTTAAATAAAAAATGAGGGATAAGAAAACAAGATGCTATTGTCTATTAGTCATGTCAATGTAGATTGTAGCTGTGTAGCTGCGAACGTTGTGAACAGCCGTGAGAAGAGGGGAATATATTTCGTAGGGCTGAAAAGATGACGAGGGGCTGAAAATTATAAGTTATACTGTACTCCGTATCGGAGCCCAGAATAACCCCCGAGTTCAGCGGGGATGACGACGACGGAAAAGAAGGGTCAGGGACCCAAGGGGCGGCTATGGGCGGGGCGAGGGGGAAAGGAAAGTTCCCGCTGTCGGGTCACTGAAGTTACTTTTACGTTGCGCCGGACTGGAACTGTTTGCGCAAATGGTGACTCCTGTCATCTACTAAGGGCAAGGCAGAAGATGCGCTGAAGTGTCGCCAATTGGTAGGTAAGGCTTTTACCTAGCTACAGTTAAGAAATCCACGGCTCAGAATTTTGTTTTTCACTCTGGGATGGACTGGTTTGAGACCATAGTTATGCTAGGGCAAAATGTGGAAACATGTTTCATCGAATATGACTGACCAAGGTCATCAAACGCCCGTGCTAAACTCCAGCTTTATAAGGAATATCTATCATGCTGATAATGCAGCCCATGTGTGCTTCTAGTTGCATCTGCGGGGAAAAAAAAAAGGTATGAAAACATATTAACATGTCCGCGCCTGCTTTGTCCATATACTTTCCATGCCCTGCATCAATTCCAAACTGCGCTCATATGTCCAGAGCATAATTGCGCTCGCGGGACTCGTCTTGATCAGGCTAATTGTCAAACCGCGATACAACCCTCTGATCCCTTCCTTAGCCAAGACAGCCCTGATTGTGCCCAGCGTGCCCTTGTATACAGGAATGTTATGATAGACGTATTTCTCCCGGCTTGGACCCTGGACTTGAAGCCTCTTGCGCACCGTATCAAGCGGATAGGTTCCGCTCTTGGCGATGACACTGGCGAGCATTCCGGCGGTGGCATCGGCTGAGCCAAACGGAAGATTGAGCGGCGATAACGTAACACGGAATTGCTCATAGGCGGCAAAAAAGATTCCCATGTACGGCAGAATCTGCCCGACACCGACTACGGATCCCCGGTAGAAGCCGTATATGCCTTCGTCATGGTATATGTCCCGAATGCCGGACCGCAGGGTGGAGTAGACGCGTTCGGTGCCCTGTGCGGCGAAGCGCGTGCGCAAGAGGTCGAGCGGGTATGTCGCGGCGGTGGCGGCACCGCCAGCGACGGCACCGCTGATAAATGTCTCGACGGACGAGGGCGTGGATGCATGTGTCGGAAGAGATTCTAGAAATGTCGCGGTGCCACGGTATGTAGAGAATTGCACGCCCCCATAGATAATGTAGAGCAGCTCGGCGGGTACATTGCCTTTCCAAAAGCCCTGCAATTGTCAAACACTACATGTTAGCCACAAGACAAGTATTTGTTTGACAAAAAGGAAGAACTGTACCCGTATTCCTTCATCGCGCAAGACTTGTTTTGCGGTTGCAATGGCACCTCTTGCGAGAGATCCTTTGGTGACGGGGTTCAAAGGGTCGGCGAGAGAGTGGATTTGTAGCTGCAGTCGGATTTTGATAATATCAAGCGGTGCGACGCAAAATCTGTATCGCATGAGCGTGGACTGATTTCGCATATGCATCAAAGAGACGAAGCAATGACTGCATTGAAACTCACCGTGAGACTAGCCCGCCAATTGCACCCGCAGTGACGACTTGCAGCTTGGATCCCTACAATCGTCGAGATTAGAAAATGGAGAGAGAAATGATAAAAAGGGACCGGAGAAGATTTGCGACGAACCTCATCTTTGAGTTGGTGTTCACCTTTCCCACTTGACGACATACACTTGTTCTCACCGCCAAGGGGAGGCTGTATTCAGGTAGTAAGTGTCGTAGGTACAATGGTTGGTCAAGGATGAATGAATTGTGTATAAAGTCGATCCTGTTTCTTTATATCACAGAATCTCAAGGAGATATGTAGCCGAGGAAGGGTCTAGACTTCAATCAACACTTGAATTTGATAGAACAAATATTGAGACATGACGAAGGGGAATTCAAATTCAAAATAAAATACATCAAATTATCCATCTACTGCCCTTTTTGATTATTTTGGTCATCTCATGTACGATCTCACACGTTTGGACTTTTTCATTCAACAGGTCACATGGAACTTTTACATTCGGGTTGTATTTCCCCAGTTGGTCTCGATGATGACGCGAGTGGTGCGTGTCTCTCAATATCCCAACAACACCACTCGTGACGATGGGAATGTGATATTGAAAGGAAGAACAATTAGGAAACAGAATTGATTCCTTTTATGTTTTAAGCATCGAGCATCAAGTGAGAGCAATCGCATCCATTTTGTTTTTAATAGTTACTCTGACGATTAGTGACGTGAAGCTGAAACGGAGCTACAGATGATTCCAAAGCTTGGACCAACACTGTCCACGCCCACCTTGAACGTTGTGTGATTTGCTACACTCTGGTGCTGCCAATTCCATCCAACCCATCACACAAATTCCTTCGTTTCTGGAAGCCTGGATAGTGGCCGCCTCCTTAATTCCGCACATCTTTTGTAGCTCATCGCTACTTGGCACTTTTGAACCGAGCTGCGACCGGTTCAAACCTCCCGAAGCATAATAACACCCCCTGGCGGCCGTGATTGCACCACAAACCCCATAACATGTCTTCTCCTTCATCAATAGGTTCGCGCACCACGAAGCGCAAGCGGGCGGCGACCTTGACCAAAGGTACCGACCAGCAGACCTCGACACCTGCAGATCTGCTGCAGCCTTCATCGCGCGACGCGTCTGGCGAGGACGCAGAGGATCATGAGCTGCAAGCCGTGACGGATGCGAAGCACCACCGTAAGACCTCTGGTGGAGAAGCAGCGCCTTCGGCGACGAATCCGCCCTCGAAACGCGCGCGCAAGAGCTCTGTCTCCGCTGGGGCACCTCCTGCTGCCGCGTCGACGACTTCTGCCAGCAAAGATGACCAGGATCCTGGCGAACCGTCCGACACCACGACCGGAAGCGTAGAGGTGACGACGCAGACTCGACGAAGAGGTGCGCGCTCCGCGTCCAAGACCGAAGCCCATGAAGCCAAAAAGGAACAAGCACGAAAGGCAATGCCGCCGCCTCAAAAGGCTGGACTTGCTGAACCTGCGGGCTACCACACGAACCCTCCGCCCACGGGACGGGCAGTGAGAGTCTACGCAGATGGAGTATTTGACCTGTTCCACCTGGGGTATGTTCCCTTGACAATGTCAATTCTTTTATACTCTATGGTAAATGTGACATTGACTCTAAATACTAATCATCTTCCAGCCATATGCGCCAACTCGAACAAGCCAAGCATGCTTTCCCCGACACATACCTTATCGTTGGCGTCACGGGCGACAAGGAAACGCACAAGCGGAAGGGTTTGACGGTTCTGAGCGGAGCTGAGCGTGCAGAGACTGTCCGACACTGCAAATGGGTCGATGAGGTCATTGAAGATTGTCCCTGGATTGTGACTCCAGAGTTTCTTGAGGAACACAAGATTGACTACGTTGCGCACGACGACATTCCGTATGGTGCAGACGAAGGAGACGACATCTACCGCCCGATTAAAGAGCAGGGTAAATTCCTCGTCACGCAGCGAACAGAGGGTGTCAGCACCACCGGTATCATCACAAAGTGAGTCTGCCCTGGCGAACCATTTCATAAATACGTCCTCAGCACCGTGTGGTGCAACCTGTGGTCATTGCATCCCGTCTCTTTGAGAACTAGTACTAACAAACATCTATCAGAATTGTCCGCGACTACGAAAAGTACATTTCACGCCAATTCAAGCGCGGTGCCTCCCGTCAAGAACTCAACGTGTCATGGCTCAAGAAGAACGAGCTTGAACTCAAGCGCCATGTCGCCGAGCTGCGCGACAGTATCCGCAGCAACTGGTCCACAACTGGCCAAGAATTAGGCAAAGAGTTTCGCCAGTTCTGGCAAGCAGCCAGCAACAGCAGTCGGCCCAACAGCCCGTCCGCCCGAGGCCGGCAAAGTAGCATCTCGAGTCGACGAGAGTCCGCAGCGGAAGGCGGAGATTACGGATCGCGCAGCGGCGCCGCCTCGCCCACCGCTCAGCTCCTGTCGCATTTACCTCAACTTGATACCCGTCGCGCCGAGAGCCCCAGCGCCCCAGGCACCCCCGGAGCGGACTTTGCTACAGGATACAGTCTGGGATTAATCGGCGGTGTCCGATCGTGGGTATGTCATTGTCATCTGTTTACATTTCTCTCTACATTACTTTGCTCTTCATTACTTCTTCACCGTCCACTACTTCTACACTGCGCTCTACCATTTCAACATCTCCAAATTCGTCCGTCCGATACTTTCTTTCAGTTACAACTAACACCACGTATAGATGACCCGCACTCGCACCGGCGGCGCTCGCGGTAACAACGACGACGACGCCTTGGCCCGCAACAACCACAATAGCAACAACAGCAGCCATCCCGCCAGCTCGTCTGACACTGACGATGACGATGCCCGGCTCCACCATCAACATCATCATCGCTATGCCGGCGCGAGCAGTAGCGGCGGCGCGAGCAAGTCTCATAGCCAGTCCCAATCCGAGACACAGTCCCCTGCCGGAGACGTCGACATGGCGACTGCATGATATGCTGCGTCCTTGTTCCAGTCCTTCTTCTGTGCAAACGCATCAGCAGGCGGGAGAGAAGGAGGTGGTGGTGTGGTTGGAAAGGGGGGATGTTGTTATTGTCAAGCAATCGACACTGCCCAACGCAGTATGCAGTAGAGGGACTTTCGCAAAAGGAGAGATGTCGAATATATGCATTATCCAGACACCCTTCTCCTTTTTCCATTTCCCCTTTCCCCTTTCTCCTTTTCATTATCCCATTATTTCATTATTTCATTTTTCCATTTTTCTCTCTGTAATATAATCTCACGCGGGTGCTATTCATGTCTCAATAAAATTTATTTTCCATCACACTCTGACTCCACTCTGACCCCGAATCTAAAACCCAATCTGCGCCTGAGTATACTCTTTATCCGGACGAAAAGACGCAAAAAGGCTTTACTCAATATCCCGCCAATGCCATATTATACGGCGCAGGCGGAGTAAATTTTACTACAATGGTTTTACTACGATGGATAACCTGATTGGACACATGAATGAATGCATAGATAAGACAAATTGACACGTTGAAAAGTATCCTTAAAAAAATTGTTAAATTGCTGGATTCAAATCCGCCTATCCGAGGGAGAAGAACGAAGAACGAAGACCGGGAGCCCTGGGAGTTGGGTTGAAGGGTGGCTCATTCCAGCATTCCAGTTTTATCCTTCCCTAGGGATATATGTAATGGAAGCGGGATGAAATAGTGTAGATGACTAGATATAACGGAGTGAAAAAAGGAAAGAAAAGAAAAGGGAAAAAAGAAGACAAAAAAAGGAGACAAAAAAAATGAGACAAAAAAAAAGTGTAACAATGCTATTGCCATCACACTTGCGTATGGGGGATATCAATTTAAAGATCCAGAACTATAAATAAATGAGAATAAAAGAAAAAAAAAGAGAAAAAGAAGAAGATAGAACCAATAAAAAAAGGTAGATTCAAAAAAAAAAAGGCGCTTAAAATGCTTAAAATGCTTTAAATGCAAATGCTAGAATCATGTCAGGTAAGAATTTAATGCTTCCAAGATCGTGGGCTAGTCGAGTTGAAATGAAATGGTTTAAATCAAGACAGGAAGGAGAAAACTTCGGACGGCCCTCGCTATAGTTGAGATCCGACCAAGGCCAACAAGACCCCGCTGACAACACACACAATGGCAAATACCAAGAGCACTGCGCCGCGATGCGTCCAGCTCAAGTGGTCCCTTCTGGTCAACATCATCCCGACACTCATGACAGCCAGACTCAAACTCATGACGACGCCCATAATGGTGCCGAGATCATAGGTGAACTCGTCTGACGTGGTCGATACCAAGATCCCGAGCGCGGTCAGAATCACCACGGACACTGTGAGAAAAGCGACATATGTCCTGAAGAGCACTTTTTCGCGATACGCAGTAACGCCGGCCTGGTGTCGATAATCCTCAAGAGGAGGAAACGTCGAGTACGCCCGTCGAGAGTCGTAGACGGTTTCATATCCGGGGATATCGGTGGCAGAGTCTTCGTCTTCGGCTTCAATTCCCGAGTCGTAGGCGCCAGTCGCGGATGCGTGGCGATGGTGACGGTTTGTTGGGAGCAAAGGGTCGCGAGCAGCTCCCTCATTAGGCTGAGAGGTAGATTGAGAAGTGGGAAAGAGCCATGATCGGCCGCCGCCGCGGCGACGAGGGACAATGGATTTTGAAAGAGATCGTGCGGCTTCCGAGGTTTTGGTGGTCAGTGATTTGACACCCTGGCCAATGTACTTGAATGCGTTCGTAATGGATTCTTGGCCCGGGAAAAAAGATGACGAGTCATTAGGGTATATGTATATAGCGTACGAGCCTTCGCTGTTCTGATCTTCGGGGTCATCGTATTCGTTCCAGTACCGCTGGACAGAAGAAAGGTTGGACTTCTGATGGCTGTTCTCTCGGCGAGGAGGGATTCGTCGACCTTTGCCCGTCTTCTTGCCGGCTCCAGGGCCAGTGTGGGCTGGGTCGTCAACGAGGGAAGTCGCGGACGAGTCCATGACGGGTGCAAAGTTGCTGCTCCCCGAAGGAAAGTCGGTCACTGTTGTGGTGGACCCCGAGATGTTATTACTCTTTCGCGCCGGTTCGTCAATGTGTGTCGAGCTGGTGGTGCGGCTTAATGTGCGTTCGACAGGGTCAGGAACTTTACGGATATCCTTTGCCAATTCCTTTGACTGTATCTTAAATGTCAGCAAAGCGTCAATCTAGAAGGAAATCTTTTTTTTTGGGGGGGGGGGAGGCATACCCAGTTGCGTAAGACGGACTGGCCAAGTCCACATGTGACAGAAACAGCGTGCATTCCCAATGAGAAACCATACACTCGCTCAGTCTGATAGAGTCACACGGTTAGATAAGGCGCAAATCCAAAAGATCAATACCGTTAGAGAGAACCTACCAAGTAACTCTGATCCAGAGCCCTTGCGAGAGCGGCCCCAGCCTCACCTTCCCACCAAATCTCCAATACGGCATGAGGGAAAGAGTGGTAGTGTCCTGTCGAAGAATTTCGTCGTGCATCGCCATGTGCAAGCTGCTCAGAAGAAACCGGGCCCATCTTCACTTCCTGGTCGAGTACCGCCCAAATGCTTCTGGCCGGAGCGTTGTTCAACCCAATGAAACGTGTCCGGGTGCTCTGGACCTCAACCAAAGGCCTGACCTTTGGATGTTCCGCAAGCCATTGTCTGGTCTTTTCGACTTGGGCGCGATCAGGCTCGTTGACCAACGTACACGCATCAGATTCTCGGCGCGACAATGCCCCGGAGCTGTGTTTGAAAAGTGACCGCATCTGCTTCATGTCCACCTTGACGGCATCACCCGTGTGTTCCTCGTCTCTAGATTTGAGATCGACAGCAGCGCTACCATCGCCACAGCAGCGCAGTGTCCGGACAGCGGCATCAAAAGCCCGACCCTCTCCGTCAGCTTCGGCATTGAAAGCTGATTTATAGCGTTGGCACAGATCATCCACATCGTCAAGCACCACGAGGCCGGTCGATTCCTCTCTCTCCTGGCCGTAGGTGGATGAGCTCCGACGCGTGGGTGTCGCAGATAGACTGCCCCCATTATGGCATCCGGGCCGATGCCACAACCGTGCAAACTGAAGCATGAGCACCTGCAGCTGGACGAGGTTGTCCCGGTGCACCCAATAGGTCGCGCGCTTTGCTGATTGATATTGGGCCAATAATGCGAGTGCTACGTCAAAGTCGACATCCGTGTCTAGCTTCTCCGTCACCAACGAATGCACATTCACGGGCTCCACAATCATGGGCAAGTCCTCTGCGGACGTTTGCCCCGATGGAATGGAAGCAGGGGTGTCGGTTCTTTTGATCTGTTCTTTCATGAAAGGTGCGCGAACGGCCGCCAAAACCGCAGTCCATTGCGAGAGCAATGGGGCGAGATCGCGATTACAAAAGCTCGTGGGCTGGTCCATGACCTCTTTTGTAAATCGTCTTGCGAGTTTGCTGGATCTAGTCCATTTCTGGTACTTTTTCAACAGCTTCTGGAAGGCGAGCCGCTGTGCGCCGACGAAGCGTGATAGCGCCTGGATGTCTTCACCGGCTCTGCGTTTAGAGACACTCAATATCAGCAAGCCGTGCAACAAGCTTAAAAACGGATCAACGGGAATGGCCATACCCAAGTACTTCCTCTTCAATCTTGGAAAATCTTTGTCTCTTTCTCACACCTGCTCTTGAACCCTGGGAAGTAGAATCCCGTCGTCCGAGGCGATCCACCAAACGCTGTAGGTGGGCTAATGCACCATCAGCACCGCGAAATCCCAAATTGACTCTTATGTTCCACTGAACGTACCTAGACGCCGCTGGACTTCGCCCGCTTTGCTCTGCACAAAAAGATCGACCCGTTCATGCTGATCGACCAATTCAGCGTAAAACTCCTTTTCAAATTCCTGCAGCTCACTCGAATCCTCGTCGCCACTACCGGGGATGGGAATGGTGCTCGAACGCTCCCGGCTCGTTCGGACCTTGATCAGGTGCTTCAAGTCATTGTAATCGACATTATCTAGACATTGTCATTTCTGCCATTAGCCATCTGAACGAAGGCATCCTCGTTATCGACACGACAATCAGTGAACGTACAGGAGCCCCATTCGGGTATCGAACGCTGCGCGAGCGTATTCCCGTATTTCATAGCCTTTAGCAGCCTTTTGGCGGAATTCCTCAGCTGCGGCGTGCTTGGACAAAAAGCAAGGGAGGCGGGTGAGATGAAGAAGGGGGGGGGGAATTGAGTCGGTCGGCTGGTGCGTTGAGCGAGGACTGGGTGGGTATTTGAGTCCCTCCGGCCGCGTCAATCCTGGATCCGGCGATGGTGATGGATGATGTCAAAAAAGCCCTGGCGCGGGGGAACAACAATTGTGGAAATGTCAAACACCAAGGTGGTTGGGGTGAAAAGAGAGAATGATTCGTGATTTGCGAAGAAAACCCTGAGCCGTTTCTATAAGACGGGGCAATTATGATCTGGCTGCTTGTGCGTGTTGTGTTTCTCGCATCATTCTCTCCTGCGATCACTGCACCCTTATCTCCTGCCGTGTTTCTACGAGAATGCCTTTGGCCGAGTACGGCATATCAAGTAACAGTACTTGGCTAAGACCCAAGCGGTAGATATAACCAACGGGGCGACGGGTAAAAAGACCCGCCACAGAGACCAAGTAGACCAGAGTCCTACTCACGTTCACGCTACCTGAACCCTTTTACCTAACAACATCTACACTTTGGTCATAAGAACCAGTACCCATCAGGGGAATGACCGGGCAAAGAAAAAAAAAGGAAAAGAAAAAAGAGGTAGACGGCTCTAGGTATGACCATTGCTCGTCCGAGTCACAAGAACCAACGAGGTCAAGTCCGCGAAGACGCCAGAAGGACCTGTTCGGCACGAGCCATGCACGCTCCGTCGTTGAACCTAAGACAATGGTCAGTGACATGGTCCGAGATAGAGCACCTCTAGTGTAAGGAGGATCATCAAACCCAGTGGGACCTGGACGGTCTGTTCTTCTGTCAAGATCGACCTTTGTGACACCAATCAGCGCAAGCGAGAAACTCCAGGTTGCTTGCAGAAGAGCCTTTCCCTGGTTCGCTATTTCGCTTGCAACCAAAGCCAACCAGAACACTGTAAATCGTATGCACTCAGGTGCTTGAACCCCTGAACAAAAACGCTTTTACATTCCGATTTCAGTCGTAAGTCCGAGCAACTCTATAGTAGGAAGGCTTTCCCACGCTCGCGTCCATGGGACTAATGCAGCAGAGGAAGGGAAAAGGAAAGTGTGTAAACAACACGCAGAGCAGAAGATAGAAATGCAAGAAAAAAAAAAAAAAAATAAGGGCACACATTAGCCCACCATAAAAAGAGATCGAGCGCCCCAGAGGCGCCACGCTCCGCTCCGGTGTCGCTCTGTCGGCGCTGTCATTTGTCGCAAGGCGAGTCATGGTGAAGCTTCAAGCCGCCAACACTGTGTTCCGGTATACTTAGTACGTACTGCATGGTCGGGCTCCACCTTTTCTTGCTCCAATGTCTTCCAGTCATCCATGCACATGCATATAACTATCGCTGTCCTGGCGAGAAGAAAGCGGAGTATGTGGCCCTTGCTTTTTTCCTTCTAATTTTTCCCCTCCGTCTCTTTTGCCAAAGTCTTTTTTTTTTCTAGACTCGCGCCGTTCGTCTACGGAGTCTGTGAAGCCGCCGGCGCGGGAACGACGGCCCTTCGCGCTGCTAAAACCTGACTCGTCAGTATACTCCGTAGTAGTGTTGCCTGTGCCGACTTTGAGGGCTAGACGCGGCTTGCATCGCGTAGAGGGACCCTACTCGTAGAATCACGGATGCAGTCGGTTCTCTTCGCCTGCGCTTTCGCTCCCGAAGAGGGCAGTATCGGAGTACCTACCTATACGTAGACACATGGGGAGCTCAAGAATCATGAGAGATTGATCAACCATTCGACATCAGACTATCGCCTCCACATGCCGTTGTTCTATCCTAATTCGTGCAGGTGCAGCCGCCAAAACGGCCATGGGCATGGGTTCCAGGGGAGAGCGCGAGGAAATGCAGAAGGGAGAGGGCATCACCAGTGCTCTTGCCTCGGAGAATTTCCGGACGCAAATGCGTTGCAGTACAATAGCTTTTCGAAAGTGGTGAGCTGCAGATCATAGCGCCTTGGTTGTTCGAACGAGATGCATTAGTGAATAGCAATATTATAAAACAATTCACAAATTACAATGCTCATACGGTTTTCCTCGGGGTATCCACTCCGTCACCACTACGTACAGAACCTTTTCAAACCCGCTGCAAGACAGGGGGCTGGCCATCGAAGAGCTTAGCACGCAACGGTCAGGACAAAAAGACGAGGAAAAAACATGGTTCCAGACCATGCTTTGTGGAACCTACCAAACTTGCAAGGTAGGCCCTGCTGCGGCACAGCCAACGCTCTAGTCGAGCTTAACCCCACTTCAACGCCGAGCTCTACGGCAAATTCCAATAACCATTGAACGGGAAAGACCCTGATGTCCTATTCATCATGTCACGCTTTTCAGTTTTCGTCTGAGTTGCTGAGTGGATTGACTGACGCGCACAAAGTGGCACGCGACAGAGGTGGATGCTTATGGTGCCTATATTGCTTGTCATGATGCTGATCCGAGTATTACTGGTACGAGATCTCCGACGACACCAGAAACCTCTGAAGTCCATTTCGATATCCCATTTTGTCGTGAGTCGAGTCTCAACGAAATGATTCATCTTCTTCTGTGTTCACTGTCTCTCATGAATGCTGGCATGGAATATAATACATTATCAAAACCGCTTCAGTGCTTCAATGGAGCTTGTGGCTCACCGAAGCCCCTTATGCTGATCTCAAGGTCAAAATGACATCTAGGGGACCCATGGTGGCTGTGAAATAATCCTTCATGCCGGGTGTCTGTTCGAAGCTCTTGATACTCTTCTCAGCATTAATAAACTGAACGTCAAACTTGCGCACGATGAGCGAGACCATCATTCGGAGTTCCATATACGCGAGCGGCTTGCCAGCACAAGAGTATGCACCCAAGGAGAAGGGGAGATACGCGTCTTTACGAAGTATCAACTCGGGCTGGGTCGTCCATCGTTCCGGTATAAATTCTTCGGGGCGTACAAAATTGCGAGGATCTAATCCGCTCTTCGTATCAGCTATATTCGGCAATGTAATTCAACGGATGAGAGGAAAGAAAATGAAAAATCAACGGACCTCGATGAAGGGTATACGTTGGGGTGGAGACAATGGTATCTCCGGGGATCCACTGTCCTGCTATCATGGCGCCTTCTGGAGGCGTGAGCCGATACATGCCGCTAGGGACTGGTGGGAAGAGGCGGAGTGCCTCTTGAATGACACCTTCTAACAACGGCTTGCCGGTGACCAACGAGTGCTGGAAGTCAAGCTCCGAGGTAAATAACGGATCGATTTCTGCTTGCAGCTCCCTGAACTTGTTCGGATGCTTGGAAAGCAGGTAAAAGATAGCGGCAAGTGCATTGGCAGTTGTATCGCTACCAGCAATAATGGCTAGCTCCGTGTCAAAGACTAGGTCTCCCTGACTGACGGAGGGATCTTTGTCTTTCTTGGAGTCATCATCGATTAGGTAGGTAAAGAGATCCGATTGCTCAGACTTGACCTACGAAGAAACAGGATATTAGCTTTGACAAGCCAACTTTCGATTGGTGGCGATGCTGGAATACCCTTACCTCACGGCGTTCATTAAATTGTTGAGCGCACCACTCGATCCATTCTGCCCGCTTGCTTCTCACAATTGGAAGATTCTGGAAGAGAATGAACAGCCATGGCACACAAACAAGGGCACCGACCAAGGGGTTGATTTCGTCAATCTTCTTCATAATCCAATGGTTACGATTGCTGGAGAGCATGTTGTACGATTTGGCAAAGGTTAAATCACCCATGACGTCAAAGCCGAAATTATCGAACCATTCATTCAGGTTTGTAGGTTTCGAGTGCAGCTCAGACAGTTTCGCAAGCAACTCCAGGCAGTGCTGCAAAATGCGGGGTTCATAGCCGTTCAATGCTTTTTGTGGCGGACCATCTCGTCAGAAAATGTACACTGCATTCTGCGAGAGGAGAAGGGTCATACCTTTAGTTCCAAAGCCACGGTCCCAAATTCTTCGACGCTGCGAATGGAAAGGCTTATCTCTCGTCATTTGCAGAGACCGCGCAGGAGAGTTCAGATCATAAAACGGCCCTTTGCTACACTTGGTGCCTGGGCCATGCACGTCCCGAACAGCTACGGGATCATTAATGGAAATTTCACGAGGCCCTAAACAACAATTAGATTTTCGGTTCTAAAAAGTGATGCACAAGCTGAAGCAAGACTCACGGATGCGGACGAAATCGCCAAACTCTTCATGGAGATGCTGGACCTTGACATGCCAATGGAACCCTTGAACGCTCTGCTTGAGTGACCAAAAGGCTGACAATTTGGCTGCCGTGGGGCCCGCAAAGCGCTTTAGCGGATGCCACCATAGTCGGTAGACCGCGATGCTACCAAAGAGTCCCGTCAGGTAGCACGCTCCCGCAACCACTGAAAGAGTCACTGCGGGAACGATAGCCATGCCACAGACTCGGATCAGAACAGGGCCAAGGGACAGACCTGCGAGCAGATGAACGACAGCAATACGAGGAGCATATTTTTCCCATTCGCCATGAATAAAAACCGCTAAATGGGTCAACACTCCTGCGCCTACAGCGGCGAGAAGTGGGAGTGGATTGACCATGGCGGCGTAGGGAGAGTTGGTGCACAAAGCCCCTAACGAGCAAAGGAACGGGACGGGCCGCTTGGTGTTTGTCGAGCGCCCGTCGTTGTGCGGGACGAGAAGAGCAAATTTATGTAATCTACCGAGCTTGTGTGGGGAGAAACGAAGAGTTCAGGTTCGAAAGACAGTCCGATACCTGCACGTCCGTGCTACCTACCTGGTTAAGTTATAGCATATACCAACCCCTCGCAGAATAGAAATGTTTGCACACAGTTCAGGAAGATGGACCCATATAAGAAGGGGCTCAATAGCAGAAAGTTGATGACATGCAGTTGGTGGGGCATCCAATGACCTAAGGCGATCAACCGTCGCGTATTCTTATCGCTCTTTTGTAATCCCTTTTCTATCCCTAGTTTACTGGTGGGGTGGTGTCAGATGCACCATACCGAATGGCAATAGAAGGCCGAAATAACGAACCGGTAGGTGGGCAACCATGTGGTTGCCCGCACTACCTTAGGTACGGAGTAGTACGCGTGGTACGTTAGTGACCGCAGTAGTGTAATAACGTAACAGCTAGCATGCTCTTTCCATGATGAGGATGATCACGACTTTTCTCCCACGCAATGTCCAAGCTTTGATGCTTCCCTTTGTTAGTCTATGGGCCAGAAAAGGTAATTGATGTTTGCTCTCGGACCCTTCCAACGCCTCTCGCTACTCCAAGTCAAGACAATTCATGGTTCACCACAGCGCCCACATACACACCGTACACCTGTATAGTTGAATTTCTTCTTATTCCCCCCCACCCCCATGATCAAGCCATGGGGGCCTAGACTAACTACGAAGACCCTTGGACCCTTTTACTCTCATCCATCCTATCGTTGCTTGTCATTTGGATCCTACGCCCTTCTCCCCCAACCCTCATCCCACCACACCGTCGTTAACATCAACACCACCATCACCTCTTTTTCCTTTCACATCACATACCTCTTCCTATGTTGTCTGTCCATCAGTAATTCATATTATCGTCACCCTTTTGGTTCCGAGGTGACTGTAGACTTAAGACAAGCAGAATGGCTTCTTCACCACTTCCATCATCGAGTGTCGATCATGGTAGAGCTGACTCCCAGCCCACCACGACGGCAGAGCCTTCAAAAGATCCGATACCATCCTCCTCTGCTGCCCAGCAGCATTCCACCTCGGGCCCAGCGTCTGCTGCTGCATCCCCACCTGCCGCAGCATCACCCGGTCTCACTAGTGGCACCGTTACCCAGGGCGTCATTGAACCAGATGTATGCCTAATTTTCGTTCTGCCATTCTTCTCTCTGCAAGCTTAGAGCTCTTGGAACCATCGTGACTAATTCAAAAATAATGTTGATTAGGTGACTCCAGCCGACGACTCTGCCAGTGACGCAGACTCTGGCGTGGGAAGCGATTCGTAAGTGTTTCAAGCATAAAGAACTCTCTCTCATTATAATACAAATCCATCGACTAACGAAAGAACTGCTGATGCAGTCAGAGTATTCTGACATCTTTGGCATCAACTATTACCAATTATGTCTACAAGAATGGGCGTCGATATGCAGGATTCCGCGAGGGAAACTATATTTTACCCAACGATGAGGTAGGTCATCTATTTGACCATGGGCCAAGACCGAAAGCCACTGACAACAATCCCTACCAGTTGGAATGTGATCGGCACGATCTATTGCAGCACATTTACCGCATGCTCTTTGGCGGCGAATTGCTCTTTGCGCCTATTGGCGACAACCCCCAGCGCATGCTCGATATCGGTACAGGTACCGGCATCTGGGCCATGGATCTTGCCGAGTACGTTACCTCACAGAGCCATAAGTTACAGGGTATAAATTCGAAAGCTGACTATATTGCAGCATGTATCCTTCTGCCGAGGTGATTGGTAAATATTCTTTATTTCCCCTGTCTGCAGGAGGGATTGCCAATACCAATTTCTAATTTTTTTTTTGTCTTTTGGACAGGCACGGACTTGTCGCCCATTCAGCCGAAATGGTGTGTCATCCTTCATTATTTACGACCTCTACTTTACAAATACAAAGACTGACCACTGCTCAGGGTCCCGCCAAATCTCCAATTCGAAATTGACGATGCTGAAAGCGAATGGACCTATCAACCGGACACTTTTGACTTTATTCACTTTCAGAATTTAACCGGTGCGATTCGCAATTGGCCGAAGCTCCTCTCTCAGATATATACGTAAGCTTATCTATTTTTGTTCTAACAAAAAAACGACACAGAGCCACAATATTGACGTTGGTCAGACATCTCAAACCTGGAGGCTGGGTCGAGGCCAAAGAAGCAGACGTTATCGCCCAATCAGATACCGGCAGCATTCCTGCCGAGAGTGCGCTGAGGAGATGGGAGACCAATTGTATACACGCGGGTAATTTGATTGGACTCCAGCTCGAATCGGCCCGTAAGCTTAAGCAATGGATGGAAGAAGCCGGATTTGTGGACGTTGTAGACCGCGAATACAAGCTTCCCTCGAATCCATGGCCCAAGGATGAGGAGATGAAGCTCTTAGGGAGGTACCAGCATGCGCAGTATATGGATGCTTTGCAAGCATTCGCCCTGGGATTGCTAGTCGATGTCTTGGGCTGGACTCGCGAAGAAATGGAGGTCTTTTTGGTCGACTTGAGAAAGGATTTGAGCAACCGGAGGTTCCACGCATTCCACGTCATGTACGTGCTCTTTTATCTTCCGACATGCTTTTTGTTGATGCTGACAAAACCTTGACGCAGCCACGTCGTGAGTGGACGGAAGCCGGAGAAGGCATGATTGAAGTTTGGCTGGGTCATGAGATGATGAGGTTGTGAAAGTATAGCGGTGAAGAGTCGGTAACTCTCTTCTCTCCGCTGAAACAGAGCTTATAATAAGCGCAACATCTCCAAACTTTCTCTCACGATCCAGCGTTTCTTTTCGAAGGGGGAAAAAAAAAATCAATAAACCACAATCAACGCTGCATGAGGTGACCCTTGTATGATCACTGAGATATGCTCGGAGGTAGCTGTCATGCTCAAGGCGTTAGGAGATCGCGGCAAGACGCATTTGGAAGATAAGACCAGAATTTCGGGGGCTTTTTGCTCATTGAAATTATCGTTTCAAGACTTTTGTTTAAATTTGGAGAGTACCTTTTTTACTTAGACGTAAGGATAAAATTTCAGTATACCAAAGCGACATGATTGTTCCACGACTGTGCATAGGTACGCTGATGAGCAGGTTACCTTTCACAGGATGGTCTTCTTGTTTACAATCCTCGCTCAAACCTCGGACCAAGCACCACACATGATGCCAGAGTCCTCTGTACTTGAACCCGTAAGCGAGGATCTTCGACTGCTATTGGCTTAATTTGTACGGAGCATCTTAAGTTATGAAGGTGAAACGGAAAACTCCGCCCAAGCGAGAAAGATCCGTGCATTTTGTCATGGCCGAACGGGGAAAAAAAGTTACGATGATACGCAGAGGCTAAGGACGGTGAAAAAAAGGCCCAATACGACGATCCAAGGCCCTGTCCGGTATTGGATCAGCCATACCTCACAGGCAGCAGATTTTTTTTATCTCTTTCCTTTTCCTGCTCAAGGAGGGGTTGCTTGAGCGCTGATTATTCTATCACGATTCCAATTGCAACCCCGCGATGACGGGCAGCTCAAATTCATCAAACACCTCCCACACACTCTCTGCAGAACCGCCAGTTCCCGCCATGACGGATACGCACCCATCTTCGATGCAGGCGCTGGTGGGGACGCTGTCAGGATCACCGTATACTTTCCTGCAGCCTCCGAAGAGTTTGCACACGGCGGCGCTTGTTTTGACAAAGCGTTACCTTGATCCGCTCGCGGCCACCATCAGTGATGCACATGCGCAGCGATTACGAGATGCGCGCAAAAAGCGCAAGCGGGGTGATTACGAAGATGTGCCAAGCAAACCGCTGCAACTGAATCAGTTGTACCTCGAGGGGTTTGAGATGCCCCAAGTCTGGGAGCAAGCCCGACGAGTGCTAGACGCGACGAGAGGAGAAGTGGAAAAGACACTTGCCGAGATTCCTCAGCCTAATGCCGAGGCCGATCGGCCAAAGGATTTGAAGATGATGAAGTTCGATAAAGATGGCTTTGAAATGAGTGAGTCGGGAGAGGATGACGAGAGCAGCCTTGGGGAAGAGGGCGTGGATTGGGAATACGACGGCGAGGACCACTCTGAGGGATCCCAGGCGTCTGAGGACGAGGAGGAAGAGGCCTCCGCACTGGAGAACGTAGACGACGAAGAAGGAGAAGGAGAAGAAGAACTTGAGGGCTCAGAAGACGAGGAAGACATTGAAGCGTCAGGATCTGGCTCGGAAGAGTCCGATGACGAACCCGCCGAAGAATTTGTCGAAGACAAATTTGGTCTCAATGATGGATTCTTCTCCATTGATGATTTCAATAAACAATCCGAGTTTCTCGAGCGTCAAGACAATGCCGGCCTGAACGACGGCGCTGCCAGTGATGAAGAGGAAGAAGTTGACTGGGACGCTGACCCGCTTTCTACTCAACCTACCAGCTTCGGCAAAAAGGGCACACCAAAGGCTGCTGCTGATGAGGATGAGGACGAGGACATGGAAGATGGTGTCGAAGAAGACGACGATGATGAGGAGGAGGGCGGCCCGACCTTTGGCAACGTGGACCTCAACGCCCCAGAAGGCGCCAGTGACGAAGAAATGGAAGACGACCTGGACGAGCAAGACCACGGCGGCGACAACACCAACGATATCATGTACGAAGACTTCTTCGGCCCACCTGCGCGCAAAGCAAGCAGCAACAAGAAGAAACAAACCAGGGTCAAGGCTAAACGCGCCGCCGAGGATGCCGCCGCTCAGCCAACTCCTCGGGCTCACGGCGAAGGCGACGACAACCCGGAAGAAGACGAGCGGTACATGCAACGCACCATGGACGCCGTGCGACGTGACCTCTTTGATGACGAGTTGTCCGGCTTCGACAACGACGAGGGCGCTTCTGACGCTGACGCCGACGCCCTCGACCCGGGTGACCCTCGATCTCGTCGCTCGACGCACGAACGGCGCCAGGCCAAAATCGCTGAAGAAATCCGCCGCCTCGAAGCCGCCAATGTTGCCAAACGCGAGTGGACACTTGCCGGCGAGGCGCGTGCCGTGGACCGGCCCATGAACTCTTTACTCGAAGAAGACCTCGAATTCGAGCGCGCCGGCAAGCCCGTGCCCGTCATCACCAACGACATCACCGAGGACATTGAATCGATGATCAAGCGGCGCATTCTGGCGCAGCAATTCGACGAAGTCCCGCGTCGCAGGCCCGACGATCTGGCCGTCTCCTCTTCCGCCCGCCGCGGCCGGTTCGAGCTTGAGGACACCAAACCCCAACAATCCCTCGCGGAAATGTACGAGCAAGACCACCTCCGCCGCACCGACCCCTCGTACGTCGACCAGCGCGACGAGAAGCTCAAGGCCCAACACACCGAGATTGAAAATCTCTGGAGAGACGTCTCGGCCAAACTCGACGGCCTTTGCTCCTACCATTACCGTCCCAAACCCGTCGCCCCGTCCCTCAATATCGTCGCCGATGTCGCTGCCGTGTCGATGGAAGACGCTCGTCCTACGGCTGGCAACGACGTCGCTGCTGCGTCCATGCTCGCGCCCCAGGAAATCTTTGCCCCCGGTAAAGACTCCGCGGGCCAGGGCGAAGTCGTTACCAAGTCCGCCGCCCCAGTCGCCAGGGAGGAAATGACCCGTGAAGAAAAGCTGCGTCGCAGAAGACGCGAAAAGGAACGCATCAAGAAGAGTAATACCAACCAAGGCACTGGCGCCTCCGGCGCGGCCCAAGGAAACGGAGCTCAGCCCCAGACAAAGACTCAGAAGAAGAAGGCCGACGAAAGTAACGTCCTCGGCCAACTGAAGAAGAGCGGTGTCAAAGTTATTGGCAAGAAGGGAGAGCTGAGAGACGTGGAGGGTAAAAAGGTCGCTATGGGCGGAGAGAGGAAGAGCACTGGAGGCAACTTTAAGCTATAATAGGCATACAGCTTATTGTGTCTCTGATTAGAACTTTCTTTTTCTCTTTCAGGGCGCTTCTAAAGCGGATTACTAAAAGCAGAATTTTTTTTTTTCCCCATTAGCATTTTCACAATTAACGGCGCTAGATTATCAGTTATGTTTGGCACTTGGGATCGAGATTCAATGTAATGTAATATATTGGATTTATATTATATTGCATTGCGTATACACTACGCTTATACATGAAGCTTTGGTGATGAACATGTAAAAAATCTTGTAATCTATGCTATTTTACTCTGCTTTAGTAAGTAATATCAAAAGAATAAAGCAAATATAACAAGACAATAAAGGGACCCAAAAGAAGAAAACAACTCTTATAATAAATCATCAAAAATACACCAAGCACCAAAACAAGACGCAAACCCCAAACCCCACCCCCGGGGGCAAAGCCAACAAAGATAAACAATCTAAGACGTTATCACATACTAATCACTCCCCATCCATAATAATAACCTCCGCCTCTCCCGTCCCTATCGACTCTACACTCAAGACGTCCCCCGCATTCACGAGCGTCACAAACGCGCCATCGCCCTCGCCCAGTTCCTGGCGCCCATCAATCCGGACGCGTGCCCCGCCGTTTGCTGTCTGCGGGATATGGACATAGACGTGTCTATTCTGCCTCGAGCGTATCGCCACCTCTCCCTTTCCCTCCTTTCCTTCGTTCCCTTCCTTTCCTTCGGGGTCTCCTCCAGGATTGCTTCCAGCAACTGTCCCAGAAGCATCACCCACTCCAACCCTCCACCTAAACACCCCGCGCGGCGCAACGATGCCCGCAGCGACAAGCATATCCGCATGAATCGGGATCGTCCCCTCCACGCTGGGCCGCGCTTCCTTTTCTTGGTCCCTCGTGGCCGCTACCCCGGCCTTGAGCGGACTAATCAGGGTGACAAACTTCTCGCGCTTCGCCGCCTCGTCAAACGTCATGGTGTGATATGTTGGCGGGAGTCCCTTGCGCCAGGGCAGGACCCAGATCTGCAAGAAGTGCACCTCGCGTTGGACGTCTTCGTTCATTTCCGAGTGTGCGATGCCCGTGCCGCCGGTCGTGAACTGCACGTCGTTGCGCTGCATGTTGTAGTATTTGTCTTTGCCTAGGCTGCTTAGCGACTGGGCGTTGTTGTTGTCATCTTGGGTCCCAGCACCACCGGACGTCATGCTGTCTCGGTGCGTCAGGGTCCCGGAGAGAATATACGAAAAAATCTCGGCGTCGCGGTGCGGGTGTGTGGGGAACCCGGACTGCGGGGCGACGCGGTCTTCGTTGAGCACGCGCAGGCTGCCGAAATGCATGTACGCTGGGTCAAAGTACCCCGCGAACGAGAAGGTGTGGTATGAGTTGAGCCAGCCGTGGTCGGCGTGTCCGCGCTCAGAGGAGCGGCGGGGGACGATCTTGGCGTGCGTTGCTGCTGCTGCTGCTGCTGTTGTAGAAGACATGGTGCGGGGTGATTGAGGGTTGAGGAGCGGAGATTTAGACAATGATAGGACAGATGCGATGATGCCTGGTTTAGATGATGCAGTTGATGCAGCGTTTCTCAGCATAAAGCTCTCTTCCTTTGAGACGGAGCTGTTTATGCCCGAAAGCGGAGGGTTGTTGTTATGTGAAGGCTCCACGTTTATAGCTCCTCGACTCGAAGACACGAGGAGCAGCGCAAGGACAATGGCGATAAATGCACAGAAGGCCTTGCGGACGAATTGGGATTTGGACTTGAGGCGCTTTCTTTGATCAGTCTTTGCTGATACGGTTGTAGCTGTTGTCGGCCTGGCAATTGACTTCTGAAATGTCTTTGTACTAGATCTCGGTGTTGATGTCAATGAAGAAGCAGAATCCTCCAGACAGGACATATGAGAGGCTTTATATATATCCCCGATTCCGTCAACTCTTTTCTTTTCTTTTCTCGACGATGTCTTTCCACCCGGTCTTAGTGACGGATGACAGATATCGGTGTCAGGATAGAGTAATCACACTTGCAAATAACTTTTCCCGCTGGACCAGTACGAAAACACAACAACGTCAAAAGAATTGTAAAATAAAAGCTCTATTTAGAATGTAATGGAAAGATTCTGTAAGCTGAATGGGAATTTCAAAGCATATATACAAGAAAAAGACCTGCGCTAATCTTTTTAATCATATGGCTCTTTTTATTTTTTCAAAAGATGACTATTCCATATCGTGGACTGGTGGTAAACTTAGCGTGTTATTCATGCTTGAGTAAGTTCGGCGTAAGGAAGGGGAAAGGGAAGGATATTCCGCACGCGGAATGAAGCGCGGCGGGGGAAGCGCGGGGCTTAGTCCGAAAGAAGAATAGGGAGCCCTCGGAGCAAGGAACACAGAGGGTGCAGTGCGTTCGTCGTGGGACACATTACTCAGCAATACTCAGCAGTCTAACCACTTGTACAAGTCTTCTAAGAGTCACGTAATCATTTCATAAACAACGAGTGAAACGTAGGCCACGAATGTTTGGAAGTTTCTTAGTTATAAGATTGTCCTATCTAGCTATATTGAGCAAATTTGATAAGAGAGTTCGATGCTTGATCCAGCACCGCATGTCCAACGGGTCGGGCTTTCTCGACGCTGCTGAGCCCAGACAAATTATTCCTCGGACAATTTCACTGCGCTTGACCGGCAAGGTTGATTGTGGATGTGACGGTTTGATGGAATGTCACATTGAAATAGTTGCTACATCCGTTTGGAACGAATGTGTTTAATCGCTGGTCGGTTCTGACTTGAGGACCAGCCTCAAGCTTTAGATCGATTAATAAAGAGAATATTTGGCTGAAAAGGTGTAATTCTTGGGTGCCATCAAATGTATAAAATTCTAATGACTAACCCGAGCTTCGATGACCACATAAGTCGGAGGGGTAAAGGGAGGAGGAGGAGACGAAAAGGTGTAAAAGTAAATATGCTTTTCCGAGAGGCCGCGCCTCCATTGAACACCGCGATAACGCCGAGCGCTAAATAATTCGATGAGATAGAAATGTGATACTGCAGAAACGATGCAAAAGGAGCTGCAAGCGCTCCACAACGAGGGTATAACCAGCCATTCGAGTCAATAAACAGTTCAGACAATGGCGCTCTTTCGAGGACGCCCTGGAGCACGCTTCCTGGGAGGCCGGTCATTTGTTGCTGATGCTGACTGCTGCTCTGCGGCAGGCGGATGAGCAGTCCTTGCGGCCCTTTCCATTCTTTTCGGCGCAGATGCAGGAGTTTTCGTAGTGGACACTGCTTCGCGAGATCTTATGCTAGACCTGGTGGTAGAACTATGCGCAGCATCAATCTGAATAATAAGATTTGACAACGTCGTTCGCGTCGGCGTCTGTGGGGTGCCTTCACTATTTGACTGTGGAGTGGGAGGACGTGCACCGGCACCGACAATCCGAATAGCCTTTCCTTTCATACCGGGACGGGAGAAAATCGATCCCCTCGGACCTGACGCAGGAGGTAAGGACTTGCGCATGCTGGGGATCTCTTCGCTTGAGAGAGTTTTCCGTGAGACCTTCACAGACTCTGGGATCTCGGGATTAGATAATTCAGATGTCATTCCATCTTCGCTATTAACTCCGTTTGAAAGAGAACCGTTTTCCTCGTGAGGGCTGGAGGGAAGACCGAGCTCCTCCTCTGCCCATCGAGCTGCTTCGAGTTTTGCCAGACGGTTTTCTTCGGCCAGCCGGTCTCGTAATGAAACATTGCTTTCCTCGTTGTCATGCCTAGCTGTCGCTGGTGAGTGAGCCCTTGAACCCATCTGCAGTTGGAAATCATCATCCATGTCTATATCCTCAGGCTCTTGAACAGGAAGGGCCTCGTGAGTACAGATTGCAGGGCTGCTCTTTCTCTTCTTCCGGGTTCGTTGCGGCAGTTCAGCGGGCGTCTCAGCTTCGTCTTGATTCTTTCGAGCAAGCCATGCCGATTCTCTACGTCGCTTACGAGGAATGTTGTCGGCGTCTTCAGCTGTGGGCTCATTGCCTATTGCTTGAGATGATTTTCCGGGATTTTGAACTTTTGCAGAGTCAATATCTAATTGTTGTGATCCATCTAGGTCATCCCCAGATATTTGTTGCTTTTCCTTGAGGACCTTTCTGCGCTTTGCTGCTGGAGCAGCTTTGCTAGCAGTCGCCGTCTTATCCTTTGGAGGACGACCGACCCTTCTCCGTTCAGTACGCTCATTCGGTTGAGTCGGGGGAGTCGGTGGAGTCAAGGGAGGTGTGGGTTCCTTATTAGCCGTGGGAACGTCGGAAACAATAATCGCACGATCCTCTGGTTCGCTTGTGATGCCATCAATCGCTTCAGATGCTTGCCGCGTCCGCTCCACAGCTTCTTGAGCAATCCTTTGCAATCTATCCTTCCCGAGAGATAACTTCATCACCATATGCTTACCCTGCATGGCGGCTTTGGCACTGACAAGACAATCATGCTTTTTGGCCTCTGCTAATATCCGTTGTTTCTGGACTTGCTGGAAGGAGCGATTAGCCTCACTTTCAGCGGGCTGCGGCAAATCGCTATGAATCAGAGCATGCTCTTCCCTGCGCTTTCGCTTTTGGCCTGCTAAAAATACCAACTGCGCTCGCTGTCCAGTTGCATCCTGCTCCTGCTGAGGCTGTGGTTGCGGTGCCGAGGAATGACCCGCGTTTCCTGGCAGAAATGCCTCCTGTTCTCCAATTGTAGGATCGGGGTACTGATAGGTGATGGCATTTGGGTCGATCCCATGGTCCTGAACAAAGCGTCCGTCCTGCCGAATCATAAGCGATTCCGGGTTTGCAGATTGGGAACCACTCTCTTCATGAAGCAGCTCAGGCAGGCCCCGACCCAATATTGGATCCGGCCTGTCAGAAATCAGGTTTTGTGCAGATCCGTTGTCGACAAAATTGCCAAAGACGCCATTCTGCCGACTGTTGACGGGAGCACCATCTAGCATGGCAGAAACTGGCGGTAGCGGGAATGTATTGTTAGAGGGCAGAGGTGGTGGAGGTCTGACTTCCACCTCCGTGGCTTTGCTTCCGGCAGGCCTAGGACCAAAGCTTGGGAGTCCACCAGCAGCGCTCAGTAGCGGATCGATGGGAATCCCATCATCGACTGGCTGCGCTGTAGAAACAGGTTGAGCAATCGAAACCGGAGGGGTCGCGTCTTGAGCATCTGCCACAGGAGCATTTGCGCTCGTTGGTGCTTCCCAATCCTCGACATAATGGTCGTCCAGAGTAGGATTATGTGATTTGGCCTGTTCAGCCTCTTCTCTCTTCCGCCGTAGCTGCCCGGTCTCGTGTGGCTCATCCTCTCTGGCAGTGGATTTCAACCATTTCAGATTAGAATGGCCAAAGTCGACCAGGCTCTCGATACTGCGAGCGTCCGCAATCCTTTTGGTATCATGACCGAGAAGTGTACCTCTTGGTTCAAAGGGATTCTGATCCGGATTCTTTCGGCAAGCTCCACAAGAGCAAATCTTCAGACACTTGGGGCAGCGCCAGTTGGGATTCTCCATCACGGTTTGCGGCATGAGATCAAATGCACGAAAGAGACTGCCATAGCAGTAATACAGACCACATTCGCAGTGTGCCAACTTCCACTTCTCTTCTCTGTTCTTGCATATGTGGCAGTTTAGATTTTCCTTCAGCCACTTCTGTGACCGCCGTTTCTTTCTGCGTCGCTTGGGAGTTTCATCGTCTTCGTTATCTAAATCTTCTTCTGGTTCCTCCTCTCGAGGCGAAGGAGGCTTGTTAATGTCTCTCCATGGACGGATCTTCAACTGCTCCTGGCAAATTTGCGCCAATGTTTTCTTGCCCAACCTCTTGCGCTCCTCGTCAAGGGGCTGAGGGGACTTTTCAGTTATGGCACCATCGAGAGAGATGATTTGATGTCGCCAGTCGTCATACTTCTGAACAAGATCCTTCCACTGAAACTGCTCAACCCACTTAAACTTGGACAAGCATCCACAGCTTCGTCCCATCGTGAAGCAGTCCATGCAAACATCGTAATTATCTTCTTCCCCATTCTCCAGAGGAATTATGCAAGTAGAGCAAGTCAAGAAACGATTGAAAATGTTGGACCTACAGTAAGCGCACGTGACGTTGCTGTCAAAGGGGAGAAATTGAACATGCTTCTCCGCGGGCGAATCGGGTGAGAACATCTCTGACAGTAAAATTGTGGTGTAGAGCTTAAACAGGCGTTTAAAGTCTTTGAATAACTGTCGAATTTTGGGACTGCGCATGAGATCTCGTTCGGTATTAAAGGCAAAATCTTCCTTGCGCTGAATTTCCACTCGACGGAGCAAGTCAGAGTATTTGTTAAGAGTGTAATAAACAATGGCTTTGTTCTTATATTGCTCATCACGGCATACCATGCGAGCGCGCGGAAGTGCCTCGTGAAGCGCCATCTCAAGCGTTTCCACAGTGGTCCGATTCCATGCAGCCTTCATGGTTCGTGTTCCCCGGTTCCAGACCTGGTGAGGCGCCAGAGGCGGAATGAGGATGAAGTCGCCAACCTTTTGCTCAACAACATAGGTTGTAAAAGGGGCTTGCTTCCAAGCATTGACCTGCGCAAAGTGGGACTCCACTTCGATGTCGTGACCGAGGACAGAGAGCCAGTACTCCGAGACTAAGTGCCGGTCCTTTGACTCGGTCATGAACCAAATTGATGAACCAGGTTTCTCCAGCTTTCCATCTCGAGATAATCCGTTAGAAGCTTCGACCATAATGTTTTGACCAAGGCTCGCGCACATCTCCCGATGTGCTGGCGTGTACGTTCCCTCATGACCAATGTAGCACATCATATTCTCCGCTCGCATGTCAAGGGGTAAACTACTCATGAGGTCACCGGCCCTGGCTATTCCGCGCCCTCTCGTTTTGCCAAATGGACCTTGTTGTGGAGCAATAGTTGATCCAGGACCCCCGAGATCACCTGTTGTCTCATTCAGATAGAAGAGGAACGGAGGTATCTTCTCCTTCAACTTGTCATGCCAAACTTCCGGGCAGTCAATGTCCTTTAAGTAGATTCGCTGGCGATCGGGGTCTTTGTAATTTTTCTCGTTCCACTGATTGGCGAGGACGGGCATACTCCTCAGGTAGTGTGCGATGGTCAAGGGGAGGTCTTCTTGGGTTGTAAGGTTGCGCGACCTCTCGACTGTCACAAAGCAAATTAGTAAAGCATTCTTTGCAAGGAGGGCCATCTCATCACTGACCTTTTTGCCCAAGATTGTCCTGTAGCCATGCCGGAGTGAAAGTCCATTGATCTAGCTGATGGTGAAATCCTTCAACCACCAATGGCTTACCCCCCAGAATGACATGTAATAGTACAGCCTTCTCGAAGGCCTCGATACCCTGCTCCTTGATCAAGTCACAAGGAATGCGGGGTGCATATTGAAAATTGGGCGTTTCCTCCACGAGCTCACTGAGGTCAAAATCAGGTGCGATCGGGTCAAAAGAGGCCCGTGGCAGTTGGGCGGGCATTTTGAGAGCTTGTGCAGGTGAAATATCCAGGGAGAGAGAGGCGGGCGCCTTGAACGATCAAGCTATAGTCATGGCGTCAACAAGAACCCGGTTGGTGAGAAGCTCTCAAAGGTGGTGATGCTGCTGCGCTTTCGCAAGCCAAGAGCGGAAGTGGCTGTTGTTGTTGTTGAGCCTCAAATAAGCAATGGCTGCCAACGATCAACAAGCAACAGAATGGTGAATGCAGCCCAGGTACTTTTTTGGAATCGCGAGTCTCGATTATCATGTGTGAACTGCAGCTCCCTCCACATGCTCGGCCTTTCCGTCGACTTAGTCCCCGACATACGGCGGCCCACAGAAACCTTAACCGTGTAAGCCAACCTCAACACCAAAACATGGAGATCGCGTGTGACTTAATCATATCCATATCTTGAAGAAACACTTAGACTAGGCATCCTCTGGGTCTATTATCATATTCTGTCACGTTTTTTGACAACTTCTTTCTAAAAAAAAAAAAAAAAAAAAAACAATAATTATAAATTCGCCGAAAACAACGGTATAAGACTGCTTCTAATAAATCACAGCCTGCGAATGAGGACGCCTCATCCTCCCGTCAATTCTCGACCCTAGTGCAGTGTCACATGCTCAACAATATTCGCCTTCAAGTGGAATACGAAATCTTGTTGACTCTCTTCTCCAAACTTGTCTCAAATTGCTCAACTCCACGCTCTTGCTCGACCAATTTCCCCTTTCGTAAAACATACACTGCCCTTTTGCATGCCACTCCCCATCGCTTGCTACTTTCATCATCATCATCATCTCCATCGTCCTCCTCTTCATAGTCCTCATCATCAGAATTCTTCTGGATCCCTCGGACTTTACCCTCAACTACTCTGCGAACTAAATACCTATCGTGCGATACTAATAAGATAGCACCAGAAAAGGAGACCAGCGCTGATGCAAGAGCATGAACGGTATCGAGATCAAGATGTGTGCTGGGCTCGTCAAGTATCAGAAGATGTGGGCGGGGATACAGAGTCACAGACAACGCGAGACGGGACTGTTTCAAGAAATGTTAGTTCAATTTCAGAGATTTCCCGTCTTGATTCATGTAAAAATCCGAACGAGGCACCCATGTGGGACTCACTAGCTGTCCGCCACTCAATAGTCTAACCGGAACATCTGACGCAATTCGTCCAGGTAATCCCATCGATCCCAGAAGGGCTCTGACCTCACCTTGAGCCATTGTGCCGCCGACTTCACGCATCATTAGCGCGAGAGCGCTCAGCTCAGGCTCTGCAATTCCTGTAGCGCGGAGACTCTCGGCTGAGTGCTGAGAGAAATATCCTAACTTGAGTCGTGGATGGGTAGATATAGTTCCCCGCCCATTCAGCAGTTTTTCTTGGCCAACTAAAAGTTTCAGTAGCGTGGATTTTCCGCTACCGTTGAGGCCCATAATGCCGAGTCTATCACCAGGATAGATGCTGAAATTAATCTCATTCAGCACGGGTACAGTAGTTGTGCTGGAAGCAGACATCCCAGATCCTGTCCCAGCTCTCTTGAGACCGCGAGAACCAGAAGGATAACCAAATGTTATCTGCTCCATCGAGATTAAAGGCCCTGGAAAACGTAGCTCTGTCAGGTCCGGATCTGGGAACGACATCACAACAGCCTTTTCATCTGCCGGAATTTCGATTGCATCACGCCTTGTACTATGCCACCCGGCTAGGTCCCGATTCAGCTTGAATCGCCCGCCCTTGGCATTAACTTCGATTCCCATGCGCTCGTCGAGTTTGCGCTGTCGAGACTTTGCCATGCGCAATTTACTATCATCACCTGTCTTCTTACCTTGCTTCATGGTATCCCGAATAGTATCCTGCATGTGAGCAGTCTGGCGATCTTGTGCCTCTTGCATGCGGGCCCAGTACAGCTGCTGGGACTTTCGATCATTCTCGTACGCAGATACGTTTCCTCGGAAATAAGTGAGGTCCTGGTCTCGGAGGATAATGGTTTCTTCGCAGACAGCGTCCATGAACGCGCGATCATGCGAGACCAGGATGAGCGTCGTCTCGGAGCTTTCGCGCAGCCGTTTCAGGTAGGTCTCGAGCCATATGACTCCGAGAAGATCGAGGTAATTTGTAGGCTCATCAAGGATCATAATCTCAGGATTCTGAATTAGAATCCCTGCAAGCGTGGCGCGCATCCTCCACCCGCCAGAGAGTGTGGAGTATGACTTGGAGAAATCGTCTTCGGAGAACCCGAGTCCGCGCAGGACGTTGTGAGCCTCACGCTCAATGTCGGGGATGCGGATCTGACTGGCATTAGCCTTGCAGGGACTTCAGCACAGCTCAAAGACGTACAGCTTCAAAATGAGATTGCATATCGCTTAAGAGGTCGACTGCGGCCTGTGTTTCCTGCTGAAACATACTTGGGTCCAGGTCGTCTTTTGATTGACAAAGTCTGCGTTTTCATACTGTGATCAGCTTTCTGAAAATTTCCTCGTTCTTCTTTTTGTGTTGGTATTACTAACAAATCAGCTGAAGCGGTTATTTTGGCCTCCATGGCAAGCAATTCTTTTCTGGCCTGAAGTCCTCTACTGCCGCTGCGCAAGCTGGCATTCTTTTGTGCTAAGCAAAGCTGTGTCTCCAGCTCCTCATGCTTCAGCTGTCGAGAAGCACGGATTGGGTTGAATGTATCATCTGTATCTTCGAACGCTGCAGATAGGACTGTCGCACTTTTAGTCAGTACGAGAAAAATATAATTTGCGGTCTAAAATCCTCTCAAATTTTGCTGAACAAGGGAGGGGTGACATACTGTCAATCTTCTGGGAAAGATTATTCTTGGCCTCATCACTTTGCATGACTTTCTGCAGGACGGTCATATCCTCATTCTCTATTCCAGATTTGGCCGGCCTCGTGTGACCACTTTGATCTTCGTCACCAATCTGCTGAAGTATTGCTATACGGGTAGAATATGGTATGCCGGGAATTATTTTCTCAGACATGGCACGAAGGATTGCTAGTTTCAATTAGTACAATACATAAAGTGTCTCATGCTTCAATTGTGATTCAGAAATAATGCTTATTTCAACTGTCAGCTTTAGCAAGTCGACACATACTAGATTTTCCGGTTCCATTTCGTCCGACGAGGCCATAATGTCTCCCTCCCTTCAAACGTAAATGTGCGTCGGTGACTAGTTCACGGCCCTTGCTCTTCAACTTTGCTTTTATTTTATCCTTGGTCTTTGTCGATGCGGCCTCATTGCTGCTAATATCGTTGCTGTTTTGATCCGCTGAGCCAATTAGTATGCTCAATCCTTGAACATCGACCTATCCGAGCAAAAGATAGTGGATTAGCAAGAGCGAAAATAAGCAACGATTATAAAATGGCTTTTCTTACTTCATTCGAAGGTTTGTCATCAAGCAGATGAAATCGAGTCTGCTTGCAAGTAGCTGAAATGACAGGTGGTGCGGGCATGATCCTTGGAAATGATTGCTTCACGAGAATACTGCTTATGAGAGATGTAGAAAATGTTTCAATATGTTCTTTACTATGTACAAGTTTTGTGCTTTTTGTTTACATGACATTCAATTTCCTATCCTTTTCCAAGAATACCTTATTCTCCTTTTCCCTGAATTGGATCTGTATTTGTATGAAAGAGGCAGTTTTTGAACGGAATTGACTCAGGATGTGCTGAGTCACGGGAAACATATTTCCGGAAATGGAAATATGACGAAGCACTACTCAAAGAGGAATTGGCCGCAGTTTAACCGTATATGCTCTGTACAGTTATACTCATCATGTATTTATAATTCCGCAAAGGCCTTTGCCGTACGCGTGAGCCAATATTACCAACGCGAGAACCCATAAGGCTACATTCCTATATGTGAAATTAATTTCCGGTCGCTATAAATGTTCTGTATCATTCTTTATCCATTGACATTCAAAGAGGATGGATAACTCGAAGATCAGATATGAAGACTTTATCTGACTCGGGACAGTCTCGGACAGATCGGATTGTTCCGCATTGTCCAATCAGAGATGATCGGCCACTTCCGCTCTCAGCTTTCCTTTGTTCGCATTAGCCAGAGAAAGTTAGATTGGAAGGGCAATGGACCAACGGCGTGGCAGATGGCAGATGGACGCTTTGCCGTTTGCAGATCTAGTACAATGCTTGTCTTCCCGTGGGCAGGTGCCGTCTGTACCGGGTCGTCGTCACCAAACAAAGCGAGAGAGACGGAAACATTTCCTCCTAAAGTCGCGCTTTCCTTATCAAAAAAGTTGAAATAAAGTTCCCGTGGCAAGTACCTTTGTACGGAGCTACTCGTATACTCCGTAGCATTTCCTTCCTTGAGGGCCGGAGTCTGTCTTGCCATTCCGCTATCGCTCTTTCCCCACTATGGAATTCAACGCCTTCGGTCCTAACAATTCCAAAGACCGATGCCCGAGTACTAAAATGTCATAATAAGGCGCCCTTTGACTCTTGTATATACTTCGCCGTCCATTTTCATGAACCGAAAGGGTCTATCGGGTGCCTGTAAGTCGCCCGACTTTATACAAAAGTCTCCGGCTGCACATCGGCAAAGTCTCCGACTCATTCGTGACGTCTCTATATCAAATCCATTCCCCCCCCCCCATTTCACATTGTTCAAATCATCTTTCCATTGCATCCAAGGCTCTTTGCATGTGGAAATTTTTCGAATTTCTTTGCGTGAGAAAAAAGTGTTGGTGTGTCTATAGCGCAGCCCTACCACATCAACAATTCGACACCCGAACAATTCAGAATTCTTTCTCCCGGCACATTAACCTCGCTCACTTCCTTCAAGCAATTCATTGAAGCTGGGCATCTCTACTTACAGTTCTTATATTTACGACCGGATGCGTCATTCTCTTAAGCTCAGTTCAGAGTCCGACAAGTAGCCTCTCCACGGAGGCAAAGTAAACACAACACCACGAATCATGTCTGAGCAACCATCATCAGTGCCGCCGCACTTGCAATCGCAGTCGACCAATTTACGCCAGCGTTCGATCGAGTCGACAATTAGCTCCTCGGCCGGCGACGACGATTCTTCTAGTCAAGTCTCGGAGGATGGCGCCCATGGCGACAAATCGTTGACTGGTGATAATGGTGTTGATGGTCCCGACCTAGAAAAGGCAGAGACGGCGAGATCGGCAAAGTCAGCGACCGGCAGCGCGGCTGGAAGACGCGTTTCTCGCATACAGAGCATTGGGAGACGGGCGCCGCATGGCTACTTTACGCATCCGTTGGCAAGCGTAAAGACGGGCGAAGATGTGATTGTCGATTTTGACGGTATGGCAGATCCGTACAGACCTATCAATTGGCCGGTTCGGAAGAAGATTATCACGACGATGCTTTATGGATTTACGACTTTTGGTGCCACATTCTCCAGCAGTGTATACTCTCCCGCTCTCGAACAAATTGCAGAGGAATTCCATGTGAGCCGAGAGGTTACTACACTTGGTATCAGTTTATTGATTGCCGGCTTCGGCCTGGGACCCTTGCTCTGGGCACCCTTGTCCGAGGTCTATGGACGCAAACCGGCGGTGCTGATTCCATATTTCCTGGCCGGCATCTTTTCCTTTGCTACTGCCACCGCCAAGGATCTTCAGACCATCATGATTACTCGATTTTTCGCTGGTGTTTTTGGCTCGGCCCCGATTACCAATACCGGAGGTGTCTTGGCAGATATATGGAGCACACAGCAGCGGGGTACTGCGCTCGTGCTATACGCCTCTGCTGTTGTCGGTGGTCCAACACTCGGTCCTATCGTCGGTGGAGCCATTTGCCAGAGCTACTTGCGCTGGAGATGGACGGAATATGTAAGTTTTTCGGTTTTTTTTTAATACGCAAAGGATTGCATGACTTGTGCTAACTTTTGATGCAAAAGATTACCGGCATCTTTATGATGTTCATGTTGACTTTGGACGTTTTAATCCTCGACGAATCATATCCAAATGCGTTGCTTGTGGCCAAGGCTCAACGGCTTCGACACGAGACGGGCAACTGGGCACTTCACGCAAAGCACGAAGAGTGGGATGTGTCAATTAAGCAAATGTCTCAAAAATTCCTCGTCCGACCTTTTCAGCTTCTCGGAACGCCCATTTGCTTTCTCATGGCAGCGTACGCCTCCTTTGTCTACGGCATCTTGTATCTCTTCCTTGGTGCATTCCCTATTGTGTTCGAAGAGGAGCGCGGCTGGAACCAAGTCGTTGGTGCACTGCCCTTTTTGGCCTTGCTTCTTGGTATCGTCCTCGCTGGATGTCTGAATATTTTCAATAATCGATTCTACGTGCGCGCTTTTGAAGCCAATGGCAACCGCGCAGTACCCGAGGCCCGGTTGCCCCCCATGATGTTTGGGTCTGTCTTTTTCTCAGCTGGTCTATTCGTCTTTGGCTGGACCGGAGCCAAAAACATTCATTGGATTGCGTAAGTAATCCACATGACCGAGTTGGATCATAACTAATATATGGCTAGGCCCTGTATTGGTGCTGTCCTGATGGGTTTAGGCTTCTTTACTATTTTCCAGGTATGTGGAAGTCTTGGGCTAAGAGGAAGTCTCCATGAACATTTCAATTGACACATTACCAGTCTGCTCTTAATTACCTCATCGATACATTTCAGCGATACTCGGCCTCGGCCGTTGGAGCAAACACCTTTTTGCGAAGCTGCACCGCTGCGGCATTTCCTCTGTTTACTGAAGCCAGTATGTCCTGATTCCAAAGATCCCAATTGTTCTACTGTTCCATTTCACTATTCTATTTCCCATTGTCCCTACTGTTCCATTTTTCCTATCCCGTTATCCCACCTTGCGATTTCTATCAAACTGGGTACTGACACATGGGCAGTGTTTCACAATCTTGGCATCGGATGGGCATCTTCCGTGCTTGGCTTTATTTCTGTAGCCATGATTCCCATTCCTTATTTGTAAGTCTCGTTGCATTTTCTTATTACCATTGTTCTTCTCTGTACCATTGCTCTTCTCATTGCCATTCTTCGTCTCGTCATCATTGTTTTCTTCTCGTTACCTTATAACTGTCTCCTCCTTGCGTTTCCGTCCACACATGAAAACAGCAAATCACTAACATCTTCTCAGGTTCTACGTCTATGGCCCACGTATCCGCAAGCGAGGAAAGTTCTCCGCCGAGGTCTTGTAACCGCTTTTCCATAAACACCTTGACCTTTGACCTCTGACCTCTTTCCGTTCGCCCACCTTTCCTTTCTCTCTTCCTACCCTTTCTTGTTCCTCTTCAAGATCAACTCGTCCATAGAAGAGGCCATTTTGAGTTGACTTTGGATACACTTTGCTTGTACTGTTGTTGGTCTTTTTCCGTTCTTGTCTCGACTGTTGGATTAGGGAATCTGCATTCGCACCGCACGGCGTTGGGCCATTATTTGCTGCATTTGAATTCCCGTTTGTTTTTTTTTTTTTTTTTTTTTTTTTTAACTCTTATTCTTCGTCTTCCTCGCTTCCTTATCCATTCATCCAAGCATAGCAGCGCAGCGGAATGGGAAATGGGATTTGGGATACCCTTGGCCCCGGAGTATAGAGTCTTTTTCTTTTTCTCACTTTTCCTGTTGTTAAGTTTTCTTTTCTTCCCTTCTTTGGTCTTTTCGTTATTTTGGAATACGTGACACGCATTGAATTGCATTGCATTGCATACGATGCATACGATGCATACGATGCATTGGATACAAGATACAAGATACAAGGTACACATACAAGACGCAGCATCGAATCATCAGCTCAGCAGCATACCGGTAGATGCCGTAAGTAGCTGACTTTTTGAAACTTCTTTTTGGGAAACGAGCGGACACAAAGCAAGGAACAATGAAGGAAAGAAAGAAAGGAGGAAAGAAGAGTATAATTAATTTAATAATGAGCAGTAAAATAAAAGAAAAACGGAAAAAAAAAAATTAAAACTACATTTTAATTAAACCTTATTGAACTCGATTTACATGGAACGCTTTAAAGATCCTGAAAGTTTCCTTGGGTATGTTGATTCTTGAAGTTACAGACAACTCTTCCCGCCCCCTTCCCCCCTTTTTCTGTCCTGGTGTTTCGTATTTTGGATAGTTAGGATTTAAATTGAGCATGTCGACATACAAACTTTTGAATCACCTTCCCACCTACAATCCGATAATCGGAGAACACTAAGCTACATGACGTGGCATCATTCTCTTGAAACAAATAAAAATAAAACGAAAAAGGACAGAGGGTGGAAAGAAAGAGAAGATCAATCCTCCTCATGGAACCCCATATTGACTTTGCCCGCAACGACGCGGTCGGTGATGCCCGGGATCGCATAGCGGAACCAGTCGTTGCCGTTGACGGGTCGGCAGAGTTCCTGGCCGAGTTTGATGCCCAGGCCTTTGCGCTCTGGGTCGTGGCGTTTGCCGCTGCCCTGGCCGGTTTCTTCGTCGATGAACCCGACGAGGCATTCGCGGTCGATGGAGCCGGCCATGATTTCAGTCTCGGGCGCGAGTTTGCGGCCGTCGAGGTTGTATGCTTTGTTGCCGTAGTCTGTACGGGCGTTAGCTTTTACCGGAAATTAAATTTACAAGGGTGGGGAGTTGAAGCTGGAAAATAATATCAGGTTGGAAAAGAATGAAAAGGAAAAAAAAAGGGTGGGGAGGGAATGAATTGATGAGGTGGTGAGGACAAATATCTGTAATAACATACCCCTGTTCTCTCCACTCTCGGAATCAATATTCTCCTGCTCGTCCTTGCGCCAGGTCAGAGTCGAGCCGCACTGGGCGCAAAAAGTCCGGGACACGCCGGACGAGGAACGAAACTCTTTCAGCGCGCTCTCGTTGGCATGGATATGCGTCTCTTGATCGGTAAAAGCGTCAATGAATTGCGGGAAATCTCGCTCGTCTTCTTGTACTTCGTCCTCGAATTGGTCTCGAGCAGGCAGTACTCCCTTTTTGGCGTCGCCGTTGGCTGCTCCTGAGGTTGTTGATGATGATGATGAGAGGGTTGGTGGTGCACCGGGAGTCTTGTGGATGTCTGTCACCTCAGACGTATCTAGCTGTTTCTTCACAGGCTCGGCATGCATGTGCTCGCTCCTCTCGCCAACAGCGGCGCTTGGCTTTTGCCCAGGTCGCCGCGGATGAGTGGGAAAGGTCGTCGTCCGCATGTAATGGGAGGATTCGCTGTTGGCGGTCCATTCGATCTGACTGTCATAAAAGGAAATAATGTGTGCGACGAGTGCGCCGGTGGCTTTGCGGCATTGCGTGCATTGGCATGATAGAATCATCTGATATGTCTTAGCATTGTAGAATTAAAGTGTTACTCCATCCATAAAGATGGGAAAAGAAAGAGATTAATAGAAGCAATTGTAAACTCTACAAGACTGCATACCCTTGGAGGCCAAGGCGTTCCCTCCCCAAATTTGACTTTATATCTGACGGAACCGCAGAGACATCCTCCGGTAATATACTCTGGACGAGGCCGGGGTTTGGGCACGGTTTCCGCTGTCGAAGACATTTTCTTTGCTAGATACAACGTAGAATGATATTGTCGTTTAGTTGTATAACTCGCTGTAGATGCTGCAGTACGCTGGCTCAACAACGTCCGCGCTGACTCGACCCTGCAGGTAGTCGAATAATAACTCAAGAATCCCCGGCTATGATATGTCCCTAGAGCGTGTCGTCTTAGGTATTGATAGGTTAACCCTGCCGGCTCAGCAAGGCTTCTCAACGGCATAAGCCACGACGTCTGATGAATTGAGTCCTCTTCCACCTGGAGGAGGACTGTGCTGCTACCAATTGATATCCAACAACGTAACAAAAGTTTCAATGAGATTTAGAAGGGCAATGTGTGATCCCCTCAGCAAATCTGGCGATCGAACACTCGCAAAGATGTTCAAGTGACCAAGAAAGCTGATACTCAGCTCAATGAGCTACGAGAAGAGACGAGAGGAATATATATATCCCTAAGATACCCAATGCGAGGAATAAAAATACATGTATATCAGAAGAGCACTTTCTTTGTTCACGAGAGGCCAGGATCAAAGCGACGACAATCCCCGCATCGGGTAAACCACTTTGCACGTGTAATGCGCGTAATAGGCATCTTTCCCGCGTGTGTTGCCTTTGCCTAAAGCCATAAGTCGTAATTGGGAGGATGGCACAGTTCGCAGAGTTGACTATGTCTTGTTCCGGCATGGTAGGCTTACCAGAGCTGTACAGGACTGAAATACGTCATTCTGGAGTGCATATACTCTTTCAAGTCGAAGAGACATTGAGCAGAGGGATACAATAGCGTGGGTTTCTGCTGTTCACATTGTAACTCAATACCGTAGCGGGGAATGGTTCGCTCGAACTCGTGGAGCAAAGCACCGTGGTTAAAGTACGGAGGTAGTTAGGGCGGAAGTCTGGGGGAAAGGCGGGGGTGCATTTCCCCAGACCACTCTAAGCTGTTTTGGGGGGGGGGAGTAAGAGTCAACTTTAGGCGACACCTGCCATTGCCTGCCGTTCAACGACAAGGATATTCAACAGCGACACAGCTAAATGCATTTACTCGATAAGGAAATCTCTTATGATGGTTAATTCTAGATTCATTTCTGATATTGCACATCTTTCTACATTCGGGTGTCGTAGTATGTCATAAAGTAGAGAATAACATGTGAAACGGGACTATCTTATATGAAAAACTGAAAGCGCACTTCATCCATCATATCTTGCGTGTACTTTTTGCTGTATCCATTCTCAGAGCACATTTGCTGATGCTCCAAGGCATTAGATTCTTTGTGAACACTTGCTCCTTTTCCCGAAAGCATTTCGGGGAAACTTGATTCCGGAACGGGTGTCCATGTGGGCGATGCTATCTTGCAAATCTACGGCGTGAGAATGTCTAGCTCGTGAAAACATTCTATTAGCTTCTGCGTAAAAGGGAAAAGGGTAAAAAACAAAATAAATACTTGAACGTACCCTGTTGTAATCATCGTACCTCTTGTCTTTGATATTGTCCCGAACATTATTCGCCGCGGTCTTGATATCAAGCACGCTTGCATGTGCCTTTAGTTGAAGCTTTGACATTGACGACTTTAATCCATTCCGCCGGTTGGGCATTAGAGCCATCGGACTATGCGACGGGAACACAGGTTGGTAGTCCTTGCAAGTTTCAGTAGATCTCCTTGCCTCCTCGAACCAACTTGCAAAATTGTCACCGCGACCACAACCGCTACTGCCGTAACGAGTCCTATCTCCATTCGGTGTCCCATGGCCCTCTGCGGCTCCTCCGACACTGACAGCTTCTTTAAAGCCGGCAGCGCCGTCAGCGCATCCCAAGACCATCGAGGTTCCAGAATACATTGAGTAAACCGAGCTGGTTGGCCGAGGTCCCATTCGCAGACCGACCGGCTGCCAAGGAACACCGCGTTTGCGAAGCGTGCTTGTCCAATTCTTGGGATACGCTGGATCTGGCTCTTCTTCTTCTTCTTTCTCATCGTCGCTGATACGCTCGAGATCGTGCACATCTTCGACCGCGCGAGCATATGCAGCCATTGTTTCGCGAGAAGGACGTCTTTGAACGGATATCTCTTCGCTGCGGTATGAGGCGGGTTTGGTAGCAGGATGAGATGCTTGCTCAGCAGGAGGAGCAGATAGCTGAAATTGAAGGACTGCAGGATAAATCATCTGCGCCGGATCAGCGAGAGACGCCATAGGGCGTGATGGATCCCACGATACCGATGCGACTGTGATTGGAGAGAAGCCACTGGAAGGGGGAATAATTGATGATAGCTTTTCGGAGGGCACAGACGAAATTGAAGAGTCGTAACTCAAATGAGGAAAGTTGCCAGAAGGAGCTGATGGATTAGAGTTCCTCAAAAGCGTAGAATCATTGTCCCGGAAACGACCTGAGTGGACCTCGTAATAGCACCTCTGCGCTTCAGGTAGAGGCGGAAGACTCTTGTCGATGTTGATAGCGGGTGTATTCTCGACTGAATCATGATGATGTCTTGGACGCAACGGCTGAATCATGTGGAGAAAGGTCTCTGAAGCGGGACTTCCAGAAAGTGGGGTACCTGGGTTTGTGTTGACCAGTGACGCTTGCAGGCCGTCATCTGAGAAGCGGGGGTCCGTTCTAGCAAAGCATTCATCCGCCTCCGAGAGTTGTTCAATGATCGATCTTGCTGGGCGAATAGCTTTCTGATTCGAACTTGAGCCAGTGGCTCGGCTTCGAGGAGTATCACAGGAACGCGCCGCTCGAAGACTCTCTTTATCGAAGCGCTCCTCGGTTAAAGCTGACATGGAAGGAGTATTATTCTGGAAGAATGATTGGAATTGCTCGGGTGAATATTCGGGCACGTCCTCCGCGTGATGACTTCTGCTATCGTAAGGGGGTAACGATGACGCAAAGCCGCTGGTGACCGAAGCCTGATTGATGCTATCAAGCTGTGACGGCCTGCGAGTCCTAAGCATGTTCTCAATTTGCTCAAAGTAATGTTCTTGTTCATCACTATAAGAAATAGACAAAGTAGGGCTAGATGGGCCGGAGACATTGACATGATGCAGTGAAGCGTACTGCGTTGCGTTCTCAAAGTACTTCGGTTCCGCAAAACCATGACCAGCATGGAGAAATCTCTTCGGATACTCTCGAGCAGAATGACCACTGGATGCACTAGAAAGTTTGAGGCTGTCGATTTCTGCTACATCGCCGATGGGCTGCACCTTTCCCTCGTGGTCTGGATCGACCGATTTGACATTTTGCTGCCAAGGTGCGGAATCCTTTCTTCCATAAGATTTTCCGTCGAGAAATCCAGTGAGCGATGAGCCGGTGTTAATGGCAGCTCCACCAGGACCAGCTCCTCTGCTATTCGAATTCAGCGCTTCTAAAGCTGCAGAGAAGTGCTGGGCCCTCGTAATGGCGGGTTCTCCATTGTAAGCAGTATCCTAAATGCGCATCAAAATCAATTAGAATTGTGAAGGCCGGTGATTTTAGCAAAACTTAAGCCCGCTCTTACCATTAGAAACTCCATGTCCTCGTTGTTAACTTCGTGCATGTGATTCTCAGTAGAGTGATTAAATTGCTGATCCCAAGGATTTCCCAGTTCCCGAAACAGGTCCATGGTGTGTATCTTTGACAAAACAGGGTGACAATGTAAATGCGCAGTAAAAAAAGAAAGGAAAGTGTTTACAAACGAAGGGGACTTTTTGAAAAGTGCGAAGTCGAGTATATAATTACCAAAAATCATGGGGGCTGGAGAGTGTCTTGTCGCTATTCACATTGTGTTGATTGAGGAGCGTGTTTCAATAGAAGAGTGAATGAGGTTTCCAATGGAAAGTACAATAGACAATAAACAATGCAGCCATGCTCCGTAGAAGAGAAATACGAATAATATGAATGAGTAGAGAATGCAATTCATCGCTTCGGTATGCTGAATAAGTAATTAAAATGAAGAGCGGTGCCAAATTTGGCCAACTCATCAAATGGCTTGAGGTTCTAAAAAGACCCGTAGCAATGCGCCTCCCACAATGCTTCTATTGTTAGATATAATACAGATTGTACAACGCCGACTGACCAAGAGGAATTTTAGTTTGCCTGCTCATTTGGCACTCTTTACCGCCTTGGAGCTCTTTCTTCCGACATTCCAACCCCAGCTTCTTAACACCTTGACAACCTTGGGCGTCACAGCCGCAGTGAGCGGTACGCGGAAAAATATAAAGGATTTGTGAATAGCGTAGGCGAGAGCCAATTGCGTCCAAATACCTGAGAACATTTACATTAGCACCAAATCTTGAAAGCATTTCATAGTAATTGAAAATAGACTTACTTGCTTGATCAGCATCGTTTCCGTTCCGCTTCTTTGCCTCCTCGCCCAGCGCCTCGCCTTGTCCGTCTTGAACTTGGGCTTGATCGACGCCCACAGTCTGCGCTGGAGCATTTTCAGATGAAGGCCAAGGCATCATCTCCTTAAACCACTCCACCGCCGCATGCTCGTATTGACCAATAGCCTCTGCGCCAAGCCACCGGACGGCAAGGAAGCAGAAAGGGAAGTCCAACGCTGAGAGAGCCAGATAGACACCGAGTGCGCACCAGCCATACTCCTTCGACAGTTGCTTTAATCTCTGCGAGAGCGACGGCGCAGGCTCTGGTGATCCAAGATGCGGCGTTGGGTCCAAGTGAGGTTTCGAGCTGTTCATCCTTCGGATGACCGGGTTTCTGAGCCGGAGCATGTTAAAGCGCCTTGATAGGCTGGTAGAGTTGAAACGACTGGTCCATTGCTTGCTAAAGCTCGAGTTTGCACGGCGAACTACAGTAGCGGTGAATGTAGGATTCCTGGCCGCGATGAGAGGTCGGATATGCGCTCGTTGCCATGGCTGACGAATTCGGAAAGCTTGAGCAAGAGGACTTGCGCCAGGTCTGAAAACCTTTAGAGCGTCCATTGCTCGATGAAGGGTCATGCAAGCTCAAAAAAAGGGGTGGCACGAAATATTGTCACGGCCGGTATGAAGGTATGTTTCCAATCACTTGCATGTCTTGTTTGGAACAAATTCGGGAGTTTGCCTGGAGAACAAAATAAGCAAGTGGAGAGTCACTATTGCGTTTCGGTCTTCCTCGGGAAGCTTTTCACGAATCATTACCCTGTCATCTTCCTCGTGCGATTTTCGGAGTTGTTTAATCGCCGAACCTCCGACGAGTGTAAAGTTATTCCGGCCACCAGAATATTAATCAGGACAGTGTAAAGGTTTGGTATTGTTCTGACACATTCACTGGTCAGGAATTTCGTGGGTTTGAAAGGGGTTTCGAAAGGAATTGATCTAAAAAGCCAGTATATTGATCATCTATACATGTACATGTCTCCAGAAAAAAACAAATGGTATACTCATAAAGTCATCACAAGAAGATCTATATAAAGCATTAAAAAGCTCCGTGTCCGACCACCATACGTGAGAAGAGAAATTCAAAGGACTGACGCCGCCAATGCCACAGCGAGTTAGTCAGACGTGTAGTCTAAGAAGGAGCGAAGACCTTCTTGAGGCGGAAGTGCATCAGATCATCAATAGTCTGCTTGATATTGGCGATGTTCTCCTTGACTAGCTCACTAGTGGGTTGCGAGAAGAGCACGTCAATCTCTTCTAGAGTCTTGTTCTTGGTCTCAGGCATGAAGAGCAACTGGTAGAACCAACCAACCACGGCGATACCGCCGTAGAAGCCCAGCGAAAGGCCAATCTTTCCCATAGCATTTTGCATGCGGGTGAAGTTGTAAGTGACGATGAAGGAGCTCAAGAAAAGCAGCGCATCTGAAGTGGTCATACCGTAGCTTCGGAGGTATGTGGGATATACTTCCGAAGGAATGACCCACGTGAGACAGGCATAGGAGCCAAAAAAGCCTTGATAGAGGATCAAACCAGTCAGATAGACACCCATGGCTGCGCCAGTGTGAGAAGTGGGGATCAGGTAGCCCAGGCCAATGATCATGAGACCAATGAAGAAGCCAGGGAGCATGGCGCATGCCCAATATCGTCGACCGAACCGCTCCATGTAGAAAATGGCGGGGATGGTACCCAAAAGAAGCGCACCGCCACCCACGAGAGACATGAAGACGGCTTCTTTGTCGTTGAAGCCGACCTGGCTCATCAGCACGGACATGTAATACATGATGGCGTTGATACCGGTGAATTGGCCTAGGAAGATCATGATATTGGCATAGACAATAGCACGGCGCGCGCGGCCGTGGGTGAAGAAGTCCATCCAGGCAAAAGCACCAGAACGAGTCGACATTTCGTTACGCTCCTCTTCGACCGCACGCTTCATGATGAAGAACTCTTCCTTGGCTTCGAGCTGATCGACAGGACGGATGCGCTTCCACACAGCCCAAGCCTCAACGCTGCGACCCTTGTGCATGAGGAAACGGGGACTTTCGGGCATAAAGAACATGCCGACAAGCATAATGGTTGAGAAGATGAGGGATGAGCCGAGCATGTATCGCCAGTTGCCGGACTTGACGTTCACAAAGATGGCTGCCACTACATAGCCCAAGACTTCACCCAGCGCGATGGTGAACTGATAGAGCGAGACGAGGTTACCACGATACTGTCGAGCAACCGATTCGGCAACGTAAACAGGAACGGTTCCGCCTTCCAGACCGAGACCGACACCGAGAATCAGACGTCCAGCAATCATCATTCCGTACGAAATGGCACCGGCTTCAAGTGCTGCACCAATGGTATAGAGAACACAAGCCCAAATGATGGACCAACGACGGCCGCACCATTCATTTGCTGGAGACAAGAGCAGCGCACCACCGACGGCCCCAAGAGGCATGGCAGCGTTGATCAAACTCAGTTGGTCAGGATTGAGGTTGAGACTTTTGGGCATGTACAAGTTGGCACCGCTGATGAGCGATTGATCGAGACCAGAGAGCAGACCACCCATGGAGGCGAACGCCACGAGGAGGTAGGTAAAATGAGCAGGATTGCTAAATGTAATTTCGGCCTTCCACCATTTGGGTGCCAAGCCTCTTTTCGCCAACTCCTCGTCAAGTTCAGCAATTTCAGCATCCAAGCGCCAGCCCTCAAGGGCGGCGACCTGCTTGGCCTCTTCAATTGCTTGGGCGGGGTTGTCGTGGGAGACACTCCCAAGCCGCTTCGGCTGTTGTACTTCATTATGCTCAGTCAATCCAAGTTGCTTGGATTCGACATGCTTCTCGACATCCTCGACCGCCATGTTGAGGAAGCAAAAGGATATGGATTATTAAAAGAAGACAATCTAAAAATACATTCAATCAGTCGACTGCTTGCACTTCAAAATCATGAGTCTCTCAGACGTACCGTGTATTGTGCACAGGCATGCAATGGCAGACCGGGCACACGAGTGATGTATTATGGAGATGGGATGGATTGATTCCCGAAAGAATTGCTGGACTCTAAAAGCGAGGGGAGCATCTTGTGTATTTATGCTCGAGAACGAGACTCTGAAATAACAAGATGTCGGGGGGGCGGGCCAAAGGGTGGGGCACCAACTAGCTGTGGGGATGGGGATGCGGAGGGACGAGACCGTGGAGAGATTGAAGTGGGAGGGATGGATGCAAGGATGTCGCATCTAACCGCATACTTTCTGGGGAGAATATTGGATCGCGTGGCAAACAAGACTATCACGCTGTTTCCTCCAAAGAACGTCAAACGTCAGTGGGACCCTCGTGTCTTGATAGAGGACCGGCGGATCCGCTATCGTTCGTCTAGGTCACATCAACAATAACGGTGGGCATATTTTTGGCCTAGAAAGGCTTAAACAACCTGACCGCTTGGGTGTTGAGACGACCTATCCTCCAGTGGCGTAAGGAAGTGGCCTGCCAGCCGGGGCCGGAAAGCTTGACCAAAGCCTTCTAGAGTCAATAGAATGTTCATTGCCCAAACCCACTAGGGACGAAGGTAGATAGTCTCATTTCTCCAAATTAAATAAGAGAATAGGACTTTGAATGACCAACAAATGAAATTGCGGCATCGAAGCCGCTACGGGGTAATGTTTACCCAGTATGTCCTCTTTCTGCTATACCTCTACACAAGGGGATCATAGTGCTCGGTCACTGATAGGACGGGGATCACCGCGGAGCCAACCATGAAGATGACTTATTGAATCAAGGGCGAAGTTAAACCTCAAACCCAATCATGGCTGGTTCCTACACCTGACTGATGTTAGTCATAGTCCCAGTGGAGAACCAACCGTCGATAAATCGCGCGTTTATCTCTCTATAATTTCAATGAATACTGGTCCGGGTTAGTGTTGAGGTCCAAGATACAGAACAGTACCCACATTCCCCGTGGAGAGAGCGCTCAAGTGGAGAATGGAGAGATAGAGAAAAGTGGAGCCTGTGGGGAGAACAGAGATTTGGGGAGCCCCATTATCATTTTCTCCACGGGGAAGAATAAGATTTTGAATTTCCCCAATCACTCAAGGGTTCCACTTTGAATGAGTGGCCACGCAAGGTTGCACCTTGGTCTGCCGCCGTATTCGTAGGCCGTCGTCACTTGCCGTGTGGTATCCTGGGACACCCTGGCATCGTTTTTTCTGTTGCGGCACACTGTGCTCAATAGGGAACAGCATGCCGCCGTCTTTCTAACCAGAAGAGGATGACGGCGCTCTTATCGCGCCCACCATTACCTGCTTTTCTTAACGCCTCTTGTCATCCCCGTTACGCGGCGCAGGAAGCGAACGGATGAGGTACCCGCCCCTAGGATGACGTACTCGTAGCGAGGGCGTTCTGCAAATCCTCGTCTGAGAACACTACAGTTATGGACTTTGTCTGAATTGCCAGAGAACAATGGGGGGAGAATTGAAAAGACAGAGAGGGATATTGCATATGTTATGGGCCCACAATAATTATGCGGGGGGATCTAATTGATCGACTCTATTTCCCCAGGTGTTCAAGAGTTCGAATCGAGGTGAGCGTAGTGGGGGAGAACGACCGAGCGAGGAGAGAGACAATTCAGGCACATGGTGTTAGCGAGGAATCAGCCAATCACATCGATTCGTCAGACCACCCGTCATTCTCCGAAGCGGCAAGCCAAGTGTCGATCCACTAGACCAAAAGAAGATGGAATGGGCTGCCTCGTCACAGGGTCTCTCATGCCACTACACATGTACGATGCTACCGTATGTACAGTCCCTGTACATGGCTTGAATTGTTTGAAGCCCAACCCCCCGAAAATCCTTCCGTTGCATGTTTCACTAAACGTTCAATTTGTTCCGAGGACGAGAGAACATGCAACAAGGTGAAGATGTCTCTCATGTCCCGCTGATTCGAGACCCGTCTACTGGGCTCGAGCATACCAGCCCTGAGATTCACTCACGCGACGAACCCCAGGCCTTGCATCAAAGCCAGATCCATCGTCCAGGTCGCTTTCTTTGGACCCTAACTTGCACTGCAGGTATTAGTGGCCTGCTCTTTGGATATGAGTGAGCAGCATTATTCACATCTCCTGATCCGGCCCAAGCACTTTTCTTAGATGTGGCCAAGTCAACGGGCACTGAACTGATGGAGATTCTTTTCCCTCCAGCACCGGTGTCATCTCGTCTGCTCTAGTGAGCATTCAGAGCGGGTTGTCGGGACGAGTCTTGACCACCGCCGATAAGAGCATCATCACCTCATGCACCAGTCTCCTGGCCCTCCTTGTCAGTCCGCTGGCCGGTATCCTGGCCGATCGGCTGGGCCGGAAAAAGCTCATTTTAGTGGCCGATGCACTGTTCATCCTCGGAGCCCTATGGCAGGCTTGCACCGCCAGCGTCTGGGGAATGGTTGCGGGGAGAGGCATCGTGGGCTTGGCAATCGGGGCTGCAAGCATGGTGGTGCCACTGTACGTAGCTTCCAGATGATTTCCCCGGAAGTCAAAAGCAAAATGGCATGTTAACCACCGACAATGGCATGTCATGTCCTGCAGGTACATTTCTGAGCTAGCTCCATCATCGTATCGCGGACGGCTCGTGACAATCTTCACCCTCTTCATTACCGGCGGTCAAGTTGTCGCCTATCTCGTGGGCTATGTGTGTTCCTCACACCTATCCGGATGGCGATGGTCCCTAGGCCTGGGTGCGCTTCCAGCCGTCCTCCAGGCGCTCATGCTTGGCTTCTTGCCCGACACCCCGCGCTGGCTCGTCAAGGCCGGAAAAATTGATGCCGCAAAGCGCGTTCTCGAGCAAGTCTATGGCTCTGGCCCGGGCATGCGCCAAGTGGCGCTTACTGTTCTTCGCGCGATTGACGAAGAGATTCTCGAAGAAGACGCCCACCGCACACGCCATGGCCATGGCCGGGGACCGGCAAAACGCACGTCTTGCTTGGGCCTCGCGCGCGTTCATGACCAAGCCGGCGAGTTATGCGGCGTTGCTTCAAACCGACGAGCTCTGACCATTGCCTGCTTACTCCAAGGATTACAGCAGCTTTGCGGGTTTGTAAGTCCTCCTCTATCCAATTTTACGCCTTTTCTCACTCGCCAGACTATTCACTAATTCTTCAATTAAACAGAACTCTCTCATGTACTTCTCCGCCACCATCTTCTCCATTGTAGGATTCCGTTCGCCAACATTAACCTCCCTCTCCATTGCCATTACCAACTTTATCTTCACGCTCCTCGCATTCGCCCTAATTGACCGCATCGGACGTCGTCGGATCCTACTCTATTCTATTCCCGTCATGATACTAGGTCTGGCGATTAGTTCCGCGGCTTTTCATTTTGTGCATCTTAAATCTATGCCTAGTACTACGACCAGCACCAGCGTTGCCGGTGGTACTCTCTCCAGCAGAGGCGGAGTAGGAGTTTCTGGTAGTGGTAGCAGTGGCAGTAGCAGTAGCAGTAGCGGTATCGATACTCCCAGTGTTTCCCCCAGTGACACACCCACCCCACACGACAACAATTTCGCCATCCTCACCATCCTCGTCGCCATGATCATCTACGTCTGCGGCTACGCATCCGGCATCGGCAATGTCCCCTGGCAACAAAGCGAACTGTTCCCTCTCTCCGTCCGCTCCCTCGGCTCTTCTCTCGCCACGGCCACAAACTGGGGAAGCAATTTCGTCATTGGCCTCACGTTCCTTCCCATGATGGACTATCTGTCCCCTACTCTTACTTTTGCACTGTATGCCGTTATTTGCGTCGTGGGCTGGGTCCTCGTCTGGCTCATATACCCGGAGACGTCCGGCCTCAGTTTAGAAGAAGTGGGGGATTTACTCCAGCGGGGGTGGGGCGTGCATGCGCATGCACATGTGCGGAGAAGCGGCGGTGATCAAGGAGGGGTAGGGGTATTACACAGACGTAGTTTGTCTGGGTCAGCGGCGTCGGCATCTGCGTCGTCGTTACAGTTGCATGATGAGCGGCGGTCAGGAGAGGTTGATGAGCATTCAGCATGAGCCGTTATCTGGCTCTTCTATATATTGAAGAGTTTTAAATGATGCATTTTCATTTTTAATGTTCATATCCGTTTTCGTTTCCAACATGGCTCGTTCTATATCCGTAACGAAGACGACCTTCAGTGATTTTATTTCTTGTTTCGGATGCCTCATCGTCCTATAATAAAGTGTATAGTCAGCCCACTCCGGGGCCCGGATCATATTCTCTTACTATCCTTTGTGACCTCCTTGTTTCACTATATGGCTACAAATACAGGTATATACTGCATCTTCAAAAACGTACTTGATAGGTGAGGAGTCCTACCTGGCCGTCTTTTTGGTTTGTTCTAATTCAACCACCAGAAAGCGCGTCCAGGTCAGCATTTGGCTTGGGGAAGTCGATGGTGGATGAACGAAACTTTTCTTTGGTCATAGTGACCACATGTCCATGAAGTGCCACAGATGAATCCTTGGATAACGAGACTAGGAAAATTCCTGCAAGGCACCAACGGACTTGCGTTGCCAACTGAGAATTATCGTGGTTGCCGTGTTGTCAAGCATATGCCTCTGCTTTACAAATCGAGATCCTCCTTTCAGCGAACGCTTTTTCAGCTCCGGAAATTCTTAGTATTGTGGATTATCTTCAAGAACTCATTGCTCCGGGCATGCCGAGTGCTATGACGGCGCAAATTATATTGACCTTTGGCGTCCGTAAGTCCCTTTCGAAAGAAATGCTTATTTAGGCGTGCCCGCCGACACCATCGCCGATATTTCTGATAACTCCAATACCGGCGCCACCTGGTAACAGAACGTAGAGCCATGCAGCCTTCCATCTCCAGGAGACGAAGCAACCTCCCCCAAGAATCTATTCTGAACAGGTAGCGAATCCACCTGAGAATAAGCTTGTCAAAAAGAGAAATTGAATGAATAGAATTGCCGAGTACACTGATGACTTGATCTATCTGATCAATCAGCATACGAGAATCAGACCAAAAGACAACCAATAGATCATGAAGGCTATCAGGATGTTACTATACCTCATCATACTCTTTGACATGGTCTTAGTGCGCATTCTATTTGCAAAGCAAATCGGTATTCTCCGGAAAATGTTGCTTCAAATTCAGATAAACTGTATGATTCAGAGCAGTCATAGGCCGGTCTCTCAGTGCCTTTTAAGCAATTCTGCTTATTGCTGTTTCTCTGTTTCTATCTTTCCATCTGTAGTTCCCCTCCCTAGCTGCACCTTGCCCAGGGCAATGATGTTGTCTTTTTGACTTCCGTTTAGGCAGATTGGCATTTGACTCTTTGGCTGCTTTTGCAGCCTTCTTCATTTTCTTGGTGCAGAAACAACACTGTGTATATATGAAATGCCGTCGATTTCTTTTGGAGAATCGCTTTCTTTGGGAGATAAAACCACTGGTGAAATAAGCTTCCGAGGCAAACCCCAACTTCCGTTTGAGTTTGAGAGCCGGGTGGGAATTATCCAGTCAGGAGTATATAGTGCGATCTCATTGGGCACATGGAGCTCGAGCTCGGTCGATTTCCCGCATTTAACAACTTCTCAAATAAATGAGCGTCGTCTTGATTCGCGGATATACTCCCTTGACATGGGGGTGGACCAGTGGTCTCAGAATGTTGAAAAAGAAAAAAAAAAAAAAAAAAATTATCAAGCATGATATTCTTGCTCGGATTCCATCCACCATTTTTATAATTTTCATCAGTTTGACAATGATCAGAGAATGTAGAAGCGGGCCCAACTTGGATCGATCGTCTCATCGCTCTTCTTTGAACGACGACTTGGTTGACGCGTTCAACCCGTTTAGATTCTGGAATACGCTCGACGGTATCATTAGTCTCAAGGAGTTCGTGAGTTTGTGCTGGCTGATCATTGTCTGGACAGTTATCATCATCGACATGTTTATTCGGATGAGACTAGAAAGGAGCAAATACACGAATGATTTCAGAAAACAAAAGTTGAAGAGATATGAGGAGCAGAATAACATTGAATAAATTAGATAATATAATTTTGGATAGTAAGATGAAGAGGGAGGTTGAAGAGAGTCTGAAAGGAGCGGCGTCACATGGTCCTTCTTATACTGCCCTGGCCAAGGGTACGAGATAGAGGAAAGAGGAAGGCACACAGGTGACTGAGTACTTTCACTGTTTGTTGTCACTTCCTCTATTCCATCTCTCGACATAATTCCCTCTTTCAGTTTATGTCAATCCTTTTTACGCAGCAAGTGAAGTGGAAATATATTGGCTGGATTGGGAAAGAGCAATTTTGGCAGTGATCAGTTAGGCTAACTAACAGGTTATCTTAACTCACCAGCCACATCGCAGTGGCGGCAACCAGTGGCCCAAGCTCAATGACATTCCCCACGCTACACTAAGCCAAAAAGGACCTTACCCACCTAACTTACACACCGCAACTGGTCCCTTAACCCTTGCCGGCTTGTTTATCAAGTGCGTTACTACTCTTCGTGCTCCATAAGACTTGATATATCATTTCCATCTATTTAATCATTAACATACTTTCTAATTTCAGCAGACAAATCTATTCGTATCGTCGAAATGCTACTCATCGGCCTGACCGGCTCGATCGCAACGGGCAAATCTACCGTCTCCCAGCTCCTCTCGCAAACACCATATAACCTTCCCATCATCGATGCCGACCTTCTAGCTCGCAAAGTGGTGGAGCCAGGTACGCCCGGCTACAACAAGATTGTATCATACTTTGGCCCAACAACACCAGATCTCCTACTCCCTTCACCAAGCGATGGCCAAGGCCGCCCACTCAATCGCCCCGTTCTAGGCCGCAGAGTGTTCGGTGACACTCCTGAGAAGAAAAAGGACAGACAGGTCCTCAATGGCATCGTACACCCCGCGGTACGATGGGAAATGTACAAGGCCTTGGCATACTACTATGTACGGGGACACTGGGCGGTTGTGCTCGACGTACCGTTGCTCTTTGAGGCTGGGCTTGACGCCATTTGCGGCACTGTAATGGTCGTCTCGGTGAGCGACCCAGAGATGCAATTGAAGTGGCTACGACAGAGAGATACACACTTGTCCGAGGAAGATGCGAGGAATAGAATTCAGAGTCAGGGCGACGTGAGAGAGAAAGCGAGACGCGCAGAGCAAAGAGGAAAGGGTAGAGGGGTAGTAGTGACGAACGATGATGGAATGGATGATTTGAAGGCAGAATTGGCAAGGGCCATGAAGGAAGTGAAGAGCACGAGTCCGACTTGGTGGGCTTGGTGTCTGGTTTTGATGCCACCCTTGGCTGGTCTGGTGGGGCTGTGGAATATTTGGGAGAGCATAGGGGCCTCGAGGAAATGGAAACAGCAGAAGCACAAGAGCTCGTGAGACAATTCACTTGTATTGTGTTTGGGTTTGGAACAATGTTTTTCGCTCGCCTGGGTTACGGCAATAATTACCTTGCGCCATCCCGGCAATATCTTCATGCGGCAGGGATTTGAGGTGTTAGTGCTTTCGTAAGATGGAGGAAATCTGATCCGCATTTATGATCCCTGCCTAGAGACCCTATACAATTTCTCTGACAGGGCTACTGTAACAGCTGCGACAGCAGCTTACTCCCCATGGAAGATTTTCATGTCTCTGATGCATTTTCAAGTCAGTGTCCTGAGCTTTTTTTTCACGATCACTTTGCTATTCGGCGATTCTAATCCCGGAAAGCCCCCATGCCAGGAGCATTGGCTCTCCGGGAACTGTTGCGGTGGGATACATGTCAGCCATAGTTTTCTGAATGATCTGCAGAGAATGTCGAATGCCGTTTGCAACTAAGACTTTCTAGCATTTTCCAGATGCTTCAGGGGCTATCGTTCAAGAGAGACGGATAATTTTAGAGTGATAAACAACGGCAGAGCGTTTAATCCAGATTTTTAGCTCTCTTTGATCCGGGACTCAATCAATTGATCAGACATACAACTATTTCAACGATCGGAACGGATATTCTACGGACATGTCAGTCATAAATCCGCCGCCGGGGATGACGCAAAGTTGCAAATCCGCACCGGCCGAACTTATCACCGTTGCTGTGGTTTCTATGTGTCGGGGTATTGAAGTGTTTTTCCATTCCGAGCGGCCTCAAAGGGAAGGTACCTCGAACCTCGGCATTTCTGTGTGCCTCGGTGCTCGGGATTTCTAAACTTGCGAGCTTGGCATCGATCAAAAACGGTTGGCAAGACAAACCAACGGTCAGTGCAGGGGAAATTACAAGCCATAAGAGCCGGAGAGGAAAATTTTTTATGCAATCCTTTGAAGATCTCAATAGCCCTGAATATTGACTGACATTTTATTGACAGAGCAAGTACAAAGTACGGGCTACAATATGTTGAACATGCCCCACCGCTCGGTTTGCGTCGGCGAAACCGGAAGTCGGCTCTTTCAATGAAACAGAATTGACCATAGCCAAGCAATTCGGCCAGAAGATTGACAAAGTAAAACCAGGATCAGGGCCAGGGCCCGAGAGGAAAGATCTGACCATATGGCTAGTCACAGTCTAATTGAATAGCTACTTGCCAGGTTTGAATTGCACCATTTCTAGAATACCAGCTTATTGATGACAGAAACAAAGTAGTGAAACCACTGTCAAATGGGCTGTTCGGGGCAAAGCCACGTTCGGAATCTGTGGTTCTTTATACAATCATTCATTCATCGCCAAGTGGACATTTGTATTGAAACGAAAATGAGGGTCTCTACTTTCTCAAACTGCTTCTTAGTGAATGTTGGTGCGCAGGATTTCCGCGCTGAATCTACTCCGGTAAGAGATGAAGGGCCTTTTCCGTGTCGCGGGTCCCCTTGTGGAGAATGGAGCCTTCGCCTAGGCCCACGTTGCGGGACCTGGTTCCAACGTGGTTGCGTAGGCTGACCAGACTACTGGCGCACGGAAATGATAAGGGGAGACCCTATAATTGATTGGTGTGAACAGTGTTTGAACCGTGGGTCTTTTTCCTTGTAACGCCAGGAGGAGGGAAAAAGAAAAAGAGAAGTGTACTTTTCGAATGAAATGGATCTATACATGCAAGTGCTTGAGCATGCAAGAGGGCAAGGAGGAGTTGATCGAGGATCAATCGGGATTACCAACAAAGTAACTGATTGTCAGGGACTCATTCAACTGCAGCAACCAACTTTGACGTAGAGGCGTGCGCTAAGGCCGGATCAATCAACATCCGAGATGAAGATGCTTTCTCTCCTACTTCATAGTTAGTTACTGTAACTGTAAGCTTACTTAAAATACGGTTTGTCGTATACGGATAAATCGGAGTCGAATTCCAAGTACGAAAGGTGCTGTTTTGTTTCATCAAGCCACAACTTATCGGAGGAACCTGTTGCGCTTGGCCGAAAGCGATGACCAAAAGCACAACAAGTCTGTCCGCCCCCCGATGCCCCTTCGGTCAACAAGCGTTTAGATTGACTCGCCTCCGCACATGAAAAAAAAGTTTAGTAAACAGTTTAGTTTACCTTAACTACTGTGGTTACCTAGTTGGTCCTTGGGCTGATTGCGGGCAACTAGACCGCCGGCCGCCGACGGAAACTCTCAGATCTCGCAAGTACCAACTACCTCCCCTTGCTGGAATCATCATTGGTATCATGACGACCCATCTCTTCACTAGCTGCTTCTGCCCAATGCTCCCGTTTTTCTTTGGCTCTCTTACGTCGTGTCAGATTCGTTACGAACTTCTTTTTGTGGCCCACCGACCGGTCCGAGCTGTAGTCGCCGTGCTTCTTCTTTCGTTTCCTTTATATTGATCCCGCTCTCCTCCATGGAATATGTTGATATAGTCAGTCGTCTAGCACACCACCAATAGTATACACATACTTGTCTCACCGTTGTTCTGGACATTAGCGTCATCCTCACTTCCCCTCTTATACAATTGACCTTCCAGAGGCTGTTATCGTCAATTGTTCAACTGTTCGTTTGGAAAGAAACAACAAGTGATACTGTTTGCCATCGAATATCCATCACAATTGGTATTGCAGAGGTTACGAAGCTCCCCGTTACATACAACATAGCGTCTCTTGTGCAAACAACCGATCATGGACGCTGCAGACGTTGATCTCGAAAAGGCCGAGCGACAGGCTAGTCCCAGCCAATTCCCACGCGACCCAGAAACTATCGATGAACGCCTGGAGCGAATTCCTACATCGTCCTCGACGTCGTCTTCGTCGAGCTCAGCACGAGGAAATGTGCAAGCGACCATGTCTCATGTGCCCACTCAGGGCGACCAGCTCGACCGGGACCAGCTCGAGCGCGAGCAGACCGCGCTGAGTCGGATACATACTCAGCGAAGCCAGCACAGCGGCACCGTGGGGAAATCATTACGTTCGCGCATGTCGCAGAAGCCATTACCAGAGTTTGGTGGAGGGAAGTCGTACCCACCGCCATTGCCCGCCAAGGAGGAATACGTTGTCGAATTTACTGGGGTAGATGATCCGCTGCACGCACAGAATTGGCCGTTCAGGAAGAAGTGAGTGTTGTACCCGAATTTGATTTGCTTCACTTGCCATCTGGAAGTAATTTTTCTTCGGGGGAATAATTCCAAAATGATACCCTTGATCGGACAAGGACTGACATGGCAATGTGTTTTTGCAATCCAGGATCATCACGGCAGCGATGCTCGGGTTCTTCACGTTCACGTCGGCCTTTGGCAGCGCCATCTTTTCGGCTGCCACTGGTGCGGTAGCCCATTACTTTGGCGTCTCAGTCGAGGTCGGTATACTGGGTCTGACCCTCTACGTGCTTGGATTCGCCTCCGGACCAATCCTGTGGGCGCCGCTCTCGGAACTTCAGGGGCGTCGTTTGCCCTTGATGATTGCATCATTCGGATTTTTCATCTTCCAATTCGCCGTGGCCACGGCCAAGGACCTGCAGACCGTCATGATCTGTCGATTCTGGGGAGGTTTCTTTGGCGCCTGTCCGCTGACCGTCGTGGCCGCCGTCTTTGCCGACATGTTTAACAACCGCAGTCGTGGACTCGCCATTACTGTCTTCGCCATGATGGTCTTTGCCGGTCCTCTCATGGCCCCCTTTATTGGCGGCTTCATTACCATTTCCTATCTCGGCTGGCGATGGACCGAATACATTACCGGCATCATGGGCGCCGCCTCCTTTATTTTGATTGTCCTCTTCCTCGAGGAGTCTTATCCGCCCATGATTCTCGTCACCAAGGCCTCGGAACTGCGTCGCCGCACCCGCAACTGGGGCATCCACGCCAAGCAGGAGGAAATTGAAATTGACATTCGAGAGCTGGTCGAGAAGAACTTTAGCAGACCTCTTCGCCTGCTTGTCACCGAGCCTATTGTCTTGCTCATCTCCCTTTACATGAGGTGCGAACCCTCCCCCTTTCATATACAATGATCTTCTATTACTCCACGTACCTTGACCCCGCTTACTGACCGACCCGATGATGCAGTTTCATCTACGGTATTCTCTATCTCTTCCTCACAGCCTATCCCATCGTCTTCCAAGGCGTGCACGGCATGAACGAGGGTGTCGGCGGCCTGCCTTACTTTGGCATGATCACCGGCTTCGCCCTCGCCAGCCTGTACATGTTTCTCACGCAACCCTCGTACAACCGCAAGCTTGCCGCCAACAAGAACATGCCTGTCCCCGAATGGCGTCTCCCGCCCGTCATCGTCGGCGGAGTCGTCTTCGCCATGGGTCTCTTCTGGTTCGGCTGGAGCGGATACAAGCGTGACGTGCACTGGATCGCGCCCACCCTCTCCGGTCTCTTCTCCGGCTTTGGTCTGCTCTGCATCTTTTTGCAACTCATGAATTATATCGTCGATGCCTACTTGATGTTGTAAGTCCTTCCTCCATTCTCTATTCCTTTCATTCCTCCATTTTTATTCTCTATTACTTCTTCTCCTCCCTTTTTTTTTTATCCTTTATTATCCCTTTTTAAATACCTGCTAATCTCAATAGCGCCGCCTCCGCCCTCGCAGCAAACACATTCATCCGATCCATTTTCGGCGCCTGCTTCCCCCTGTTCGGCCGCCAAATGTTCAACAATCTCGGCATCCAGTGGGCCGCGACCCTGCTCGGTTGTCTCGCGGCGATTATGGTCCCTATCCCTATCGTCTTTTACAAGTACGGCCATAAGATTCGCCAGCGAAGCAAGTTCGCGCCGACCTTTCCCAAGGAAGATGATGAGTAGTTTTGACTAGTTCTCTTACCTTGAGTTGTTGTTTTATTTGCAAGTCCCTTGCGAAATATTAGGAGTTTTCGTTTTTCCCATTTGAATCCTTGTTCTTCCCTTTTCTCCGTCTTCACCTCTGATCCTCTGATGCTCTGGCCCTCAAGCCCTCAAGCCTTACTATAATTCATCTCTAATACCCATACCCGTACCCATACCAATATCATGCCCATGTCCTATCTCTAATTTCTCCTTTGGGGGTCAAAGTCACGATATCTCTTTTTCTTTTTTCACTTTTCATTTTTGGCTTTGGCTTTTGGCTTTTCACATGGAAAATATATAACGTACGAAATGTACGGAAATTACTTTTAATACCAGGATATCTATTAATCTATTTATAGTAACTATATCTACTTGCTATTTGATAAACGACTAAAAGATGAATAACCGAAATGTGAATCACAAAAGTTGAATGCCTGAGAGATGAAAGACTAAAAGATAATGACCAAGATATTAATGACCAAAATGCGAATGACTAAAGATGAATATATGAATGACAAATGACAACATCACGACAAGACCCGGCTAACAACTGCGCCCCCGGCCAAGCAACTTGTTCACATCCTCGTCAGCAAATTCATCGACATTAGCGGCTCCAATACGTCCCGGGGGCGCAGAATACTGAACTGTTGTCTGGCCATTAATCGTCTCTTCATCTTCGATCACTTTTCCATTGGAAGCAATGACATGGCGGTCATATCTGTATGTTTGAGGAACCGAGTCGAGGTCAGGGTCGAGATCGGAACCGTTGTCGACGTTGGCATCGCCGTTTGCTCCGAGGGGCACCATCAGGAGGTCATTTGCAATATTGGATAATGGGAGCGCAGGTGATGAGAGTAGAGGGGTGAAGAAATTGTCAACAGACTTGAACGAGTAAGCCTGTTCTGTTGTACCCCAGCTGTACGAAGTCTTCCGGCCAGGCAGGGAGAGATAGTGCGCAGTCCCGTTCTGTCTTGTGAGAAGCTGCGTCCATCCGTATGGCCAAAGGGATGTGCCTGCTGCCCCAGAAACGTCGCTGTTAATGGTAGTACCTATAGTACCAAGCTCAAAGGGGAACGACGAGGCAGCCGTGGCAAATGTCTTTACGTCTAGCCCGCGGTCGAGACGAGCGCCAATGGAAAGGGAATTGTTTGGGCCGATGTCAAAGGTTGAGTTGACAGACAAGGGATATTGGTATCGTTTGGCGTAGAGTCCGAGGGGAGACACGTCAGTTCCTGTGGTCAGCATAGACATGTCCTGCGTATTTCCATTGTCATAGATGCTTCCATTGTTGGAAAAGGTCAGAGATTGGCTCCAACTTGCTGCGCGCTGCTGCTCCATAGGAGAGCTCTGCAGAGACGACACGAGAATATGTCTCTTCACGTTAACAGAATATGAAAGAGTCTTGTTTGTTCCATTTGGAAACGTTTGTATCCATGACTCAACGTCAATCTGTGGCGTGGGTGCAATGACCTCAGGTAAAGAACCATTGCTTGCATCATTGTCCGAGTCATCTAGCCAGATGAACAATTTCCCAGTCACGACCCAGTAGTTGCCTACGGGTGATGATATTGAGAGCTTGTTATCACTGCCTGCGCTTAAACCAGCAACGCGAATTTCAAAAGTATGCTCAGCACCGTCACGGAGAAAAGGAAGCCAAGGGGTGATGTCAATTTCGTGTTCTGGAAGGTCAAATGCGTGGATACCCACAATAGGGCGCCAAAATCCAGGGGCTATTCCTCCAGTAAACACTACTGGGAATGGCCATTGGACTCCAGCCAGCAAACCGTCAATGTAGACTTGCACTTCACGAAATGGCGAGTGGCCTAGTAGGGCTCCAGAAGATGGGAAGCTCAACGTGTCAGAGTCTAGGACATTGGTATACCAAAACTCTTCATCCGCTTGACCACAAGCAGCAATTGTAAAGACGGCACGACGACTATTCTGCGGAATGGCAATCGAGTTGCTGGCATTCTGCCCCGGTAATGAAAATGCGCTTGGCCGATTGGAGGACGACAATCGCGCAGATACGGGCACAACCAGGTCTGCAGGGGTATAATGGCCATCAGTTTCATTCAAAAATAATGCAGTCAAGGTGGCATTGAACGCTCCAGTATACGTGTTGTCAATAAGATTTCCAAGGTCAAAGATTGTCTTTTGAGAAGATTTGAACAGACTCAGATAAGGAGTCATATCTTTCAAGTATGTCCACTTAATTCCATCCACCGTGGGCTCAGCTGTCGACGTTCGAAAAATTTCCACATCCCCAAAGTACAATATTCCAAGTCGATCAAACTGGCGTCCCGCTGAGACCACGGTCAAGTTGAAAACAACATGACTAAAGTTGTGTGAGGGTGGGTTGTAAATTCCTAAAGTGGGTTAGATCGAATGAGCGCGACTGTTGGGAAGGGAAGTGCAACAAACCAATAAAGGGGTGCCCGTAGCTGAAGCCAAAAGAATGATTCATCAAAACTTGTTCCACGCTACTGAAAGTCCCATTTGAGGTATTCAATACTGGCTGATGAACCTCGAAGACATCGAGAAGAGATGCCTGAACTTCACCCTCGCCTTTGAAAGCAGACGTGAAAGAACGACCGGAAGGTGCTTTGAAATTTCGAGCAACGACATTAGAGAAGCAGAAAAGCAGGCAACAGAGGAACCTCAATCCAGGATGAAAAAATGAGATTGCTCGAGCCTACGCATCTTTAATCAGAAAGGGACGCTCGTCCTGTAAGAGGAGAAAGTGCCAAGAGGTGGCTGAAGCAAAAGATGGGAAGCCTTACCTGAGACATGACAATGAGCGGCATGATGAACGGTGGAAGAGGAGGTCAAACCCTGCAATTAACGACAGGAAAGGGAAAGCCGCTTCCCACACCAAGTACGGAATAACTGATTGAGAAAGATGGCCAAAACAGGCAGGAACGAGCGACCAGTGTGAACAGTAGGATGTGCGTCTCGGACAGAATGCCTTAATCAAATTATCAAGCTCCTCGATGCCGATTCCAGAAGCGTTCCACCACTTTCTTGTCAACTTCAGTCCCACGAAATCGCTCTCGAAAATAATTATAAACGGCAAACTCGTCCGCGTTCAGGTCGTACGTATCCGGGGCCCTTTGCAACGCCTCCCAGATCCTACCAATAGTTTGTTCCAAGAAGCTGGTCGCAGATGGATCAGGAGGCCCGCTAGTATCTCGCACCAGTTCCAACGCCTGTTTAACTGTGAGAGCGCCGTTAGAAGTTGAATTCATAGTTGCACCACCAGCCATATTTGATTTTATCTTTATAGATAGGGCCCAGGCTAAAAAAAAAACCTCTGCTCAAGGATATCTTTGAATTGAAAAGGGATACAAGATACAGTTCGATGCGTTGATGGTGTAGGTCTTTTCTTTTGGGGATATTGAATATGGAAGATGGAAAAACCACAATATATCATACTCGCTCTCTACATTTAAAGAGAAATAGGAGGAGATTTTCTCCGAGATAAACATTTCACCCTGTAGGCAGTACACGGCATAGAGAGACACCGCCGTAAAAAGACGGGTTGCCCCAGAGCCTGAGACGGCGATGACACAGGCTAACACAATCATTTGACAGGGCTTCTACTCACCTTTGGGTTTCAGTGCCTTGATCCAGCAGAGCGAATGGCTACGGACGTCACCCTGACAGGGAGCAAGAGATTGATCCGCTCCTCTCGGAAGAGATCCCGCCCGATGCTCTCTGCACGAGCTTGGGAGCACGAGAGGACGAGCACGCTCTAGAAGCGGTCTTTGAGCGCCCAGCCACAAAGGGCGCAACAATGAGCCAGGAGCTTTTGTCAATCAGAACAAAGGAATGGAGGATGGGGAGGACAGATTTGGATGTGAACGGAAGCGTGTGGTGGGGGTGGTTGAAAGAAGTGGGTTGGATGAGTGTCCCAGATGAAGTCACCTCCGTCGCCCAAACACCATCTCGTCGTGCGAGACACCGCCTGCCTAGCTTCCGCCCGTTTGCGCCTGGATGGTGCTGGCGGCTGTGTGACGGAGTCTTCGGGCTAGAATCCCACTGGTAAGCGTGTAGGTGGCGTTCCGGGTCGCTGTTCTGCTCAAATCAAATACAGTTGGAAGACGATGTTCAAGGAAGAGCTTGTTGGGCTGAGAAGGCAGCGTCTTTTAATGGTTCGATATCGCGGCGGCCGACAACTCCATAGAGATCGGAAAAGGTCATTTTCGTAACTGCTCCAGGGACAGCTTTTGGCGCAGTGCGCCGTCGCTTAGTTAGAATGCTTGTCTCTCCTTCGGCTCGGGCTAGGCAACGACGGGCTTCATCGTTATCACTACGGGGGTGCCGCGCATCTTTTCCAGCGTTAAATTGGGAAAGGCTGGAAAGGACCCTGGCATGGTTCATGGGCGACGACAATATTGCTGGGTATAACGTGACTATTGCAGTGAGCGCTGCAAAAATATACGTTTAGTAGCTTAAGTATCCACATGAATTGGGAGCATCGTGGCGTTTGAAGGACCGGTTGCCTACTCTGTACGTTACCTTCACCTTTTCCTCAACCATGGCGCTATGGTTTTCTTCCCCTTATAATTGTTATCAAATCACATCAAACCGACCGGCATAGAGACGTGGGGTCGATGGAGTCTACCCATGTTGGTTTCTCTTTTTGAACTCGAACTTACCTTTGTACTCTGTACGTAAGGAGAAGGGAGAGCGATTATGTAACGTGACCTTAACAGGTGGGACGTAATTTGCCTAGTGTACGTTATCCAAATGGGTATCATAGTTGAGAGCGATGAGCCGTGGGTGACCAGGCAGTAGGAAGGCGTCTGGAAATAATCGGCCCCGCGGAAGCCTGGGCCCTGCAGAAAAAGCCAGTAGAATCCGATACGGCAGAGCCCGGTTCAAACCCTGCTCCTGGCGTTGATCATTGGATTCCCTCCGGTTCGCATGGGTCCAGTGGCGGAAGGTGGCAGACGACCGAGGCAACGATAACTACTTGATTTCCGCTTGGGATTATCATCTGTAGGGGTCTTTTAATGCTGCACCTCAAGAGATGGGGATATTCATTGCGTTTTCTGCTTATTGGTAACTAGTCGTAGTGGGGAACCTGTCCTATAAGTTAGCTTGTAATCGGGCTCCTTGTTCGACATTTCAGCTACCGAATTAACTAACTAACAGTAGTTTAGGGACGAACCGCTGTCATCCTCCCCGATCCGTTAGTTGAAATTTAGTTAACTGGAAAGCACGGTGGTTCACGGCACCGTCCACTATTACTGTATTACTTTTTCGTTTGCTTCGTCATAGCAAGCAAAGAATCCCTGTGTCCCTTAGGTAGTGTTCCCCCAAGTCGATTCTAAAATATCACCCAATATCAATCCCAGGGCCATTACTCCGTACAAAGGTACTCGTACTCCGATACAGATATCCATCTTTTTTCCTAAATGCCCCTAATCTCTCGGTAAGCCGAAACATCCCATGGTTCCAACCTCCACTCTTTGGCTTAGCTTCCGCGCTATCGATCACCACCAAAGGCTAACTAGAAACTGCCGCAACCACCTCGGACGATCATCCTTCTTCGACTTCTGCATCATCTTGCATGCTCAGTCCTCGTTGCAATTTTATGCATAGATCGCGCCGATGAATTTTGGCAAGGTGTATTCCGGCTGAAACGGGATTCATATGTACTACAGCGGTGGGGTATAGGGATGCTGCAGGGTACTGTGCGGAATTGGAACATTGTACAAGTGATATCGCGATGTTTAGGATCGGCCCATTTCTGAGCATGAGAGAACAAGAGGGAGTCGCCGGCCGTACGGCCCTAGTGTTAGGCTCTGGAATTCTCCGTCGAGTCGCTCAGAATTGATGAAGGAAGTGCTTGCCTTTCCCTGGTATCACGATCCACCGACTCCAAGGAGTGACGTGCAGATGCCTTGCAACTTATGCTTGAATCATATTTGAAGATGATTATTAATGCTATTATCCAGGAAAGTTTCCTACATTAAAAATCAGTCCAGTATGACTGAATATCCCCCCGGTCGATATTCTCTTACGTCGGGGAGCAATAGTCGTTGGGTCTAGCTGCATTTGCGGTCACCTCACCGGGAAAACCGCCGAGTTGGTCCCGACTTCGAAACAGTTTCCCTTTTCTTCTTCATTCCTGTTCACTACTAACCAAGCTTCGCCCTGCGATTACTCTCTCAAGTGGTCTGCAAGAAGATGCAGCCACACGGAGAACTGGGGTATCGTCGAAATCCTCGCGCCCTTCGCCGATCAAATAAACCGTTAAGTCCTCTCTCTATCAAACAACTTTCGCAGCGGGCAAAGCTGCTTATAGTCTCTGTCTAGAGCGAAGCCATAGGCTGGAAGAACACAATCTCGTCAATTTGACGAGCCATTGGGTAGAGTCAGCTTAATGCAGGTTAAATACGGAATTAATCGCCGGCCTCTCCAAATCCCATGATTGTCTGGCCCTATTTTCCTCAAGATGTGGCTTTTTTTTTGTTTCTTGCATACCAGAGACCGTTGGCTTGAATCTTGACAGCTCCTAACCTCTAGCCTCATTTGGCATTCGGAGATTGTCATACACCTCGTCAGCCTGCCGTCTCTTAGGGTGCGGCGGAGCTCTTCGAATCAGAGACCATGTCACATTTGCCAGCCGGGCAAGGCGGACAAGGCAAACATTCGGGGTTCTCTATTGCAGGCGCCACTGCATCGCGCAGTGTGGAGCACATGCGAATAAAAGCGGCTCCTCGGCCTCCTTCCGTTCATCCGACATGATAGGCCATGTCTTTTCATTACCCAATGGAGCCTTTGCGGCTGCTCTCCATATCCAGAATTTGTTACAGAAACTCACGCCAGTAGTAATCATAACTCTCTCAAATGCTACCCTGGCCTACCCCTACTACATTATGCACGAAGCTACGTCGCACAGCTTACCGGCCCGGTTCTTTTCCATTTCTTTATTCCACGTTTGACGCAATCAAACTTCATCGCCCGTTTAATTTTGGTCAATGCTTCGGCCTTTGTTGGAAATAACGCTCGGGACGACAAATCCTGCATGGCGCCGCATGAAATCCTCTCTGTAGGAGGAGAACTGCATTTCAGCCAGCAATTATGTAGGGTCGACGCGTTGTACAGCGAATTTGGGCCCCCGTGCCAGACGGTTTCCGCGAATCCTCAGTGTATGCATCAGCTGAGGCTGCATCTCCGCTAAATGACTCCTAAGACATGGTCGTTCGGAGAAACTCGTGCTCATCCTTTTTCTGGCAATCAAAACAATATTGTCTGAATGCGCTCTCTGAGCGGAATCCAATTCCGCTTTCTGCGACCATTACAATCTTGACACTTTGGGAGGAGTGACGTAGCGAGCAGGAAAAATGATGAAGTTTTCATTTTCGACTGTTGATCAGAGCCCCTTGTTCGAGATTTTCATCATCCCTTGGGGGCTCGGGAGAAGGTCAAATCAGCAATCTTGTTTATTTTATATTTGGAATGATTTGAATATATTAAGGGCAACATTCACAGTCAAGGATACACTTCAAAACATACGGATTCCTTAGGCCATTCTGAGATGTTCTCAAAGGGAAAAAGATACTTCTGCAGCCTCGATCTCTGGTATACCAGTCTCCTATGTGTATATGTGCAGCGAAAATCTTCACACTTACGCTTTTGGCCTTTGGTTTCCGCCAGCAAATGAAAAGGGGACTCCTTCAGCGTCCCCGTTCGACGGTCATATTTGTCATGCGTGTTTCGTGCACGAGTCATATCCTGTTAGTACTTCCTTTTAATTCGATGGTTCTATACCAGTTGTCATATTGATGACACATCAGCGAGTCATTGCAAACTAGTTGAACCCTGAAGTATAGCTCATCCATGATGCCAACCACCTCCGGTCTAATGCTGCAATAATTCCGGCACGAATGACAGGACAGAGCTTGGCCCAATATGAGAATAGAGCCTTCTCCACTTGGTCGAAGAGATCTGCGACCCCCGCGATCTTACGGCACCATTCTATCGTCATTGTCTTGGCGTGCCTCGGAACGTGCATAAGTCATATCATCCATATTTTGACCGGCCTTCTTACTCTCGTTTCATAATCACATGTGCACTGCGTCTGGCGCTTGTGGGATTACGAAAATCCTTTGTGTAAGTCAATTAGGATAATGCTGTCTGGATGGTTCGCCTGAAGACATATTCTACAATTTGGGCTATTACTGTCGACTATTACCTTCAGGATAAGCGATAACCCTCTTACGATTTCGCCAGCCTACGGCCAAATATTGGACAGCGGCATCATTTAGGGAAGCCGTTCATGGCTGATGGAGAAGCCGCTAAATCCATTCAACAGATTACTTCCTATCAATATCTTCTTGGTCGTGCGACACAGGCTGTTAAAGTGGCAATGAGCATTTATTCATACTTTCTACATGATATATGTTGGGTAATTGTAAAGAAACCTCCTTAGTCTGCAAGGATCTCGCCCGCGGGGGCTTTCAGAACTCAATAATAGAGCTAATATATAGATATGCTTGATGAAGTTCGTTCCGAGCCTGAATGCAGATGTCATAAAAGGGAGGTGAACTTACGGCGAGATTGTCAGGTGGAACCAATAGGGTGACGTTTGAGTGTGGACGCCACGGCGCCTAATGTCTGCTACCATTCAGTGTCAATGGAGTCGCTCACGAGGTGGTCTTGTCTAGGCTCCCGTGCGCTGTTGCCTTGAAATGGGCTGCTCGTCTGGATAAGCCTCATCTCGCTTTAATGAAAGACCGAGAAAGTCGGTGTAGGCTAGGCAGCCTCATTGCACGTGTGCTTGTTTCTTCCTCAATGTACAACTGAAAGAGTATTAGCACACACAGCCCAAAGAAGCGCAGGAAGCAACATCTACTTACAGCTGGATGTTTTCACGGCGGTATGTTTCTGCATCCGGGTCATCTCCTATCGTCTCAACTTTGAAGAGCTTCTTGGCTACTTTCATGAACTGCACGTCGGCTCTTCGTCTCCGCTTAAAGCAGAAATAAACGACAGTATTATCCCCAATCATATCAACCAAGGTCTTCTGAAGAAGCGGAAATGCAGGCTCGAAGTACACGCAATCCGCCGCCAGTATAATATCCGGCTGAGCCGGGACTTCTGGAGGCACAGGACATCCCCAGTCGAGTATTGCCGGCTTAACGCGTCCTTCCAAGTTGTTCAGCGCGATATTTTTCTCCATCAATGACAGTAGAGGCGCTTGGTCGGTGATGTATAACGGATGATCGAGTGGACAACCAAGGGCAACGGCCAGTCTGTACGCAAATACTCTCTTAGTGTCTGAAATTCAAGGCGAAATATTGAATGTAAAAATGACCACCGAATCCGAAACAAGTAAAAGTACCATACATACCCAACTAAGCCGCCGCCAGCTCCTAATTCAACGCTGTGAAAAATTAGCAAGCGTGTCCTTTGGAACAACTGGAGACTACAAACATTGTCTTTCCCCGGAGCTTTTCCCTGTGAAGCCTTAGTAGGTAAGTCCCTAGGACCATGCCAGCAGGCCACAGTTGGCCGCCGCAGCCTTCTTTCAAGTCCTCATGTAGCGTCAATGGTTTGGTGAGAAGACCACCAAAGTCTAATGCCGATGTTGCCGCAGCCTTGTAACTCGGAACGGCGACGAGGTCGTCGCTGATCGCAAACACGGGGTCTCTCTCGTCGTCGCTGTCCATTGTCGCTCAATGCTTAAGGTAGCTAGGGCCTGGAAAAGTATATCGAGAGGAGCAAAATGGCCACGTTTAGGGGGGGTCGTCGATAAGATACCGGGGGTTAACTTGTCTCGGCAGGGGTCCGCGAAGTACCCGTACCGCATGTATTTGGGCTGGACTCGTAGCGAATCTTCATCTCCAATACTTCTGCGATACTTTTATGGATTGAAAGGTGGCAGGGGTGAGCAGAGGAGTCCTTGACGGGTAAAATAATCACAACAGCTTGCGAACATTTACGGAGAGCCGCTTCAGTATGAGCATATCAAATTCTTGCGTGTTCCAAGGGCAAAATGTCCAGTTGATGACTATTGCGTCTTTGAGTGGGAGTGAACGATGGAGAGTCCTTGATGCAGTGAAGCGGGCAGAGAAAAGAACATTTCCTCGCAAGGAGGCAATGGACTTTGATACCGAGCTAAAGAGGAGGAATACTCATCTTTACTGTGCCGTCATTGACCTCAAAAACGAGGTGCAGCTCGTTGCTTACATTGTCTGTGCGTGTCTGAAGAAAGTCACGTTCCTCCATAAGGTCTGTGTGCTTGAGCAGTACCGAAGGCACGGCATTGCTAAATGGATGATTTGCAAGCTCCAAGACGACCTTGGCGGACAAGGTTGTGAAAGTATCAAGTTATGGGTTGACGAAGACCGTGAGCCGGCTTGTCTTCTTTACGCCTCCTGCGGTTTCGAACAAGTCGGCCGTGTGGAGGACTATTATGCTCCGGGCAGGGCAGCGTTGAGCATGGTCTCTGCCCTAGACGACAACCCTTAAGCGTGTCTACCTGGGGACCTCACGAGCAGCAATGACGGGATATGGTCCACGAGCAAAATGGATTTACCTTTGGTTTCTTTTCGCCCAGGCTGCTTTGCTGGGAAGAAGGGTACATTTATTGGAAAATTCCTGCGAAAAGAAGGGCACTTGCACCCTTCGACAGCCATAAGCACATGCTCCCCCTTGCAGGGTCACATTCTTCGTCAACTCCTGGGGTAAAGGGAATAACACAGTCTCTCAACACCAGCCTCGTCACTGTAAACATGAAGGTAGTTTTTAGACCTCAACTCCTTCAAAGGGTTGGCTGGGGGTGTATAGTGTCCTGCCTACGCAAGGGTTGCGCGACGAGCTCGCGTCCCTTTCAGCTTCATGGCCTCCTTCCAGTGCCTTGCCCAAGACAGTGGGCCTTTGGGCTCCACTGTCGGCCCTTTTCGAGGCACGATGGTGACTTCTAGGAGGCGGGAGCCTCCTCGTCGACGTTGGAAACCTCCAGGCAAATCTTTCATCTCTTCAGCAGACTCCGCTCGTTTGTATGCTCCAGCGAAGATTGAAGGCGTCGAATATCCGCTGGCTCTGGGAGCTGCGACGACCAGGCGTCAACCGATTCCCGCCGGCAATATGGCTCTGAAGACATGTCTTGCGCTTGCCATTGTCTTTCTCACCGCCGTCCAAGCTTTGCCTCAATTAGCTCTGCCGATCAACGCTCAATTGCCTCCATTAGCATACGTTGGGAAACCGTACAACTTTACCTTTTCTTCTTCGACTTTTCTTTCGGATGGAACTGACCAGCTGAGTTATACATTGGCCAATGCACCATTATGGCTGCAACTCGACAGCGAGACTAGGACGTTCTCTGGGACACCAAGCGCTGCTGATGCCGGATCGACCTTGTTCCAAGTATGGGCGGCCGACTCTACAGGCTCCGCCGAGTCAGATACAACATTCATTGTCTCGAATGAGACTCCTCCAGTCGTGGCCATTCCGTTGGCCGAGCAGCTTCCCTCGCTTGGGAATACTTCAGATCCGACAAGTCTTCTGATATATCCTTCAGATGGGTTCGACTTCAGTTTCTCCAACGAGACCTTTTTGGATGCCGGCAGGCCGTTGTCTTATTATTCCATCTGTATGAACAACACTCCTTTGCCATCATGGATCAGTTTTGATGGAGGAAATCTACGATATTCTGGAACGACGCCTCCATTGACGTCGTTGGAGACGCCTCCGCAGCATCTCGATATCCAATTGATTGCGTCTGATATACCAGGGTTTGCCGGGGCTGTAGCATACTTCACAATCGTTATGGGCGCTCATGAACTTATTTTCTCAAAGTCGTCGTGGGACATTAGCATCAGCGCCAACGATCCGATCGATTTTCAGGGCCTTGAGAACCAGCTGCTCTTAGATGGAAAACCAATTCCTGCACAAGACCTTGAGCAGGTTACAGTAGACGGTCCCACTTGGCTCAAAGTTGACACCCAAACATTTCACATTACGGGAACTCCGCCGTCGAATGTGCAGTCCCAAAACGTGACAATAGCGGCATTGGATTCATACAATGATTATACAACTACGACGGTGAACTTGGTCTTGATGGAGCCTCTCATCAATGGCACGATTCCGACCTTGAATTTGACCCTCGGAAAAAATTTTAGCTATCCACTCAATCGGTACTTGGTTTCAACATCAAATGTTGCCGTCAATATTGACTTTGGCTCCGCTGGCTCATGGCTGAAACTTGATGAATCGACATTGACGATCGAAGGACAAGTGCCAGACAACCTTCAACCCGGTGTCATCCCTGCAAACATGACCGTGTCTTCTGATACCACCCACCAAACAAGTTCGCAGACACTCCAGTTGGCAATCCACAAGGCCGTGGTCGCAATCTCTTCAACTCCTGTCGTCAGCACTAGCACTACGTATACTCCTACTCCAAGCTCCAATGGCAGCTCGCAAGCATTTAGTGGACACGATTCAACCACGTCTCCAGCTGCCGGACCTCTCACCGAGTCTTCTGACGATCATAAGAAGGGAATAATAGCGGTCGCTATAGCTGTTCCACTTCTGGCTCTGATCGGCGCTCTTGCTATTTGCCTCGGATGCTTACGATCAAGGCGAAAGAAGAAGGCCAAGGCCAAAGCCAAGGCCGCACCGGTAGAGAAGGGACCCCGGCCAAGCTCTCCCCCAACAGCCATAGTTGATTCTTCGCATCCCAGGGTACCGGATGACGATCCATGGGATGAAGAGGATGATCTGAATTTCGAGAAGAGCCTCCACAGAACAACATCCCGTCCACCGCGCCTTTCCTTGAGTGCAATATTTGAGTCAAGCATCAGCCTTTCGCAAAGGGCACGTGGAATAAAAACAATTAGCGTGGATAAGGACATTGTTCCCGTAGACACTGCTTCTCGCCCAGACTTTTCGATTGCCGCGAACCGGTCAGCGACGCCGTTTGTTGTTCCGAACACAGTCGATACGACGCCCGCGACGTCCGCTCCTCCTGATTCTGCCCTTCATTCCCCGACTGTGGTTGTCTTTGATCCGTCGAGTACCATGGTAAAACCCTCACGGTCTCAAAAACGACTCTCCAAAGCCTCTAGAAAGTCAAACCGGCAATCTGGGGGGCCCGGTCTGCCCGTCAATCGGCCCATGAGTGGAATGGGTCACGGTTCTAGCGTTTATTCTCCTCCGAGCCGCAGCATTGTCGATCGCCTCTGGCATAAGCCGGCAAGCAGTAGTTTGTGGGAAACACTCAGCGACGTCAGCGGCCAGACCGAGGGCACAGACATGCTGGATGATTTCCCTCTTCCCCCCAAAGACAAATCTGGCTCCAACAACAACAAGACGCAACCAAAATGGCAACGAAAATCTATTCGCGCCATCAACAGTCCTCCTCCAGAGTCTCGTCTCTCCCTCAACGCCCTCCGCCAAGAATACATCAAGAAGCGAAGCACTGCGTCACCTTGGTTCGGCGGCGTGTCCTCTCGCACATCCATGTACTCACGGTCTTCATCGATTGCAGCCCAGCGTAGACGGCAGTCTTCTTTGCCTCCATTCTCTCTCGTCGCACTGACGCAGGCGAGCAAAGGCAATTCAGCCGACCTTAATCTTAATCGTCGAGACACTGTCCGTTCAGAATCTATTTACTCTCAACCCGAAGATCTTGTTGAAGTGCCTGCACGAATTATGACACGGCCGAACCCGCTCCGGACATCTCGGCGAAGTGCAAGTCAGCGCTATGCAGATCACATGGCCCGATTACGGCGGATGCCGACATCTTCTAGCATGCAGAGTAGTCGCAAATTCGAATCTGCAGCAGAGTCTTCGGCCTCGTCAGACGCATCTCATGTCGAGGATGGAAGCACCTACGTCGACATTCTCGGTGAAGATGGCCGCGCACAGTGGTATCATGTCGATCGGGATCATCAGGGACTAGACCGGCTCAATCAAGAGTTTGGTCGATTAACCCGACTAGATCCCCCACCCCGTGTCCACTATGACCATGTGGGCCGCGACAGCGATGGCAACATAATCGAGTACGGAGAGAACGAGAGGCCCCGGATCGAAGTCCCTTCTGTCGTGGTTCCCGTGCAGAGACTCTCCGGGTATAGAGCGGATGTAGGACCTCTTTCTACGCTGGCAAATGGCGCCAATGGGGAGCGCTTTAGATTGGTCGATCATAAGGGCAAGAGACCAGTCAGCGTGGAACAGCCAGAGAAGGACGGGGCTTTTGGGAGTCAGAGCGGATCGGTGAGATTTATTTAGAGTGTGTCGTTGCCGCGTCTGAGATGCAGCATGAGGCGTGTTTCTCGCAATGCATCCATGGCATCTACATCGCATCTCGTTCTTCGCTTTCTCATGTCATGTTTACGATTCTTCTTTTCTTTTCTTTTCTTTTTCTTTCTTATTCCCCCATGAGCTTATCATTACACTTTTCTTTTTTGGCCGTACCCGTAATAATGCTTGCTGGCACTGTTTTTCATGTTGGCATTGGCATTGTCCTGGGCATTTCTTCAGGCGTCTTTGCTTCAGAAATGCATGACGATGGCATTCATTTTTTTTTTCTATAAAATTATTTAGTTTCTTTTGGCCTGCTTCTTCATCTCTACGAGTCATGTCTAGACCCAAAATTCCATAGTCTTGATGTCTTCATTATTTCTGCGTCTCGTTTGCTCAACCTCAGTCAACCTCTTTTATTATATACAGGTATTTTGTGGTAAATAGAAAGTAACGCAGTCGATTAGTCAGAAAATCTTATTCTAAAACGAAATTCAAAACACTTCTTGTTGTCTTTGGTTTCTATTGCCTTGAGTTTCAATTATCAGGGAGCATTGTTGCCTGTTGCATTGTAGCATCGTTCCACTGTTGCGTTGTTGTGCCGACAGTATACAATGTAGGCATGTGGCTCTCCACATGTGAATGTTCGGCCTATGTAATTACATAAGGAATCCATTCTGCCAGAAACTGAAGATAGAGTTCAGCGGTTATAATTTGGGACAGTATCATAGTAAAAACAAACAGACTGGGAAATAAATGTCATTGTTTGTTTATTGTTTATTGTCCAATAGCAGAGAACCGGAAAACGTGGGTGGTCCGAACATTGAGTTAGGCAGGAACTTATTTTAGGTTCGGCGGTTTGGGGGGCGGGCGTTGGTCAAGGAATGGGCCGTCGGGCCAAGCCGGCGCCTCGGCCCTGCGGCGAGCAGAGTCGGTCGCTTAGAATCTGTCCACACTCGGGTATAGTTTAGTTATTACTTGCCTGTCCGGCTGTCAACCCGCAACCCCCTAGGTTAGTTATAACCAGTAGCGTCTATGTGCGTTTTTGGCTCGCTCTCTTATCCAGAATCTTTTGTGCAGAAGCATTTGACAGGGTGCTGATAGTTGATACTACCACGCATCTACGGCTTTTTGAGAGAGAGAGAGAGAGAGAGAGAGAGATGCTGTAACAAGGAGCTGTACCTCTAGGTAAGGCAAGGTAGGTACCTTAGGTAGTTAATATTTGGATGTAAACTTCACTGTACGGAGTAGTAATACTATTATTCCCCACTATCATTCCCAGCTACACAGTCACTCGCTGCAACGCTGCCTCATTCAATGCCACTATGTTCTATTTCCCACATAAAATCGGATATATAAAGGAGAACCACCCCGTCCTCTCCAGACCGGCAGGACGGGAGACCTCAATACCTCAACACGGCTACACATATGCAGAACATCTTGTGTAATATGCATAACCTTATCAACACAAAAAAGAATATAGAATAATGTGTATAACAAAGACTACTGCCCGCTTGTCTACGGGATTTACCCAACTTCGCGAGCAGTCGATGGATACGATTCTAATATTGTCGTTATGATATCTATACCTCTAACGTAGTGCTTTTGCAAGGTCAGAGCCCTTGGAATCTCGCAGTAGAGAAGATGGGACCCGAAGAAACTGAAAAGCTCGAAAGCTCGAAAGCTCGAAAGCTCGAAAGCTCGATTGTTGGGCTAGTACCATGTATTGGCCTTCGTGGAGTCTAAGTGTAAGAGTTTATGGGCTTCATGGCATTAATCGAGTGGCCTGGGTTGTGGTTTCAGAAAATACTGCCAGAATGATTTGTTACTATACCGGAATGCACAAGTCGGTTTAACGTGCCTGTGCAGCGACCAGTCTGAGATACAAAGTCTTCGGTATGTCAGCATTTCCTTTTCCGGGTTTATATCTTGCTGGTCATCTGTATTCCGTGTTCCGGATATGGCAGGTATCTCTGAGAAGTGAAATAAGTACTGACGGATACTAGTTAACAGTCTTCTTATGAAGATCCGTACGAAACGCTGTTCGGCGGTTCGCAGAGAACGTGACACCCACTGTAACAATGAACACCAAAAAAAGCATCATTTGCAAGACAAGGGTTCAAGGAGACCCTTTTCCTACCCGCCATCCAGCACTTCTTCAATATGGTGGCCCGGACGCCGTCGCAGTCGCAGCACCGGCAAAAACTACCTTTTACGCGACGCCGGGGGCGGTAGAAGTGGGCGAGTCTGGGTAGAGGTCTTGCTCAAAATCATCCGCGGCATTTGCATCAGACTGGACAATCAGAGATGGAATTCTCCGCCTGCCCCAGTAACAATTCTGCTGATGAGTTTCATCTCAAAAACTTATCACCTCGCTCGATCCGAAAAGCGTTTGCCATTTCCAGGGCTGGTGCATTTACCAATGGACTTGCGGACCCAGAAAACCTGCGACAAGAACATTCAACTGGCCAACCAGGCAAAGCATAAAGCATAGAACAGCACAATTATCAAGCGGCCTATGGTGGAGGGGGGCACCGCGTCATGGTGATATGGCGACCGGATTAGCGCTGAAGATCTGGTCACTGCCTCGCAGCAGGCAATACGGGTACTATTGGTTTCGAAGAATGGTCCATCGAATTAGCTGTTAAGCGGCATTGTCGCCACAAAGGGGAGCTCATTGACTGTGATTGAAACAGAATGTCTTCCTGCTCTGAAGTCAACAACTTTTTGTTGAATCTTGGTCAAAAATGTACCAACCTTACAATTCTTTCCAAGGAGATTTGTGCAAAAAAAATCCAACAACAATGAAGAGAAGCAAATCTCTTCAAGTTTGTGCCAATGCAGAAAATGTCAAGCTTCATGAAGCTTTTGAGACGGTTTCTGGAGCAGTATTCAAAACCAAAGTCAATGGAACATTGTTCTTGGTTGCCAACCCACCACACAAAATATCTGATCGTACTGGAGACTGCCTGCCACTCGTACAAAGTGTTCTGCGGGACCAGATGAGAATTGAGATATTCCCTAGTTCAAGTCCAAGGACTTATTATTCCCCTTACAAGAAAGAATAGTGCCACAGAACCCGTCGTTGCCTTTCAGTATACCTTAGCCTTGGTTTCAAGCATTGTTTATTTCTTTTTCTCGGCTTGATTCCCGATGTTCCTTTTCTTTTTCTTTTTTTTTTTTCGTCTCTTGATTCCTTAGAGAAGTATTACTATGCACTGTATGCGGTGAAAAACATGCGTACATAACATGCATTAGATATTAGATAACATGCATTGGTCATAGACTCATGGTTTATCTAGATTCTAGGACGCATTATGCATTGAACCAAGCACTAGTAAATCTGAGAATTACTTTCTGTTATTGTGTGTGTTTTAGATTTTTATTTCAATCTCTCTTTTTTTGCTTACCTTTTTTATTGTGTTTATTTTATTGGTTTATTTTATTTTTCATTTTTCATTTTTTATCTTTTATCTTTTATCCTTTTTTTTTTTTTTTTTTTTTTTTTTTTGGAAAGACATCATAAACATATATTTCTCGCCTCGTAATCCCAATAATGACACGAGTCGCAAATATCAAAACGGAGAAATGTGTCTTCTCTGTTGCTTCAATTTTTCTGTGTTATTCTCTTATTCTCTTCTGGCTCCCCTTCTCTTCTTAGGGTATTGTTTTCTGTTTTCCGTATCGAGTACCATGTTTTCCCACTCACGCCTCCCCGCGCTCCGGCGGGTTTGGAACTAACTTTTAGAGTTTTCGTTTAAATCGTATAAGGAATGCCGGGCCTACGGGGAAAGGATAACGATATTCAAGTGAGCAGACAGGGCCCCGTTATAGAGCTTAAACCGAGGACACCCTGTAACAGTTTAGCCGTGTTCCCCAAATTACCCTCCGGGACTTCTAGCCTTGAAAGCAGTAGCAGTAAAACCGTAGAGTGTCCATTGACTCTCTTGGTCCTGCGGCGGCATGATCACATGTGCTATGTCCACCGCTTTTGGCTCTTTGCATGAGAACAACAAAGGAATTATATCATCTTACATATTGAATTGCAAAAGCAGGATTCGAAATAGTCATTGCCATGAATAATGTGAAGTGTATCAAGTGCTATATGATTCATGTTTTGATGACTATATCAATAGGATTTCTCGTTGAGAGTAGTGCAAAAGGAAAAGGAAGTTGTATATAAAAAGGAAGTTGTGATACAGAAAGGAAAAGGGATTTGTATATACTGCAGTTTATATCAAACTAGGTAGGTAGCTGGCTCATATAAAACAAATATCACAAGGTCCAAGCTACTATTACTAAATACTAAAACACCAAAAGTACGCAAAGAACCCAAAGTGCCCAAAGTACATAAAATACTCAAAACGATTTACCACTATAGCATCACACAAAGTCCAAACACCAACAGCGCAATCGCTCCGCATGCTCTCTCAACCCATGCGGTTCTCGAGTCGCTCATCCTGGCAGCTCCACTCGAAGGCATCTTGCCTATGACCGGTCCGTCAGTCGTAAATGCACCTGATTTGCCCGAGATCGTAGCTGTCGCCGTACACGCTGCACCACATGCGTAGCCCGACGGACAACAGCCCCCGCCGTCGGTGGATGCGCACTTGAACCAGCCGCTTGCGCATGTTCCTTGTTGTGATTTAGACACTGACGCCGGCGAGGACGACGAGGAGGGTTTTGTCGGAGTGTTGGTGCTGCGGCTGCTGCTTGAAGAAGATGAAACTGCTGACGTAGACTGCTTGTCCTCCGAAGAAGGAGAAGACGGCTCTGTCGTGGCAGAGGCAGGGGCGACAACAGTCACGCCATGCGTATTCACATCCGTAGTAGACGATCGGGGCGGACAAGATGCCGTGTCGCAGTTACGGTCCACGCGACAGCATCCGCCGAGGTAATATGCACTGCACATGTAGAAGCCTGTGGGACATACGGAAATAGTAGGACTGCTGGATGGAGAAGGCGACGCAGAGGTAGATGCAGATGTAGAGACGGTAGTAGGACGAATTGGTGGGCCAGCTGAGGCTGCGGCAGAGGATGAGGATGCAGGGGAGGTAGAGGAAGCCGGACATTCGGCGAATCCGCATTCGCGCGAGGAAGGACAGCAGCCGCCTCCAAGAGTCGCAGGGCAGGATTTATATCCCGTGGAACAAGTCAGTGGGGTCTGGGACAGCGGCGGCTGGGAAGGACTGGGGGTAGTTGAGAAAGAAGCAGAAGAAGGAGAAGAAGAAGAAGAAGGAAATAATGACGATGACGATGATCCGGCGCTGGAAAGAATAGTAGGCGTGGCTATGGTCCGGATAGTGTTGGTAATTGTGGTTACAACGGTGGTGGTGCCGACGTATGCGCCTGGTGGTTAAATTAGCTTTCCGTCGGGTCTCCTTTACTGCTTGAAAAGAACAAGAGTGGGCGGAGAGGAAATAAAAAGAAAAGAGGGGTCGGGAAAGGGGGAAGAGTAAGAAAAGAACAAAATAATTATCACAAGAAAAGAAACGTACATCCAGATCCCAAGCAGGTATAATTTGGAATACAGCACCCCCCGCCAGGAAAATTGGGACAACTTGAATATCCCGCCCCGCAGGTGCTGACTTGTCCCGAACATGTCTGTCCCGCTGGACAGCAACCGACATCGCCGAGGCCAGTGTCGGTAATTAACTGACACGTCTCGCCGTTGGCGCAGCAGCTGTCTGGTCGGCCGATGGATGAACAATTACTGGTGCCGGCGGGACATTGGAAGCCTCGTTGGAACAAAGACTGCGCTTTGCGAGGAAGGTAGCGGAGGCTGGGATGCCGGAGCAATAGTGGGCTCTCTTTTTCATCTGTATGCTGCAGGAATGGCGGGCTGAATGACAGAGGTATTGAGGTGTTGGCGTACAGTGAGGAGTCTTGATTGTCAGTGGTATCTATCGCTGCTCGTTGTCGGAGGTGGGCTGGTGATGCTGCAGTCGCTGACGCGCCGTCATTCTCATCATCTGTTCCGCTTGGTCCGAAAATCCAATAGTCAAAAAGAAACTTTTCCCCTGCGTCTTCGCTCATCTTTTTCACGCCGATGGGGACTTCTGTGGCCAGCCGTTGCTCAATGTCAATGCCACGTTTGACGTGGAATTCGTCTTCTGGAAAGTATTTGACATGCGCAGGGAGATTGTACGGCCATGGTAGCTCAGGTTCAGTCGCTGATACTGACCCTGCGGTGGTTGCGGCAAGCGCTAGCAGTGCTGCGCGCAGCGAGGCTATTGGAAGCAAATGCTGCATGCTGAGATGTAGGTGTTATAGGTGAAGACTGTACTTGGAAAGGGTCGGCTGGGGCCAGTCAAGTTTAACAAGATATGCCCGATATTTCAAGCCTTGCTGGAAAACAAACAGAGTTGCTATCTTCCCGAGCAAATGAAAAAGTGTGAAATGTCGTGAGTGGTCGTTTCTTCGTATAGCTTCGTATAGCTTCGTAATGCTCTCTTCTTAAAAGTCGTAGTCTTCGTAGAATCAGATACTCAGGGTCGAAAACCCAGAGCTCGACTGCCCGGCTGCAGATATATATGGTCTCTCCGAGATTGCAACCAACTTTGCGATGCTTCCATGCGATGTGCCAAAGGGCAGATAATATGATAGACAGGCAACGCAACAAGACAGAAAACTTATGAAAAAAAGTCTGATGAGTAGATGACGAGAGAAGAAACAAAAATCTAAAGCTGCTGTCTCAGATTTTGCGCGAAAATAAGAGGAATCTTAACATGCATTCATCGGCCATTCATATTTCTTATCCCGCCTCACAAAGTGAAAAGATATAGGACTAGAAAACGTGTAAAAGAGAATATGGAATTCATGAATTCATGCCTGCGTTTAGTTCTGTACAAATAAATCTATCCTAAAAAATGTCGTTTCTCATCATGGGCTATCAACCTGCGTGGCTGTCAGGTCGGAAATCATGAGGCTGGGAGGTTCGCCAAAGTGTGGACTGGCAGGGATGCTATTTGATACGTGAATAACCAATCCATGTCATGTCATGTGGGTCGCCGTGGTACTCACCGCCACACCCGCCACAATAAATCTGTCAACCGTTCTTCCTTTACGATAAGACCAGCAAATATTCTTCTACACAGTAAGAACACATTGGCAATATAATTCCCTTACAAATGACTTGTTTAGAAATAAAATGCATAATAAAAAGACGATATAAACGCCTAGATCCATTAGCTAGATGCAAAGAAGATTTCTATGCGAGTCTGTAACATAAGCAAGGTAAACAAGCCACCAAGTCCATAGACTCTCAACGACCTGGCAGTCGCAAAGTATCCTGATTTTGGACTGTCAGTTAAACTCCGATGCCAGCATATTGGAAACAAGTATAAACGCCTAGGAATATGCTAGCAATAACAACGGCAGCCTCCGCTCAAATGGCGCAGAGACAAGTTCAAAGCCATGATAAAAAAAGAAGCTCGCCATCTAAGTAAATGGATATTATCGCAGCAGAACGCCATAAAATGAGCAAAAGCCTATGTAATAAAAGACATCTCCAGAGATGCCGTGGTCAAAGATTCGTCAACGAATCAAGGAATATCAATTCAAATGAGCGCTCGCTCATGCTCAGGCACCGACTCGTCATCTGCAACAGAGCTGTCGTCCCCCTTTGGTTGCTCCGACTGGGCACTCGCATCACGTTCGTTAAAAGTAGCCTCAACATTTTTTCCGGAGCCCGCTCCTGCTTCTCCATTCTCGTCCGAGTCAGTAATGACAGGCTCTTCTTTGGCATCGGCAAACTCAGGTTCAGGGCTGGTAACGCCGCCATTCTCATCATAAGGCGGTGGCAGTTCCGTTGCACCCTCGGGTTCTATTGCAGCAGCAGCATCTTGATGGGTGGCCATGGATTGCTCGCCGGGCGCATCTTCTGCCATCGCGCGCTTATTTTGCTTCTCCCAGACCTCTCGTCGGATTCGCTCGTCCTTGGCCTTGCGCAAACGCTCAGCTTCCTCGACGCCGCCACTCTTCTTCAGCCGGCCTTCTTCGACGAAACTTCCAAGTTCTCTCTGAAATTCTCCGCCACGCCGAGACTCGAGCTCCTTTTGCCGTGCCTTTTCTGCCCGCTCAATGGCTTCAAGTCGAGTCTCGTGGTTAGGCTGCAGCGCACGTACTTCGTCGAGCACGCCATCCTTGGCCTTGACAGGATCAACATCTTGATCGAGAGCGACATTGCTAAGGCTTCGTGGCGTCAGGCGTCCGCCCTGTTGCACATTTTGTTGCTTCGTCGCTTCCTCGACAAGGCCAAATGTTTCTGTAAGCTTCTCCAGGTCATCCTCCAAGTCGGCGACAAGTTCCTCTTGCATGGTGAGAAGGTCTCGGTCGTTGCAAACCAGCTCCAACTCTTTCTCCCAGATCTTGGTCCAGATAGGCTTCTCACGCTTGAGAAATTCTTGCATCTTCCGCAGTTCCTTGGTCGCGACTGATATCTCTTTACCCGCCGCATCCAATTGTCGAGGCAGAGGTCGAACACCTCGCGAAACAACGTCTTTTCGGAGATCTTCGACCATGTCCTGAAGGTCGTCAACGCGATTGACGATCCTCTCAGAGTCATCGCCGAGTGACTTCTTCCCAGCATTGACATACGACCGGCCGCTCTCTGCAGACATTGGTGGTATAGCAGCTGCAGACGCATTCGTCTTGATATTATTGGCTTTTGTCCTAACTGCAGTCATGGAGCCTTCGATGTCAGACACGAAGCCCGAAAAAGTTTGGCGAACCACGGCAAGATCACGACGGAGACTCTGGATTTCGTCGACTTGAGCAGTGCGATCAACCGAAGGTTTGCCTTGCACTCCATTGACGGGAGCGATCGAAACCTTTGATGCTCTATTCGATGGAGCTGGCGGTGCGGCTGCGAGGCTTGCCATATCCTTGGCGGCGGCCTGCTGTCGATCCGACACTCGTTGCAGCGCTATGGCCTGCTCGTCTACAACTGATCGCATCCCTTCCATCATTCGTCGCAGCCCCCCAAGCCCGTCGTCAATATGGCGCTTGACCTCGTCGAGAGCCTCCACATTCAGCACCAGCACCGAGCGGTCCTTGACATCGGCCAAATCCTCAAGCTCATGACGGACACCAGAGACTGGGTCCTGAATGTATATCTCCGGTAGATCAATGCCGTTACTATGCGTATTCCACGCAAACTTTTCAATAAAGGCCAACTGTAGTCGCGCAATGGAGAGATCGCTTGAGCCACCTGGCAAAACAAACTTCTTCACATTGCTCTTATATTGTAAAAACAATGTCAATTCTTTTCCAGGTTGAGGAGATTGATCCGGCACAAACTGCTGGGACTGTACTGGGGTCGACGGAGCGTTAGGTTCTCCTTGTGGTGGAGAGAGCTGCTCGGAAGATTCCTCAGATGACAGTGCCTGAGAACCCGCAGTCAAATTGGCTTCGGCTTGGGCAATAGCTTGAATAGCACCCAAATCCGTCGGCGGTCGTTGCAGGGTTGCCCGCATTACTGGCACATCGTCGTCTTCGGAAGGGGCATCGCGAAGCAGTTTTCGCTCTGGTGAGGGGGAGGCATCACTCCGTTCTGGAGAATGGGACACTGGCTGGCTAGCATGCGATGCTTCCTCTGAGATTTTGCGCGGCACTCCGGACAAACGACTGGGCGAAACGTCACCCTGCAGGCGATTGGCAGACCGCTGGCGAAATGAAGCTCTGGTGCGGACAGCATTGATTGACTCTCGCACGTCGCGACCTCGATTCGGCACCGGAGAATGCTGCGTCGGAGGAAGCATGGGAACCCCACCAGGAGATGCTCCGAGATGCTTCGAGATTTGATATTGAGAATATCTTCGTGACGCCCTTCTCTCCAATTCTCCGCTCCGTTGAAGAGTGGCAAACGCATCCTGCTGCTTGGGTGGTGGCGGCGGGGGAGTAAACGATGAAATGTCGACCGATTCGCGCATGGCTCTTGCGGTTTGCTCAGAAGACGACATATTTGGAGGTAGCGCGGGCACATTTTGCATCACATTTGATGGTCTCGATTGATGGGTTGGAGGATGCGGGCGACTTGACGAAGAAGGTCTTGCCTCGCCGTTGAGCGTATTGAAGCTTTCCGACCGGACCGGGGACGCCCTTCCCCCCGCTGTTGTAGACGACGTGCGAGGTGGAAAAGCGTGTTCATCGGGAACGCCACCACTGCCATAACGACGGGAGGATGTCCTTCCTTGCGATGTGCCATCATCGGCTCCATGTGCTAATTCTCCACTTCCTGTGCTCCCCACACTACCCTGCCGCGAACTGGCACTATGATTCAGCGTCCCCTGCTCCCGGGCACTACGCTGGCGTAATCTCTGCTGCTTCCGCTTTAGACCGTGTAAAAGGTTGATGATGATATCGCGAATTCGCGGCAGATAGCGATCGAGGCTCTCCGGACTCGCTTCTTGGCTCAAGGTTTCCTCTAAGATGCTTCGGAGCAAATCTGGGACGGGGCCAAGATCCGATGTCTCAACCCCAATAGTAGTAAAGGTGCGACAAGCAATATTGAACTCATATCCAAGGCGGACGTAAACATCTGACACCTCTGATTCTGACGCAGTCTTGCGAGACCATTGGGTTAGGGTCTCCAATAGCTGCTTTGTTGCCACCAATAAATGCGTCACACTCTTTTCTATCTGCGAGAGTTGTGGTGACGGCTGTGTGCACCTCAGGGTCAGCTCTCGTTCACGCCTCCTTTACTCGGCTTCCCTTGCCATTCACTGCTCAAAACACCTTTCCTGAGTTGCTGGGTGACTTACATTGGGTCGACGGTTTGTAGAAGATCGAGTTGATGCTGAAGAATTTCTCTGATCAATAGCACTCGCTAGTAGCGCATTTGCTGAAGCGCCATCCTCTGGGACGGGAGATGGCCGTTGCATTGACCGCTGAGACGCTTGCGGAGCGTGCATGGCCGCAACTCACTGCGGCAATGGCTCAATGTAAAGGGGGCTTCTGCAGTCCGAGTCTGTTTGGCTATCTCGAAGGTCTTTCAAAAATAATGAACAATAAAATATAATTGTAGGTGACAGAGCCAGAATGCCTCGGCCACAGCTCGATCAACGAGAAAGTTTCCGATTGTGATAGTTCCAGGTGATGAGCAGACGAGTCAAGTTGGAGTTAAGTTAACGGATATAGCAAAGCCCCATGCAGTATTTACGGTAGTGTGTAGAGACCATCAATGAGGCATCTATCAGGTGGCTGGTGATGCACGTGAAATCACAGCCCACATCAATTACGGTGAGACATAAAACCCGAAAATGCATTTCAATTTCCAAAAGCGGTAGGAGGGCCTTCAGCTGCAATTTAGTATCTCTACTTCGACAAAGGATAATCCTTGCAGGCATGTCAAAGTACCAACTACTCTGGTACGCTCTGATGACCTTGAGCTGCTTGGGGCATCAGGGTCCAATAATTGATTTCTCGCTAATTTATCCCTCTAGATCCTTTCGATCTGTCTTCCTTGGCTTAATTTGCAGTGTCAAAAGTCTCAATGTATTACACCAGTTTGTCTACATGTTCTTGTCTGTTACAAGGAGTAAAAATCTAGTATACAGCTGAAGCATGTAGCTCATTCTAGCCTTTCCAATTAGATGCAAATGGCCGTTGAGAGTTGTGTGGGGGATGTGTATGCACATGCGTGTGCGTGTGTCCGTTCAGCGTGAGTCCATGGTTGGTGCTTGCCAAGCGCGTCTGGGGAACCAAGCAGTGGTGGGTGAAACTAAACCACATTGGGATGGGTATCGTCCAAGGCTCTCACCATGGCAGCCGGAGCCAGGTACCGTACCGGCAGGTAAAAGTGTCGACGGGTGAATTTGGCATAGTAGATGAATTTGTGAAATTCAGCCAAGTGTTCAATTGAATCTCCACGATAGACTATAAGAACTTGGTTCGAACTTGGTGGCGTCTTCTTTCCTGATGGATGTTTGATCCAGGTATCCGAGTAGGAAGAGACGTGCGTCTACCGATACGATAATTCGACACTGTGACAGCAAGAATCGTCGTGTATCTGCTCTTTCGGCTCAAGCTGTCAGAAACACAACGTTTGACCTTGGGCTTCGCTGCTGTCAGTCCCTCCTTGGGGTAGTACCAAGGGAAAGCAAACACATCTTGTGCTCAACTCATTCTCAAGATAATACTCGAGTTTGATCATCTCTTTACCTCTAATAACATCAGGTATCATCACAATTTCCTTCTCCGCCTCGTCTTGGATTTCCCTCGCTTTCCCTACAACCGGGGATCAGGAGCCGCGGGGCAGACACAGTCAATACGCTGCAAGTCTTGCCCAATCCAGATAACTCTATCTCCTTCCTTCTTCCTTCGTCTCTCCCTCTTCTACCTTTCGCTCTTCTGTGCAAGTACTCCATCTCAGTCCTGCACAAATTACCTATCATCGCTCTTTCTCGAAGCCCATAACGACTACGACTCCGCTTTCCATTTTCCTCTTATTACCAATGGTTCCTCAACTGATGATCAGTCTTTTGTTCTAGTCATTGCAATTCCCTGACGTCTCCTCAGTCCGATCGTCACGACAACGGGACCGAGCGAGGAGGAGAGGACCCTCGAAACGAGACGAAGAGCGAGACGAGGCCGATCGCGCGCCAATTGGGGAAAGCTTCCCGCTCTCTCAAACGAAGCACAACCCACCTCACAACCAACCCACGCAACGTCTCGACCTAACTCTCCCCCATCATCACCCTCCACCCAAATTTCTTCCGTCAACCTCAAAAATTTCGAGGGTAAACATCCACACTCATCCTGCTCTGAGGTTGTTCGACCCCACTCTGCCTCTGCGCCGCGCGAGCGCTCTTCTTTCCTCCTTGGTCTTTTCTTTTTTTCACCTTTGGACCCTCATCTCCTTCCCATCTTCGGCCGCGCCAAGCTGCGACAATCACTGTCTCGGATCGCGAAAATCACCGCTGTCAATTTCGCGACCATGGCGTCTCCGGCCACAGCCTCTCCCGTTTCTGTCAACGGCAGTGCTCCTAATGGTGCTTCGTCCAATACATCTGCAGACTCTTCTACGAACACGGGCGGTAGACCGCAATTAAAGTCAACCTCGAGCGGCCGATCTCTCGATGCCAATCGACGACAGGCACCCAGCCCAATGGAAGCTACGCAGCGGTGAGTTCTCTTCCTCTTTTAGTTTTCTTCTCGCCAACGCCCACCAAAAATGAGCCGTGCACGAATCATCGATAAAAGGCACATGTCACAGTCTGCCATCACAGGCCTGGCTGCTGTGCACTATTCTATAGACATCGATTCCCGATGGACTCATCTTGAAAGCTAATTGAAATGCAATAGAAAATCGCCCGCTCCAAAGGCCTGGGCACAGGGCACGACGAACCCCATTACACAGCGTCCCTCGAACTTCAATACTTCGAATGGCAACGCAGCCCAAAATAAGCCTGCTAACCCACCTAAGACTTCAAACGCCGTTTCAAAGGAAACGAACACACCAGAGAAACATGCCAATGATAGACTAGTCTATCTGCTGGCCAACTTTATGGTAAGTGGAGAAATCTTGCCAACAAGGCCCATGTCGCGTCGACATCCAAGGCCACTCAACAATTGGAGTTGTTGGCCACACAATGCATTTTTTGTGTAACTGGCGCGCTCCCACATACAGAAACGCTAACGATGAGTGTCTGTAGGGTCTGCAATCGGTCATCACCGTCAAAAGCGGCGATAAATTTTCCGGCATATTTTCGGGCGCTTCCCTTGATACGAACGAATCCGCTTACGTCTTGAAGATGGTCAAGCAAATTGGTTTCGCTAATAACGATCGTGTAAATGGCGCCACCGAGCATGACACTTACATTGGCTCTGGCGCAGATTTCTCAATGACGTTTGAAATCAAGGATGTCATTGATCTTGCTGTCGAGGAGGTCAACTTCCATGAATCTCGTCCTAAACCCTCCAGCCGTGAGTGCCCTTTATTCGAACTCTAAACTGTTTAAAGATCTAGAATCTAATTGCTTCGAGCTCCAGGCGCTGGCTTTAGAACAGATACAGATATCTCTAGCGGCTTCGCTGCTCGCGAAAGGACTCTTCAACGCTGGGAGCCTTCTGCCGATAGCGAAGTGGATATGTCCCTCGAGTCCACTACTGGTGCTGCAGGCTGGGATCAGTTTGAGGCCAACAAGCGCCTCTACGGTCTCGAAAGTGATTACGATGAAACCATGTACACCACAAGCATTAATCGAAACAGCCCATTATATCACCAGCGAGCCGCCCACGCAGAGAGAATCGCTCAAGAAATTGAATCTGGAAATACCACCAATGCGCACGTCGCTGAAGAGCGGGGCATTAAATTGCCCGACAGCGGTCTCTCTGAGGAAGACAAGTGAGTATTCAGGAAGGCACACCGATAGAGTTTTTATCTCTGACAAGAGCAACAGATATAGTGGTGTTCAACGAGGCGCGGCCGAGTTTCCTCCGCTCACTTCTGGTAGACCAAACAAATATACTCCTCCTGCAAAGCGGCCCCCTACAGGTCAACCCACTGTTCCCGGCGCTCCAGTGGACCCTGCCATTATTTCGTCCCAGATATCTCGTGCTAGTTCTGCCGCTGCAGCAAAGAAGCCCGCAGAATTCAAGGCGACAGAGAACAAACCAGCTTCCCCGGCGACGATTCCAGGGGCTACTCAGCAAACTGTTGTTGCTCCTGCTGATACTGACAAGCTTGGTGAAAAGCCTGCCGAGAAAGCAGCGGAAAAGCAGGCCGACAAACCAACGGAAGATACGACTGAAGCTGCAGCCACGGCATCTGTTCCAACAAAGGAGGCTGATTCCACAGCGGCATTGCCGTCAAAGCCAGTTCAATCCATCAAGACGCCAGAACTGGTTGCTCCCACAAGCGGCAAGCCGGGTGCACCCTCCGTCCCAGCAGTAGCGAACCGAACAGGCCCGGAAAATGCAACTGCAAATGTGGAGACTGAATTGTTGGATTCCTTCAAGCAGTTTGCCAACTCTGAAAAGATGCGCGTGCAGGAGCGCAAACGCAACCAGGCGTCGCATGACAAGGCCATCAAAATTAACGACCTCATGAAATTCTCAAAGAACTTCAAACTTATGACCCCTGTCCCCAAGGATCTGGTCCCAATCCTCGCAAAAGATAAGATGAAGCAAGAGGAGATCATGCTCAAGGCACAAAAGGCCGCGGAAGAAGCCAAAGCTGCTGCGCCAAAGTCCCCGGCCAAGGCTATGCTTGTTGGCGGCGCTGAATCAAAGCCGACGCAACAGCGACCAGTTTCTACCGCCAGATACGACCCCGGAACCAGCGCACCAATGTCGCCCGCCGATCGTCAAGCTCAACTGCGAGGACGATCAGCCTTCTCACAGGCGTCATTTAACAACCATCATGGGCCCAGAAATGATCGAGCTTTGCCTGCACAGAATATCCCTAGCCTGTCTCCCCGTGGACCTGCCTTGAGCCAGCGTCTTGCAAACATTCAACAGCAGAATCGCGCAGGAGCCCCGCATTCAAACGTTCCATCGCCTATGCCGATTCAAGAAGGCCGACTGCCACCTACTGGACCGGCAATGGCCTCTACACCCGGTCTTCCCCACCCGCTCAAGAACGCATCTATGGCGCCTCCGGGTGGTGCTGCCAGCACCAAGTTCAATGTGAAAGCGCTTGAGTTCAAACCGAATCCCGCCGCTACTTCCTTTACTCCTGGCCGACACTCGAGTATTTCCTCTAGCCCTAAAGCCGCACCTAGCGCAGCTCGACCTACCCCACGCGTTTCTTCCCCTGCCACCTTTTTTGGAAACAAGAAGCCGCTTCCATCATCCGAGCGCCCTTCGATCAGCAATGCGTTTAATCCAATCAAGCGCATGAAGACGGAGGCCGAGGCTGAGAAGAAGGATTTCTCGTCCAACGGAGGCATCAAACACGCTTACGCCACTCCTCCAACCTGGACTGTGACCAAGGAAAATGAAAACAAGACGTACCTCGACATGTTTGAAAAGGTCACTTTTGTTCCTCACACCACGTCCCCCGCACACGTGCCTCCCATGAACGCGCAGTTGCCTCACCAGCATCAATTGCCGTTCCACCTACAACAGGGTGCCCCGGGCCTCCCGCCAACGCAACTTCCTCTCCAAGGGCCGGTGCATCCGCCTCATTTCCCGGCTGCCGGCCCTCACCACTTTGACGATCATCGTATGCATCCGTCGAGTTCTGCTTCTTCGGTCTTTCCTTCTCCTCGCCTTCAGCAGATAAATATGGCATATCCTTCGCCCATGCCCCAGCCCGCCCAACTTGCCGCCTACGGGCAGCCAATGCCACAGTATGCTATGGCTCCTGCGGGCCCTCAGTTGGCGCACCTTAGACAGTACCCAGGAGCCCCACAGTTTGTTAACGCCCCTGGTGCGCACCTTGGGGCTCCGATGATGGTTCATCAGCCAACGGCTCCGTTCATGGGCATGCCCCAGGGAATGGGAGTGCCCATCGCGCCACAAATGGCCATGTATTCACCCAGTCAAGGTCACGCTTACGCTCAGCATGCTGGGCCCCCGCCACCGCCCCCTGGATCAAACGGTTACCCAAGTCCGGGACGGGGCGCTCCCATGATGATACACCAAGGATCTCAACCCGGACAAGCACCTCAGCAGATGATGTGGATGAGCCCCGGCCACCAGGCGCAACCAGTGTTTGCGCCGCAACAACCCGGTCAGAGTAAGTCTGCTTCCCAACGTCGGTAATTTTTCCTTTAAAAATAAAGGCCACTCAGCAATTGACAAAAAGCGACTCAAAAGTGGCGCCGATGAGGGCAGCATATCCACCGCCTCAACAACCGCCATTTGGAACCAACCCGCACCAACCGCAACAACTACCACCGCAGCCCCATAGGGCTGGACCCAACGGAACATACGCTCAGCCCATGCCTCCTCACCAAGTCGCACAACCGCCTCCATCTGTTGCAGCCGCTTCTCACGCACCAGAAACAACGGGAGAGGAAAGCAAATGATACCGGCCGCTGGACTAATTCGTCGTTTCCTGTCCTGTCCGAGCTCTCTGATTTGTGCTTCAATTAGAGACGCTGCAGTGCAGCCCTGTATTATTATTCCTCATTATCATCTCCCTTACTCTTGCAATCATTTGCATTACATCGAATGCATATAGCATGGTGCTGGCTGCTTTTTGCTACGGATCCAGTTTTCAAAGAAGGGGCGCATATGGATTGCTTTGAGCCGTCTACAGTTGTTGTCGCTGCATGGCTTTTCTTTTGCACGGGTTGGCTCTTTCTTCGATTCATCCTCTTACCGTTTAGCGATTTGGCGTTGTGGTGCAGTTTGGTTGGAAAATCCTTCGACGTATTCAACATTTTCCTATAAATCACGATATCCGGGTCTCATTTGTCGACAAAGCCAACTCGGTGGCGACGTAATGAGCGACGGCAGCCTGGATAGCGCGGGGGGGTCCAGTGGATATCAATTGCATATTATGGATGGCAACTGAGGTTGGAGGTTGGACATCAGCTTCTAACATTGGGGGAGACGATGGACTCTGGAGCGTGGGATGGAAGAGTTGCTATCGTTGCTATTACATCATGGTACCTTTTATAGTACTTGTTAATGGCACCGTTTGTATAGAATAGCTCTCCATGGCACCGTTTTATAGCTACTCTTTTGCTACATATATTGAATCCACGTCACATTTGACCAGCATACACGTTGTCGTTTGTATTGCATGAAAGATCCCTTGTCGCTAAGAGATGGGTCTATAAGGCCCCACGGAAGACATGTAAGATTGTGATAACTTGTCTTTTCTTGGGCGCAGTGGTAGATTTACATTGTGAGACCACAAAGGATTGATTGTTCGGGGGGTAAATACTAAAGACATGGAAATGCGAGGAAGTATCAGAGCTATCGGATGTGATCTTGAGAAGCGCGGAGGGATCTAAGGAGAAAAAAGTAAGATGCGGTAGAGTGGTGCGAAGAAGGGAATCGGATAAGTATAGGTAGGTTTAACAGGATATAGGATCTCTTTTATAGAGAATTGAAAATTGAAAATTGAGCAAGTGAACAAGTCTGATATGATGCTAGACGAAAGAGGGGGGAAATGGTTGGACGGACCGAGATAACGACTAAAAAGGAGGAAGAAGGGAGGGAGCTGGACTAGGCGGCTAAACAGAAATGGTTTGATGCAAAAAGTTATGACGACCCATTACTATTCTTTCTAAAAGAAACTTTTTCGACGGCGACGTTTTCCACGCCGTTGGCGTCTTTGCGGAGTTGATATACGTAGAGAACGAGGACGTTTCCTTGGACCTAGATGATGTAAAATTACCACGGTTAGTATCAATGCGGCTACCACACAATGGTTTCTTAGGTACGACATTGCATCCATAGACCCCTTTGCAGATCTTGAAGAAGAGAGGAATAGAAAAATCGAAAAAGAAAAGAAAAAGAAAAAGAAAAAAGAAAGGGAAAACGAAGAGAAGAGAACAAAAAAGAAGACGTACATCCATGAGACAAAAGCTAGGCGTGGGCTCCTCTCCGTCGGCCCACCATCCTGTGCTCAGCGCACCTGTCGCACTACCAGGGTTCACAAAGAACTTGCCCTCCAGCTCATACGCCTCGAACCGATGCGTGCCGCCCCAGAGCAGCACATCGACATCCATCTGCCGCGCGGCAATCAACAAGCTGTCCGCATCGCCCGGCGGAACGATCGTGTGGCCATGGGTAAATCCAATCCGTAGCGATCCGTGCGTGACGACCTTTGAGACAGCCAGGTTCGGAGAGTCAACGTCAAAGTCACCCCGTACGATTTGCAGGTCTGGGGCAATGCCGCGCAGGAATTCGAATGTCTCTTTGTCTGTCAGGTTGCCCAGACATAGAATCTGGCCGATTTTGCCGGGACTCAGGAGTTTTTGAAACTAATGAAAAGGGAATATTGTGAGTAGGATTCTTTTTGAGAATAAGGTGATGAATTTGTATGCTTGGAAGTACCTTTTGAGGAATGGCCTAATTGAATTGGAAGAACATTGTTAGCTTCATAACGGTAGGTGACCAGAGAGGGGGGAATGAGCTTACTGGTGCGCGATCAGGAATGAATAAGTCCCCCAGAACTAGAACGAGCCGTGATGCCATCGCGATAGAGTGAATGGTATAATGAAATTACAAATATAAAGAGCGGACAGCGCCGGTTGCAGTGGGCTTGTTGACTTGTCGTTGAAGCTTTTTGGAGGTCGGCGATATGTGTGATATCAGCTCCCAAACCCGCGTTTGCCATGTCGTACTACGGTAGGTACCGTTTGTAGCGATAGTCATGCTAAAATTAAGTTACTTTAACCCCGCGAAATTGGCTGGGGAGGCGAGTCGCTTGGGAAATACATGTTGACGTTAACCTAAGTTGCCTCTTCTGCCAAAAGAGACATGTTAGTCGTTATTGTGCAGAGAGGGTCTACATGACTGATATTGAATTCGATTCCTAATGGCGCTGGTCCAATGGTGGAGTTGGTTGTTACCTTTTTCTGTCATTGCCATCAGGCCATCTGTTCCGTTCTCGCAAGTCACTTCTCCATTTCACTGAGGAGGAAAACAGCGACACGGATGATCAGAAAAATTACGAGAAGATGGCCGGGAATGACGGAAGGACCGACTCTCTCCGGTATTCAGCAGTGATAGCATCATCTTCGTGACTCGAAGATTCTAGACTTCAATCTCACCTGGTCCTTGTCCAAGGTTCAATCGAACCTCATTCCCTCTTGACTTGGATGTCAGACAACGTCTAGGAGATCGAATTTAGATGGTAAGTTTAATTTTATTTCCTCGATTGATTCATGCTAATTGTAAGATTTTAGGCAGAATCCAACCATCTTCTCTCTCCTCCTGAGGCTGAACGCCGAGAACTCCGGAATCTCCGCCCGCGCCCCCAATCAATAGTACTCTTGCTTACAGAAGAGACTTCATCTACACGTTCATCTTGTGGCAATTCCCGTCGACCGAGAAACAGAAAGCCGCAGAAGTAGCAATTTGTTGGGGCAGTCCGATGTATATAATGGATGGAGGCACCGTGGAGCAATTTAACCGAATTTTTGCAAACAAATGTGTGTTTACCTCAGAGCTGCATAAGTCGCTGCAAGATCATTTCCTCCGTTACCGTCAGGTATGTCAACAATTTTATTTCCTCGTCTTCTCTTGGTTACGAGTTTTCAAGAAATGATTTAACTAAAGTGTAGACAGCAGTTTTAAGAAATCTATTCTACGGTGGCTATTGGGGTTTCCTTACCGGCTCCGGAGGAAACTACTTTCTCCCAGATGCCAACGGCGAATAGGGGGGACGAGCCTGGGTATATGTCTTGCTCACAATCTTCTGCGTTGTCTCCATCGGGCTTGAAATACGCGGAGCATATCAAGCCAGACGCGCAATCACTGAACGGCCTACGATGGAGGGGCCCCAGTAAATGAGATGTTTATATTTTTTTGTGTTTGGTTTATACTACTTTTTCACTTGTAGCCGGCACAGCAAGGTTCTGCTGAGGCGGGAAACATGGTGATGTTAGCACATAGTTATGGCACATCTAATGGCAAATACCTCATCAATGCAGGCTTCATGGCATATCCAAGCAATCTAGTACTGCCAATTGAGATTGAGTAGATGCAGAAACCAGTCAGCTTTGATCTTTGCAGCAAGGACATTGTAATCAAGCCTCTGCAATTGAACAAATCAAGCAGATAATAGAGCAACAGAGTGGAGAAGTAAAAGTCTATTATAGTGCTAGTCATGGATTCAGTATTCGTGCAGACCTTGTCCTGTTGGACGCCCAAAAACGGGCAAATGAATGCCGGAAACAGGCTCTGCATTGGTTTAACAGGCATTTCCAGGGCCTTTATTAAGGGCTTAGACATATAGTCGTATAGTTGTCTGAATTTTGCTGTAGGAAGGTTATAGAAACTGGATAAACTGTAGTCTTTGCTGATAATCACGATAATCACTAATGTAATCATCGGTCCGAGGCGATCTCCGTAGTCTCCACTTAGGCCGCTGTGGTCCGATAATTGTCCACCGCGACTGCATTACCTCTATTGTTCTCGCACAATTCAACTCTCTCTCTCTCTCTCTCTTCCATCAATCTTTCGTTCTTTTCTTTCTGTTGGGCGTATTGACAACTTGAGGAAGTTGTTGTTATTCATATAGGTACGAACCCAGAAGCCGTGCGCCAGAGGACATATGAAACTAATTTCTACAAGACTAGAGACGCATAAACATTGCATCGGCATCTTCGGAGATAGACACCGAAGCGCTCGCCCATCCCGTCGCGTTACTTTGTATCAATTGCTCCAGCATTGAGCGATCCTGACAAAATTCCCTGTTCCCGAACTTTCCAGGAAAGGAGTACCAAGTTCGGAAACGCAGTCCGACTAGCTCTGGGATTCCTGACCCCCTTTGGCCTAAACCCTACCTTAAGCTTAACCTCGGCCGCGCGACTGCCCCGCGGCTGAAACCGCAACTGTGGCTCCCTCACGCCCCGCCTCCAGGCTGGGCCTGATCTCCAGGCATTTTGATCAGGGCCCAGTCATAGAGCTAAACACACCTTTCTCTGCTGAGAGACAGCACTCGCGAGAGGAGGAATTTGACAGCGCTCCTGACCTGCTTCCACCTTCAGATTATCCAGCCCCCGCCCGAGGCCAAGTACTATCACAAGCGGATTCACCTCTGATAGAACAAGCGCAACAGCAAGAGGAGCAGCAGCAGCAGCAGCAGGAGCAGGCGACACTTGAGAATCAAATCAAGACACGTAAAGACGAGAAGATGGAGGACCAACAGAGCAACCAAGCGCCTCACGCAGCGCTGTTGATCCCAGGACCAATCGAGTTCGACGATGCCGTTCTACAAGCTATGAGCCACTTTAGGTATTGTCGCCATTTCACATGGGAACCCCCCACCCCTCTTCCCACTTTCCTTTCTATACCAATTGCCAAGGACGGTTCTCTGACATCACATCTCTCTCCTCCGCAGTGAAAGCCATGTTGGGGCTCCGTTTGTTTCCGTCTTTGGCGAGACCCTTTCCATGCTGCGGAAGCTCTTTCAGACGACCAACCCAGCTTCTCAGCCCTTTGTTGTGTCTGGCTCTGGTACCCTGGGATGGGACATGGTTGCAGCCAACTTAGCAGAGCCCGGCGACGACGTGCTAGTGCTCCACTCCGGTTACTTTGCCGACTCTTTCGCCGACTGTTTTGGTGTTTACGACGTCAATGCTACACAGTTGAAGGCACCAATTGGCGACCGCCCTCAGCTGGCTGAGATCGAAAAGGCCCTGCAGGAGAAGAAATACAAGCTCATTACCATTACACACGTAGATACCTCTACTGGCGTACTCAGCGACGTGAAGGGCGTGGCTGAGCTCGTCCATCGTGTATCCCCCGAAACGCTGATTGTCGTGGACGGTGTATGCAGCGTTGGCTGCGAGGAGATTCGTTTCGACGAATGGGGACTCGATGTCATCTTAACAGCGAGTCAAAAGGCAATTGGATGCCCAGCAGGTCTGAGCATCCTGATGACTTCTGGCCGCGCCATTGAGACGTTCAAAACACGAAAGACGCCACCTGGATCGTATTTTGGATCGTTTAAGAATTGGCTACCTAGTATGCGTTCACCCTCACCAAATTTTTTTAGTGCATAAGGTATAGATCTGACGCCTATTTTCTCCTACCTAGTCATGCAAAATTATGAAGCCAAGAAGCCGTCGTACTTTGCTACTCCTTCGCCCCAATTGATCCGGGCGCTACACACATCACTCTCTCAGATCCTCTCTCGGCCACTCGAGGATCGGTTCGCCGTACACGCAGCCACTTCCCAACGCATCAAGAAAGCCATTTCGGAGCTTGGTCTCAAACAACTCGCAGAAAAGCCTGAGAACCAAGCAAATGGCATGACGGCAATCTACTTGCCCGAGGGCATCCCCGCGCCGCTGGTCCTCGGCGCTCTTCTTAAGCAGGGCGTCATTTTCGCAGGTGGTCTGCACAAGGCCATTGCACCAAAGTATATCCGCTTTGGACACATGGGTGTCAGTGTAGTAAGTTTTGTCGTACCCGTTCTAGTCTCATCCTTTCTATTTTCATTTCAAATTTTTTCAATTTTTTTTATTATATTTCCTTTTGCATATTCGTTCTTATGGTGCCTGGATCATCAAGGCTGACACATGTACGCATCCACAGACGGACCCTAAGAGGAACGATATTGACAAGGCAATTCACGGCCTGAAAGTCGCATTGAATGATGCAGGATGGCGACCAGCTCAGACCGAACCTGTATAAGACAGTATAACATGAGCCGGGTGATCCCGTGAATAGGGAGAGTCATGGTTATCCTGGGTTTCAATTCGCAAGAAAAGCCAGTTATACATAATAATATTGATGATTCATATATGTATAAAAGAATTATGACTTGATCTCGTGTAAATCATACCTCTTACATCTTTAAATCCATGATTAATTGAGTAAGTGTCAAACATAAACGTGCCAAGCAGTGATTAAAAGTATACGAAGAATGATTTTTATACAAATGCCTGCTTTTTCTACCCTTTCCGCTTCGAGAAAAGGATAACTGAACCTTATACTATGCTGCGCCAGAGGAAATTGAAATGCATATAGTTAACGCCCCCATCCCATGACTTATAATATAGCACAATTGTACAATGAGAATAACCTCATCAAACACAATATCAACAGCATCGCACGATATTAAACCCCATCACACAAATCAAATGCACATAACATGCAAGACCAAAAAGCATCATACAAAATCAAACGTATCTCCGCCCTTTTCTCGCACCATACTCGCGACTCTCTTGGTGCCCACGATCCTTTCCAGGCGCAAGGTATCCCATTTCGAAAAGGCCACTCTGACACTAGCCTCGGCAGTATCGACTCTGCCCTCGGCAACACTCGCACCGATATATGCGCCGGCGACTTCTCTATAGAACAAGGGGTTATCAGGGGGCGCGTAGAAGACGACCTTATTGACGCCGCGCAAATGGAATCGTCGGAAATGGTGGGCGCGTTCAGAGTACAAGAGGACCGAGTGTCTGCCGCTCAGAAAGTGGCTGCGGGCCCGCGCGACGTCGCGCACGGGGGTGTATTCGGAAATGGAACCAAAGGAGATATGCGACGTGGTGGGGGAGGTGGCGAAGAAGTTGCGCACGCGGACAAAGTCGAGATAACTGGGGATGAAAACGAGCATGCCTAGCCCTCCACCGCTACCGCCTTGTGCGCCTTCACGACGGGAGGTAGAGGAAGAGGATGATGCAAGTCTGGCCTGGCGCGCAATGGAAGGGACAATGGCGGTGGAAAAGTATTCGAAGCGCGCGTCGGGATCGGTGGCGGGGGATTTAGAATCGAAGCGGGAAAAGGTTTGTTTGATGGAGAGACCGTTGAGATCGAGCGTGGTAGTGCCGGGGGCGTCGTAGTCCCTGGTGATTTTGAGTTTGCCGCCAATGTTCAGCATGTTGTGGTTGAAAATGGAGTTGAGTTCGGGGGTGTTGAAGGGGGAACAGAGGATGGTTTGGCGGAAATGTTTGGCGTGGCCGTCGAGATAGAAGTTGCGCACGCGGCTGAAGTCGCAGCCGTGCGCTTCCTTGGGTTGGAGGTTCATGTGTGCGAGGACGTGTTCGACGTGTTCCCAGTTTTGCATCAGTAGGCCGTCGGCCTGGTCGATGATGGCGAGCTCGATCGAGGACAGGAAATCGAAGTCTTGCTTCTTGGACCCTTCGGCGCCAATGGCCATGCGCAGGCCCAGCGGACTCGCGAAGATGATGTCCGAGTTGTAGAATTGCGAAAAGTATTTGATCGTCTTGCGCGTGAATTTGAGTCCCAGCCGGAACATGTCGTCGTCGTTGCCCTCGAAGAGTTCGCGGAAATCGGCGGGCCGGTCGGCGGAGAATGTGTCTTCGGATTGCACGTAGCTGTCTTGGAACCGTTTACGGTTTTCTTGCTGCTCGGGAGAACAGAGTTGGACAATGGTTTCAACGAAGCGCACGCAGGATTGCCGTGTGGGTAGGATCATGAGGACTTTGGGCCGGGTGAAGCCCTGGTCGCGCAGTTCTAGTTCTTCGGAGTCGGAGACTTTGGCTAGGCGCGCGTTGTTCTTGATAACGCGGTCGCGGGTCCTGGGTGAAGGAGGTATGTTAGTTGCGGATGGAGTAGAGTGAAAAGAGGGTGGGAGGTCTTACTTGAAGATGAGATCTAATGCGTGAAGGCAACTGAGCTTGCGTAGTGTCTCGGCATTTTCGACGGAGCGTGCGCAAAAGAAGATATCTTGGTAATTGAAGATGTGAGAGGCTAGAGCTTGCTCCAAAGCACCAAATCCAGGGAATGCTTCCTGTGCAGTATGTTGTAGTCGTTTTTTGATCTATGTAGCGTTTTAGTATGGAGGTCTGTGGAGGTCTGGAGGACAGATGAGAGGGTTGGTTTACCTTGAGATCTTTCGTACTTGATATTCTCGATCTGGACGCCGTCGACGGGCCGTCCGTTGAGGGCGAATACAATACAGATCGTCCCACATTATTGTAGTACCCCTTTTCCGTTTTCCATTTATTTTCGGAAATGGATTTGATCTTTGCTGCGACATCCTTTTCTTGCCAGTTTGTAAAGTGTACTTCGTACGAATCCGAAGCTGCGAGAGTAAGCAAATCTTCCGCACTGTCTCCCATGTGACGACCTACCATCATCTTCGTCGTCTATCTCTGCTGCTTCCTCAGCGATCGATGCCTCGTCTCCTGCCTCCTCGGGCTCGTCAACCTGATCCACGTCGGCTTCTTCGTCGTCGCTTGGTTCTTCGTCCGGTTTGGCCTTCTTGCTCTCTGCTGGTTCGGCAGTCAACCCATCAGTCTCTTCCGCTTTCCTCTTCTTGTTCTCTGGTTTCTTTGGCTTATTCGCATTCAACGATTGTATGAGAGCATTATAAGGACGAATCGCATTCTTATCGGCCTCTTCGTCGTCACTGGAGTCCTCGGAGAGCAGTTCCTCCTGCTCTTCTTCACTCTCACTAGGCTCTTCTTCATACTCTTCAGGTCCCTCAGAGTCACTATATCATGAATTAACAGTTGCTCATCTGATTTTAATTGAATTTCCATCCTTACGACTCCAACTTCTCCTCTACTCGAGAGGTATGAAAGGTAAGCTGTCGGCCACCTCGGCCTCGTCCCCGACCACGAGGTGCGCCGCGCCCACGCCCACGCCCACCACCTCGACCTCGACCTCGACCACCTCTAGGTCCCATTTGCAACAATCTTTCAATTGAAAAAATTTCAAGACTTGAGAAATTCAAGTGGTAATGGATCGACTGGGCTGAATGTTTTGGCACAAAAAAAAACATCGTGAGGCTCTGCATATATCTTATCGCTAGCGCGAACTTTTAGGGTCTAGCCGAACCCACAAAGAATCAGATCTTGGGCGAAAGGGATCATCTTCATCGCCGAACGCGACCGCCAAAACCGAGCGCTATACTGCCAGTCGCATCCCTCGCAGTCGGGAGAAGTACTCAGCGGTGCCCTCCACCTTTCAGACTGCCCCCTTGATTCCATCATGGCGGACACCGATTCTTTCCTTCACCTCGCCCGGCCTCTTGGCCCTGCTGTTGTTGGTGCCCAGCCGACGACAGCCCCACTGAACGTTGTCATTCAGCCTTCTGTAGGTGACCTTCAAATCGCCCCGGAAAGGTCTTGTCAGTTGGATCAGTTGATACTGACAGTATGCTTGAAAGGCCATCTTCTCCATCCTGGACCACTCTCTCCGCCGCAATGCCGACCAAGAACGTGTGATTGGTACTCTTCTTGGTACCCGCAGCGAAGATGGCACCGAGGTCGAAATCCGTAACTGCTTTGCCGTCGGTCACACCGAGACGCAAGACCAGGTCGAAGTCGACATGGAATACCAGAAGCAGATGCTTGCCCTGCATCTCCGTGCCAATCCCCGTGAGGTGCTCATTGGATGGTACGCCACGTCGTCCGAGCTCAACACCTTCTCGGCCCTCATCCAAAACTTCTACGGCAGCCAAGGCGACGGCACTTGGCCTCACCCTGCCGTCCATCTCACCATCTCGACCGACCCCGGCCAGGATATTGAGGCACGGACGTACATTTCTGCTCCGGTTGGCGTTACTGCTGAGCGCGCCGCCGACAGCGCTGCTTTCATCCCCGTCCCCAACGAGATCAGATACGGTGATGCCGAGAAGAGCGGTCTGGAGTTAATATCAGGAGCCAAGGACCGCGAGGACCGAACCACTGGTGTTCTTACGGACATTGAGTCTCTGGAGCGTGCCATTGAGGAGGTCCTTGCCATGCTCGAAAGAGTCTCCAACTACGTCAACTCCGTCCTGGACGAGGAGTCCCCGCCATCGAGCGCGCTTGGCCAGTTCTTGATGAATGCTTTAGCTCTGGCTCCCAAGGTTGATGCTTCCGACGTTGAGAGAGACTTGTATGTTTTTCATCTTTTCGCCACTTTCCTGGAGACATTTTTTCAAACTAACCGAAATTTTTTGCAGCAACAACCACATCCAAGATGTCCTTGTTATTTCTTACCTTGCAAACACTATTCGCACACAGATCGATCTTTCCAACAGATTAGCAACTGCGGCTCTAACAACTGGACCAGCAGACGGATTGGGCGGAAACGCCGAGGGCGGCCAGCGTGGCGGCCGAGATCAAAGAAAAGGCCGTGGCCAGCAGAACCGCGAGAGAGAGTAATTTATGAAAATCGGTTCCCGAAAAAACGATATAATTTCGTCGTATGCATATACGTTGCATGATAAAAGGCGGAAAAAGTTACTGTGTATTGAGGTGGCTATTATATAGGCTACAATTTCTCCTAGCTCATTGTTTGGCGTCTGAGTGTGTAGAAATCAAATTCAAGTTTATGACCACCATTAATTTCAAAATTTAACGCCGTCCCATGTGCCATACTACCGTTGTATCCACGTAAACGAGTCTCAAACGCCAAAATGATGCATATGATGTAAGATAAGAGCCCAGCTCCAGCATCCTTTGGATCCGAAAAGGCTCGCTCCAGCTTATTTGCTCTCGGTCTTGTCCTTTTGCTTGTCCTCCTTTTCTTGTTCTTTTGCCTCCATCTTCGCAATTTCGACCTGATCATCCTTCTCATCGAACTGCCTCCGAGCTTGTTTCAAGACCTTGTCCATCGTCAAGAGCTCCTGAACACGGCCTAGCTTCTGAGGGTCTCTGCGGAGCGCAAACTTGAAGTCATCAACCTTGATCTTCGCGCGCCTGCTGTACGAAGCAGATAATGCCGCTTCATGGCATGTTTCAATAATGTAGCTTTAATAGTCAGTGTATTATCCGAATAATATCTCATTCGCCATCCCCTCCCATGCGCGCACAGGAGCAATGGTCAGGAACGCTGATCCATGATGCCATGGGAGACATACTCTGTCACAATCTCATCGAGAACTTTGACTGTCTCAGGAAGCGGCTCCCTATCATCTCCGTATGCGAAAAGTAATGCCTTGACTAGTATGTGTCAGCTCTGAGCGCCTTCATGACCAATCCAAGGTCCGAAATCCACATGTCGGCAGTGTAGACGTACGATCAGGAGCGAAATTCTGCTGCCCCTTATGGCGGGCAGCACGGGCGCGAGGCTCCGTCATAACTGAATAGAGGGCTTGCAATGCCCAGATACTCCCCTTTAGATGAGTGATGGAAGAGGGGCAGGATTCACAGTTAGAAATTAATTAGACCTGTCTCTTCAAGTCGTCATTTGCGCAACGTGAATCTTCAAAGTGAATGAGGTTACCCGGCGCACGCGAGCGTCACGGAGCGACGTCAACTTCACTCGCGGCTGCAAGACGACCTGGCATCTCTCACTTCAAAGGAATCTCACCTCACCTCCGCAAGAAGCATTGAGAACGTTCATCTAAATCTCTACGATATATTTGATAGACTGGCATATCTGGATTTTAGCAATGGTGAGCTATTCTCTAGGCCTGTGACAAGGATCCTCAGACTCGCGTGCCTACGCTAACACTTCGCTCAGTCCGCACTGTTTAACTTTCAGTCGCTCCTCCTCGTGATACTGCTCCTGATTTGTACGAGCACGTACACACACTATGTCTTCCCCAGTATCATGGATCGAAACCGCGACGGGTAAATTACAGGTCACCTTTTTATTGGTCACTTCGCGAAACTGACAGAAGCCTAACAGGGTGCTGGGAATTTTCTGGAAGTGTGCAAGGATAGGTGAACGGCTGAGTCCGTATGTCAGCATATGCTGTGTTCTTATGGCTGTAAGTTTGAAATACTATGGATTCACAATCATTCAATCCTATATAGCCTATCGGATGCTATTAAGGAAGGAGTTGCCGCATACCTGGTCGCTCCTCTTCATATGGATTGCGGCAGTATATATTATATTTTCCGGATGAAATGCTGACAATTCATTGATCAGGTCTCCCTCTTCATGGGCTCATAAGGGGATTTTCCAAAAGTTCGGCATTTGTACAGTCACATTTCAGCGGCATCGTTGTCACCATGTGTTTTTAGGCGTTGAGGTGTTCGACTATTACGAAGAAAGAATTACTGCATAGTAAGCTAGCTACGATATCATATCGATAATATCAACATGAATTCTTGAAGCTTATAAGACCATTTCAACATATCCGACTCGTCTGCTTTTTTCCGTCGTCCTCAATCAATTTCCAGCTAATTTCTGAACAGAGACAAAAGTTGTTGACTGCCGGATACGGATCAAGACCTTATCTGAATTCAGGAAATGCCAGTGTAGCGATGGATCTGCTCGAATTCATATGCCACCCTGTCGATTACGTGCTCCTCGATGGGGGTATGGACGATCTTATTCAGATCGCGTAACCAGGCACGAGAGAGCGGCTCAGCTTTCATCTCCGGCACCAGAACTTTCGTGATGGCAACCGCATCAAGGAGGTCAACCGATTTTAGTTCCGATCCATACCTCTTCAGTTTGTGCGCCAAAGACCACTTCCACTCTGCAGCGTACACAATGATATTTTTACCACGGAAGAGTGCAACATTCTGCTGCTCCGATTCGCCGAAGAGAGGAAAGATGCTGTCTCCGACCGCCAACAATTCCACGCGGGAATTCATCCAATCTATGGGTAGAGTATGCTTTTCAGCAACTGCCTTGACTCCACGCTGCAACTTGACCCTAATTTTCTCCTTGTCAAGGATAGCGGGGTCGAGAATATATTCAATACTCTCGGTTAAGGGATATGATTGAAGATGGGTAACCCCGACGAAGCCTCCGTAGGAGATAATCTTCACAGGGCTGACGCGTTGGATGTTTTTCGATTTGGACAATTCCGCATCAAGGAGGGTTAGGGCTAGTGAAAACCAGTCACATCAGTCAGCCATAGTGCAGCAGAGTGGGGAGATGCTGGATGGTGGTCTCTTACCTTGGCCCATCTCCGCCGCTGTAAACTTGGGCTTGTCAACGGCAGCTTCCATCTTGACAAGTTAAACGTCTGCGTTGGACGGATGAACAGTGAGGGAGAAGCTGTGTGTGCTCTAATGTTGTCAGGATGAGTGTCAAGACCTCATCAAGAGCATCAAGCAAAGAGCATCATGAGAGTGGACCTACCTACGAAGGAATGCAAGACAAGAAGTCGATGAACAGGATGAGAGGAGAGAACGAGGTTGACCTAGTATGGTTCCTGTTCTCTGATTCAAAGAAGATGGAGATGTGGGATGATGAGAGGAAAAGAGAGAAGAGGCGGAAAAGAGATGTCAATTTATAGCCCGTCGGCAATGGGGCATTGTCATTCACTTTCACGACGCCAGTTCGGCCTGTTCGGCAGGCCTCACCCATTTCGGTGTGTATATTGGTATTCTGAGAGCCCTAGTCGAGTTTCAATACGATTGTGCATCAAGCAGAATTACGCAGTTTCTACTTTATTGAATAAGGAGATTCTACGACATTGAAAGTCTGTTGTTCCTTCCGTAAATCTCGTTTTACGGAGAACATAGTTAAGGAAAGACGAGATGCTACGGATATTGAGACAGAAGACTGATAGACCTGAGCTCCGGCTATCCTCTCATTAGCAGAGGCCGTACTCTATACATTAACCATAACGCCTGGAGTCACGTGCTTGTCGGTTCAGCGCGAGTTTACTCCGTAATGAACAATGTCAATTAAAGCTTACTTGTGCCTCATTTTGGATCATAAATAGAGACTTGTCGATTTGAATCTACTACTCCTAATATACATGACAAAACGGTAACGAGAGTTCCACACTCACCAAATTACCTCTTGCCTCTTACCCCAATCGACCTAATACCATACACACCAGTGTGACTGCGATCATTGTGATCATTGTGATCATTGTGATCAAAAAAAGAGTTAAAATACAAAAGGGGCTAAAAAGGCCTATACGGGTCTAACAGAATACAGAAACTCCCGCATGCTAAGCGTCTAAAGTGAGTATGCGTCTAAAGAGACTAAGAGTCTAGAGAGACTAAGCGTCTAAAGCGGGTAAAATACCAAAAGGTTCATACCAGAAAAAAAGGTAAACGGGAAACACAAGAAACAATGGAAAGAGAACTTGATAACAGAAGTGGAAAGAGAACATCAAAAGAGGAGTGAAAAAAAGACTTAGAGCAGGAGAATGGCAATCAGCCCAATCAGGACCAACGCTCCAATGTTATTCTGCATCATCGTCGCCGCAGCGGCAGCATTGTCAACGACACTGTGAGAAGCCGGGACCGACTCGGCGTCAGATTCAGACACGGATTCAGACTCTGCAATCGACCCTGACTCCGATTTCTCTCCACGCTCAGCCCCGTCATCATGCTCATCATTACTAACCTGCTCGGGCTCAAGTTCATGGAAATCAAACTCCAAGAGCAGCGGCGAGTGCGAGTCCTCTGCGTGCTCAACCTCGCCCTTGGTATGCTCATCTTCATCCTCATTGTTGTTCTCCACCTGCTCAACCTGCTCCGCCTGTTCCGCCTGCTCCGGCTCAAGTAAATCAAACTCCAACTGCAATTGAGAGTGCGAGTCAAGCTCCGATGCAGCATAATCGACTGGCTCATTCCTCATATTGCTAAGGGCGGTATAATCCAGCGACCACCAATGCGGAACAACAGGCGATGATGGAGGGCGATACAGCTGCAGCTGCATCTGCATCTGTTGGTCGTCCTGAGCGTGCCACTCAATCTGATTTGATCTGGGTGCGCGGGACGGCGTCATCTCAAGTCCAATCAGACAAGGACCGGAGACTGGCGAAGGGACGTAGGGGAACCCGTCTGATGAGGCTGATGAGGGTGTGGGGAGAACGAGAGGCGTGGGGAAGATGGGAGGAGTAAGACAGAATGCAGGAGTGGGATAGACTGGAGTGTTCGCGAGAAGGGTGGGTTGTTCCTGACGAGGCTGGCGGGGTGTCCAGATGGGGGTGAGATGCTGAGGGTCGCTTTGGACTTCAGTCGGCTCAAGGGCAAAGTCGCGAGCGCCGTCAGTGCCGTCCTGGGAAGAAGGATTTTGCTGCTCGGTGTCAGGAGAAGGATGGTCGGCTTCGCTGTTGTGGGTGATTTCAAAATCACTGAGATCGTCGAGAGAAAAGTTGTCGTGAGAGCGGGTGCGGTCATCTTGGGAATGCACTTGCTGCTCGATCTCAGGAGAAGGCTGGTATTCGCAGCGGGCGTTAATATCCTGTTCTTCATCACTCTCGTGGGCCTGAGCTTGCGCATGGTCGTCGCAGAGATCGTGGTCTTTGTTGGTTGAAGAATCAGTGGATTCTGCAGTGGGAGATTGATGCGCGTCTGCGGAGACTTGGGCCTGTTGTGGGTAGTGCGGGGGATCCTGGGGCTTGTTTATAATGGAAGGAGTAGGGAGTTGGGTCATCTGGGTTCCATGATGGGGAGGGGTCTTTGGAGGTAGCGAATGAGACACCACGTGTGTTAACGGAACAGATTCAAATGGATGAGATGGCTCGTAGGTGAATCGCTGGTGGATCCTGGCCGGCGGGAGAGGAATGTGATTATATCTGTAATCAAAGATGGCAGCATATGAGTGGCGGTAAAAGACCAGCCCAACCAAAGCGCCGATGGGTGCGGACAGAAGAACATCCTGGGGATGATGGTGCTAAAGGTATATTAGTTAGTGGGTTCTTTTGAGATGTAACAAGGAGTAAGTTAAAGTAGAGATTACCTTGTCCAGTACAAGAGTGGCTCCAATCGCGCTTGCTACAACGAGTGGGATGACCACAACAACTGGTTTCCAGAAGTACGCGCTGTAATCAGCAAAAGCCTTGAGTTTCGCGTTGAGATACAGTGCCAGAAACGTGGCTACGGCAAATGCAGCTGTGGTATGACCAGAGGGAAATGACTGGAGTCTGTTGATAACAAAAGGCATCAGCAACTTTTGACCTTGAGAACGAAGCTCATGTTGAAGGCACAGGAAAATAACTTACGCGTATGTAATATTCATTTTGTCGGTTTTATGGCCTTTCCCCATGCCCATACACGCAGTGGTAGGGAGGAAAACATCACCATGACCGACGAAATCTATCCCAGTTGGATCTGGGTTGCAGATGGAGAGAAAATTTGGTCGAAAGCCGCCAACCAGATTCTTCAGCACAACGTGCACAAAAGTCCTGTATCGATTGGATTAGCTTGCAAATCCGCAAAAAAACATATAAAACCATGATATATGGGAGGAAGATACAATGATCAAAAATAAGACTTACGCAACGAGAAGGGCCTTAAGCACGCCAGTGATCGCGGCATGCGCATCCCAGATATCTCTAAGACGGATTTGAAGTACGAGAATGACCAGAATGGGACCACCGAAGAAAATCGCGCCAGCTGTCCATGAAGATAAAGTGAGCGGCAGATACGGGTAGCTGATCGAAGCAGGTCCGCGAAACGTGCCGTCTGACAACATCCAGTACTGAAACAGCCGCCTGTGAGGATGGACGAGTGGTAGGAGAAATAGGCCTCCAACCAGGAGAGCCATAAACAAAAGGCAAAGCAGGTCACGCCAAACAATACGTATGTAATTCCCGAAGGAAGGCTTTCGAGTAGCGTAAGCCACGCGAAGAGCGTCGTGGTCTTTGAGAGCTTTCATTTTTCAGATTCTTGAGAATAATGACAATAGCAGTGTTTTGGACGATGAATCTTCTTTCGGGTTGGCTTGCTTTACTTTCAGAGGATGCGATGGTGAAGCTGAATTGAGATGACAGTAAACAGTCCATGGCGGGCCAACTAGACGCATTTCTGCACGTCGTGCATTTGACGCGTAGTGGGCAGTCGACGAATGTGGAACGTTCCTTCCCCAAAGGAAGCAGAAGTGATGCTGGCGAGTTATGATCGTGAAGGGTGGCCGTACTTGTATTCAAAGATGAGCCTTCCCGATATGGATATTGAATCTTTTCTTTTTTGAGTGGAGAATGACCTACAATTTCTTCTCACTTCATCATAGGACTTCCAATCCTTGTGTCTGTCCAAATGGACTTTTAAAAATGATTCAAGGCATATGACGCGGATCTTCGTCGGAGGGCTGTGACTGTCCTTGGACTTGCATCCTAATGCCGCGAATGGACATATCGCTGTTCAAACAACCGCCGTTGAAGTTGCAAAAACGTGCATGAAAATTATACAACAACGGTCAAACGGCATGATATCGATTCTCAATAGTGGAAAGCAGAAAATCTAACGTTTGGAGTCTTTGATGCCGTCTGATGAGGTGATAGATTTCTCTATGAGGGACCCTTCCGTCTGAAATAGATGGACAAGACTTCTGAGCAAAGCTTGAGCAATTGAAACAAATACATAATTAAGCAAAGAGAAAACATTCGAAGGTTACAAACAATAAATGCAGCTACTTATAAAATTTATTCAGAACATCGGCGTCACCTCCAATGAGACTGGTAAGTCTCGAAAATCTTAACCCAGGTTTATTAGCGGCCACTTTTCATTGTTTATTGCACCGCTTCGATGTTCTACCGAAAGTCGAGTCCCGCGTATCCCGAGCCTCTGTTGGCTGACCAACTGGAGATCGTTAGTGTCCTAACTGTGGTAGATCCCAGAAACAGAATCAGTAAAGTTAACACAAGTTATCAAGTCCGTATCGGGAAAAATGACGACTTGACTTTTGGTCATTTTTGGGCAAAAGCAAAGATGTCTGCGAACAAGTGCCGCCTGAGAAAAGCGAGAGAAGAAGTTATGGAGACCCTCATTCAATGAACTGATCAAACTTCAAACAACCGGCTGTGACAGTCAGTCATGCCGGGATGACCATCTGAGCAGCTAAACCCTTGACAGCCGCTCTGGGTGAAACAGAGAACGGTGTGTGTGACTCGACAATGTGCGTGATGTATCACAGCTGATGGCATCCTGAGCGGGGAAACTCTCGACAGAGCTTCAGAGGTCTCGGATGACTGCATGATACCCTCGAGAGCTTTTCCTCCGACAGGTGAATCCATCGCCGTTGTGGCCCATTACTAAATGCGACTTGTCAGGTGAGGAGATGATGACCACGACAAGAAACAGTGTGCAGGCCGCAAAAATAGGACAAAAATGCCCCCCACGCTCGAGAGGATCCCAGCTGAATCCTGCAGAATTCTTTGGTATGCAAGGGATAACCAACGCTTGGGAGTGGACCATGCCATCCAGAGAAACGTAGCGGTTTATGTGACCGTCGCCCCGTGAGGAGGCTGTTTCAGGTCTCCTTAGTATTCATCCATTGTCGTCATACAACTAGCTGTTTCTTGTTGCCAAACTCCTGCACAAAGGGCGAAATGTCCCAGCAGCATTCACTTTCCGACCGCGATCTGCGCGGGAACCAAACGGCCCGCAGGGAGTATCAGCTAGTCTTCGAATCCAAATGCTGAGGTGAATGGATAGCTCGATGATGCAATATGCAAGGCATGCTTTATTTCCAGCACATCTGGACATGAAGTTGCTGCCTGTTATCGGCTTTCTGCGGGCTTATGCATCAACGACCGCTCTCGTCGCACAGAGAAAGCATCAGCATCAGATCAAGCTAGCTTTGTGATATAGTTTTGTGGGCCGTAGCTTAGCTCAGCAGAATTCATATGTTCGGGGGCAAAAAGCGATGGCGCACAGCGCGGGTATTTCATGCCGCAAACCCCTGCAATTTCTGCCTTACAGTGATCAATTGCGTACACAAGCAACGGTGGTTATTGTGACCATGAGCTCCGGTAATGACCTTTGTCCTGGGAATCTCTCCTTGCAGCTACCGAGCAGCTTTCGATCTTCGATCCCTGGTCAGTCTGCGCTGGCGACTGACCCAAGAAGCGACCCGGAAATTCGGCCAGGAACGCGGCGGAATGAAGCAAGGGCGAAAGACACGACACCTAAGACGGTTACCCACATGGCCGAGTGGGATGAAGCAAGCCCGTCATTTTACGAAACGTACTCCGGTACAGCCAGAAATCCCGAGTGTCGTCGCCATGGTGCAACTAAAGAATGCAGCGAGTTAATTGTGTCGGGTTGCCGGGCCGGACAAGAGCTTGGTCAACAATAATGGCACAGTTTCTCCGAAAAGTCCCGTCCTGTTTGATCCCTCAGCTACAAGACCCGTGCGCCAATCCCTCAAATCTTGCAGAAAAAAATTTACTTACTGCAGGGGATGCAATTTTCCCTGGCAATCCTAGAACTACTAGCAGCTGAACAGTGCTTCGATCGATTGTCAATTACCGAAACCGAAAGAGATAAGGCATTAATGCATCGTGTTCAGCGTTGATTCGACCAGCATAAGCGTAAAAAAAAAAGATAGCAGTTGATAATCGAATCGAGTAAAACGGAAACAAATATCTTTCGTTGAGAATTTTTTTTTTTTTTTTTTTTTCCCCCTCGTACATGCCGAACCCTTGCTGTGCAGATGGCCTAGGCGATATCGACGGGCAAATTGATGCAGAAATTTTTCGCCATTTCGAGCCATTTCGATTAAATTATAGTAATAAAATCATGTCATTTTCGAGAGCAATGGAGCCTGCCATCTTCGACTATGATTTGAGGCATGCTAATGCGACATTAACATAACGTTACAAGAAGGTTAATCCCTGCTATTGAATTCAGGCACGGTCGAAAACCTTTACCGCTTTCGCAGTCACCCTTGTCAGGAACACAAACCTTTTTTTTTTCTTGCGATGGATCGGCGGCCGATTTCCGAAGAGAAGCGGCCTTAGGCATTCAGAAAGATGAGGCCTTGGACCCCCGCGAAGTATGTTGAAAAGGGTCATCTACAACAGAAACAGTTAGAACGCTCCTCAACTCCTGCATTGGCTTCAGTGAGGTCGGCGTTCGCCTCATATACCAAGAGAGGCAACAAAATATGTAGAGTATCCGCTGTTACCTACCTTACTGAGCTGTCTCCCAAAATGCGAATTGGTTTTCAAGCGCCACAAGGCTCTCGCCTAAGTTGTCCCAGTGTCAGCGAAGTTTTAGCGACAGAAAATTTTTCCCCGCCTCCTACGGAGTAGGAGATGCCCGAAGGAGCTTCAGTAGGCTCCCCGAGGCTCGCGCCGTCGCAGCTCGGTGCGAGAAACTGGGGTTTTAGATCAGCCTGGTTCCTCGCATCGAGCTCAAATCTTGAATCCGTTCGCGGTTAAGCCGCGTACCGTACCCGTCTCGCCCTTTTCCCATTTAGTCCTTTAATTTGAGGCCGAATTGAAGTGCTTATGTGGATCTTCAGCTTTCCCGCAGAGACGGGGAATTGGCCAATAGCGACTTTCGACGTCCCCACGCTGTAATCCTATGCAGCACGTGTCCAATTCAAGAACATCGCGAACTGCATCTTGGGTTTGAATGATTAATAAAAAAATTTTTTTCCTTGCAGCGGGTCCACATTCGAAAAAATAGGGGCACACGAAAAGGAGAACAGAGAAGAGAGAGCAAAGAGAAGATCAGTAGTCATGAAAAGAGTCATAGCGAAACTTTTTTCCAAGGTACTAGAAGAGACAGTGATGGTTGTGAACCAGCCGCGCGGGTAAGGAAGTTGAAGTTGCGTTTGTAATGCACTGCGTCAATTTGCGAGCTTGGGCAGGATGGATGACCTAATACGTAGGCAACAGAGTGTGAGATGATGACAATGGGAACATGCATCACGCAAGGGCCACGTACATTGTTTTCTTTTCAGGAACGTACGGGTGTGGTTTTGTAACTGAACCCCCAAATAGATGCTACAGAGTAGACATGAGTTTGTAACTGTACAGAACATGCATCATTTTGTGTTCGCCATGAGATTCGTCATATATGTGGACGATTTGGTGCGACAGTACGACGCATTCGGTGAGCTGTTTTTCCCTTGCACAGATCGAACATTCTATGTATTCGAATATGTTTTGAAACCAACTGCATATTGCATCTCCATGCCTCGGGAAAGGTGCAACGCTCCCAGCCGTAACAGGGTTCAACGGGAATGGGGTACGCTCAATACTGAACCCCGCCTGTTCCGATTCCACGCGTCTCTCATCGTCCCTCGACTCCTCAGTCAGGATCGGAATTGGAATCAGCTCACTCAGCAACCAGACCATTCATCGCCATAGATGGTATAGGCTCTGCCCTGTCTTGTGCGTGGAGATGCCTCTTGGCGTATGGCTTGGCCCCCGCAATGCCAAGCGGGCACTCGTCAAACAGTTGCGATTTGGATTTCTGGGGGGCTTCCGATGGCTTCCGTACCTCCGCGGATGTTTTGGGTAGGGTAGCTACAATTAATTGTGCGTTGGTTTGTAGTGGTTCATTCCTTCATACCTAAAACAGCGGATGCTGAGACCGAGGATCCGAGACGAGTCAAATAATTTCGGACTGTGACACACCCAGTCTTCAGTTCTCCTGCCCAACGGGAGAGACATGGTGCCCGAAATTGTTCGACACACTCACACATGGAAGACGTTGCAAAATTGGTCTTGAAGCGAAATTTGTTTGAGAAGTAAAGTCTCCGTTAACCCTCTTGTCCGTTCGAACAAGAAGGCCGAGTCATCTTTGTATTATGGTAGAAATTGTATGTAAATGTAAACAGAAGAGAATAGTAGGATATGTGCGCCTTCCAACCCAAGACAGGATCCATTGCCCCATAACCGTGATACCAAAATCCACAAATGCGCCATCCAGAACTTCCTTTCGCTATGTATTCCGCAGCAAGGAACAAAAAAAAAGGCTCAAGTAAAATGCAGTTGTGCTTCACCGTGCTCCACAACTTTTTCCGGTGCTGTGCTCCCAAAGGGGTATGACTGTACATCCCAATCATGATATGTAAACAGCGAAGACGAAATGGAGAAAAAAATCGCTCGTCTCGCGGGAAAAAGGTAAAAGTGATGACCAAAGTCTATGTCGAATAAATGTTGTAGTAATGTTCAAAAGAAGACGTCGCGAGCGATCGTGTTCGCTCTCGAACGGCTTGTGTGAAGAAGACAAGAGTCGTTACGGACGTGAGAGAGGAGAGATGCCGGTTGTTCGACTTCGTTCATGGTGAGATGATACGGCGACGGCAGTCACGGACTTGGTCGAAGCAGTTGGCATAGCTTCGGAGTTCGTTGCGTGCCTTGTCAGAAAGAGCACCATTATCGGGTGTGCTTGGTCGGCCGACGGAGCTCAGAGAAGTGCGAGACGAAGAAGGCGTCAACTTGTCCAAGCCCGAGATGGAGCTCAGCGAAGGGCGAGCGGCAGGCATCAGAGGAAAGTAAGAGTCGTGAGGAGACTCCGGAGAAGAAGAAGAAGAAGATTGCCGTCCGGCAGAAAGGCGGCTTGCTCTCCTGGCCGATCGATAGGCATCAAAATCGAGAGGCGGTGGCAGGACAAAGCCAGTGCCGTGCTCGAAGACAGGCGAAGACCATGATGAGGGCGAAACGGGTTCGGAGCTGCCAGAAGCCTTCTCAATATCGGCCAGGCGGCAGGCCTGAGAGCAGTAGGCTCCGCCAGAGCTCTGGCGATCGCAAGCCAGGCAGAAGTCGGGAGACCACTCCATTTCGATAGACATTTCGAATGGATTTGAGTCTCTGAAAAATGTAGGTATATGTGTTGTCGTGGACAAGAAAACTGGTCGACTTATTGTTGTTGTTGTGGGACGACGAGCGGAGTCCAAGCAAGAGGAACGGATGATTCACAACACAAGGGATTGAGAAAGAGAAGGTAGTTGTTGTGTGGAGGAAGGGACGGTGGATTCGTCCTCTTTTTAAAATGCAAAAGGAATTGAGTCCGATTGCTTGCAAGTGAATGTGCCTGAGAATTGGCCAGGGATGGAGGAGGGCGAGAGGAGGGTCATATATGTATGGGGCATGGGGGTGGTTTAACAGGGTGGTGGTAGTGGTGGTAGTGGTGGTGAGGAAGTAGGAGGGGAACAAGTAGTCATGGATGGTTGGATGATCACGACAGCGAGAAAATGCTCAGGGTCTGATCGGGTTTGGGACGAGCCATGGTGTGCCGTCATGGCGTAATCGACGAGCGATATCATGAGGGCAAGACAAGCAGCCAAAGCAGCTAAGGAACTAAGGGACGCTAGCCCCAGGCAACCCCCATCGGGAGGATGAAAGCGCGAGCGAGGGTCGAGGTTCACGTAGAATGGGGTTTTTGGGTGGGCGGGTGCAAGGTCGCCCAGATAACCTCAGGAAAATTAAAATGGCTGTAGCCCATCAGGGTTTGGGTCGTTGAACTGGTCGCTCACTTGATACTTATTGGGTGTAGACGGCTTTAGACGGGCTCTCGCTGCATTTTTTTTTTTTTTTTTTGCTGCTCACTCAACCCAAGTAACTATGGCAAAACTACGGGAAAACTACGGCATTTGTTCACGGCGAGGAATTCCGAGGCTCGAATGTGTCTTCTTGGCTGTAACTACAAGTTTTCTTCGATTCGGGAGCCGAGGCGACATGTTTGAGCCATGCAGGAATGGGAGGGAAAAAGAACAAGGCGTGGGATGATGTCGTCGTCCTTTTGTCATTGTTCGTCGCCGCCGGCTGGTGGACCGCCAGGCATACAGGCAGACATACAGTAGGTAGATACCGTAGGTACCTTAGTTACAGGGAGGATCTGCGAGCTGGGAGGGATTTGCAAGAGTGGTATTTTTCCCTGCTTGCCGCTGCCAGCGACAAGTCACAAACCCCCCTTTTAACCGGATACGGCTGATCATGCAAGAGCTTAGCGACAGAAGTACGTGGGCGACAAGAGAACTCCTGTAGCTAAGCCGTGGGATGTTCGCAGGGGGTACCTGAGAACGTGCCACATTACCTTACGAAATTACCGTACTCTTACATGCACGGTACTGGAGCGACAAAAGACAATAGGGCAGCACCTCATTATTACCATTGTGTGGGGTTTCCCTTGTCTGCGTTCCTCTCACCATCATTATTTGTTGCTGGATTTCCTGTCCCAGTTTGACGCTAACTGGATGCGGCCATGGCGGACACCTTTTAGGCGACCAGCTAAAAACTCGCACGATGGCTGAAGGCTGCTGATGATTCGTTCTTCTGTCTCGAGAGGAAAATAAATAACCATGGCTAATGAGTTTTTAGTTGCCCGCTTCAACCATTTCTGGCCAAACTGGTGAACTACCTCTGCCAAGGCTCTACGGCCAACCCCGGTCTGCCCCAGTTCAATTGTATGGGGTTGCGGCTGGTGTGGCAGCGGCGGCAAGCAAGTAAAAGTTTCACCCATCGACCTTCGAGCATGCGACCTCGACCCCTCCCTAACCTGGAAAAGGAAGCATCGAGACCTCTGAAGAGCCCCGATTCCAGCTGCCCTCCATTATCGGAGCACTCGCACCTCTCCGACCCGACTGATTCTCTCCTCCCTCTCTGTGGGGAGCAAGCCGAAACGAGAATTTGACCACGCCTGATCTGTGCCTCGCTCGTCCCGCCCCTAGAGCCGTCGCTTGCTCGTCCTATTTGGGCGCTGCTGGCGGTGCAGCCCCCTGGTACCTCCCTGTCTCCATGTGTTCATTACCAAATAGGGTACGAAAAAGAAAGGCGAAAAAAAGTTTAAAGTTTCCTGCTCAAATTTTCGTGCGTCTAGATCAGGTACCATTCGGCGGAAGATCTTCCGTGATGGATCACTAGAAGCTTCATTGTTTTCTGAATGCAGCGCGCGAGTTGCATAGGTTTCTTGGTTCTTTTACTCTCTTACTCTCGCAAGGAGGGTATGAGAAGGCTAGCCTTTGCATTTTTTTCACTTCCCGCCGTTGCAGTTGAATAGTACAGCACTGAAACTCAGCAGCGTGTCCGAGCGCGCTGAGGTTTCGCAGCCGTCTTTGGGGGCCATTCTTTGTCCTCTCCCAGTGGTTTGGCCCTGAGCCGCAGCGGCGCGGCACAGAGGTACGCTTGGTGGGGGTAAGCCAAATGTGCTTTCGTTGAGGGGCATGTTCATTGGCAGGAACAGAGCAACAACCGCAACCAAGCGCACTCTTTCTCAGGGTGCGGCTTCGACGCCATGGTTTCTCTCTCTTCATTGCATTCCAAGACAGGCTATGGGACCTGGCTTGGCGTCCTCATTGCCACATGGAAGAAGCCATGAAGTCTCAGCCGCTCAAAAGCACGCGGCTGCCCTTCGATTGAAGATTACCAAAGATTTCCAAGAGGCCGAGACTGCCGCTACGGAAAAGATCCAAGACACCATTAGTAGGCCTTCTACTTTGCTGATGAAGTCTCATAAAACAGGAGCAAAGACCTAAGCGTGCTTGAAACACATTTTCGAAAAAATTTCTCCCTTCTCTTAAGTCTGTTGTTAGGCGCGATGAACCATGTTGCCGATCTTTCTTGTCGAAAACACCCCTGCCAGAGCCGGCTATTATCGGACACAAGTCCCGTTCGGGAAGAAAGGGCACATTTGTGGTTCGCAAGGCTTTAATGCTACTCCTCTACACAGCTTTGAACCATGCATGGTAAGGGAACAAAGGCTGAATTCAAGACTGGGGGGAAAGATTGTATCATCGCTGCGATACTTATTGGCGCCGTCCTCATCGCGCTCTTTTCTGCCCCAGTTCAGTATATTTCTTCGCTGGGCCCTTGCAGACCGTGAGGGTCTGATAAAACGTCAATTGCACGACGAATAAGAGGCAGAGATACAGGAAGACTGATATCTAGATAAGGATTTCAAGTCTCTTAATTTGCACTAGTTACTGCCTTTACTCTTCGTAATGCATCAATAGACGTCAACTAATTTGGCAACAGTTTACCTAGTAGATAGTCTAGAGTAGTTTGTCCGCTCAGCCAAGGGCCCACTTGGGCTCACGAGACAGAAGGGAGTAGAGTAAGCCAGAGGACACCAAATGTAGATACTGTTGGGGTTCGCGGTACACCGTACGTATTGCGAATCACCACTGTACGGTCGCTTGTTCTTAGCCGTCAGAGCGATTACGTTCCATCACGTTCATTCAGAAGTGTCTCTTATCTTAATGCCAGCTAATTGATCATAGCAAAATCGCTTTCTATTTCGTTTCCCCTTCGTCCATTATCGCATGGTGGTGGGTTCCCCCGTCTTCGCCAAAAATCCCGTAAGCGTCAAACTAGAGCAGGGCCCCCGAGCGAGCTAACTCCACAAGTCGACCAGAAACAGAAGTGATTCTCCACATTGTAAACGTAAGTCTTCTCAACGATTGCGAGACTTCAACGCGATCGTCCTACCCTATGATAGACCATTCTGATGTTGCCATGAGTGGAAGTGCTAGGGCGATCGATATTAGATCATGCCCTTTTACCTTTTTTGAAGTTTTGATCTCAGATAAAAGTCGATGAATGCATCGCTCTGCGCTGTGACACCAAGCGTGCCGTGGTGGCTTGTGGTCTGATATGCCCATGTGCGCATACCCGCTCGAGGACGCGTACGAACGGCCCTCTTGCTCCCACTGACGTTTGTGTGACTGAGTATATTCTTCTCCTCGAGGTAGCCGGCCTCCATTTCAGTACGGCCCGAGATAGAGGATATGGGACCACAATCACAGCCTGATCGGCACCTGTCCTCGAACAGCTCGACGCGTATGCGATCGAGAGATGATAGGCGTCATCGTGCACTGTTGCAAACTACTGGCATCTCTTGAAGGTGTTTCACCATAATGGGTAGAATTGTTGTGCGTCTGGGGCTTTTGACGTGGAGGCGAGGGCGGCCCCGGATTGCATGAAACGCTTTGACTTGTGTGGGTCCCAGAAGCGGGTGATGACAACAGATACTACAGACTCCACTTTTCGTTTCAGTCCAGCAATCTACGGGCGCGCAAAGCGGCCAGAAGAGACCATCATGCCTTTCAGATGGATTACATTATGGAGAACGTTGGGATCTTGAGAGAAGGGTGCTGCTCTTACATTGTAATGATGTGAAGTGGGTCTAATAATCTTGGCGCCGTAGATGGATGCCGGGGGAGGTTTGTTCTCAGTTCTCAGACCTACCTAACTTTACAATCGCAGTCCAGCGCCTGCTTTGATACTTGCTTTGCCCAGAAGCATACAGCGGAAGCGATTACTGCCGACTCTCGCGTGATTGGTTTGTCTTGAAATGATAAGGGACTAGGTCCGGTACTTGGACCAAAAAAGAAAAAGAAAAAAGAGTTCACGGGCTATGCATTATCTATTATCATTTACTCTTTGGCGATCATCGATGCAGGAGTCTATACCTCTGTACGGCCTATATACACCAGCCGAGCTATTTTCTTCTATAAAAGAGACGAAAAGGAGCTTATCAATATTGGTCTTTGGCAAAATTGTGAGCAGTCACATTTGCCATGGTGTGTGGTTTCAGATGCACGTGCTGTCAACTGCATCCGGGAGCTTTGATTGGTCTTAGGAGGCGCGAAATAGGCCCTGATTAGCTATATTCTGGGTATCGCTTCGTCTCGTGCGTCCTTGACTGGGAAAGATAGCAACAAATAGAAGGTCCGGTCCAAAACCTGAATAAGAACGATACACGTGTGCGGCGAACATGTACCGAGGAGCAAGGCTTGATGCTCGGATTGTACTCCTTTCCTTTGCCCCCGGAACTCACGGCACTTTCGTTGTAAGTTGCCATTGACCAGTGGCTATTGATCTGCTAAATGACAATCCCTTACTCCTTTCAATAAAGCATGGATGTGGAAGGCTCGTGCGCCGAGCATGCTTTCAACCTGCCATGCCGCTTCCCTGCTGGAAAGCTCGGGTACTATCCGAGCCTTCCGTTCGCAATCCTCCGATCGTACCCTCGGCCGAAGTACCCCGTCATCACGACGAAGACTTGAAATCTTAACGAGTTAATTTCCTTTTTTTGTACGAGTTGACGATGTCATAGATTTAATTACGTGGACTAGAAAGCTGCAAGGTACGGAAAAACTCTCTACATTCATTATACGACAGCTGTCGCGTCGACCACAGGTGAAGTAATGCGACGCGCCGATCTGTTTCGAAGACCTCACGCCACTTTGAGGCGCTATACTCTCAAGTACCAGTACCAATAAATTCCGATGCTTGATGGGAAAATTCAGCATGGGGGGTTCTGCAAATGAAATGGAAACATGCCATGCGTGCAGCGACATGCAAACATCGCCTCGTGCTCCGCATTCGCCCTCCGCGAGGATTATCCCAGGCGACAGATTGTTGGACAGAAAACGGTGCAGCGTTCTATTGTCAAAAGCTCCCCAGTATATGGGCCCTGAAAATACGGTGCGTTGGGAATAATAGTTTCTCGGCCTTCGTATCTCCGGATCACACTGCTCCGGACAAGTTTCCGACCACCCTTTCCGAGTGCTGCAGGGGTGCAAGAACGAATCCTTGTCCCCTCTATCGGCAAGCTAATCCGTGACTCGTGAACAAATGAAGCAGTCTCCACTGGCAAGGAAAAGTGTTCAGGGGACGGATGGCGCCGCTATCATGCCATCTGCCGGAACCTTTTTCGATGCAGCAAATGGGAGACACCAAGGTTGTCAACCTTTGCTTTGCCACCCCCATGGAGAGGTTGGTATTTCTTACATCTGAAGTCTGCGGCACAGCAAGCCATCTCCACAGCAATACTCAACTCTGTTCGGAGATTTAGGTTTCCTTTTTCTTCCCCAGATGCTCATTTTTGGCTGCCTAGTGAAGCTTTTATCGTATCCAGTGAAGGTCTCGTGTCGACCTCTCGCGGCATCTGATGCAGGTACCGGGGGTTGGCTTATCTCCATAGTGTGACATGTCTCATTCGCAGCTTGCTCGTCTTTGGCTAGTAGTTGCCCCATATTTTTAGCGGAATAGGTTGTGATGGCGGATCATCAGTATGGTTATTTATCCCATTGATAAACATTACTTTGGATATTAATCTTAATTCTTAGGTTCCCGCGTGACTCTTTGGGAGGGCAGGATCAGCGGGTGCCGACTGAATTCAGCCCCAGCCCGGCAAGAAAGACACTATTAACCCCAAGTTAGGAATGCTTCGGACGGCCGTATTGGGTCGTGTGGCTTTTTTATTTTCCTGTTTCTCATCTGACTACGGCTGAATCGAGTTTATGGGTGTCCATGATGATCTCTGCCAAAAGTAGGTTGCGCGGCTGCGACAATCAGGACTCAGAGCTGCCAGAGCAGGCAGACCATTTACCGATACCATGAGAAAACTAGAACTTGGCAAGTGGTGAGAAAGAAGAACATGGAAGAATCCATGACTATGGTCGTGCAACACAGATTATGCACGTCGAGTTGAATTGACACCATTTCAACTAGATATCACATCACATCTCACATCATATCCGCCTATTGTCACCTAACTCTTGCTTCCACACTTCCGACGCTAACCTCTTTTCTCCTTTTTGCTCCGGATCCCACACTATTCTGTTACTTTCTGCATCACCCCTTAATTTCTTACGCTTCTCGATTGGCAAAATGGACCCTGGCAAAACGTGGGGATTTAGCTGAGCAGCTGCACTCCACACGGAACCCAGGGCCAGTTCGGCAACACTCCAACCACCATATCTCTTTTTGGCCGAGGGCTATAACATTAGCAGAATATCAAAATGCATTTTCAGGCCAGTTGAATGGCGTGTTAGTCTTCAGGTATACACCTTATCGCTTGCAAACATTTACATCAGGTACCTAGTCAATAAAACGCTTGTTTTCGCAGCATCAAATGGTCATTTGTACCACCAAGGTGGATAAATGACTGATCAGAAAGAAGAGAAACACAAATTGCCCAAACCACCCCGCAAAGATCGGCACTCGTTTGGTGGTGGCAAGTCAGGCTATGATACGTTTACTGTATTCTGTTCCCTTTGTCAACGGCGATCACGTCCAAGCTTCCAAACAACTTTTTCTCCGCATTGCACTTCTCCGCATCCGCGCCATCCGCCTTCGCTAAATGCCAAATGTAGTCTAGCCTATCTTTTTTCTACTTGCCCTGCCCCGCAACAGTAGCAGTTGATGTGTCGAGTATCCTGTCCTTTCCTCTACACATTGGGCCAATTGCCTCTTTGGCGGCAGATCGGGCTCCTTTTTTGAATTTACCCGCAGGACACGGCCCTCTCTCCCGGTAATTGGAAATGTGCACTGACTGAATTTGGTCAAATGAAGAAATGCCAAGTCAGATACGCAGTTCTTTTTCGACGCCCCACGGGACGGCCGAGTGAAGCAACAGACATCAAGCCTTGGGCAGTTATGAGCACATTTAGGTAAGAAATTCAAGGAGGCTACCGGAGTATTCTCAGAAGAACATCGAGCTGGCCGCCCAGAAGCCGGGGCTCGTCCTAGAAGATAGCGAGGACGAATCATGATTGATCTTCTACCAGCACGGCCACCACAGCCACTTGGTAGTTCTAGCGCAACTCGTTTCACAGCCTTGATGCGAGGGTGTGGTCGACGGGGTGTGGCACTAGCCACACGACCTTTAGGGATTTTCATTACGAGCCACATCTCATCCCGCTCTAGTTGCAAAGGACCCGCACAGCTTTGAACCATTATCAGAGTATGGAAACATGACTTGAGTCTCGACGTCCTTTGATATTTCGATGAGACATACAGATACAGCATTTACATGCATCTATGCAACTCAATCATCCAGTTGTTTGTTCGCCCACGCCGCATATTTCCGGTCTCCTGAGAGCCTTGGGGTTCTAGATCCGCCAATATTGTATCCATAGCGATATATTCCGATGATATTCCGACGTGTTACACAACTGCTTGACTTTTCCAGCAAACTGGATATTCTTCGGATAAAGTCAAACCCTATCCATCCAAATACCCAACAAGGTGCCTCACTCGAACCACTTCTGACCAATGTCGCCATAGGGGCCTATGATAGCGGCAAACTCAAAATATCTCCACTTACCCAGTTCCTTTCCATTCTAGCCCACACCAAACTGTTTTTCTCCAGTCTATCAGTTGACATACCTTAAGAGAAAGTAGGTTACTTTAGCGCGGGTTGCGCGTCTCGACCGCTTGCTATCGCTGCTGACTATGCTTATCGTTGCCCCAACCTAAATCACTACTTTACTGCTGATCTCATATATTACCATGGTAACAGCATTCAACCGTCTCGCACTGATCTCATCCCCCAATTCTCCTTCTCAACCACGGATACATTTTTACAAATGACTTCCCATTTGACTGTTAGAATTTCCCCTTGTAGTCTGGGCATGTAGACCCCGCACGACTCTCTCTTCCATACTATCACTACTGGCCCACTTTTTCCCCCACTGCACGAATGCAGCAATTGAAGTCATTGCTATGGCTAGTTATCAGCTAGTTGTGTTTCCTCTCCATACATGCAAACTACCTTATCCTTCACTACCCTTTTCTATCCGCCATACTATCCGTTCCTCAACGTCGGAAGCCTCCGCCGCCGCGGTGAAGGCTACGTACGCTCCCTACTCTCCGCGCGTTTCACCATCTCCGTCGCCCGTCGCCCCATCCCACCGTTTCCCCGTCTCGGGCCCATCTAGACCGCGTCATTCCTATGCTCAGCGTGATGACGAGAGGGACGCGAGGGCTCTATCCGTTTATGTTCTCCCTATCCCATTTTGCTCCACGACATGGGCTATACTGGAGATGGACTATACCTTATCGATCATTCCGACGCCTGTGAAGATTCGATACTCTCCTGCTTAGCACGACGGTTAGGATTACGTTCGGGATGATACGCTCTGGTAGCTCCAGGACGAGCACCTAGCATTTTGGCCAAATAGCTGTTATCATCAATAAATGAGAATTCTTTTTCAAAGCGTCCTAATTGTTGGACCCGTATTGACTGAATCCTGTCGTCAATTGGGATGAACCTTGTGTTTTCGGTGTGGCAATTATAACATTGCGGTGCCCTAGTAATGTATTTCGGCGGATCTCCTATGGTCCAGCGTGGATTTTTGTCTAATAATTTGTTACCCTTTCCAAGCCGTGGAGAAAGCTCCGTTGCTTCATGACATTTCCAACACCAGCTCTCAATTTGCATGGGTAGCCCAACACACTCATCCTTATCGCGCATAAGCCGCCGCCAATTTGACTGCCGTTTTGGGCAGACTGTCAACAAACGTCTGTCAGCAAAGACCCAACGAACATTACTATCCTGAGGTAGAAGGTATTGCTTTTTCCCAAAGCATGCACTCGAAGGACATGTTCGAGTCTCTCGAATGACATAGTAATGTGGCCGAAGCCTAGACCAGCGAGCTCTAGTATCATCGGGCTGATTCTGTCCGCACTTTTTGCACTTGACTTTCATAATTTTGTGTGGACCTGTGCCATAGTAGATAAGATCTTCAAATTGCTTTTGTCCCAATTGTTGTAATCTATCCGCGTGCAATTGCATTAGCTTGGACACAATTCCAAAGATGCCGATATTGTAAATGTCATTTGTCTTCGCATCCGTACACAACTTATGATATGCAGCTATCAAGTCATCTGTCGATGAAATCTTAGTGCCAGAAAACAATGTTGTAGTGTGATCCCAAAGCCACTCTTTCAATGGAGCAGGCAGTTCCTCGAAGTCCTTAACATCGAAGAGATCATATTCCTGTAGCAATCGATTTCGTGCAAGCTCCTGTTCAAGCATAATCCTGAGCCGAGGTTCATTTACCACGGCTCTCTCCTCAATTGAAGTAGGACTCGAACATTCCTCCTTGGGGCCAGAAGGATCAAAATTAGCATCACGTAACACTGTAGCAATGGTACTTTCCTCGGAATTTGTAGGGACATTTGATGTACCATTTGTGCCAAGGTGATTTCCTTCGTTAGCATTTTTCTGTGCTGTTATATCTGCCATATAAGATAGCTTTGCAAATGAACTTTTGCTAAACCTTGGCAGCTCTTGAAAGAAACATTCATTGATGGTAGTACTTGCCAGCTTTGCAGCAACAGACAGGTAACGGTCCTGCAGCATTGCGTGCTTCCGACCCCACCCGTAAAGGAAGACCTGGGGATGCATAACAAACACGATAAATCGAGATATTTTTCTTTTGACGTGTTGTGTATGAGATGTCTCTTCGCTGTCCCATTCTAGGTAGATGGTGATGTCTTTATAGTCGCCCCAGAGCTGAAGTCGTTCGAGTTTCAGAGTTTCCAGCGCCCTTAGTCGTACATAACGTCCCCAAACCACTTCAACTTTTGCAGTCATCTCGCTCCGCAGCATCTTTAGAAAACCCTCGTGGCAATCCAAAATCGCCTTGGGGTACTTGGAGATCCCGTCCAACACTTCGCGGCGAGATAAATGGTCGTAGATCAATGAATTATTCTTTGTAAATCCGCTCTCCAGCAAAAGCTGAATACAAGGATTTGTACCATCCGCTGTCTCTCCACCTCGCAAATTGAGAGTCGTAAAGGAAGGGTTGTGCAATCTGTTAGCAATTGGTGCATTTATGTCTCCCGACGGCGGAACAAGCTCCTCAATGCTCCGAGGGGGGTCCCAGAGAGCACATTCCCGATGCTTGAATTGAGAAAATTCGGAAAGATAATCGAAGCTCGATTTTACTACGATTTCAGATTTAATCTCTTTTTACTCTCGTCGGTTGGGCATTGAATGGTGACACTTACGTGATCGACGCTCAAGGTCGCAAATAAAAGGTTGAAGTGCCAGAAGATATTGCATTTGCTCAACCCTGAGATGCTTCTCAGGGTTTTCGAGCACCAGGTCCCCGAAAATTCGGTAGTGTTCCGAGGTGGAAGAGAACTCAAGTTCTTCCATTTTGCTAGTCTATTCCACGAGTCGAGTAGCTGTAACAAGCAAAAGACGGCCCTAGGAAGAGAGGGGAGATAGGGCTTTTAAAGTAGACGAAATGCGGTCATACTTGAAAGCGTCAATTCACTGCTCATGATTGAATTTTTGGGGGGGGCGGGGGCTTTTACTATAACAATCACATTGCTCCTTCACAATTATTTTGCCAGTGTTTACATTTGGCTCTTCAATTTCATTCACTGGTGAGACGTTGGGCAGAGTTCAGTCGGAGTATACGTTATGCGGTGTATATTGGGCTTTTCGACTGCGCTAAACAAGGAAGCCCGGGTGGCACAATTGGTTAGCGCGTGAGACTTTTAAGAACTCTCCTCTTTGGAGAGTTACTAAGGAATCTCAAGGTTGCGAGTTCGATCCTCGCCTCGGGCGTTTATCTTTTGTTTTTTATTGCTGTTTTTTACTTTCATTCCTTTTGGTTTTTTGTTACTGGTTTTATTTTTCCATTCCTTAGGTCTTTTGCTTTTGACTAATCTTTTTAAATTTGTATGGTTTTATTGTGTTTTTGTTTTTATCTCTACATAATTGATTTTCTTTGGATTTGAAAAATAGTTTTGCATCCATACATTAAAAGTGTCCTGGAATTGATGAATAAAATTTGACTAGAGTAGACAAGCGTATTGTTGCGTTTATTATTTGCTCTTATGTAGTCTGCTTTCCTCCTAGATTGTACACAGTCACTTTGGAGAATTGATTCTAGATGACATGTGGCACTCATCTGCTCAAGCTGTCTAGATAGCTTTACAACTTCATGAATGTATTATGTAAACACAGAAAGAGTCCGACGACGGAAACACTCGTAGACACAGATACAATATATATAAAAGACCTGAAAAAAAAAATAAAAAAAAATAAAAAAAATGGTTGACTCAAAGCACTTCTATATCCGGACTCCAGAGACGCGCGGACGAGACCTCACGGGGTTTGTATGTTTGTATATTTGTATATTCGTATATTTATATTTGTATGATCGAGAATAATAGTATTTGGGTATTTTTACATATCAAGAACCGGGACCTAAACATACACCTTAAGACGAACCCAACGCAAGAGATCAACCAAAGGCAAAAGTAAAAACAAAGATAAAACCAAACCAACGACAAAACCAAGCCAAAAACAAGACAAAACGCTGGTAAGCTGCCTCGGAAGGATAACAAAACGGGGATAAATGACACAGCGCACTACGAAGACGCAAGTTTCCTGCGCTGTTGATTCTCCGCCCACTCTCTACTCGCCTGGCGGTTTCTCGCCGCCGCTTCTGCGCGGGCTTTTCTCGCGAGTTCTTCTCTTTCCTTGCGCTGGGATGCATCATCAGACAGTACCCTTGTTCTCGCCGCTGCGGATTGTCCTTGTTTTGCAGGACCCGCGCCCGCATTTCGACCATGACCGTGACCATGACCATTCGAATACGAAGACGAAGACGCACGTGACGAATTATACGAGTTATACGGGTTATTCGACGAGTGATATGAAGAGGAAGAGGAATATGTAGAGGACGAAGAGGACGAAATGCCGCCAGTGCCTACCCACGCCGGCCGTTCACGAGCACAAGTAGCCGCCTCGGTGCTCGCGCGTTTCGAGGCTTCCAGTAGCGAGAGTCGGTGACGGGCGGAGCTGGTTGCGGTAGATTTCACGGGGAGCGAAGGCGCAAGACTAGGACGATATGTTTTTGCTCGAAAGTCGCGCCGTTGTCGTTCTTCTTCTGCTTCGCGCTGTAGGAGTTCGTCGCGGGCCTGTTTGGCGCGGCGGGAAAAGATGTCGCCCGGTAATTCGGTAGTGGAGATGCGTGTGGGTGGTTTTGGTTTTGTTGTTGTTAGGGATGATGGTCGGCGGGAGTGGACCTGGGACTGTGACTGGGAGTGGAACTGTGACAGAGGTTGAGATGTGGACTGCCTGATGGCGTGTTTGGGCGCAAAATAAGGTCTGGGTTTAGATCCAGGTCGTTGCGGGACGCTCAGTGAGGAGACAGTAGTTGCCGCGACGGAGCCTGTGAGGATTGGTAAAACCGTGAGATGATTTGATCTGGGAAGAAAATAAATTGGGGGGAGCCAAGTGGGCGGGAAGAGCGTACCTCTGTCGTCTTCGGTGAGGTTGTCTTGAGTAGACCCTGCGGTTGATGATCGTGCGATTTGCTTTAGATTTGCAGTGGATAAGACATGTGGAGTTTGCTGGGGGCCTGGAAATTTAATATGTTAGTGATGTTGGCTGGATTGCTGGATTGCTGGAGGGGTAAAGTGTTTCAACTTACCGTTGTTTTCCTTTTGAGTCGTAGGATTATCGAGCAATGTGTCCGATTTGACGCTTTCTGCTTCGATGCTGGGTACGACTTCTGATCTTTGCTTGCCTTTGGATTCGGGGACTATGTGGTTGGTCGTTGTCTCTGCTGCGTGGTTGGCTTGAGGCAATTCTCCTTTCAGGAGGATATCGTTTGGAGGAGTGGTTTGGTCATCTTCTGTGGAAATGTTCATTTGATCCAATTTATCAATGATTTCTTTGGAATCATTCTGCGAATCATTGTTCGGTAAGGGAACGTCATTTTTCACCGGCTCTATGGAATTAGTTAGCCTCTGACTGCATAGATATCTGGGAGAAGAGGATGATTTAGAGTAAAATCTACCTTTGTCCTCTATTGCATCGTTCTGCAGATGAGACTCTCCACCTGTGTGTTGAATTTCCGTTTCCTCGTGATCTTGACGATCTTCATCGGTCTTTTCAGGAACTGCAAACATGAGCATGCTATCCCCTAGACTCGAATTTCAGAGCTTGCCTTTGCCATGTAACTTTGTCTCGTCATCTTGCGCCCCATCTTCTGACTTATGCTCCTCGACAATTTCTTTAGTCTGTGCACTACCCTGAACCGATGTTTCTGGGACTGTGGGCGTCGTGACTTGAGAATCATCTTCATTATCCACTTCCAGCGCTGCTTGAGCATCCTGTGTCTCCTGCTCTTCTTCGCCAGGCGCCGTATCCTGTGAAGCCTGACTATCCCTAGTACTCAAACCGTCCTGAGCAGCCTCTCCGTCCGTTCCCTCCTTGGCGGAACCTGTCTTGTTCTTCCTTGATTTTTTCACTTTCTTATTCTTCTTTGCGCGCGCCGGCTTTTCTTTTGATGTATCGTTAGTCTCGATAGTATCCGATTGGCCGCTTATGCTCGCTCTATCCGGAGCATGATGCGATTCCTCCGTCGCATTGACGGTATTGTCATTGCCATGAGCCTCTCCAAGAGGAGCACGCGCGTCAGCCGATCCGCTAGATACCTCTTCTTCGTCTGCCCCGTCGACTGGTATTGTGGAGACGTTCTCACTCTCTGAAGATATCTCAAAGGCTGACGATTGTTGTTGTTGCGCCAGTTCCGGGAGTTCGTCGGTCGCGGACTCTAGGGAGGGATCGTTTTGTGCGCGGAGCGCAGCGCGAGTGAGGCGCGGCATTTGCTGATTCCAATTGTCGGTATACTTAGTATGTTTTTTTTGCTGTCTCCGATTTGCGACTCCTTACAGTTGGTATGTTATTTTCGTGGTTTCAGACTGTCTGTACTGTTGAGCTGTGAAGGAAAGTCGTCCTCTCAAAGCCCTCCAACTTGATTTTGGGCTTTCTGATTTGCCACTGTTGAAATTCCTCCCGAAAAGAAGTCTGAAATCCCAAGCAAACGCGCGTTTTACACTTTCTATCACCTCACAACCACGCAAGACTAACGTGATCTCTTGCGCGAAGACCTATTCTTGGTATCGAAAACGCGACGTCCGCCTATCTCTCCGGTCCTCCAGCTATCCTTCAATCTCTCCTCAGGCAAGATTTCAAACTCGGTGGTGGTTGGCGTTTTACAATTATTCGCCCGTTATGCGCCCCGTATGCGCTCTGTATGCGGCCACTTTGCAGCCGAATTTAACTCTCAGCAAGACCAGCTGCCAAAACAAGATCGTTGACCGCTCGTGACCGTGATCGTGATCGCTGTTGTCGTTTCGTATCGCGTTGGACGTTGACGTATTGCGTATTTCGTTAAACGTGTGTACGGTGTACAGGGTACAGTATATAACATATGATGCCTGACGTCGTGTTGATCTTCGATACCGAGTAACTTACCACTTCGGCGCGCGCAAGGTTTTGTTTACCATGGCAACCGCCTACGCCTTCCGAGGGCTGCGTTGTGCTGCCTTAGCGGCTAGCTCTCCCGGATCGCGCTAATGGTTGCCGTTCAAGGCCTAGCCTAATGCCCTGCATACACGGAATATACTCCTACTGTGTGTACGCTCCTACCGTCGAAAGATAGACTGTCATTATTGACGCTGGCGCTGCGTATATAATGGAGGAGAAAATGATAGGCTGTCATTGATACCAGGCGTTATGTAATGCATTATTTTGCTCTGATAATTTGGTGCATTTCGAGGCGAGCATGTAATTGAACATAGCAACCACCTCAGAACACACACACACACACACAAAAGGTGGAAAAAACAGGGGAATATCATTAATTAAGGATATATCAGAAAGAGAGAAAAAGAGATACAGAGGCAGCATCGCAGCATTCTATGGAGCATGACTATGGATATGTTACAATACCGACATAGGGTAGGCACGAAACATTGTGTTGCAACATCATGTCCGCGAAGAGACAACAGTAACTTGGTTGAAGAGCTTCAGGTTCGCGGCAATGAGTATCGCCACCTGGTACTTTATGAGAGGAGTAGTACCTAATTTAACTCACCTATTCCTCGACTTTAATCATGATTAGACACTTGACACTGGACTTACTGAATTGAAACGAATCTATACGAATGGATGGAGAATGTGCACAAGAAATAGTCATCTTGGATTAAAAAAAAGGATCAATGGATGACAGATTTCTTGTCTCATTCATTGAACTAAATTGACAAGCACCACTACCATACGCAATTGCAACATTGCAACGGTCACAATCACATGTTGATATTTAAATTCTGAACTTTAAAAATCGAAGAGATATATCGGTGCGCCATATGAGATGAGAAATGTGAAAAAAAAAGGACAAAAGAAGGGAAATGACCCGGACTATGGCACTTCGGAGCCAGGATGATCAATTTGATCAAATCAGGCCGAAAAAGATCAACATTTTTGGTGATTGAGAAGTCAGAAGTCCATCTAACAATGATGATGAAGATGAGATGATGACGGGACGCGATTTTCTTTCGTTCTCTTTCTCTTTACAAACCGCTCGCCCGATTGTTGGGAATCGAAAAACACAAAGATATCAAGGCCATGCATGTCCCAGCCACACAGTAGCGCAAATCCTCCACGACTTGAACAGCTTTGTTGTCCAGCTTTCACCCACATGCGCGCTATGCTGGGGCTGTGCTCTACCAGGAAACGCCAAAATGATCCAGGGTCTACCGAAGTGGGAAGTATAGGTGGTCTTCCTCCCTCGGCATGCTGGATTCTAACCGCTCAGAACTTTTCTTGATTGAATTTATCTCCCACTCCTTACAACTCATCGTCCTGGTCAATCTCTGCGGGTTTGAGAAGACCGCCAACCTTCATCGCACGTTCTCTTTCTGCATCCTTGAGATTCTTCTGCTCAAGTTCACGCTCCTCGGCGTAGAGTTCCGCGTTGTCACCAGAGAACTCCTTGAGCTGGATGAGGAAGTCTCGAAGGTTCAACTTGAACCGAGCGAGGTCGTTATTGAGCGCAAAGAGTCCTTCAACAAAGGTCTTGATTTGTGCACTAGATGTATTGGATTAGCAAACCGCTAGGCATTTCACAATAGCGTGGCAGGTTATGACTTACACTTGCAGATTAGGGAAAGCGTTCTGTAGGAGGCTGCCCACAAATTCTCTCAGGAAATCGCTGTTCGAAGTACCGGCGGGGGCTTGCTCAGGAGTGTAGACAGGCTGCGTAATCTTTCCAGACTCAACAAAGTAAAACATTCTTGCGAGCAACATAGATTGCGATTTGAATCCTGAAGATCCACATTAGCGACTTCGATAAGATGACAATCTCGAGAGAACTTACCGGCTTTGTGATCCGTATCGGTGAGAACGAAGAAGACGTCCTGAAGGATTGAGAGGAAAAACTGTTGGAAGAACAAGCCCGATGTCGTGGGATCAGTCTCAGCCATGTTGTTCATGAGCTCAATGCACATGTTGAGACCCGCGCTCTCAACCTCGCGGTTGTCGTGCTTGCTAGCCCACATGCAAGAGTCAATGACAAACTTGAATTGTCGCGCGTCGAGCTTGAGCAGAGCTGTTGTATGATTAGTAAAAAAAATCCTTAAAACCAAATAAGAAACGACATACCAGGGAAGCAGTAAAGGTTGATAGCGCGCAACAGCTTGAAAAATTCAACTCTATGCTCGGGGTATTCTGAAAAGTCCTTGTTGATCATTTCGAGTGTGCACTCAAACACGCTCTCCATGATAGCCGGGACCTTGTCCTCCATTAGGCCCTGCATTCAGTCAGCACCGCTCCCACTGGGAGACCTCCTCCCGGGTCTAACCATATATTTTGATCTCATTGGGGTCCAACGTACGTGCAACTTGGTGATAATAGTCGTCATGACGTTCAGTACTTCGGGTTCACGAGCGTCCGGGACGTTCCTGTTGTAGTCGATAAGGACAGCATCCAGCAAGGCAGGAACAATGTTGGTGTTGATCATCTCCAAATCATCCGCCTTTTGCACATAGATGTCGATGAGCTTCAAGATTTCCTTTTTGATGGTACGAAGGCCGCGAACTTTGGGCATCTTGGTAGCGATGACACCTTTATCAAGTCAGCAAATATGCAACATAAGGGCTAAAATGCCATGCCAGCTCATACCTTCACGCGTAACCGCTTCCGAAATCATCTGGCTCGTAGCCCGGTACATTGAGAGCATGTCAAGATAGATGCGACCAATCTGCGGGTAGAAGTAACTGCCGATGGACGAGCAAGCGGAGACATTAGTCTTCATGATATTGCCAACAACCTTGATGGCGTCTCCGTCTTGTAAGATTGTAGGGTCTTGGTTGGCTTGCGCGATAATTTGGTCCCACTATTCTAAATGTCAATATCGTCTTCACACATAAAAGGAGCACATTTGATATTACGCACAGCAGTGTTCGGAATAGACATGAGCTCCTGAATCAACCTCTCTTGAAGGTTCTTCTGGCCTTGTGCGCTGATCATGTAACCACATGCCTCATAGAAGGTGTGGATCTGCTGAGGCGATAGATCGATTGTGATTCTGCGCATGTTCCGAACAATTTCATCAATGAAAGGCTCGGTCTCGCCAGGCTGCAAGACGACAAAGTGGCGCTTGCACTTGTTGGCAATCTTAATAAAAGTATCGCAAGCCATATCCTGGACACCTATTGAAGTGGTTAGTAGATGTTTGATGGCGCTTTTCAAGATCTCAAAAACTTACCCTCGTGTGTCTCGTGCATAAACTCAAAGAGCTTGTTCACGACCGTCTTCAAGAATTTCCAGTGAGCTTTCAAGAATCTCGGGTACTGGCCGACAATGTACATGATATTACTGGCAACAACAGCCTTGTTGTCCTTGCCACGCTTCATCTCGGTTAGACCCAATAGATCCTTGATGACGGTAACCAAAAATCTCTTCTCCGTCTCTTCGTTCATCGCTCCCGAAATGGAACCAATAGCCCAGCAAAGAGTATTGCAGTTTGCCCATGACCATTCCGAGCCATCGACCTGGCGCGCCAACTTATCGGACATGATTTGCTCGGTATCCACCACATCCAGATGGGTGAGATACACCAGACACTCCCTGGTCGTCTTGTAGAGCTGGATCGTGTCGCTTTCCTTTACAAATTCACGAACGATTTCTCCTTCATCGTTCTCCACAACCAGAACTTCCTCCGGCCGCACCATTTTCTCAATCATGACTTGACGGAGGTTAGAAAGGACTTCGGTATATTTGTGTTTGCGAAGAGGGTAGTTGGCCAGAACGCTGGGATTCGGGGCGCCGCCGTTCGACAAGCCACTGACACCCATGTTGATGAGAGGCGTGATATCAGTAATCGGCAATTGCTGCATCTCCTCGTAAAGCTCCTGGACGAGCTTGGTCCAATACTCCAAGCAAATCTTGAATATTTCCCGGTCGTCAATCTGGCTGATGCGGATAAGGTAGAAATGCGCATGAGTGAGGAAATCACGGTTCGGAAGGTTCTCGATGAGCTAATCAAATGTCAGCAATGATCAACGGGTCCAGAAGCTGGCAACTTACGTTGAGATGCACGGAGAAGAAGTTTGTGAGGAATAGTGCCAAATTTTGGACAAATTCTTGGTCTCTCGAGTTACTTGAAGCATAAGTTGACTTGAGATCCATTGACAAAGGAATGATGCCGGAGATTGTGGTCAGGACCTCGGTGAACATCAAGACAAGCTTCTCATCGTACGAGTACTGAGGCCCAATCTGGAGACCTCCAATCTCTGTCAGACACTTGAGAGTGATATTCCGAAACTCGGGGACTTCAAGGAATCTGCTGCGAAGGGTCTCGATGATGGGTGTCTCAAAAATATAGCCAAGCGGGATCCAGTTTAAGAAGCGGAGCAAGGTTTCCAGAGTTGCTTTGATCAAGCTTGCTTGATTGGCAGTAGTGAGGACCTCTGAGCAGAGCTGGAAAATTGCGGAAAATTCGGCGTTCATTGTCGTTTTCAAATTCTTCGCCTTGGTGGACGTCAACTGATCGGCCGAATAGTCAAAAACTTCTTCGGACAATAGTCGCAGGATGGCCATGTTGTTTTCGCAGATCGAGAGGCTTGTATGGCAAGAGGAGATGATCTCGTTGATGAATGTCGGCCAATTATGCGGCCATTCTTGCTTGAGAATCGAAACAAGCACAAGATTAAGCTTGTTCAACAGAGTGCGCTCTGTCTTTAATGTCTCTTCCGAGCTCGACGCTTGGATGATAAAGTTGACAATGAAATTTCGGATACCTGCACAAAGTGGTCAGTATTTGCTAGGCTGCTTGCTGAATATATGCATGTTTAATCGTACCCTGGCATTGTTCTCTGGGTAGAACCTTCCATCTTGTCATGATGACATTGTCGAGAATTTGTAGTCCCAGATCTGCCTCACGGTTAGCTGGTTGCCGATCCAGTCGATTCCCAAATGTTCGAAAACTTGCATTTTGTCTGAGGGTATGTTGCATCCTGCAAGATTTTATCCACCAGAAGCCAAGAGTCGGGGTTGTCCTTGAACTGCAAAAAAAAAATATCAATATCAGATCCTGGCGGAGAAGAGCTCTGTCCATCCCAAGAAAAGTCTTACCTGGTTCAGCGTTGCCTGTGCTTGTTTTTGCTAAAGATTCACAAAAGATTAGCAGACGAGCTCCAGAAACAAGCTTTTAGTGGGCCCAGGCCCCGATTCTTCACTCACCACATCGCCTCTAGCCTCGTAGAAAGCTCGAACGGTGGTATCCAGCTCCTCGATGGTGGAAGTCATTTTGCGATGCTTGGTTCAGACGTTCCTGCTCGAGAGAGCGCAGATTCAAAAGTTCCCGCAAATGCAGCCGACGTTGTTTTCGCTAGTCTAAAGCTTGTTCGTAGGCGAGGCAACCAGGGCCGTTGAAGAAGAAGAAGAGGTGAAGCAGATCGGTCTACCACTCCAGGTGAAGCGAAGAGGCTGGGTATAGTGGGGCAACGATGCACGTGTTTGGAGGGGCCCGAAGGAATGATGCAAGAAGATGAGAACTCGAACCTCCCAGCTCCGTCAATGAAATTCCACAAAAAGGCGTAAAAATGGTATCAGAATGGTTGATCGGGGATCAGCTGGAGATTGTAGACAAGACCGTATCGCGTCTCTGCTTTCTCTACGACATCGCGATACTTCCCTGCACGGATGGTTTGTCGCTCCGCTTTGGTTATGTAAGTAATGACTAACTCTGATGACTAATGCACGGATCTCGAAAACGCAGGCTATCAACTGGAGCAGGCTATAACACAGCGGAAGGGGCAGAAACACGTGTAAATGTAATCATTTTGAGCATAAAATATGGAGTATATTATTATTATATGTAGTATGAAAAAAGGATAAACAAATATCAGTGCCGAGGCCCTTCCTTGTCATGTAAGTTCCCTAGGCAAGGAGAGCACCTAATGGAAACATTAGGTGCCAGACAGTACAACGTAAAATCTTCAGATTTATTTATTTAATGTATAATATCTAGATTCAACTATGTCTTCTAAGTATGATTCTATTAAAGCAAGAATAACTACTATGTACTATATCTATTTTGATTGAGATCGTTTTATGATTTTAATGTTCCTTACTGTAAGCGTGTAAGGTGGTAGACCTGGATATGTAGTATATAATAACAATAGTAAAGATGAAGCTAATCAGAAGGCTCTGGACGAGTTTTGAAGGAGCGCAGTGAATACCATATGACTAAGCAAGGGGAAAGAAGGGAGCGCACGAGGCATGCAGGTGACGTAGGCTGTAGCATAACACTTACTACTAACTCTACTATTAGATCAAGAATATTCGATGTAAAACTCTTGTAAAGGCTACAATAAAGTTCTTTCTAACTTATAAGAACTTGCTATATGTTAGTATATAGACTACCTACTTAGATAGTCTTGAGCTATATTAATATGGGGTGACTACTGATCAATGGCGGTCACACCATAAGCAGAAAGATGATGGGATCATGGGAGAAGGTGAAACCGTGAAGCTGGATTGCTAAAGCTACTACGACGCTATGGGTATATCGGAGCTCTCAGCCATGTGACCAGTGCTGGGTAACCCGGCGAGGTGTTGTAACGTTGGATTTTACTAACTAAAAGCATGTATAAATTATAGTTTATGAAAGGGGCTTACGCTAGAAAGAACCTATTAAAATACATTAGTAATATGTTATACTATCTTATTTTCAATAGTTTATTTCATAAAAATATGTCATAACATGACTGTTTGTACATTTCTAGATATGGATTAGACAGGGGTATTATAGGGCTGCCGAACCCTATCCATTGGACTGTCATGCTTCAAAAAGTAAAACCCAACCTAACCCGGGCACCGGGTTGGGTTGCCCAGCGGGAGGGTTGTCGGGGGCCTACCCGACCCGATTATTACCCATTCCGCAGCCTACTCCGGTACCTGGCTCCGAGACGGAGATTAGATAGTAAAGTCACCTAGAGAAAACTGTACAACCAACTCCACCATTGGACCTGCGCCATTAGGAATCGTACCCAATATCAGTTAAATACACACTCTCGGCACACCTAGTAATAGGGTTTAACAATAGAGCTTGATGGTATATACCTCGGTAGCTAGCAAGGCACCGGGTAGGCACCAGGCCAGCAATTAGTCTGTCTACAATATAGAACCTGTCCTTTCGGAATAAGGAGCATCCTGTACATTTGCCCCATTACAGTACAAGTCTTGAACCTGAAAGATTATTACAAGATCCAGTCTGTCAACTGACATCCTGCCATGTCAGTTGATTCAGTAAGTGGTCTGTTAGTCTGTGGGGGCCGCTTCTTTAGCGGTGGCACAGTCAAGCTCTATTATCAATATGGTGGTGATCTAGAGCCATCAGGCTAGTAAGTGCTAGACAAGTTTTGGAATGTGATTAGGAATCCCTTTCATCTAAGATTTTGCAACAAAAGAGGGGTAAAGACTCATCCATAACATCAGATATTCAGACTATACGGATCGGTCCGTTGTTCGTGATGGTCAATGACTAAGCGGGAGACGACTCGGGGAGAGCATGGACGACACCATCACCAACACCAACGCCGACACCAACGCCGACACCAACAGCTGCAAGGGCCATAATATAGCTTCTCTGCAAGAGGGACCAATGATCATCTATTACTACTGCCCGTGCATGCATCTACAGTCCCATGACATAACAAAAAGCTCATCCGCCGGCGGCACCTATTGTGTGAGATGGCATATCACACAGTGACACACACTGAGCGCTTCAAAATTACAAGTATTTGTGACAGACAGAAACGGGCAACAAGGTGGCATCCAATCAATACCAAATATCACTGTGACTGGCTTTCCTCCCGGCGCTAAGGCTGTTGCAGCCGTATTCCGCTACCGTTCTTCCAACTTCCCGATCCCGCTCTCCCCTGACCCACGGCACTAACGTCTCGGGTTGCATTAAATGGCTTCCTCGTGGTTAGTGCGAGGGGTGCCTCTGCGACATGCTTATCAGGCGGGCCGTGCTGTAGGCTAAGCAGCTTTGTTAGAGCCTACGGCTGCCGGATGCAATTGCGCTATAGCCCCTCTGAAAATTCTGCAGGGTCTATCTGCAAGAATCAATGCTTGACCCTAGCAGAGTCACTACGGCCTTTGTGCTGTGGGGCGATGGCAACGCGATCAGGTGCGGAGCCGGACTACACGGCTTCTCTATTTCAAATATTGGTGCTCGCTTGACACTGGAAAGAAATTAATCTATGACCTCAAAAACGAATAGTGGCAGCGTCTACGGAGTAGTGAGCCCTATGTGGATGCTACTGTGCCACATGGCCACATGGAGTATTGATCCATAAAATGGGTCTTGGAGCAGATTGCACTCACGTGGAGAGTCTGGAACAGAGTTAGTGCCTCCGAAGTGAAATTGAAGGTGATAGTGGCTGAGGCGAGGACAAGCCGAAAGTTGAAACGATTTGAAGAATGAGTGAACCCACTTCAACTAATAATTTGTGTGATTAATTTTCAGCTAGCTGTTCGCTCGATTGATAATGAATATACCCATGTCAACAACTGATCAATTACACTATTTCTCAGCCATTCTTTTGCCCGAATGACAAGTTATGCTTCTTTGGGATCGATGAAAAAGATGCCATTGGAAATGAGGCGTGGGTCCGTACAAGGAGAATACGGAAATGGGTTGGGGGCGGGGGCACTGCCATTCATTACTGTCATGCGGCCATTGCAATTTTTTTTTTATAAATATGCTCTGCCTTCTTTGCCAGAGAGGACCTGTCTTTGGAATTGCAGTCGTGTTCTCTCCTTTGGGTGCTTTCCTATTCAAAAACTCCTTCAGACACGTATTCAGTGTCTCACTTTGTCTCTCTTTTTTTATCTTTTTCATTCTTTCATTACTTTTGAGAAATTTTTGCATCTTATTTGAAATATGGTAAAGATGCTTTCCTACCCAGCTTGGGTAGCATCTCTACTGGCATTGCCTCTTTACACGCTTGCAGCAAGCACTGATGAATGGAAATCTCGCACCATCTATCAAGCACTGACGGACCGTATTGCCGGGGGTGTAAATGCCTGTGGTGATCTCGGCGAATATTGTGGAGGCACCTGGAGCGGTCTTTCATCAAAGTTGGATTATATCCAAGGAATGGGTTTCAATGCCATCTGGATTAGTCCCATTGTGGACAGTAAGAGCAGAATTCTATCAATATATTCAATCCTGATGCTAACACGCAGCAGACCACCCCGCAGGCTACCACGGTTACTGGACCCAAGATTTGAATTCAATCAATAGTAACTTCGGCAGCCAGGCAGACCTGGAAGACCTTGTTCAGAATGCACACAACAGGGTAAGCATTTACCCCACTTATTTCTTGCTATCAATGTGTACCCGCTCACGCTTCTTCTTTGGAAAAGGGCATGTTCGTTATGATCGACACCGTGGTAAATGACATGGGCTCACCTTACTCCGAAAACTCGCCCTCTCTTTTGAGCCAGGACAGCTCCTACCACCAATATTGCTTGACCGCGCCCAACGACGACAACCAGACCCAAGTCGAAGACTGCTGGCTTGCAAACAACCTCCCCGACCTCGTCACTACAAATTCACAGATCCGTAGCACCTTCCAAACCTGGGTGAAGGGGACCATGGCCACGTACGAGATTGACGGGCTGCGTATTGATGCTGCCAACCACGTGGAAATGGACTACTGGACCGACTTCCTCAGTGCTGCCGGCAACCCCTATGCTGTCGGCGAAGTGTATGATGGTAGTCCATCATACGTTGGAAACTATACCAAAGTTTTGCCGGGTGTGCTCAATTACCCTATGTGGTATTCCCTCACTCGCACCTATGTCCAGGGTCAGTCCTTTGGACGTTTTGTTTACGACCATGACCAGATTGGCGAGTATGCTGAGGATCCCACTACTCTTGGTACTTTCATCGACAACCACGACAACCCGCGCTTTTTGAATCAACAGCCCGATACATCCTTGCTGAAAAGCGCCCTCGCTTATGTCGTTCTCGGCCGCGGCATTCCCATCATCTACTATGGCACCGAGCAGGGTTTCAATGGTGGTGCCAACCCTGCCAACCGCGAGGATCTCTGGCCCACTGGATACCCTACCAACGGCGACATCTACCAGCACATTTCCAAACTCACCTATGCTAGGAATAGTTTGGGTGGTCTTCCTAACAATGACCACGTCCATCTTTACAACACTGACACGGTCTATGCTTGGAGCCGTGCCAATGGCAAATTGATTGTTCTCACCTCCAACCAGGGTAGCTCCTACAGCGGCTCCACCTGCTTTAACACCAACATGCCCCAGGGCACTAACTACCAAAGTGTCTTTGACAGCAACACTTACCAGGTTCAAAGCGGCGGCACCATTTGTGTCAGCCTCTATGAGGGCCTGCCAGAAGCCTTGCTGCAACAGTAAATGAATTTAATGGTCCACGTCTATATATATTAGCAGTTTATGTCTCGATGTATTTTGTGAAGTTAATCTCTCACATTACAACACGAGGTACTTCGTACACAGTATGATCTATCAGCAGTTTGGAACTAGTTTAGTTTGGAGGATTCAACATCCAGATTTTGACTAGTCACTAGCATGAATATTACATTTTAGGAGCGGGCCTCTCTGTTACAAATCCACAAAGCCACAAATCCACAAATTCGCACATTTCTAATTGCCTCAAAAAGGCTGGCCACTGGCCGCTGGCCGCTGGCAAATGGCTTTGTGATGCATCATGCATATATATCCTAATGTATAAATGTCAAAGTATCACGGACTCACGGACTCACAGACTCACGGACTCACAGACTCACGGCGGCTGGCTCCAGACCAGACCGACCGACCAAACAAACGACCATGGCGTTGTGACGTTGTGACGTTGTGACGTTGTTCCAGAGAACCCAGACCCCTTTAAGCGCCCCGCATGTCAGCATGTCAATACGTCAGCACGTCACACGCATGACAGATGACAGCCACACAGACAGACAGTCCAGCGGGCTGTGGCTGCATGCTGCATGCTGCATGCTGCATATATATCGCGGGGTAGAACGCTCTGAGCCTCTGCCAAAGGGGGATGCACCTTGGGTTTTTCTTTGTGCACGTCCAGGATACTTTGATATATACATACATAGCTATAGCCTAGCTATCACTCGGAACTCCTACCCCGCTTTCTTCCAATTTCCAATTTTCAATTTCCCGGCTTGCTACTTGCTACTTGCTACTGCCCTGCGTACGGTGTACGGTGTACCTCATACCTCATACCTCAGGTATCACTTACACAGTTACAACTTACGAGGCACGGCACGGCCGCACGGCCCTTACTCAAATATACCAAAAAGAAAAAGAAAAAGAAAAAGAAGACGAAAAAGAAAAAGGAAAAGGAAAAAGGAAAGCACGCTAGATTGTACGAGAATCCTTGTCCATTTAGAACTCCAAATGTCATTTTCAGCAGCCAGTCCATCTGACGAAAATGTCCCAAATGTCCCAAATATCCAAATATCCTGTGTCCAAATGTCCACGTATCTTACACTTTGTTCCAACTTCTGTTTTTCCCTGACTTCCTGAGATTATAGGGTCTAGGGAGGCACTTCTGGGATGATAGCTTGTTGGCAAAATCTTGATATGTATATATATATGCTCAAAGCATCATGGATTCATGTAGTTAGATGGAAAAGAGAGATTCATGCTCAAAGAATCAGCTAGATGGGAAAGAGATCATGCACAGCAGCACAAAGTAATACTTATTTGGTATCATACACACACAAAGTGACAAAGAATCTAAGTACCCCCAAGCCCCAAGACCCATGCAGGCCTTTAAAAACACTGCCGGAACAGCGTTGCCTGGCATGAGCATCTCGCTATAGTCCAACGCCATAATCCAGAGAGAGAGAGAGATGACATCCAAAGGAGAGCAAATAAATAAGACACCCAAACAAGAGAGTGGGAAAAAAAATCTCTCTGAAAATGGGGAATTAATTTTATCAATCCATTCAAACGCCGAATTTCATTCAGAGTCATACATAAAGCAGTACCTCTAACCATCAAAGGATCAAAGGATCAAAGCATCAAAGCATCATACTTCTTCTCCTCGAAGCGGCCCTCTCGCCCCTGGTCGTCATTTGATGAGAATCTTGTAAATCTGTAAAAAGGCCTCTGGATAGGCCGCCAGACGGCTTTGACTCCCTTTTCGTTTCTGGATCACCCTCGCCATCATCGGCGCTACGCCTGTCGTTCTTAAGCCTGCTGCGTGATCCAGATGATGAAGATCTCTCTAGTCGAGACGTCTCGGCTGAATTATTATTTTCATGGGGGAGTGCGTATTTTGGAGGAGGAGCAGCCGCCAGATTGGCTGATGAGTGTCGACGTGATGGGGCAGACTTGCCTTCGATCTCAGTCGGTTCAGGATGAGCAGGATGAGCAGATTCACTGAACGCATAGATGTCGATATTGTCCGATGGATGCTGATGCTCAAGCGCAGAGGCGTCGGTTTTTCGACGTGCCTCTGAAGTTTTTGTTTTCGTGTTCCTCGAACCGTTCATCAATGCGGCAATAGTTGCCCCGCCCGTTGAAGAAGTCGGTAGTACAGCCTCGGTCTCGGCAGACTGCTCGGAAGTACCGCTATATCTGTGCATGGCTGATGAACGTCTTCGCCGTTCTGTGACCACTGTTGGAGGAAGCTCCTCGGTAATGGCTGGGGTCTTCTTGCTTAAGGGGCTCGCAGGGTCGGTTCCGTTTGCCGTATTATGACCTTCAGCCTCTGAGACCTGATACGACCGCGCGGGCTCAGCTTGATCGTCCCGCCTTAAGAACTCCAAGCTTCGCTTTTCGTTGTGCTCATGGGTAGTATTGTCATCCTGAACACCGTCATAACTCTTGAGCCTCTTCGCCTCTTCTTCCTGCCTGCGCCGTTTCTCTGCTCCAACGGCATCTGTTAGAGCACCCGACGGTCTCCTCATCTTGGCCCGCAGGCTGGGTTCTGCGTAGCTAACTGCAGCTCGCTGTCTTCTGGCTGCCCTTCCGCCGTTAGTAGCATCCGTTGAGTGGGTCGCATGGACGAGGTCGCTAGGCGGTGGGGTGTATTTGGATTCCGTGCGTATCGACGAAGCCGCGGAGCTTCCAGGAGAGAGGGATTCTGTAGCCGGAGTCTTTGGGTGTAGCGCACGAGAATCTTCTCTCTCATCTTCAAGTTGCGATTGAGGGCGGTCGGCCTCTTTTGGAAGCTCAATCTTTGTTACGGCTGGCTTACTTTCCTCTATGCGAACGTTTCGGCGAGTCTTTTTGGCGCCTTTCTCCGCTTTGAGAGGCTTTTCATGCTCAAGACCTTTGTCCTGGACACGCTTCTTTACCGGAGATACAACGGGATCGGTGTTGACATTTTCTTGGGAGAAGTTAGCGCAAGCGAAGTAGTCACATAATAAATAAGTGCTTACTTTGTCCCAGAACTTTCCTTCCTTCCAAAGATGCGGGGTTATTCCGCAAGTCGGGTCGTTGGCCACTCAGTGTACGAGCTGCAGATGCTGCTTGACTAGTCTCGCTCTTTTTGCGCGGGCTCTCATTTAATTGAGCCTCGTGATCCTTGGTATGAACCGGAGATTCACGTCCCTTGGAGCCGAATGCATCGTCCTCGGCTTCTGATGCGCCATGAATCCGGTCTTCGTTTTCACGTACAGCGAGCTTACGCTTTGCTCCCATCTTGAAGGCCTGCCCCACCGAACCTTCAGAAGGAGGGAACAACGAAGCCGCTGATTCGCCTATGCGATGATCAATGAATCCCTGTGCATACAGCAAGGCTTTTGAATCTCTCCGTTTTCTCCGGGTCTCAAGATTGGGCGGAAGCACTCCAACGTCGTCCATATCTTGAAACTTTGACTCAACAGGAGCCTCTTCCTCGTCTGCTTGGTCGAAATTTCCCTCCTCGTCATCTAAATGAGCCATCGGTGGAGGGCCCAGGTCGGGCGAGTCGCAACCCAGCTCTTCCTCCATCACCGCTTCAATCTCTTCCGCGCTTCATTGTGTCAGAATTATCCAGTGCCATTGAACGCATCTGGGAGGCAACTTACTCGAGAGTCTTTCGTGGGTAGTATTTCCCTTCAACAATTGGCGGGAGAGTTCCCTCTAATCCGCTTGTACCTCCTGATAGGCGCATGAAGTTTTTCCATTGTCTGTCCGGCCGTACAGCTTTAGGAGAGCTGTTGGCAATAGAACCCCTACTCGATCGTCTTTCTTGATGCTTAGAAACACCGAGGTCGGCAAGCATGGCACTAATCTCCTGTATCTTATGTTCCAGCTGCAGTTTGATATTGTCGACATTGTCGGTACGGTTTTTGGCTCGCGCCGCTTCCACTTGTAACCTCACTATTTCTTCTCGGAAAGAGATGTTCTCGGATATAAGGGCAGAAATCTCGCTTTCAAGCTCGCGGATTCGAAGGGACTGCGCAGAGTTTGCCCTTTGCAGATCAGCAAATATTGTTGTGAATTGATAAGACCTGCACTCCGTAACTCACTTTATTACTTCCCGATTTTGTCTAATAAAACGTCGTCTCACTAAGAAGTAGTTAATTTGTGACTCTGGCGTCATTCTGCAAACGATCTTCTTTCCACTTACGACTGTCAATAGTCTCGACTGGGGGCGGGGGTTCGTTAAGGCGTGCCATTTGCATAAGAACATTTAAAAATGGAATCCGACAAGGCTCAAATAACGCGAAATGGGGACCTCAAAGTTCCGCCTGATGAAACAGGGGCTGCGACACCGTTGCGCGCCCGGTGCGCTTCAGATAAAATCGAAATGCGGGCAGTGTTGACGTTGGATAATTGGCGAAGGGTGGATTGTTTACTTTTGGGCCAAACGGAGAGTAGCGCTCGCGTGAAGCTACGGCGCTCGAGGTAGCCACAAATGTCACATCTCTCATCCGCGCGGCTGAAGCAACAAGCGACCATTCCTAATTTGTCAATCCCCAAACATTCCAATAATGGACAATTTGAATGAAAGTTATGCGCGGCCAATATGCAGCTCGGTTTTGACTTGTGAATGAAAGAGGTAATTATATGGTTTGACAACGCATCACAGAGGAGTCGCCTACCAAGTTGAACCATGTGGTCCGGTCTTCTTTGGTCTCCATCACTCCGACTTTAAAATCTTCGGCGTGAACAAAATTATCCTTTACAAAGAACTTTGAATTCCTCGACCTTTCGTGATTCTCCATCTCTACAACAGAGTGATTTCAGCATCCTATGTTGCAAGGAACTCTCACTAAATCCTCACTGACCCGTCAATTTCCACAATGACTTCTATGGGTACTGAAAAACTGCCGGGCACGCATTCCGCTGACGAACAGTTTGACGATGTCGTCGGTTTTATCTCTATTCCGGACGATACGAGTGTATTCATAGTAGTCATGCACAATGATCATCGATTCTGTATCAGTGTCTCGGAATCCAGCCTCAAAGGAGCACCCGTCCAGACCATGAACGAATATCTCCATTTGTTTTCGCTCCTCGAATCAGATGACAGTAATGCTGAGACTGGCGATCCCGTGGAGAAAATGAGCGACTGGGTAATAGCAGCGTGCTTGACACAGTTTGCTACGCTGGCACCACCAGAGACGAAATGCCAACCCCAAAATCTATTCGACTACTTCAACCCAAACACCTTTTCCCTCGAACTGGTCATAGCTGACGGAGAATTAACCGCTGTTCAAATTGTCGAGGATATGCGCAACGCGCCGTTCCTTGTTCCGAATATTACACTGTCTGAATCGATCGAGCGCCTTGCGGAAAATATTCCTCGAGTGGACCCATCAGAAGTGAAGATTGACTGGACCGTTCCGTACTATGTCGTTGCACGGCCGACCAAGGTCTTCGTCGGAGAGGAGGCCTATTTTTTCAAACCCTCGCCTCGCGGAATGGATAGACACATTGGAAGAGAGATTGAAACACTTTTTCGCCTTCGACAAAGCGGGCTGGACGTTCAGATAAACGTACCTGTTCTTCATGGATTGGTGCGGTATGGAGACAGCGCGGGTATATCCGGACTTCTGCTCACATACATTGAGCACAGAAATACATTAGCAGACGTTTTAAGGTCCATTACCCCAGTATCCAAGGACCTTAAGCTCAAATGGCATCGTCAGGTTATTCATATGCTATCACAATTGCACGCAGCTGGAATCGTGTGGGGAGACGCCAAAACTGACAATATCCTTGTGGATTATAATGATGATTTATGGCTGATTGATTATGGCGGAGGCTATACCCGGGGCTTTGTCGACGAGTCGGTGGCAGAGACTCTTGAAGGTGACTTGCAAGGCTTGTCAGTGCTTGTTGATTTACTCAATTCTTAGCAAAAGCATATGGATATGTATGGGGCAGTCTTTTATTGCCTTTGTTTAATTGAGACTGAAATTGAGGCCAAATGAAAATATAGCGGGCCGAATAATTTGAATGACGAATGAAGAAACAAATTGAGAAATGACTCCGGAATAGCGTGATGGATTCTTCATCGTAACATTTCTGATGGTTTTTCAACCCACGTAGTTGAAAGCAAAGCATTAACACCAGTCCAACGCCGCGCTCTCTAACCGGGGGGAACACATTTTGGGAAGGAGAAGAGCCGGAAAAGGAAACAGAAAACCAGATAATCTTCCTAGAAAGAAAGAGGAAGACAGTCTTGAAGACAGAAAGTCATAAAAATGCCGGGTGTACTAGCCACTCAGTAAAGGAAGCCGTTCCATGGCGCCGCAACAATTCAATATTTTATCACGGCTTCTGCGCCGCCGAAGACGATGTTTTATATTTCGGCATACGTTCATAGGCATTAGGACTGTAATCCCTTTGTTTGTCCTTTCCTTTATTGTGTCCCGGCCCGCCGCACCCATCGTGATCATCATCTCCGTGACCATGGTGGTGGTGTCGTCGCCGGCCTCGACTGCGAGCACCACCACCCCCGGCGGGCATGGCGCGGCTGGTATCTGGCTCACTGTCGCTATTGTCGCTGTCCGAGGACGAAGATGACGAGTCGGAGTCTTCTTCAGAGGAGGATTCGCCAGCGGCACGGGGCTTGTGGTATATGCAGCATACTAGAGACAAAAAAGAGAGCGAGTTAGTTTTTTTTGTGAGACTTGCATATTAAGTGCAGATAAGAGCATGGAATTATGAAGACTGTATTTAACTCCAGTGTTTGCGTTTAGAAGCAACAGGAAGAGGGAGGTAAAGGGACGGGAAGGCAGAGTGGCCACAACGCACCCTTGGATGACTTCTTGCCCATTCCTTCATTATCGATGACACTCTCGTCCCACTGGATGTGTCGATCCCTCGACGACGGTGCTGCGCCGCGAAGACGTAAGGTTGCATGCACGCGAGGCTGTCGAGTAGCAGGTTGAGTTTGCGTTGCGCTGCCCGTGCCAACGGCCGGGGAGGTGGGGCGTGCGCGCCCGTTGATGGCGGAGTTGTCCATCCTCTCTGTATCACTAATTTCTTTTGCGTAGAGATTTTATGGAGGAGGAATATGAATAGAGTATGTGAAACCAGAGGACACCAGAAGATGGGGTATCAGGTAAGAAGCAGTTTTGGACGCTTCGGCTCGAAATGTGGGGTGATAATAAGGTGAAGCGATAGAGTGTTGCGGGGAGCCGTCGAGGAGATGAGAAAGGCTTAGATGGATAATTTCATGCGTATGTATTTCTGCAAGTATGTGATTGACGCTTGGCAGAGAGAAAGTAAGATAGAGGGTGTGAATTTCGCGGAGAGGTTGCAGCGATAATGATGATGTTGTAAGTGCACGCAAAAACGTGGGGCAGTTTCGGTGGTGGGAGCTCGGGACAGAGTACAATGGAATGCACATGAACGGAAAATGTTGTCGGAATCCGACTTGGCACCTACGCCAACCAAGATGTAATCGGTAGTTGAAGCCAACTATGGAGGAGCCTGGCTAAGCCGGCATTGGAATTTACGACTTATGCATTCTGGTTATGTCATTACGAGCTAACTTATGCTGTCTACCATCATCATCATCATCATCATCATGCTTCATGCCGTTGTACATTGGTTCTCTCTATCGGCTTACTGAGCGACTTCTTTTTCCATGCAGCACAGCTTCACATGTCGCGTGATCCTTTGCATTGAGGCTCCATCGCAGAACTTGATTCCACATAAATGAGCGGGGTTGTTGAGTTTTGGGTCATCGTGCATGGAAAAAAGCCACAGTAAGGCTCTGAGGACTTGCACAAAAAGTTGAGGCATTTCAGCCCGTTGCAGATAATGCAGGTAGAATCGATACTGTATGGACCGCTCACAAAATATCCATAAGAGACAAGTATATGTAAAAGATTATTAGAAACAGTAGCTAAAAAATTATGTAGACTCGAATTTAAAGTTTTCTCGACGCATTTTTCAGCCTGAGCTGACGGGGGGTATAATTGCAACTTCATCGCCTTCTTTGATCATGACTGGCTCTGCATCAGCACCTTGGTCCAAGTCCAGGTCCACATAATCCAAATTGATCGTCACAGCGCAGCTGTGCAGAACATTTTCTTTTATCCCAGGATACTTGCTCTCGAGCAATTCGAAGAGCTTTGTCAGCGGTAGCGGCGATTCAAAGTGCTCAGACGCCTTTTTGGAAAATGCCGTCGCAGATGCAAAGTATAGCAGTGTAAAATGGCCAGGTGGCGGTCTCGACGACATCTTGTCGGCACCTTCAGTACAACTGTTAGCTTACATAGTTCACTTCTATGCATTGATGCAATGAATGTGAAATAAGGTGCGAAATGAAATTTCGGATCAGAGAAAATAAAAGGCTCCACAGTAGAAAGCACCCGAAAGTGCTGTCACTTCGGATAATACATGCTATAATTTTTGAAATCTCATCATTTGAAAGGGGTTGGCTGAGCCGGAGAATGCAGATACAATAGAAGTAGGATAATGCAAGATGCAAGGACTTACCGTTGATTTATGTCCTGGCTGATCAAGCAGCCAGGAAAAGATGGTGAAAGAAGGTGAAGAGAAAGAGGCGAAGGAGTTGGTTTGTAGCCCGCCGCGGGAGATGACAAAACAGGTAAGAAGCTAAGCTAACCTTAGCGGGCCTACGATGTCATTAGGGTAAAACAGCTACAAGCCCCTCTGGATAGAGGATATGCTCAAACAGTAAACAGTCCAAGTCGCTGCTAATGAGGATTACTTTCAGTAAGAAGAATAGATTGAATTCAGCAGTGGGTATGAGATGAGTCGATATGAGGGGAGTCTAGATAACATAGAGTCTATAATACATGCAGGGCACCTTTGAATCGTGTGAATGCAGCCGGCCACCGGGCCACCGGGCTATTTTCATTCACTGTCAACCAAACATAAATACTGAGTCAATCACTACCAATATGAACCAGAAGGGACAATGCCAGAGCGGTTAATAGCTCTCTGGCAAAGTCCTGGAATTTCACGGGGTGAGTTCGAGTCGGGGTGTCGCCACAATCGCAGAAGGATTTATCCAACTGCCTGAGGGGCGCCCCTAGATGAGGCCGCACCGGGGAAGGGGTAGAGATGTAGGATGCCTTAACCGCTCTTCGAATGAGAAGACGGGGCATCTGAACTCTTTTGTCGCTTGCGTTAAATAAAATTTTTTTTTTTTTTTTTTTTTGCTCCAAAGAGCAGCTGCCCTGTCTGCTCTCAGCGTGCCAGCACGCTATTTTATGCCTTGATTAGTTCTGACAAGATCTTGTCTCCATGCTTACCCATGATGGTAAAATGAGTAGTGCCTTGATATTCTGTGAGTTTTGACTGCCGAATCTCTTTATGCATCAAACGGCCCACACGAGGCGTAGTATTTTCGTCGTCCAAGCCGTACCAAAACAGGACCTTGTCTTGAGAAATGTCTTTCAATTCGAACCCCCAATGCCGAGTCATGATCTTGATATCATGGACAAGACCCTTGGAGCCTTGCTGGAATCCTGCTCGTAAAACGTCACGGAGGACCGTAGTCATATACGGATCCTGTTCGTAGTACTTCCGGTCACCCTCGCGAAACTCCTTGACTATTTTTGCAGCAAGTTTGTCTGTTTCCGATATATCAGGATTTTGTGCGGCAGGAACAAGTAATGAATCCAAGAGCTTTCCGTAAGCTCCGGGCATCCAGCTCGTCAAGTTCCACGTAAGTCGAGGAACAACTCGCATGCCTCGTAATCCATACGACCACAATCCCATCCCTGCCACGACGCCTGCAGCCTTGAGTTCGTTTTGAGGAATGGCATAAGCGCATGCGAGAACGAAGGGGCCTCCCCCAGACACGCCAATAATGCGGTACTCCGTGATTCCCAAATGCCGTGCCAGCTCGCGCACGTCTTTTGGCCAGTCCAGAAGTTTCCGATCTGGCTGGAAGCTAGACAGACCCATGCCAGGTCTGTCGACGCCGATGATCCGGATGTCATTTTTCTTCGCGGCTTTGTCCCACTCCACGACTTCTATCCTTGATCCGACATCACCGTGAAAATAAAACACGGGCGTTCCTGTAGGTGAGCCGTATTCTGCAAAACCAAGTTCCCTGCCGTCTGGCAATGTCATGGTCTGGTTCTCTCGAGGTGAGTTGGGGTCATAGTTTCGCGGTGTAGTATATCTTCGTGATTGTATCCTGGAGCCTGGCTTGTCGACCAAGCCATGAAGCTGAACGGTGGAGATTGAGGCCTTTGAGGAGGTATAAGGTAAGGAGCTCAATTGACGCAAATTCGGAAATATGGATCGAGTACGTGCAATAGAAACAGGCTCCAAGGGTCGAGAAGACTTCAAAGTTGCCAGCAACCGTGTATTCCCAGAAAATGCTCGTCTTTGCAACATCATGAAGGCCAGCTTGACAAGTACGGAGTTATGCAAAAAAAAAAAAAAATTCATGTAACAACCTGAAGATTAGAACGCAAACGCAAACGCAAACACAAATGCAGACAAAAGAAAAAGCATTCAATTTGAAGAGCTAATTCAAAGTACTAAAATATCAGGCATCAGCCAAGGAGATGACTCAAACATAAGCTCCGACTGAGCGTTTGCATATTTATACGAACTTAGCGCAGGATAAAACACGAGTACTGCCAGGCTTGACGGTCACGTGGGATTCTTAGAGGGGATCTGGTAGTAGCACAGGTCATGGTGGTAGTATAATCAGGAATAATGAAAAATTCAGTGAAAAAGCAATGATAAATTCCCCTAAAATCCACCCCCAAAGGGGGGCAGATGCAAGCTATTTAAGCAATCTGGGTAGGCCCAATAACTATCACTTAACCACTGATATCAGCTTATAGTTAGCCCATTAGCTATTACAGGCCTGTGATAGTCCACTATTCCATCCCTTTCCCCATAGTAGGCTGGCTCCTTCCTCATTGCCCACCTCCACAGTAACCAAGTGTATTGTCGTCGGTCAGCTGGTGTCCGTAAACACCCGTTATCGATAAGCAACCATTATGCCCACTTTTGCCTTTGTGTGGGGAACATGAAGCTCGGAACATCCCCATCCTCCGGAGATTTTATCTTCGTCGCAAGCCTCAGGCTCACAATTCGCGGCGCCGTCGCCTGTAATATCCTTAAATCTTTGCACTCTAGATCGCTCCCTGTCACTCGTTATATTTCAAATGGATCATCCCAGCGACGGAGTTCCTCCGCCAGAAAGCCTCCTCCTGACACCTCCCGAGCTCTTCGCCATTGTCACCGAAGGCATCTATCGTTGCGCCTGTACGTGTCCATCAATTGTTCCAACAGCTGCCTTTACCAATTGCTAATCTTTTTTGTTATTACAGCTGTGGAATTTATAAATCTATCATTTCTCAAAACGTACGTCGCACGACATCCCTCCCGAGAACGCTTCCTATTCTCCCGAGGACACTTTCATCTCCTGCACTGAGTCCGAAACAGTACACCATACCTCACTTTTTTCTAATTCGCCATTGGTGCAGTCTCCGCCTTCGTACAATACTTACTCTAAACCCTGAACGTCCGACGAAACCGATCCAAGCGCTCCTTGCCTCGTCCGAATCAAATAATACCAACAACAACAACCACAATAACAACGACAACAGCAATCATAGTAACAGCGCCAACAGTTGCATTGAATGGCGACATACCTCCCTCCCACTCCACGCATCTGGCGACGCCTGGACCGCACCACGGCACGAAAACACGGTGAAACGATGGCGAGAAGCGATTGCGGTGCTGGCCGAAGAGAGACGGCCCGTTCTTGTGGTTGACCCAGGCGGCATGTTCTGCGGAGTGATCCGCCGCGTGCTCATGGGATGGAACTTTACAAGTGTGATTCTGGAATAGTACGTGCTTGATGCTTCCGCCCGGGCGGAGAGCCCGCAGATCGGTACATTCTAACGACGAACCACGTTTTGCAGTCGAAGTTTTCTCGGAACAAAAGCGCGATACGCAGTCGAAGAATTCCTCGAGGCAGTCGACGTAGACGCTTTGCGGGAACCTTTTCAGTCAGGCTCATCGACGACGACGACGACTACGTCAACCTCGTCTTCACCTTTGGCACGGTCGGCAGCAAGTAATCCTCAGCAACACCAACACCAAGAAGCACATCCTCATGACCAATCAGACAACCGTTTCTCTGATCACGACGGGGATGAGCACAACCATATCAATGCTCATAATGTGGCTATTGATGATAATTAAGTACTCAAAAGCACCACGTCAGAAACACCACTAAGTTCCCACGCAGCTTCAACGCGAGAGACGACGCCAAACAAAGACTCGGAACAGGATCTATTCGAATCCGATCCGGCAGCAGACGCAAGAGGCGAAGACGATTCTTTTCAGCAGTAACGATACCCTTTACTCTACCAAGATTATTCCATATACCATATACCACTTATCAATGATCAATAATATCAATGATATATAATATCAATAAATATACCTCTAGTTCAGACTTACACGGATGTGCATGATATATGCCGCGCTGACATCCTTGGCTACGAAATCAATCGTCCCAAGACGAATAGCAATGCATCCCAGTCCACTATATATATTCGTATAACAAGTCTATCATTCTTTCCTTTCCTTCTACGTTCATTCAATTGTCTCTAATGATTTTCGTTCCTTTGTTTCCGTTATATATAAAACTCCTCGATATGGTATCACAATAAAGCATCACCCGATAAATATCCCGTCCTAAACTCCAAAGAAGCAATAGCTATGGCTCTCAACCCTCTGACCTGACCCAGAAACTAGACACCGCTTATACGTAATTGATTTTGGTCCGCACCCACTCAGCGCACATCAGTCTCAGCATAAGAAGACAATCATTCCTCCACTGGTTCCTGCGCGCCAGGCTGCGTCGTATGTTGCTGCGTAGGTATCCGGACCAGCGTCTGCGGAAGCGGGACATTTGCTCCTGTCGCTCTTTTTAGCGCCTGCTGCTGTTCGTCTTCTTCTTCGTCTTTGGGTTTTGGTATTTTCACTAGATCCCATTGTCAGCTCTATCCATCCATCCATATATTCCCCATATATCCCATCCATGCATTCCCCTCTCCCTCTCTCTCCTTCTCTCGCTCGCGCTCTCTTGTATATAACATATAGGATAGACCTACTGGAAGCCATATTGATCGCCCGTAACACGTTATGCCAGTTCGACAACACCGCCGCGACAGCTACACACGTCCTTTTTGTTAGCACATTTTCAATCATCATCGCCATAAACCACGCCCATCACTATTTGACTGCTTTGCTGCTTGCCATTCCCTCTTTGTTGTTTTGATGGTTTTCTTTCCTTTCTGAAGGGCAGGGAAACAAGGATGTCGAGGAGTAGGTAAACGCGGAGAGCCGCGAGCCACGCAGTCCTTCTCCTCTCTTCATGTATTTAAAAAAATGTTATCATACCTTCAGTCCCATCCGACAACGTAGCAAGTTTACTCTCCAGCGTCTGCATCTCCTGCGCCAGTCCTGCGCTGAGATCACGCAATTGCCTGAGATTGTCCAGTTCGGCGCGCTTCTCGTTGATCCGGGCCAGCAGTGCAGGGGATTGTCCGGCAGAAGAAGAGGCAATGCCTGGGATGTTGGAGCCCATTGTGTTTCGCATTTGTGTCGCGTATCCGCGGTTGTTTTGGTACGCCATTTTTTTGTCCTCCTTCTGTCCTTTTCTTCTGTCCTTTTTATTTTCGCTTTCTTTTTTAACTCGTCCTGCCTTTCCGTCCCTTTATGTTCCCCCTGTCTTTTTTACTCGTCCCTTTTTTTGTCCCTTTTGTTTTCGCTTTCTTGCTTAAGCTCGTCTCTTTTTCTGATCCACAGATGTTCGCAGATGTAAACTCGTCCCGCTTTCTGTCTGGCAGATGATCGCAGATATGAACTCGTCCCGCTTTTCTTATGTCGCGGAGTATATCGTGTCCTTTGTACAAGGTAGGTTGTCCCTGTCGCGTAGGTTTTGTCTGGTCGGATTATTTCACAGTGTGCGCTGCGCGTTTTGCGTCTTACGATTTGCGTCTTGCGTCCGTGTCTTGCGTCTCGCGTCTCGCGTCTTGCAGCGACAGTATGACAGTATGACAGTATGACGGTATGACGGTATGACAGTAGTGTTATTCTTTCAAAAGCTTCAATCTGCTTTCGAACTTTGAGACGCGGTGGGGTTCAGCTGGTGTGCCTCGGTGGTGCGTAATAGAGGGAGAGCGTTTGACAAGGTAGTGATGCTGTTTCTCGAGTAGAGTAGATACTAGAAACAAATTGCAAGTTGAAATATCACAGTACTCGTAAAGTAAATGCGAATGTTGTCGGATATTCAACTGTTGCTTGAATATACGCACAAGGGGAGTGTTGGAGTATATACGGAGGTAAGTTGGCGGGTTTCTCGCTAGTTAATACCACCAAGCAAGCAAGCAGGTAAAGCAAGCAAGCAACGACAACAACAACAACGAGTAAGCTAGGAACTGACCCCGTTGCCCCCTCGGACCTGACCTGAGCAAGCGGGGAAATCAATCGGAATATTCCCACTCTGTCAAACAAACCTTAGCTATTGAGGATTGGGCGATCACAACTGGGGGCAGCAGAGGTGCTTGTACGTAGTAGAGAATAGTCTGGAGATATTAATGGGGTTATTTATTACGTGGTCTATTGACTATCATAAAAACAAATAATAATAATAATAATAATAATAACAAAAACGAGGATGATGGTAATGATGATGAAAAATCTAACCAATTTTCCATCACCTCAGTATCTGATCATCTGCCCAAGCGCCGACATCTGCAATTTTTCCACTGTTTAGTATGCTAAAATGCATAAAGTACCCAAATGATTCGACTCAAGTCTGGGAGCATGACATTCTAGGGGATGGCGTGCAGCCAAAAGAAATGAGATTAAAGGCGTAGGCAGAAGACGAATGATGATTAGGGGATCAGAAGCGCAGGCGCAAATCAATCAGTCAGTCAATCGCTCATTTCATCAAAAAGAAATAAACGACAATTCAAAACGACTATCAAAGACCTGTCGGGTTAATGCCTCACTTATTCCTACTTATATGGATCGGAATTTTCACAAACAGATCGAACCATATCGTCAAGATACATTAGACAATGAGTAGTGATAACGATTTAGGTATTAGAAGCAATCACGGCTGCGAAGAAAATAAAAGCGAAGGGGAAACGAATGAATGGGCAAATAACTGTAGCCGTAAATGACAAAGTAAAAGACGATATTCGCAGCAGGTCATGCCAGACGTTGATAGAGCCTGGAACCTAAAAGTCTAGGCTTGCTTCTGGACCAAGAGCTTGTCGACAATCCACTGATTCTCCGCGTCCATCCTCAAGAGAAGAAAAGAAAATTCTTGTCGCAGCACCTCGCCCTCCTCTCTCTTCTCTTTTCTCCCATTTTTTTGATTTTTCTCTCTCTTCAAAGTAACGCGGCTGAATTTCGTCCATCGATATTCTTCTTGTTCATAAATATTTTCGTTCATCGCTCTCTTGCAGATTTCGCCTCGCGACGAAACGCGACGCCCGTTTCGCGCTGTGTCCCCAACCAAAATGTGTAGCTCTCAGTACGCGCCCATACTACCAACCCCGCATCTGTCCCTGATAAGAAACAGCTGCAGCGGCAGGGGACCTTATGCCTTGAGCGCCTTGGAGAGTTTGAAGAGCGACTTCTGCGGCGTCTTCCTTGGCGTTATTGACGTATTGGCCATCGTACCAGTAGCGAGCGCTGATGGTCATCGCATTGTGGGCATTGCTGGGCGATACGGTCACGGTACTGGACCATGCTGTGCGGCCGCCTGTATGATTTTGATTAAAAAAACTTGTAAGCAAGGTCGGTTGGAGGTGAGCAGGTGACTGGGGTTTCTTGAAGCGATGCCCAGATTTGATATTTTCATTCAGGGGGCGTGGGTGCAGGGTGTTGAAGGGTGAGAGATGTATATTTGAGGATCAAGAAGGGGAACGACTTGAGAAGACGCTCAAAAATTCTTTCTTCTCCTATCCATGGAGAAATATGATAGGCGGTAGAATGGTTGCGACCGGGCGGCGGAAAAAAAATTTTTGAAAAAAGGAAAAAGAAATTCACTCAATGAACACCGAAAAAGCATGTCGAACCGCCCCCATAGGGTCGTGTAGATGCAGCAACCCGGCTCGCTGTAGAAACCCTTGTAGGCTGGGCAAACAAACGCTCGATAGATAGACTCAAACGAAGCTCAAAAGGAAGAGAAAAAAAAAAGGAGAGAGAAGTGATTTACCTCGGCGGTCAGATACAATGGTCCAGACAGGAGGGTGAAGGCGTGCGGATTTGCAGTGCTCTGCGCATCAACCAAAAGTTGAAAACGTTAGCCTGGTGGTCTGAGCTTCTTGGCACTTCCTCCCTTGAGTGCCCTTTTTCAGCTGGTTTTAAGTGCTCTCAGAAGCAAGAAAAAGGAATGGTCCTTCGAAAGAGCAGATTCGCTTTCCATGTCCGCTTTGATTGTTTTGGAAAGAAGTCTGGTGAAGGTACACTGAGCCCCGCGATACGTGGGGTCAGGGGGAGGGGTCATGATTGTGGCGCGGGTAGGGGGCGCGCTTTCTAGGGGCTCAGACACACCTTGCAGGCGCTCCTGCCATGAACTTTGTCTGCCACCGTTCGCTGCCGGCGAAGAGGGACAAATAGGGCTCGACATGTTTGAGGGTGTGAAGGTAGTTGAAGCGATGGTCGTATCAAACAACGCCGTCGCGACACCAAACAAGAAAAGGCGGGAAAATGAGGGGTTAGGCGTCCACGGAGGCCGAGAAGGACAGAACGAAGCCAAGTGATGACGCGGGGCCCAAAATAAACAGAAAAATTCGAGTAAAAAGAGGCAGCAGAGGTCTTTTTTTTCGTACTTCTCTTTTCTCTTTTGGTCCTTGTCGACTTTGCTTTTTTTTTCAGTTTGAGTTTGCCGGTTGACTAAATGCCCGTTTCAATGGTCGTTCCATAGCTGCTTTATAGGGCCAAACAATTGACCACCAGCAATGAGGGTCGGCCAAGCCCGGCTGCACCAGGGTCTATCCGCCGCACAACGGTGTTGAAGCAGCAGTGAGAGCAGACCAGAAACCATTTTTGATTTCATGAACCGGCATATGCAAGATGAACGAAGAAAAAGATTTTCGGAACCAAAAAAGGAAAAGGGTAAGAGGAGTCAACACGGATAATCCACACAGACCGAATGAGCAGAGTCCACCATAGCTACAGCCAACAAGCAACATGTTGCCCCCTCTTCCTTTAGCACACGCCCTTACCAACGCCAACAACGGCCGGGGCCCAAACATACCCGAAGACACACTTGCCGGTCTGCAAACGAGACCCCGGTCTTCGTCCGTCCATCCATCCTATTCCTTTTTGAAAATTGCCCTGTCAGGAGAAGGAAACGAGCGACGGACACAACGTGTGCATCATTTAGATGCTACGGGCTCGCCCCAGGAACGGGCCGATGCGCTGGCGCCGTGGGGCCTATTGAGCCCTGGTTCGTGTCTATCTGGCAGCTTTGCTCTCCCAATGGGACCTGGCCCCTGGCCCGATTTGAGCCACACTCGATGTACGATTGAGTTGCCTTATGTTACCCTTTCCGACAAGCCGGCTGAGCTTGCGTGCTTTTCCGAGCCTTGAGGCCGCTTGGGGGCGTCAATGTGTTGATGCGTGGCCCTGCAGGCGAACCATCACGGCATGATAGTCAATCTGCCAACACTGTCTTGCAGGAACCCGTGGGTCTTGTTTTGCGTTGAATTCAATTGTCCAAGAAAAGTGTGGAGCCACCGCGAACACCCGCAGTATTCCCTGGCCTCCCCCGGTTGAAAGTTTCTCAACCCTCCTTCTTCCCCCTGCTAATCTTGCCTCTTCCAGCCGAAAGGTCATCCCGCCAGGAGTGGGGAGCAACTAAAAGGAAGAAAATCCCCTGGCGAGACCACACGCCAGAAGGCTGTCATGACAGCAAACGCCTGCCTGATGTCATGTGCCGTTCCTGCCCTAAATCAACGTCCGTGTTGGAAAATTTGGCAGTCCGTGCCCCATCAATTGCATGCCTTGGTCCTGGTGGCCCATTTTCATCACTGCCACGCGATAGGAATTCTGCTGATGCTGCGTTACAAGGTCGGTGAAGCTGCACGATTTCAAACGGGTAACGAAACAGCTAATGCATCAGCAAAAGCGTTGCAGTCTATCGGGTTGGGCCACGCATTGGCGTCCTTGATGCGTGAGCCGATGCCCGTCAGATCAAAAGTGAAGTAACCCGGAATGGACTAAATTCAGGTACCTTCTTACGATGACATTCGTCCGGGATAGAGGGCCCAATGTTCCGAAATCCGGGGCGTGTCAAGCTTTTGGTGTATTGAATGGCTAATTCATGCTGTGTTGGATCCAATACCCGGCTGGGCTGAACCACAGCAGCCAGTGCCAACTCATCATCGCGACGATTCTGATACCGCCAGATGAGATCGTCGCCTGTCGGTGAGGGCTATCCAGCAGCGAGCCTACCATGGCTTTGGTATCACTCGTTGTCCACATCAGGGGACATTGCGCGACGTTCATCAAGCAGCTCTCAGAGGGTCAGATCCAATGAAACACAATGATCGCGTTAGAAGCCAGGGCTGAGTGAGAGAAGCCAGAGGAGGGCGGCAAGAGAAGATGGGCGCGTTATGCCCTCCCATCTCGTTCCTTCCCGTTCGGTCAGATCCCCGGTCATCCCGCACCATATCTGAGCCTAGCCAGATCAAGGCAGCGTTCCTCCGCCCGGTTTTCTTGCCATGGGCACGAGATGGGCGAGAATGACAAAGCCAGTCGAACATGAAGTTCAATAACCTTTACTTGGTGTCCAATATCAAGCTCAAGCTCAATGAAGTAAGTCAATCCAGATTTCAACGCTTTGATTCTGCTCCTCTTCCTCTCCGTTTGCCGCAGTACATCTCTTTTTTCTGGTTTTTCCTTTTAGACTTGATGACGTTCCGGGACTAAAACGCCCTCCTAGTTTGTGTGGTATGCTCTGTCGCAGGGTGGTGGGAGAGAAAAGGAACGCCATAAGAAAAGGGGGCGCGTAAGAGCGGGACTATTCTCTCGGTACCAAACTTCCGTATCATTTAGTTTATTGTTCGAGCAAAACACGACCCATGCCCCCCACTTGCCGTTCCTTTGACTATTTGTTCGACTGATGATATTTGCTTTCATGCCCAACATACGCTGACCGATTGTCACACGTTCCAACTGTTCGTCCTGAATGTCGGGATGTCTGCAAACACATGCACACTGACGATGCATTTGAGTTCAACAGGGGGTTTTGAGATCGACAATCGATAAACAACACTGACAAGGATATCATCTTTCAGCACCAACGCAAGTCCCGGGGCGAGAGCGGGATGCAAGTCGATTATTTGTGTCCATCGTCAGAATATCGTGTCCTCATCTCCTTGGTCAGTAACAGTCAGCCTTATTGACTGGCAATTGACGTCTTTCATGGATCAGGGGCTCGATGCAGATTCAAAGACGACATTTTGACATTGTCATGACGCATCAAATAAAGAACCCCTAGTATGAAAAATCGACGGCAAAATTCAATTGACAGCTTGTCGGTTTGCCTCATTGCCTTTGTGGTACAATGGACCACGGCCGGAACGTCATGACGGTTCGGGCACGAGCTGGAAAACTGCCACTAAGAGCATCGTTGGCGCCGTTCCCCGGGTAGTTCTGGCCATAGCTCGACCTGTTCGTCTGTAGCGTACATTAGCTGAGGAATCCCCAAGCTTCTCCATGGTGTTCGCTAGGATTTTTCAACCCGTCGTTTGAAACTATTGAATTAGCAAAGCACCACAACCCATCTCGGCCTCTCTTCCTGGGATTATCGCCAAGCCATGCCCAGCTTCTTGAGGGGCGGCTAAGATAATTGTAGCATTCGGCTCCCTTGCTCGGTACGCACGAACCCCTATACTGAGCGGAAGATAAACAAAGAGCGAGAATGAAGGACAGCGCGGCCAATCGGAACTCGGAGCAATCGAAGCTTCAAAATAAAAAGCCTTTGTCCACATTTTTGCTGTCCGTCCCACTTTTAGCTAGAATAGTAATTGCCACTTCTGAAAGGGTTTATCTTGTTCTGTATCCTACAAAGGACTTGAGCCTCTTCTAGCCATTGAGAAGCAAAAGGCGCAACATACTGCATCGCCGGGTCGAGCTTCACTTCTCAAGGCTGTTCGGATGGATTCTGTACACGTAGATCCACGCCGTCATCAATGGCTCGGGGGAGCCTCTTGGCAACTGTGAGCCTCCAACGTCATATCGGACCTAGGTAGTTAATATTGGCATTTCTCCGTGTTGAATAGATAATATATTTTCTGAAGTTCGAATGAGCGTCGCCCTAAATGGACATACGTAAGGGATATAAATGAAATCACTTTCAAAGCTTGCCGTGTGGTGGGTTGAAAATACTCATCACGGTTTCAGATGGTGAGAATGTAGATGGTTGTCGAGGCTGGCTCTGTAGCTGCTAAAAACCCCGAGAGGCGGCAGCCGGTAGTTATGGCAGGTCTAGAGAGAGACAACAAGTAGGTTTCGCCTGAATTTAGTTAAGGGGTTCAATTGAGAGAGGGCACGTTTCGGTTAACGAATGGGCAGATACAATCAAGCATTCCCTCATCTGGGAGGCCCCGATATCACGAAAAGAAAAAATAAAATAAAATAAAAAATAAACAGATTGCAGTCAGATAATCCACTTGATCAATCAGAAATCTATTAGACTGATGTTGTGTTTTCATACAATGATAGACTCCCTGCCAAGTATTTACTCGCTCTCTTCTTCGCTTCTATCATCCAACTGTTGAACGTCTTTTCTCTATCAATTTTCCAAAGAACCTGCTCCTCCACCCATCAACGTCCATAGTGGGAACCATTCCCACCATACAAATATGTAGTTAACTATTTAAGGAGCGCATTACTGGAGCAGGCCAATGCCGATGAATATCCGCCCAAATCCTAGGTCCGTAGTTTGTGAGAAATCCAGCACACGGAGCACATCGCGAAAAAATCTGTCCTCGAAAAGGCACGATAATCGCAACTCAATCAAGAATTGTAAAATTGTCTTGTATTTCTATTTTACTGTGCTACTGTGATGCCGTAAATCGTCGGATAAAGCAATGCCGCCAGCGGGCGTTTTGGCGTGAGTGTAAATTGAGAATTGGTAAACCGAGAGCTCCCCATCCATCACTGGACACCGTATCGAATAGAATAACAAGACTGATAGACGTCCTGAGAATGAAAGTGGTATGAAAATGCCTTGTACCATATGCTGAACGCAAGAAAAATAATACTCCGTCCTTACGATATATATGAATCTCATAGCCCATAACTCATGCGCCGAAATCAGGAAAATAAAAAAAAGGGCATTAATCAGAATTGATCATTGGCATCGTGAGGGAAGGTGGTATTTATGAAAGCCTCGAATCATAGATGATAGTAGTGATGAACAGCAACAATTAAAAATCATAAAGTGAAAACATGACATGCATAAAGTCATGCTATCGCTCGTCAAAAGTTGATGAATGGTAATGCAAAGCCAAAGTGGCACAGCAATCCAAGTTTCGGCGATGTATGTCCGAGAAGCGACATACCACAAGTTACGGATTGCCCGCTGATTGTGAGCGGCACGGCGGTGAGCGCCGACTGCTCTTGTTGGTAGAGAAATTACTGCGGTTGAAAACATCATCAATGAGACGTTTCGGATCCACATACGCCATATTCATCTTCAACGGCGTCTTCATAGGAACAGGAAGCACAAGATGCATAGCTCGTTTCTGATGAAAACGGCGTTTGATGTTGTCATCAACAAGAGCGATGAGGCCAGTAGCGACAATCATGCTGCGGACAGGTTAGTCATGAAACGGGGGATCATCTAACACTCGTTCTAGCAGTGACTTGGCTGGGACTCACTCGGCGACATCGGGGGACCCTTCACAGATTTGATCGTCGCTGATCCACATTGAACACGGCGGAATCCATCCGCCACGTGCTTCCTCTTCGCGGACTTGGAGGGGCGATAAAGGCTCGGGAACGATATGTGCAAGGATGTTGCCCTTTAGACTGTTTACAAGGTGATAAGACACCTCAATCAAATCACCGTGCTTGCGGGCTTCGCGCTTCCAGCTGTAGTCGGTACCCCAATACTCAAAATCGTAACGCTTAGACGCTTTGGCACCGCGTCGCTTGAGATCGACTTGTGCATAATTTGAGCACTCAAGCTTTATTGTCTTGGTCGGCTGCGGGCCGCTGGACGATCCGCGCCGTGCTGCCGATTTAGGCCGAGACTCGAGGCCGTCGGCCTCGCTGAAGACAGAGGCATATCCGGAATCAGAGCGTTTTAAACCGGCGGCGCTCATGGCTTTGGCTTCGGGTTTGGCGCGCAAGGAGGCCACCATTTGGCTCAAGGATCGTTGCAGACCGGGTCTTCGCTCGGCAGCGGCCTTTTGGTACGTCCGGCTGGAATGGCAAATCTCCCGGCCAGACTCGCGACAATAACGTCGGAAGGAGAATTTGCGTTCTTTCAGATCTTGCATACGAAGGTGAAAAAGGATCACGTCTCGCTTTTCACCTCGCCGCGTCCTGACCTCGGTGTCGACGCGAAGATTCATGTTACCATCAACGGTTGCATCATCATGGCGAATCAATAACCGCCTGGTTGAAGGGAACAACTCCGCAAACTCTGGAGGTATTGACGGAATTGCGTCTGAGGGAAACATATCGTTGCGAGACTCGGGTAAGTCGTATTTTGGATAGTCGTCTGAGAGATCCTCTGTGGACGGAATTGTGGAAGCGTAGGTCTCAACTGAGGATCGATAGCTGCTATCATTTTCGCAAATCGGATCGCGCTCATCGCCAACTTCTAGTCGTGCTCCTGCTGTGCTGCATCGCTTGAAGCTGGGACGGGTGCTGTACTGTGTTGGAGCAGTGCTATTAGAATAGCCTGAACTGTCGCTGCGGCCAGAGCCCATACTCTCATCGCTGTCCTCCACCCTTCGCTGGTAGATGATCGGCGCCATGGTCGATGGATGTAGACAACAAAATGCCTATGGTAGTTTGTACAAGTGAAATGTTACCCCTGATGGATTCGCAGCGGGTCTGTGGTCGCTCAAGAATGTTTGGAGTTTGGGGATAACAAGGAGAAAGCTGAGTAATAATAACAAGAAATAAATGATAATAAATGTTGTATCAAGGTACGAAGCTTTTGTTTTCGAAAGCATGCAAGAAAAAAGAAAGGGAAGCCTTGCAGTAGAATGCAATATTTTAAAACGGTGGTGGTCCAGGCACAACCAAGGAAGGCACGGCAGACAAGTCAGCCACGTTCTGGGTTCAAGCCGGGTTATCCATAATGATTGCGCGAGTGATTCGAATCAAAAACAAAATTCATCAAAATTTAATCAGTCATATGAACTTGCTCCCGGAGAACATGGGGAGTGCCAAAACGGCTTGCGAGGGGTGAGTGAAGGGAGGCAAAATGCGACGTCGGGTGAACGAGGATGGAAAAAACGGCCTTTTTGGACTGGGTCCGGAGCGGGTTTAAGGAGGGAATGAAGGGATCGAAAGGGCTCTGGTATCCGTGGGTCTCAGCGCGCATGTCGGCGCTATGTGTGCGAGTCTGGGTGGTGGGTGGGCAAGGGCAGGCTGACTAGCACCGGTCTGGGGTTGCCAGCGATAAGCCTTGGGACATGCTGGATCAAACCAAGCAGCGTCCTCAGCCTCCTTGTTTCCATTTCACTCGCTCCGTGACCGGGATCCGTCTAGACATCAGCCCCCCTGGCGGTAACGAGAGGCAGAGCACACTCAAGAAGACAAGGAGAAGCTTCATTGGTGGAAGGCAATGGGGCAGTCCAACATGCATCTCATTCGAGTAAACGATCGAGCGCGCAGCGGTCGTCCACTCTGCCACACGGTTGCACTAGACCTCACATGTACCTTATACTAATGTCCGCAGCTTCGAATGGCTTCTCAACATCGTAGGCACCGATCCACTGATGAAAAGAGGTGAAAGCCGACGGCAAGGGGTGTAGATGGGAGAATTGGTGAGTTTCAAACATTCGGTATTCATAATCACAGATGACGAAAGAGTTGGAGCCTGGCAGTGGTTGCCTGCTTAGATTATGACGGTGGCACGCACCCAACCGGGCCCTTAAAACTTGCCTGGTCCGGCGGTGCACATGAATGGAAACAAAGACTCATTCCAGGCAACTTTGATCGAAACAAGATGCACGATGCGGGGGGATGATGATGATGATGGTTGGCCTTCATTCTCGCCCCAAAAGCCCTTAGTTGTGTGAGCAGGACAAGAGCGGGTTGGACGAGGGGGAAACGAAGGGCGCGCTCGTGGGCCATCTGGTGGCTTGATTCGTGCGGTGTTCCCCGACTTTTTTTCTTGATGGCCGACGCGTTTGCGCCCGAGAACACAACCAATAGCCTCCTTCATTGCTGTAGTCTTTGAGGGCAGTACCCTCTGTACAGCTGATCTTTTTCGAAGATGGCCAGCTGAGAGATTCAATACATTCAAAGGTACCTCTCCAGTTTGATGACACAAAATGGAAATGGATCTTCATGATTGTTTCCTCCAGAATAGTTTCTTTCTTCCCTACCAAAAGTCAGCAAAAGCATGTGCCTGAAAATAGTTGACGTGGACCGAGCCGACGGGCGGAGCGGGGCGAGGTTCGTGTGTCCACTGGTCATCATGTGTCTTGTCCCTCATCAGGTAAAGTGGCGTGGGATGCTTTTTCCTTCTCGTACCGTCAGGGCCGTCTTTCGGTAAAGACGGGTCGAGACGAGAGTTGTACGGTGCCTCAGGGACCGAGGACGAAAGAGCATTGAGGTCGAGTAGATTCCTTCTCGGACCATTTGACCGATCATATTTGGTCATCATGTTTTTCCCGTCCACACTTCAATCTGTCAAAGAAAGGCATTGAACAATATGGATGATCTCGGCGCATAAGTTACTCTTTTCCCGAACGGCATCGCGCATCGGCGCCGCAAGATCTTAATGGCCTGTCGAGCCGTGGACGGACGCTAGACACGTAACGTGTGGTGGAGCAAAACTTCTATAGGCTCTGACTTAGCAGCCAGTATGATCTAAGACGCTCTCTGGAACAGGCGTAACTGCCTCTATCTGTGCTCAAGCACAAACGGCTTGCAGGGAGGTTGCCAACACAGAAGGTGTGCTTCTTCCGGCTTCGGCCATCCGGTTCCCATTCTTGTTTAACAAATCGTTGATCTTCTCTCCTCTCATCAGGTGCAAATGACGATGTTATGTTTTTGTCAGTGTCGTAATCAAATCGTCAATAGGAAGCCTTTAATAAAATCATTGCCTCTGAACCCTTTTGCGTCAATCCGGAGGTGGGAAATGCGACCATTTGCTGGTGTGACAAAAGTTTTCGACTTATATCAGGGCGCCTTGACCGCCAATGTTACCTCTCTGTTTGTACTCCTAACTCATCACTGTGTCGAAATCTCGTGGCACCACGTGCGCTAATCACAGGGAACCCCGCCCGGTGTTTTCATTATTGTGTACGTAGTAGATTGACCTTTTCCTCCTGGTGCAGGTGAACTTAGGGTAAAATCTAATAACGCATAAATTCCATGCGATTGCACATTCTTAGTTGCACACCGTCGTTATAAGAATGAGAATGAGAAACTTTTGGTTGAGAGGAAGATCAAAAGAGACTTGCTCGAAGCTCTGTTCTCCTGATTGTAAGAAGTCAGACTGACGACCGTCATAATCCCTCTGTAGACAAGGCCAGCTGTGAAATTAAGGCGGGAAGGATAAGATGTACTATTTGGTCAGCAGGTGCTGAAGATGAACCAATCTCGCAGATAGAGGGATTGAGTTTGGTTGAATGTTGCTTGTGTCAAAGGGCAACGGCCGTCGATGAGTGGACGAGGTCCACCTGGCGCTCTGCGCGCCAATTGCGGGAATGCCGATTTCGTATGCCGGGCGACAATTAGGGACTTTGAGCAGGTTGAGCTCCAGGCGACGGAACCCTTCTGATTTACTTTGAGCCTCAGCAAGGCTTGACAAGGTCTATGCTTCCTCTTCAGCTCGTATGATTTGTGGCCCGAGTCTTGAGCTGAGAAGAACCTGCTGAGCTATGTCCGTTTTGCTGAAGACGACATTGTATAACTGAGTAAGTTGTAGAGAATATTGCGCATATGCGGAGGTAGCAGTCGCTGATGGGAGAAAACGGCAGGGCACGGGTCGAGAGAACTCTGGTGGATTCTAAAAATGATTCTTTCCTCTACTGGTCTGTTTCTTCCAGTCTCGTTCGGCAGGGCACTGCGAAATGATTGTCAGAAGTGCTGTAAGCCTTTCTCCGTCATCTTCCTTTTGCTTCCATGAGTTCCATGAAATTCATTGGAAATTGCTACGTTCTACGTGATATGTTGTCATCCAATTGCCTTCTGATTTGCAGCCTTGACGCTCTTCTTTGTGCTCTCAGCGACATGGAAGGCTTCTATGTTTTCCATCTGCACATCGGCCTCTTCGAGTTTGTTTGCTCTCTGAGAACACATATAACGTGAGATCGGTATTTCATATGGTCTCTGACGTGATCATTTGAGTCCTGTATCAATGTCTGTGCTTCCATGTGGATCCCATAGATGTGTGCTACCACAAGCTGCACAGCCGGTGTCTTCATAGATAAGCTTACTACTAGGGAAGAACTGTCAATGTGAGACAGACACCCTCTGTATGATTTTAAGCCAGATTTTGACAGAGCTTTCATCCATAAAACAATTTTGTCTGTCAATCGGTACTAGAATGGTTCGTGCGATAATATCCCGCGCTCTTTAATATGGCGTAAGAGGCAAAGCGCTTTCCTTTCTCTTCCCCTCCTGATTAGATTTTCTCTAAAATTCCAAATAACAGAGCCAGGAGTAGATGAACTTTCGAGATTCTTTCCCCTTTCCCGCAAAAGAAAAGCTAGAGGGCCTGAGGGTTAAAATGCACTCGAGAGGCTTCAGCAAGGAGAAACGCGGGTAAAAGTTTGCGGAGATAAAAAAAAGAGCCCTTTGCAAAAATAACGTTGAATTATTTCCGAGAAAAGAGTTGACATTGAAGCACAAAGACAAACATAGATAAATAAATAAGAAAAATAAAATAAAATAAAATAAAACAAAAATAACATAAAGCACTCCAAAAATCTTGGAACAATCATAACAACAAAAGCTCCAAGACTGTAAATAGACAGTAACAAGATCGTCTTGTTACCTGCTCAACGTTCAAGAATCGGACGTAAGAGATGAATAGGGCTCAGTTAGACGCAGAGGACATTCAAACTAAAGTCAGTCGATCATTGCTTATATAGTGTATAACAGTGGAGATTAAGATTGACCTTGCAACCTATCTGGGGCCGTGAAGATCTCCCACTCGTCCCTTGACGCCTGAAAACGAACCGACATTCTCGCTAAATCTTTCCCCAAATAACTGCAGAACCCTGAACACTAAAGTCACATCTTGACTGGAGATCTGCCACCAGTGAATTCATCATCTAAGATGGGGCTCACGCCGATGCCCTCAGCTTTGACCTTTGACCTTGTTGGAAAATGCTCGGTTGGTTAAGCTAATTGACTTTTGCTCCTTCCCACGAGGCATGTTGCTAATACTCAATGCGACCAGGTCACCAAAGCCAGAGCGGCTGTCCTACGACTGCCCCACGGCCCAGTTGAATTGCCTTTATTTATGCCTGTCGCGACCCAGGCTTCGCTCAAAGGATTGACACCAGAGCAACTCGAAGAGACTGGATGTCGATTATGTCTCAACAATACCTACCACCTGTTTGTCAGCCCACACGACCAGAAGATCCCTCACCTCTAACATTCAGAGCATAGTGGTTTACGACCAGGTCAGGCTACATTGGATTCTATAGGAGGGGCCCATAAGCTCCAGTCTTGGCCATATAATATCCTTACTGGTAATGCTCCATATCATTCTTTAAAATAGGCGAAGACGTTGGCTTACAAGGCTGCATTGAACTAGATAGTGGTGGGTCTGTTGCTCATACTTTTGACGAAGCATTGAGATTGTTCGATAGGACTGACCCTTGGATAGATTCCAAATGGTCTCTTTGCTCAAGCTGGCCAAGGTGACGGAAGAGGGCGTACGATTCTTAAGCCCTCACGATGGAAGTCCCATGTATGGACCAACTTCGCGCAATATTTTGAATGTCGCATAGACCAAGCTAAACGTGGATAGGCTTCTCACTCCCGAACACTCCATTTCCCTTCAGAACTCGATCGGATCGGACATAATGATGCAGTTGGACGATGTCATCGCGACCACATCACCAGATCTTGCTCGCATGGAGGAGGCCATGCACCGTTCGGTCCGCTGGCTTGATCGCTGCATGGCCGCGCACAAGTACCCCGAGAGACAAAATCTGTTCTGTATTATCCAGGGAGGACTAGACCTTGAATTGCGCCGTCAATGCTGTGCCGAAATGGTGAAGAGGGATACTCCGGGCATTGCGATTGGTGGACTGTCTGGTGGCGAAGCCAAGTCATCATATTGCCAAGTGTAGGATTCACATTGTCACTCCGCAGGAATTGTTTTTTTACTTATTATTTGGACAGCGTGTCGACCTGTACAGATCTCTTGCCGGAGAAGAAGCCTAGATACGTTATGGGAGTGGTGAGTCTGCCTTCTCCAAAGAGCTTGGCTGTAACCATTCTGACCCGAAAATAGGGCTACCCTGAGGATCTGGTGGTCTCTGTGGCATTGGGTGCCGACATGTTCGACTGTGTTTGGCCGACACGGACAGCGGTATGTAAAAAGAATGAAAAACATTTCCCCATCATTTCTGACTTCGCTCTAGCGGTTTGGAAATGCGGTGACCTCCCGAGGAACTCTTAATTTACGCCATGCTTCGTATGCCCAAGACTTTGGACCAATCGAGCAAGGCTGCAAATGCACCTGCTGTCGGTCAAAAGAAGAGGGAGGTCTCGAGATCTCTCGTGCATACATTTACCATACGGCGGCGAAAGAGACAGTCGGCGCGCATCTCCTGACGATGCACAATGTGCATTATCTGCTTTCGTTGATGCGATCGGCGCGACAGGCCATCATTGAAGATCGATATGCGGCCTTTTTGAAAAATTTCTTCAGTCTTTTATATAGCGATCCTACTAAGTATCCTGAGTGGGCAGTAACTGCATTGCGTGGCGTTGGGGTTGATCTGTTGGAACGATAATACTCGAGATGGGGGTTTTTAGTATATAGACGGCATTCATTCGATCTGTTTTAAGGAGAAGGAGGGGGAGCTTTGTTTTCCGCCCTTGGCTGAACCAGCAATAAATACATTGGTTATTTTTTTTGGTTCAAAAAGTATTTATTATTTTATCAATACAAATTGAAGATTGCTCTGATGCAGCTGTTACTTCGTTCCAAGGATAAAGGAAAAGTGGCAGTCATGGTAAACAAACAAATCCCTGCAGGAGTATTATAATCAAAAGACGCGCACTGACGCGCATTGACCCTGCAGTAGTCCGGAGGGAAGTTTTTGGTTATCAATCATCGCTATCGGTCCACTATAGTGGAAACTAAAACTCCCCGAGACTTCACCGAAATTCTCAGAGCGTCAACAAATCATCGTCATTGTGGGAACTCCCTTCTCTGTCTGTTCAACAGTCACCCATTTCCAATTCCAACAGAGTTTCAGATTGCTGCCTCATGGCCGGTAAGCAGCTGTCAATGGTATCCTGTGCTTGTCACGCTTCTCATTTTCATGCCCTATTGACACTTTTCCTAGCCATAGCTTGGTCGCGCTCTATCACAACGCGCTGCCACCTGCGCCAACCCTAGCTATTAAGCTTTCAATCGCTCCCGCCACGCCTTTTTCTCCCCTCCTGGTCGACATTTGCAATCGGCAGAATAATATCAAATACACAAAATTAGGTTGCTGTGCGCATGTTCTTTTGGACCTTTCATTTCATTTTTCGAACGTGAGACTACCACAATTCGATCGTCGCCAAGAAAACTCAAGCTATCTGCTCTCATTCCATCGAACCCTCCGAGAACAGATACTCGAGCGATGGAGCAACCTTTCTCCTCTTCACCCGTGTCAGAGGAGCAGGCGCACTTCTCATCGCGCTCAGCAAACAATTCCACTAGGGCCACACCAATATCCTCGCGGTCACAGACACAAACACCAACGCCGCAGGGAACGGGAGGAGACATAATCGATTCTTTGCAGAATCTTTCGCTATCGCCTTCTCAACAAGCCGCTCTCACACCCACGAGCCCACTCGATTCACACGAGGCTCCACCGGGAGCAGCTCGCAGAACTCCGAATAAGCCCGGTAGAGGGGCTGGAAATGAGCAACAATGGAACGGACTGCCTGGAGCGCGACTGGAAACTTCTGCACAAGCCCAGCGCGTTGCATCACCGCGGACGGCCCGGGCAAACCTTGGGGCGGGGATTCGTCAAACATCAGGCTCCCTCGAGAATCATCATGGTTCTCGGCCGACGACTGGGTCAACCCCACTTCGCAAAAAGGCTTCGGCTGCCTCGTTGGATGCCGGTAGAGCTTCTACTCCTCCACGTCCTCTTTCGCGACGAACATCCTCCAACCTTGATCGATCACCCTCAGGATCGGTGTATAGAAGAGTGTCGCGAGCGGGATCCATTGATGAGAAGCCTGTGCTTACACCAGCATCTGTTGCCAAGTCCCATTTTCAAAGTGAGCTAGAGCTACATAGACAGGCGGCGCCCTCCACGACATCGCCCAAGACGGTGGTGATTCTCCACGACGCCTGCTATGGACACAGATTTGCCAGACCGCGAACCTCAAAAAATGCATTATCTACCATTGTCGAGCGACCAGAACGCATCCACGCGAGCATCGTTGGTGTGTCCGCAGCATATGTGAGATTGGGCGGAAGGCATGAAGGCGGCCAATGCCCCCCACGCCCAGAACCAGATCTTCTGCGTCCCAATCAGCAGCCATTCAGAATTCGACCAACCTCGAGAGTGCTAGAGCTGAGTGCGCCGGCAGTGACCAGCGTTCATGGAACAGAGTGGATGCACGAACTGAGGGGCATGTGCGACACTGCTGAGAGGAATCTCGCTTTGACGGGAAGGGAGCTGAACAGGCCAGATGGCGACACCCAAGAAGGACAAGCAACAGTGGCGGAGAAACCTAAATTGCATGAGGGCGATCTTTATCTCTGTTCAGGGTCCTTGGCCGCATTTCAGGGTGCTCTCGGTGGTGTGTGCGAGGGCGTTGATGCAGTATTCAGTAAGTCTGAGGGAGACTCTGGACCGAAAAGGGCTTTTGTATGCATTCGACCTCCAGGGCATCATTGCTCCGCAGATTATCCTTCTGGTTTCTGCTGGGTCAATAACGTTCACGTTGGGATTGCGCATGCGACCATGGCTCATGGGCTCACACATGCGGCTATTATCGACTTTGACCTGCATCATGGAGATGGCTCCCAGGCCATTACTTGGGAGCATAATGCCAGGGTTGCTCGTCTGCCCAAGAATGCGTCTGCGTCCAAGAAGACATCAATAGGCTATTTCAGTTTGCACGATATAAATTCATACCCTTGCGAGATGGGAGATGATGAAAAGGTCCGCAGCGCAAGTCTGTGTTTGGAGAATGCGCATGGCCAAACTGTCTGGAACGTACACCTGCAGCCCTGGAAGAATGATTTGGAATTCTGGGACCTGTATCGAGAGAGGTATTCAATTCTCATTGATAAGACTCGAGCGTACCTACGATCCCAAGCGCAGCGAATCTCAGCGCTGCCCAACCACCCTGTGCCAAAAGCCGCTATTTTCATATCTGCAGGATTCGATGCGAGCGAATGGGAGAGCCCAGGAATGCAACGACACAAAGTAAACGTTCCGACGGAATTCTACGCCCGATTCACTGCAGATATCGTCAAGCTTTCTGAAGAGGAGGGACTCGGTGTTGATGGTCGAGTAATCAGTGTTCTCGAGGGCGGATACAGTGACAGAGCTTTGTCCAGCGGTGTTTGGAGCCACATCTGTGGCCTAGCTGGGACGGATAACGCTTTGAATCAAATACAAGCGGAACACGGACTAGGCTACGAGATGCATCGACGAATGGGCGCACTGAATCTGGGTCAAGAAAGCAATCCGAAAGATCAGCAGTTGCAACCTTTTGACCCCGCGTGGTGGGATATTAAGCGGCTCGAAGAACTGGAAAAGATTGTGTATCCGGCCGCTCCGCCTCCTGCGCCGAAGAAAAGGGGCAATCAACAAATCCCACAGTATGCTATCCCGACTGAATCTTTCACGGCCAAGATTGTCTCCTCTCCCAAAGGATATCGCAATTTCAGCTCTGGTGCTTATCCTTTTCAGGCGCCTGCGCCTGCACCTGCGCCGACGCCACCGCCTGTCCCGCTTGATGTCGACTGGGCCACAGCGACACATGAGCTAAGCAAGCTGCTGATTACTTCAGACCGAGAAACGCGAAGTTGCCGACCTGAAGAACTTAATGCTGAAGCCAGCCGGAAAAGACGAGAAAGACATTCAATCGGGCTGCCTGTGCAGCAGCCAGCGACTTCACATCCAGAGCCCGTTGACGCAGGGCCACGCCGATCACAGAGAGATCGACGAGGCAAGACGCCCAACTATAATCTTGATTCTGACGACGATGACAAATTGTTCTCGGGTGCTTCACGAAGAAGGACGATTGCTACGACTGGCCCAACGGGTTTAGATCACTCCCCTACTAGTTCCGTGACTGGTGTCCAAGCAGAAGGAGAAAATTCCGCCAGACGTCTCAGCACCGCATCAAACATGACAATGTCTTCAATCAATGGCGGAACCGGAGCAAGTACAATACCACCTGATCAAACAGCTAATAGCCCCACTGCCGCTGTTTCGGGAATGAATCGACCGGGAAGCGCAATGACGGTCGCTTCTCTCCACAGCAATAAATCTACCGGCCAGATCCCACTCGTGAAGAAAACGCGATTTGTCTCAGGCACGCGAGCTGAACCGCCTTCGACCACGAGCCGAGCGACAAAACCTACCCGACCGCGTCCTGCGCCTCCAATACGTTCATTGACCTCGCCTACTCCGGGAGCTGTGACATCTGGGCCAACTGGGCCATTTTCTGAAGCCACAACAGCCGCCACTATGGCGGCAGCGGCAGCGGCCGCAGCAGCCAAGCGCGCCGATGGTAGTCATGTCCACGTTAAACCAGAGAAGTCCCATGACGGCGAAGATAATACACTCGACAGCCTGTCGAAGGGAATGAAGAAGATGAGCATCAAATTACACGTGCCAACGCGAGAAGAGCACGATGCGCGAGAGCGCAAGAGAGCCGACGAACACACGGTAACGAATAAACCACCTCCCCGGAAACCTGTAGCTCCTCGGACGAAAAGGACTGTGAAGAAGGAAGTTCCTTTACAATTACCAACCTCAGCCACCTCGGTGCCACCAGCAGCTGCTGAACCTTCGACTGGCGCTGCTCAAGGAGAACGGACTGCTATCAAACACGAGCCTGCCGAGCAGCAACAGCAGCAACAGCCTCCTTTGTATTTGTCTTCTTCATCAACTCCGACCTCGCGTCACCAGGCCCACCAAGACCTCGATTCTGAGCACCCATCTTTGGCAACTTCCCTCCAACAGGTCCATGCCCCAGACCAGCCCGCGCAGTACCACTCAGCGTCTCATGACCAGCCTGCACCTTATACTTCTCAAACCACACCACTACCGACATTTTCGGCGGGATCAGACATCAATCAACACGCCACCATTTCTTCGATTTCTCCTCCTGGGGTGCCCTCGCACTCTCAAGTCCCATCTACATCGACTCATTCTTCTCCCTTTTCTTCGCCATCATTCCCGGCGGGTCCACCGTCTCAAGGGCCGTTGTTCCAGTTTGCAGAACCTCATCCCCAGCCTTGTCCACCGACGTCAAAATCTACATTCCAAACTACCGAATTCATTCCATATACCCCTGAACATGGTTTCCCTACAATGCAGCAGCCACAACAACAGCAGTCTCGTCAATCTGCTTATAGTCCTCCTAAACCAGACCTCGTCTGGCTTCCGCCAAACACGTCATCATCAACTCAACCGCTCCCAACAACCTCCTCATCTTCACCATCTGCACCTTTGGTGTCCTCTGGAGTACCTCCGTTTTCGTCTACAACGCCTCCTACCGCCGCTACGCCGCCGCCACCGCCGCCGCAGCAGCAGCAACATCAACAACAGCAAGTACATCGCTTCGGACAAGTTAGTGACTTGGCGACACCAGCTTCGTTGGCGCCCTCGCAGCCGCAACCGACAAAGGAGACAACGGCAACACCGTCGACGGGCACCAATAAAGCACGACGGCGCGAGGACTTGCCTGTTTTTACAGCAACCTCTGCTATTCCATTCAGCGATAGCGGTAGCGGCGGGGCTTGAACTTGAGGTCTCAGCGATGTAGCATAGTGCCATTGACGTTATTCCTAGTTCGTGTTCTTTGTGTTCTTTGCGTTCTACATTTTGACCTCTATTTACTTTCTTTTTCCTTTTTTTTCCCGTTGTCCCCCTGTATTTCTTTCTTATCTTTATCATTTTCTTTTTCATTTTCACTTCTATTTCCCCCTTCATTCATTCGAGTCCAAGTCCCACCCGCGACTGCTTTAGATTTAACTTCTACTTTGTCATTGTTAGATTGAGTTATAATACCCTCTCTTTTCTTTTTTCCCGCCTTCGTTTTACTTTATGCATGCAGATTTAAACACACTTTTAATTCGTCCTTCGTGCCTTGCGTACGTGTGTCTGTGCCTTTGACAAATAAACTCAAATCAATATTACTTCAGGACAAATATTTGACCTTCCAGTAACAAATAACAAATAAAAACCAAAAACTAGAATTTGATTCCAGGGAGTTCAGCGAGTTTAGATTCTAAATACTGTATAAAAAACTGCCGTGCCAAATTGCATTTATGTCCATTGTTCCATTAAACCGTATCCATTATCCATCATCCATCGTTGCATAATCCATCGTGCGTAACTGCCTAGTCCCATTGAGATTGTAGAACTTTGCAAAACAAAGAAAAAAGAAAAAAATCGTGAAGCAGGATAAAATAGAGAAACGCTTGACAACGTAAAGAAGAAAAGAAAGAAAAAAAATAAAATAAAATAAAATAAAATAAAAAGGAACGACATGTCTAATTTTCGCCTTTTCAACGAGAACGCACCACCTCTCCTCATCTCATGCATGTGCAAAAAGCCTGAAGCCGGCATACAAGAGCTATGATGGAAACAACCACGACACCCTCCTCGCCAGAACCAATTTGGCTGGCGGTGGTCACAACATACAGGGTACACAACGGAAGCAGCCCTACTTTCTCCTCATTTTGACTCCGACGCTGCTGACGCCACTGCTGACTTTCGAGCTCATATTGGACATCCAGTCTGGAGCCTTGAAATGGCTGCGACCAAACTTTGGCCGGAGAGTAAAGAACTTAAAGCGGTCCAAGTCAAACTTGACTTTACCTTTGGCGACGGCATGGATGATATTGATCGTGCCGTAGGCGGAGGAGCCGATAGCTCTGAAGCCGGCAAGGCCGGCGACGGCCCACAAGAGAAACTTCATGTAGTTATTTGAGCCGAGATGATTGGAGCCGTATGCTTCTGAGACGGCCATGGCGAGGATGGCATTGGAGACCATCCAGAAGACGACGACGTAGGTTCTGACGGCGCGGTAGTAGTCTTCCTGCTGCTGGGACTCGGAGACGGTGGGCTTGGCGACTTCGAGTCTGTCGCGGAGATTGCGAAGGGCTTCGTCGTAGCCGGAGTCGATGTCGAGTTGTTCAGACGGCATCTCGAGCTCGACCATGTTTCCTTTTCCTGAAATGGCGGCGCCGAGATCGGTGTGGATGACGTTGTCGCCCTTGGTTCCCCACGAGACGTCGTGAGTGTTGCAGAAGGCGTAGACCTGAAGAGTGCAGATGTAGGAGGGGAGGAGGGCAAAGTATTGCGCAGAAGAGGTGAACATGTGCCATGGGTCGAGGTACAAAAAGGACATGAGAAAGTAGAGTCCGATGGTGGACATGGCGGATATGATTAGGTTGGTGAACAGGTTGTTGCCTAGAACAAGGTGTTTGGTGCCCTTGAGCTGGGTGACGACAATGTACAGCGTGGCGAAGAGCGTGTAGGCCATGATGACAGAGTAGACTATCATGGACGTCATGAACATTTTCTTGGCACTATATATATGTGTGTCGTTAATAAAGTGATTTCTCATAATTTGAATGAAACGGTGGTAGGTGGGCTTACCCCTGTGGACGATTGCCCATGGACAATATAAATTGTACGCATATCAATAGAATGCAGGAAAATCGAAGAACCGTGAAAATGTACAAGCCGATGTGATGGCCAAAGGGATCAATTTTATGATCGGAGAGAGCACCAGCAACGAAGAAAAACGTAAGATAGAAGTTGGCCTATTCGAGTCAGTAATTGATCACTGGACACCCTAGACATATATTGTTTTTAACTCACCAAAGAGAAGAACGTAAACATCAAGCTGATGAATTGGTAAACGAATTCAACATGCAACAATATTTTCCGGGCAATCGTATGGTCCGTCTTCCAAATCTGTCTAAAATGGATCAAGGAGTACACTGCTGCAAAGAAGGCACCGTTGAGCCATCTTCGCCGCTGTGAAATGAATTCAGGTACCGCATCTAAAATAGTTTAGTATACTTCTCTTGATGGAATTCAATTCTCATTGTCCACTTACCTGGCACGTCAGTCTCTCCTGTGGAGCTCTTGACATACTTCAACACCCATCGTTCGTCTCTTTTCGCCACCAGTTCCCAGCAAAGAATACGATCCTCAGCAAGGTACATGTTGGCAGTGAAAACGTCCGCATCTTGACCATGAAGGGTCTCGCCCTTGAAATACTGGCTCAAAGGACCGTGCCCAGTAGAGTCGTTCTGAAGCGCATGGTACCGGTAAGCACTCAGTGCACCTGGCAACACAGTAATATATCCAAACGCGGACTCTAGCGGCTTATCCAGAATATTCGACATCTTGTACTCAAAATTCTGGGAAGCAACCAGGGGATTAAGAAGTCCCAGCCATGCCTTGCCTTTGCCTGCCTTGATCTCACCGCAGGCACCGCCAACGTTGGAGTCATTGTCGAACGCCTTCCACAAGTGATAAAGCGAGGTGCTTCCAGGCTTCGTACCGACGTCAAGCAGAATACAAACATTGGGATTGAGCGCTTTTCCAAAGGCATTGAAAAACCACCGATGCGAATTGAGCTTCTTTGCATTCTTTTCCTTGAGACAGAAAATCATCTGACATGGAACAATGCCCTTTTCCGCTCCTTTAAACTTGAGGTCAGCATCAAGAGAGACCTGCGTAGTATATTCATAGACATGCGCGGTGACTTCCTTTTGGTTGACCAAGTTCTTTGCAATGCCATCTTGGTAGACACCCATGGCGGCCAAGGCGTCCAAGGTTCGCGGATGCACCTTCTTTCGCCCGTCTGAGACGATGCAAACCACAATCTTCTTCCATCCATCCTTGCCCCAAGTTCTGGACTTTGCTCGGGAGCAAAAATGAGCAATGTTCCGCATAACGCCGTGCATTGTACGTGTAAAGTCAATCTCGTCCTCATTGTACATGGTAACACACACAAACAACTCAGTATCTCGAGCAGTGGCGCCGATTTGCTGACGCAGTTTATAGCCTCTCGCGACGAAATCATCCGGATCGCATGTTACAGCCGTGTATCGCATATGAGTAAACTCAATATCGTCGCGACGAGGCAAGAAACTGTAAAGGATTGTAGGAATCTTACACTCCAAGATTAGTTCACCATTGATGAGCTTGACTTCCTTTTTAGTCACTTGTGCTTGACGCGCGCCACGGCGTTCCTGCCGGCCAATTGGCACTTCAGCATAATGACCAAATCCGGGTTTCTCGTCGTACTCGTCAGAGGTCATCGACCCAGAGCGGTACGAAAGGCTAGACTGCAGTCCGTAGTGATGGTCAGTACTCGTAGGAGCGAATACATCGTCCTCATCCTCAGATCCAATTTCGATGGCAGCGTCATCTGCAAGATCCTTTGAGACACTTCTCGTGCCTGGCGGTATGGAAAAGAGAGGGGCTGGAGGGAGAGGGCGTCTGGGGCTCCCGCCGTACTGCGACGAAGGTGTCCCGGGTCGAGGACTGCCGTTGATATCAGAAGGAGCATAAGGCACGTTAGACGGCGGAGGCCGAGACCAATCGACTGTTGAATGAGTTGGTGACCATGCTCTAATCGGAGAAATCCTTCCAGAATGCATCCGGTCCGGGGACATTCGACCAGATGACATTTGCGAAGGAGATGTCCGTCCACCGCCCATTCGATCAGGCGATATCCGACCGGAAGACATTAATCCAGGAGACATGCGTCCCCGAGCATAAGGGGGATATCCCGGGACATCCATCATTGGCGGAGGAATTGAAGGTGCTCGGTCAAGAATCGAACCCGTTCTCGATATCGGTCGCGGGGAGACTGGTGGCTCATAAGGCCGCTGGTCTAATGGAGTCGGTCTAGATTGAGTATCAGACAAGTGTGAGCTTGAATTCTTCAGTGGTAGCGGCATATTGTTCAAAGCGGGTTTGCCATCCGCGTTGCTTGTGTTTCTGTCTGAGGCAGCAACGAAACGGGTTGGAAGTTCCTCTGGGGCATCTTCCCGAGTATTTGAGGACTGCTCTGCAGGCCCCTCTGCGGAATCATTTGCCTTGATGTTTGATGGCGCAGGGACTTCAAACTTGGACGCAAGGGGTGCCGGTGCTAATTCTGCATTTGGCGCTGGATTTGTATTAGGCGCAACATACGATCGATATTCTGTATCCTCAACAGCGGGCAGTAACCGCATGGTTGAACCATTATAAGCTGAATAAGTCTGGCTGATTATATCCTCATCATTCATATCGATATCGTAGGCAGGAGGTCCGCTATATCGCGGAGGTGGAGGCGTCGTGGGACGATCCATTGTCACAAGCGCCGGGTGTGGAACCCAAGCAGATGACGGATAATTGAAGGAAGAACAATGCTCGATGAGAAGTTTATTTCATGCGTAGAAATACTGAATAAGTCTTTGGGAAAGGGAAAAAAGAATCAATATTTGCGCATTCAAGAGCTCAGAGCTATTAGCTCAAGTGGACGAGCAATTGGTCCTTTGCAACTCCTCAATAATGATACTGCAGGGCCGAAGATCGTGGAGAGGCTGTGGGACTGTTGCCCGTCGTCAGCAGCCTGGAGGATACACCGTTGACGGGGCAACCATCCATGTTGGGAATAGCGCGCGGCTTCTGCGGGAACCTAAAAGTGGTTAGGCGTACATGGACCTGAGAGAGCCCAAAGTGCAACCATCGCAAAACTAATCTGCACCACCGACATCCTTTAAGCTGACCAGCCAAATTGAGCCGCGAGCTTCGGCCGCAAAAAGACACCTCTGTTAGATCCAACACGAATTGATCGTGCAGAGTCATCTCTGCCGCGCCGGCAATGTCTTCCAAACGCCTCTCCCCGACCGCAAACCTTCTGCGGACATCGCGATTCTTCGCTTTACCAAATCCCTTACCCCGTCCTGGTCACCATGAATTGACCAGTTTCACGTCCGTTTTCCACTCCGATACGGCCACATTGCCTCATCCAACCCATCCTGCTTTGGCCACTCCCGATTCATCACTATCCAGAGGAGACTGGGGCCTTAAGAGAAATTTCCCGCTCCGGTCCACGACGAACACTTCTACTCCGACAATCCGGGTTGATGCCGTCGATACCCTTGAGCATATTAGTGCATTCGAATCTGCTACCGACCACGTCCTGACTCTGAAGAAATGGCAGGACATGAATGTTCCCATTTCCGTTGCTCCCAAGCCCGGGAAAAGAGCTTCTGGCCCTGTCGCAGAACCTTTGAAGAGTGTCTTTGAATCAGAGCGTCACGGCACAGATTCTCAAGGTCGTCAAGCTTTGCAGATGGAACAACGATGGAAGTTCAAGGGCCCATGGCTGCCCGGAATGACTGAAGGAGAGTTCAAAGAGTACGTTGAGAAGGAGATTCGACGACGAAAGCCCGAATTTCAGCAATACCTCCGGAAACACGCAACAGATAAGAAGCTCGCGGAAAAGAGACGTCAGGCCCTTGACAATGGCGACGATCCGGCCACAATTGAGGCGACGCCGATCACAGAGGCCGAATTTGAGGTGTATGTCAAGACTCTCCGCGATGATGTCACGACCACTTCAACATTGAGCGCTCTCATCAACAACTTCCTCGATCTCCCGGCTCCGCCGAAGCCGCCAACCAGCGTAAGCTGGAGCAAGCTGGACGACCCGTCGTCTAACACGCTTTACAGCCGAGCTGCGCCCCCGAAGACTCATCCTTCGGCAGGTCTGTCATACCTTCGCACATCATCTCACATCTACAACCATCCCGTCCTCGGACCCCAGGCCCGTCCTCCGCCCGTGGAGGCACGCATTCTCGAGCCTCGCAAGTCCGCAACAGGACAAAGCACTCGCGCCAAGTTTGGTGTCGGCGGTGTTGTTACCGACGATGGTCTCGAAGCCAGCTTCCGAGAAGACTCAAGGCGAATGGATGGAGCTACCCCTGGCCTATCGAGTTTCGACCCGTCCATTCCTGGTGGAGCTAAGATCTGGGTTCACCCTAAGACTGCCAACATTGACTCGCAAGGCCGCATCCGACTCTCTGTTGACCGAGCGACTCCTAGCTCTGTTAGCATTCACAAGGGTATTCTGGACGAGAAGAGGGAGCGCCCGCAGATTCCTCGCCTTTTCAATCGAAGGATGGAAGAGCTCGTCTCGAGTCCCAAGGCCTCTGGCTTTAAAGGTCTGATTGGAAACAACCGAGGCAATGCGAGACAGGCCGAGAGTTCGTCTCAGAAGAGTGACAAGAAGGTTTCATCTTTCATTGACGAGCTAGGTGATTTGATGAGTAAAGACCGGTAAAGCGCATGTGGTACACTTCGAGGAACAAAAGGAACAGAGTTTGCATCATTAGAATATAGCTTCAGCGACCGTTTTGTACAATAGTTGTATAGCTTAGAGGCGTATATAGGCATATTTATCTCATTTCATGTATTACATTCCGTTGAGCTTGAATAGTCACCTAGGTAGGTGCAAACAGAAGCGGAGAGCGCCTCAGCAAGACGCCCGAAACCTCATCCCCGGTCGCCAAAACGATTAAACATTATCAGATTGATCTAAGATACGCGAGTGAGATGATCAGCAACCAAATAGGCGGGGCAGTCGGTAAGGTCATGTGACCTTCAAGGGCTTACCCTACCCTCGCACAACTGAACCACTATCCGCGCTGGCATATCACGAAACACCGTTCTCGAACTATCCGACGACCGACAACTTCACGACAGCACAACAGTCAACATGGGTCGCGTTCGAACTAAGACCGTCAAGCGGTCCGCCAAGGTCGTCATTGAGCGTTACTACCCCAAGCTCACCTTGGACTTCGAGACCAACAAGCGCATTTGCGATGAGATCGCCATCATCGCTTCCAAGCGCCTCCGCAACAAGGTACGACGAGTCCATCAGCGCGCGAAAAAACGACTTCGACAAAGGTGTCTCGTATTGAAAAAGTAGGATAGGAAGGGCTGACGTGATTGGAAATTGCAGATTGCCGGATACACCACCCACTTGATGAAGCGTATCCAGCGTGGTCCTGTTCGCGGTATCTCCTTCAAGCTTCAGGAGGAGGAGCGTGAGCGCAAGGACCAGTACGTTCCTGAGGTCTCTGCTCTCGACTTCACCCAGAACTCCGAGAGCGGCCAGCTCGACGTGGACGCTGAGACCAAGGACCTCCTTAAGAGCCTTGGCGTATGTTTTCGATCCCAAATTCCATCGAGTTAGTATCAGCTAACGAGCCTCACAGTTTGACTCGATCCCCGTCAACGTTGTGCCCGTTGCCCAGCAGCAGGTCGCTGAGCGCCCTCGTCGCTTCGGTGACCGCCTTCGCCGGGAGTAAAACCTTTCATGCCGTTGGAAGGAAAATATAGGCGGGAATCGGCTGCGGTCTCGCTGACCCATTAAAATTGGCTGGCGTCATAGATAATGAAAAGGTCTTTCTCCCCAAACTAGGTGTCGCTGAACCCTCTACTGAGGGCTAGGCTTGATCGCCAATATTTCTATCCTATTGTGATCCCATGTGTGAACATGTTGTGGTATCTACGACTAACTGCTGTCTAACGTCAATCGGCTGCCCCTTTAGCACTTAAAGATGCAAACATCAATCTGTTCACTTGGAACTGTTTATCTCGGTTCTAAGCTGAATATGTCGAGCATCATTACACGTCGGCAACAGGGTGTTTGACCATGGATCTTCAACTTATGACCGTAGCAATTTTTCCACCCTAAGCCTTTAAAGTTCGCCTTTACCAAGCATTCTGTTTATATATCGTAGTCATTGTCGATCTCTGCTGAACTATCATAACAATCACTCTCTTCTTCACCGTGACGACGCTGTCGTCTGGTTCCTAGCTCTCGCGGCTGATAACCTTCGATGGAGAGATGTGCTAGTTGCGATTCCAAAGAAGGCGGCACAGGCTCGCCTTCGCTCCCTGGAGCCTTTTCATGTACCGTAACATCAGCCAGGCCAGATGGGTTGTCCTCGGGACGCTTGTCGCCGCGCTCTAAAGCCAAGTCTTTCATGGCTTCAGCCAAAATATCATCTCCTGCTCCGTGGGCCCTGGGCTTATCTGGTCCGGAAGCAGAAGCACTGCTACTCCTTATAGCTTCAGCAGCCGTCGCATTTGCCTTCCGAGCCTCCACTTCGTCTAGCAGGTCTATTACAACCCCTCGAAGTGCGCCCCTCAACCAGGCAGGCTCTTCACTGAGCTGGACGCGCACATATAAAGCTCTTCGTGCGCAGTCCTCAGAGCACCATTGTTCGAGCTTTGCCTTGGGCACAACCTTAAATCCTTCACCGTTGCCGCGAAGGATGCGAAGTTTGGCCTTGGTGTCCTCTTTTCGGTTTGGCAGAGGGCAAAGGGCATAACCACATCTGCCGTCGATATTGCGCTCCTCGACCAGTGAGTCGTAATCTGAAGGCCGAAATGTCTTGAGCAGCTCCTTGAACGTAGACGCGTCCTCCAGAGACGGTTTACCTGCAGGATTCTTGTCGGTCGAGGGGAAGTCAAGTAAACGCTCCGTAGCCTCAAGAATATTCAACTCAATATCCTTTTGCTCTTGAATTAGCTTCGCATGATACAGGGCCGTTTCACGTATCGATCGGTCGTCTTGCGGCGCAGGGCGCTTTTCTGGAGGTCCGCCTTTCAGGATCGATTTCGAAGCATTGGCTGCACTCATGTTCGTAAAGAATACTCAAGCATCAGCCGCCCGGCATGAAGAAGAGCGCCGGTTCTGTTCCCGGAAGAACAGAATCTGAGAATTTCTCCCTGAACCCTTACTTGGAAGCAATGCAGGGGTTCAGAGAATTTGAGACGAAATAATAGATAGCATCACCCAAGCACCCATTGAGAATAGAAAATGACTATGACCAATCATATTACGCAGCTGTGCTTTACCAGCCTCACGTGGCTTGGCGTGGCTTGGCAAAGAAATAAGACGCATTGAGTAGTGGGCATATCAATTGGACTTTAGTAAAAACACTAGGTAACAAATGAAAATACACAGGCCTGTACAAAGAGTGGAATAAGCCATCAGGTTGCATCAATAACGGCATCTTGACTTGTAACTACTCTTTAGCTCAGATAAGAGACTATCCGTAGTCTAAAATGACAAAGCTTGAGATTGGAAGAATAAGCATTCAGGTAGACGGACCCCTTTATTGTGGGTTTATCATGCGAAGTGAGGCATTCAGGTGCGACATGTTGAAGGCTTCTTGATATGCCCACCTGTCTCCATACCCTCTTGTCCTCCTACCCCCCAAATAATCAATCATCTGCATCATCACACTTACGCACTTTGATTCTAATAGGTTCTGAACATCTGGGTAGTTTTTACCCAATTACTGCATGGATTTATCATTGCCATATCATTTTAGTTGTTCTCTGTATTAACAACTCTCCTCTCTTGCGGGGAACCGCACCAGGCGCTGACCGACGTGGTCCCGCAGCTCTCGACTCCTGACTCGCTGACGTAGGCTCGCTCACCTCAACGACAACAACCTCTGTGCGTGTCTGCACAACACCGCACTCGCAACGCGAGAACTCTGAACATTTTTCAGAGCTCGAGCTGTGATATTCCTAGCTAAAGCTCTAAGCAATTGGCGAGGTCACAATCTAGTATCGTTCTGACTCAACCTGAGCTTCGTTCGCTCACCGCTCGGTCATCATGTCAGCCCCACCCTTCAAGGTCAAGGCTATCTTCGAGTACACCTCAGAACACGAGGATGACCTGAATTTTCCTGAGGGTCAAATTCTAACCGTTATCGAGGCGGAGGAGGCCGATTGGTATTTTGGCGTATATACGGATGCTAGCGGGGATAAAAAGGAGGGCCTCTTCCCAAGGAACTTTGTTGAGAAGTACGAGCCAGAACCTCCTCCTCGACCTACGAGAAGCAGACCAAAAAGCCACATTGAACCTGCTCCTTCTGCCGTGGCTGCTGCAACTTCTACTCCTGGTTCAGCAGAGCCACCTAAACAAGAAGCTGAAGAGGTACACCCTAGCTCGGCTACCAAGGTTGAGGGCGCAGCTGAGAAGAGTTCGAAACAGTCAATCGATGCAGTATCAAAATCGACAGGAATAGGGGCACTTCCTCCGGTCAGCTCTCCTCCACAGGCTTCCGGACAGGTGCCAGCGCCTGCTTCTAGCCTTGAGACGTCCAACGAACCTGAGGCGCAACTAGCGCCCAAAGGTTCTCAAGCTGCTCCCAAGTCAGAGCCAGTGGCATCGACTAAGCCACCTCCCCCTGCAGTTGCTGAGAAGCCAGCGGGTAGCTCATTCAAGGATCGAATTGCAGCCTTTAACAAACCTGCAGCGCCGCCAATCGCACCTTTCAAGCCGGGAGGAACGGGCTCTTCGGGGGCAAGCTTCATCAAGAAGCCCTTCGTCGCTCCACCGCCGAGCAAAGATTCTTTCGTTCCTCCACCACGTGAGCCTCCGCCGCAGAAGACCTATCGACGGGAGGAGGATCCAGAAGCTGTCGCAAAACACGAGGAAGCCTCAGTTCCTAAACCGGCCCCTGTTTCCGACTTAAGATCTAGTGATGCGCCTCAAGAACAGCAAGAGGACCAGCCAAAGCCTACGACGCTCAAAGAACGCATTGCTCTCCTCCAGAAGCAGCAGCTAGAGGCACAGACTCGCCATGCTGAGGCTGCGCAGAAGAAGGAAAAAGCGAAACGACCGCCTCCCAAAAAGAGAGAGGAGTCCTACGAGGAGCCGGGTGTTGTCTCTGGTGGTGAAGCTCCAGAGCCCGAATCCTTACCTAGTCCTGGTACAACCCGCAAGCCATCTATGGACATTGGCGCGGAGGAAGTGCCCAGTCCAGCTGCTAGAAGAAAATCTTGGAGATCCTCCCAGCATCTGGCCAGTCCAGACGTTCAACCAAAAGAGTTCTTCAGTGATGCGAACGATGCCGATCAGTCTGCTGCAGGAGAGACCACTGAAGATGCCGGAGAGACATCGACCGGACGAGACACCAGCGATGAAAAGCCCCATGCCAGGCCTCACGTACCACCTGTCCGTGCTCCTGAGGCACCGGCCCATGAGACCGACGTCGGCGACGAAGAAGATAATGCTGATGAGGAGGAAGAAGGGGAAGAGGAAGAAGAGGAGGATATTGATCCGGAGATCAAACGTCGGATGGAGATTCGCGAGCGCATGGCAAAGATGAGCGGGGGCATGGGCATGCACGGCATGTTCGGTATGCCTATGGGAATGCCTCCAGTTCCGAGCGCTGGAGGAGCAACCAAGAAACCAAAGCCCCCCGCCGAGAGAAGAAAGAGTGAACATGAGCCATCTTCTCCTGCTCTGCACGCTCCGCCCGTGCCAATCATGCCTATTCCTGGAATGCAACGGCCAAAAAGTCCCGAGCCAAAGCCTGAGCAACCTGAAGTGGAGAAGGAAGAGGAGCCGGAGCCAAGTCTTGCCGCACAGCGGGCGCCAGAAGAGGTGGCTGATATTGAGGATGTCGAGAAGAAGGCCGAGACGGAAGACGAGACCCCTCCACCTGTGCCTCCTCACACAACCGGAAGAGCCGCTCCACCCCTTCCGCCTGTTCCTCATGGTAAGTATTCTGGTTTACATTATACGCGTTTTCATTTCCTCTTCTCTATCTTGGCACTGATCAAGTTTTCATCGCAGAAGATCATTCTGTTCCGGTTCCTCCGCATTCAGCTCGTCGGCCATCACTTCCCCCTCCGATCCCGAGTGGTAGACCTGCCCCTCCACCACCGCCCATTGAGTGTAAGTGTCGTATCGTTCCTACTAAATTTTGCGAAGCTTAACTGATATTGTTCACCACAGCTCGGCCAGCACAACCTCCCCCTCCCCCTCCGACTGGCCCTCCTCTATCGCCCAGCGCTGGTTCGGAATCCGACGACGAATTGTCGATGCACGCTCGAAGACTGTCTTTGAAGACATCAGGTGTACCTCCACCTCCGACTCGTGCAGCTGATGCTGCTCTGTCTTCTGGAGCTGCAACCGATCAACCGAAATCATTCCCTTCTGGACCAATATCACCAACCACTCCACCCGCCGAAAGTCGAAGAGCAAGCCGTGTTCCTCCTCCAATTCCCATAGCCAGCCCAATGTTGCCTGCTGCGCCGGCCCAAAGCCGTCCGCCACCGCCACCTCCGCCGACTGGTGCGCCGCCGAGCCGACAGCCTACGGGGAATCTAACAACGACAACGAGCTCTGTTATCCAGGACCGACAAGGAGCTGAAAGTGAAGAAGAAGAATCAGAGTACGATGGTGATTACGACACGGATATTGCGCCAACTGCTCCTCACAAAGACGCACTGAAGTCTAAGGATCGCGAACACAGCGTCGATCGACATGCCTCTGTGGACTCGGCAGCGATTCCATCCCAGCCACCGCCTCCGATCCCACCTACCGCCGCTCCTCCTCGTGCTGTTCCGCCGCCGCCTCCAGTCCAGCCACCAAAACCAGCTCGCCAATCGGTGGACATGCCGCGCGCCCCTCCACCGCATATTCCTCTATCACCACCGCAGACTGGTACCGGCGGGGAGGAGGACGAGGAGTATGATCCTTTCCGATACAACGCGCCAACCCACGGAGTTCCTTCAGTACCAAGCAGAGCGGTGCCTGAGCCCTCATCACACCCGCCACCCGCACCTCCGGCCGCCGAGGAGGAAGAAGAGGAAGAAGATCTGTACTCTGCACCGCCTCAACCGCCATCATCGTCACGGCGTTCCATGCAGATCCAGTCACCTGTATCTCCGCCCCCAGCGCCTCTTCACCACCCTCAGCACCCTCACTCTCCGGCTGCACCATCTACATTCCCCCCTCCTCGGCAATCCTTGGATGTACAACGCGGCGGAAGTGTTGGAGGCGGCCGTATGTCCATGGACATGTCTCGACCATCGGCTGACCATGAATACATTGCCTCTGACATCGACCTTGGCCAGAGCAGCCAATGGTGGGCACGACCGAACATGCCACCTCCCGTATTTCAGAACCGACGGGACTTGACCTATGAGATTGAAGAAGCCAGTACGCCTAAACGCGGCGGCAAAACCGTAGTGTCCAAAGACGTGTACGTGCTCTTCATCGACTACTCGCAGACCATTATCACAGCTCGCTTCGATACCACCAATCCCTCCGATGTCGTCCTTGAACAGCGTCATGAACCACCCCCGTCCAAGCTCCGGCAGGATCAGCTGGAGGACGCCCATATCAATATCGGGCAGCGCATTTCCGACGCTGTGTCCAGCAAGCAAAACACCATCGTTGGAGATGGGACTCCACAAGCACTCATCCTCGACCTTTTCAACGTTCTCGGCGACGCTGTCTTGCCCCCCGTTGGCACACGTGCGTACGGAGCAGTCGTCTATGCCAACCTCGCCAACGCCTCCGTACAGCAGTTTGACGAAATTCGCCCAGGCGATATTGTGACTTTCCGTAATGCTCGGTTCCAAGGCCACAAAGGCACCATGCATCAAAAGTACAATGCCGAAGTCGGCAAGCCTGAGCACGTTGGCGTCGTCGTCGACTGGGATGGAACCAAGAAGAAGGTCCGCGCCTGGGAACAAGGCCGCGAAAACAAGAAAGTCAAAATGGAAAGCTTTAGAGTAGCAGACTTGCGCAGTGGAGAGGTCAAGGTCTGGAGAGTCATGCCTAGATCTTGGGTCGGATGGGGTCGTTGAGCCGTACAGCTCCTGGCCAACGGTTATCCTGGGCTTGCGGATTTGTGGATTTGTATCCAGGTTGTGAGATGGAGCACTAGCCGCAATCTTTATTTTTCGTGCATTTGTGCGCCCTTTTCCTTTATTATCATTTGAACTTATCTTTTCCCTGCCCTCTTTCCTATCTATTATCTCTTCACCGGTGTAATTATTTTTTCCAGTTCCCATAACGTATCTCCCCCCTGTAATTTAGCTCCGTAAAGCGAAATCATATTTCATTGTAAAGCATGATACTCCTTCATTTTACTAAGCCTCTGGAATCATTGAGTCTTTTGCTTCTTTGGTTCGTTCCTTGTTTTGTGACACTGTATCATTTTATCATCCTATCATCCTATCAATCTATCCCTGTATCAATCTGTTTCACGATTTCAGCTGAGTGTCCGAAGTTCCTACGCTGATGGCATCAGGAGAAGGGTAAAAAAAGAATTTAACGGCATTTAATCTGGCTATCATTTCTCATTGAAATAAAGGGCGAGAAATCTCGCAGATTTTTTAATTTTGCTCCCACTTCCACTTCCAACACAGTATTTCTTTTCAAATTGTAAAAAGTCTAGTATGATTCGTAGTAATATAATCGTTTATAATATAACCGTTTAGGATATATAATCGAAATTCTTGACAGGATGGGGAAAAAAATGCTGGGTATCTATTTTCCCTGCGAGCGGTTCAGGCTACGTTGCGGCTCGGAGCTAGTGTACGATTGTGCGTATCTATGTGTCTATGCTTGTGTCTATGGTGTGGGCGCAAGGGCCGTGTGCGCAATGCTTGTGTCTAGGCACGATTGGCAACAGTAGGAGATCTGAACATGTGTTGTCATGTGTTACTCTTTTTTGTCGGTATCGGTGTTAGTCTCAGCACCGGGTTCAGCATCGTCAGCGTCGTCAGCGTCCTTTTCATCATCGTTATCGTCATCGTCTATAGCAGCAGTGGTAGTAGCAGCGGCAGGAGGATAGGAAGTAGTAGTAGTAGCAGCATTAGGAGTGTTTCCATCTTCGTGTTCGTTATTCATCACTAGAAGGCGCTGTCGACGGGCTTCGCGCCATCGTGGGCCGCGTTTCATGAGGATAAAGAGAATAGGACTTGCAACGTATACGATTGCTGCGATGAATGTGAAGCATGGTCCTGGTGGTCATGCGAAAGAACCAAGGTCAGCGCCGCAGGCAGGCTACATGGAATAGATAATGCAAGATGGGGAAAGTTGTAACGGAAGAGTACGACCGCTTGGGGGGTGGAGAATAAACCATGCTTACTTACCACTGCCCATTTTCCGAATCATTTGAACAATGACAGCTGCTCCGCCAGCACCCAGAAGACAGCGCACAAGATTGTTCGCGGCGGTGGCGGTAGCTGGACTCAGCGGGTATAAATCGATCAGCAGAACATTAGTGACGTTGAACGCCCCCGTAAACATTAGTCCGATGATGAAATGCAAGACAAGAGGCGCGGCGAGATGGGCCCTGGCGTGGAGAACCCAGCCGTAACATAAGACCGCGGCGTTGCCGATAAAGACTAGTGGCCAGGCGAGTTGGATACGTGCTCGCTCGAGTGGAAAGTCTTTGAGATCGTCTTGGCGCTTGCGGTCGACGGGCATGTTGAGAGAACGCGATATCCGCTTAAAATTCCAATCTAGGGCTCGACCGTTGAGGAGTGGCGCGCAGAAACATCCTACGCCCATGGGTCTATAGCGAGTAGTGTTAGAGGGTGAAGGGGAAATTATAAAAGGAAAAGTAGGGGGAAAAAAGAGGAATAGGTCCACCATACATGAAGCATAATCCAATTTGGAAATCGTCAAAGCCATAGATGTCGCTAAAAGTAGATGTAACGCTTGTTGTGATGCAGTAGTATGCTGTGTACACGAGACTATTATAGAAGAGGAGCATGCCGACATCGACTTGAACAATAACTGATAAAGCATTGAGCGGATTTGGCCAGCGGAGCCTACGCTTTTTAGCAAGCTCGGCTTGTGCGAGTCGCTGCTCCTCCCGGGATGCAGTTCGGCTGAGCTCTGTTCCGTCGGCAGACTTTGGGCGCTTCCGTACTTCAAGGTAGTTGAGCAGGGACATATTCCAGCCCTGCGGTGGAACGCTTCCGTTCCCAACAACATTTCTGCCGGTCTCGGGCTGGAAGGCCAGGAATATGACCAGATAGGCACTGAGACGGGTGAGCGGGTTGTTTTCGAATCATAATTATATTGTATTTCAATTGAAGCAGAAAGCTTACCCTGCCATAATGACCAAGAACCAAAACATTGATCGCCATCCCAAGTATTGAGACAAGATGCCACCTAGTACGGGTGCTAATGCCGGAGCAACCATGGGCCCCATACTGGCAATGCCCATAAATGTCCCTCGTTCTGCAGTTGTTGCAATGTCAGCAACAACGCCACTGGCTAACGCGATTGTTCCACTGCAACCGGTGCTCTGGAGACATCGCAGGACAAAAAGCGCAGCATAATTGGTTTGTAGCGCCAGTCCAATGCAGGCGCCAATATAGACGATGAAGCCAATAACATATGCTGGTCGCCGGCCAGCCATGTCCGCTAGATCGCCAAATATAGTGGGTGACAGACCCTGGAAAATCATGTAGGATGTAATTGTCAAATTCATGAGTTCGCTCGATACATTCAGCTCGTGTGACAGCGTGTTTAGTGCTGGAAAATAAATATTCGCACTCAGCGGCGAATAGAATCCTCCGAGTGCGACCATGAAGACAATAAATCGTTTTTGCCATTTGGTGAAGACAGAAAATGGAGGAGTGCGGGTTGCAACAGGCGCCAGCGCCTCGAGGTCTTGTACCTCTTCTTCTTGTTGAGCGATTTCATTTCGCATAGCAGCGTCTCCAGAGATAGGTCCTGTATTTTGCGAAACACTGGCCGCCGTCTTCAAACTGTCGCGTGACTTCTGCGATCGTGGAGCCCCCTGGTCCTGAACCTTGTCAGGCACGATAGTTGCCGTCTCGAACTTTTCATGTTGTCTAGCCTCTTGCAACGATGGCATGAGGACGAGTTTGACAGGTCCGGATGGACATGCTTTTGGTGAGCCATTCAATCATTATTATTGCTATTGGGGATGGCACGCCTTATAAATCCAGCGAAAAGGAACTTTTCCGCTCCTTTTACCGTAGTGGGAGCGATAACGGAGAACCCGCGAAGGCCTAACAGCGATAGCTAAGCTTTCTTTTCCCTCGTGGGATTTAGAGTAGTCAACAGGGGCGCCCAAGTGGTTCGTCCCGCTGGAGCCTGCCCGAACATGGCAAAGCGGCCTGCCAAAAGCAGCGGGTCAATTGCCACCGAATTTGACTCATGTGAATAACGTCGGCTGAGGCGGACGCCAGTGGTCTGCTCGGTCAAACTCCCGTTTTGGCACAGTATTTCTGTCTTGTCATTGTCTGTGCACTTCAAGACCGATGCTTATGATGATAGAGTAGAGGTAGCGAACTAATTATGAAAAGCACGTGGAATTCTGCCTGATCCGAATTTCAATATGGCATCTCTATCAAATTTTGCGCTTGCAGCAGCTGATACATGAAGTGAGAAACGTGGATGCGGGGATGCGGAAAGATGCCGATTGCCCTTGATCAGGTGGACGGACAGATGAAATTATGTGCCAGACTTCCGTAGTGATTTCTGCAATCTGCAATGGAAGACATTTGCTCAATTCTTATCGTCAATTGCGCAATTCAGAAGCGCCAATTCCGGGCAGTGTATTGTGGTTGAACTAAGCAAAGCTGCTACTGAGGGCACGCCATTGGTGTCTTGTTTGAGCTAATGAATGAACGCTGAAGTTTGCATTGATCATTATAGGCAGTCAGTCAAGATCCTTTGCCTTGAGATATAATCTATTGACGTCTTACATATTTCAAGTCAAAACTCTGCCATGTTAACTGTCCTTTACTTTGGCTGCCGTCGACTGTCGAAGGAGAATATTGCTTACGTAAGAGGATATTGATATCCGGGTAACGTCAAGTGGTGCCTGTGAAGGTGTGACGATGTGTTTGCGGTTATAGCTACATTACATGGAGACAGAGAAGCTAAATTGGCGGTCTTGACAGCTTCGTACGAGCTTTAGAAAAGTATATTAGAGTCCAAAGGTTATGTTATAGTGACGGCTGTCCCTTGTCTTTCCCCCATGGCCGATATCACCTCCTTATTCGGCGCTGCGCTCCAGCGTCACGATGTGTCTTTGGGCAAGACCAAGCTCACTCGAACTCATACTACCGATGAATTTTTAAAGGAAGCATATAGAATTGTATGTGAGGTTGATGATATACTTTTGATTCTTCTGACAAGCTGCCCTAGGAATCGCACATTTCTTCACTCCATGCCTACCTCCGTTCCATCCGCCAATCCTACCTCTCTACCTCACTCCCGCCACGACGGACCCAGCTAGGGCGGGCCAATTCTCTGCACTCTCCGCATGGCCAGGACAAGGAACGGCAATATCTGACAGACGCCAATCGTGACGAGGTCGATGCGGAGTCAAAAGCCGTCTTGCGACAGCTCAACGCAGCCATTCGCAATTTGTCCGATGCCGAGCAATTGCGACAGAATACAGAAGCTACACTTACGCAACGACGGCGAGCCAAACATGGGCTCGGTGCAATCGGACGGTGGGCGGCAGGAGGTGGCCGTCAGGCAGCTAGCCCAGAAGAAGAGATGGACGAGGCACGTGCAAATGGGATCAAAGTGCATCGAGAGAGTGTGCTTTGGTATCTACGAAGGAAACTTGAGGAGTGCGGCGAGCTCCAGCGGTCGATGATGGAGACACGATTAACACGGGAGGTGGAGAAAAGCAAGAGCGCGCTATACAAGGCGCGAGGGGCTCGTGGAGCATGGGAAATCGCTACAGGGACTGTTGATGACGCATCTTGGACGACACCTTCGCAGCAAGGGTCTGGTGCTGCAAAGGCTGCGCTGATGGACACAGCGGAGAAAGAAGAGGTCGAGAGGCAACTGAGCCCGGAACAACTACAGCTGTTTGCGCAAGAGAACCAAAATATGCTAAAGCATTATGAGGACACGCTGGATCAAGTCAGGTATGTTTGGTCTAGTTCCCGACCACTATAACGAAACGTGTCTGCGCCTTTTATATTTACTAATAATGGGAACAGAATGGCCGAAAGGTCACTGATTGAAATTTCAGAATTGCAAACCACGCTGGCGACTAATTTGGCAACTCAATCAGCACATGTTGATCAATTGGTTGCTGACTCGGACTTTACAACGGTGAACGTGGGAGGAGGAAACAAGGAATTGAAACGGGCCAGTGAGAGGGCAAGCACGGCACGGATGGTCTTTTATGCAGCATGCGGATTGAGCGCATTCTTAATCACTTGGGATTTGTTAATTTGAGTGCATCAGTATATACCTTGTTTATACGTTGGGGCGTCTGGATTAAAGTGGGGAACCATCCCTGTGACAGTGGGAAATTAATGTATAGAATCTCATCTTCAGTTCATAACAAGCCATCTGCATGGACAGTCACAAGGACCCCTGTCTCCCGTTTCATCCGAGGTCCGCGGGCCGTCGGATATGAAACTTATGGAGATGACATCAACTTATCCATAGTATTATTCTCCATGAGTGTTGATTTCATTTTAACTTGATCCTCACTGGTTCAAATTTATATTATTCTCGTCCTTGAGAAATTATTTATTCGCCAATAGTATCTGTCTGGTAGTGAGATTAATGATTTCAGGGGATATTTGGAGCTAGCAGTCCTGTCAGAAACAGTCACAACGGTAGGTAGACCAAGTGGGGTAAAATCGCATCGGAGAGATTCCGTCGGTTCATTCCGACTCATCCACCTACCCCAGGGTCCAATTATTATTACTCTTCTCTGTGACGCATCAGAGGAGAAGCTAGTTGATACTTTCTTCTTCTTTTATTTCCTTGTCAACTGAGTGGTTTATAAAAAAAAAAAAGCCCGCCCATGGCACCGCATTTTACATCCTCTGCCAACGATATTTCTTCATCCTCATCTTCTGCTCAGTCTCGTCTCGCCAACATCTCAGCCCACATGTCGCCCTCGACGCAGTCCTCCGTCTTCACCCAAGATGTCGTGCCTCAGGCACCCGAAGACCCGCTCTTCGGCCTGATGGCTGCCTTTCGACGGGACACTTCTCCAAACAAGGTCGATCTCGGTGTCGGTGCATACCGCGACGACAATGCAAAGCCATGGGTCTTGCCCGTGGTGAAGATGGTAAGTGGTCTGATCCATACATAATAACCCCACATTATGCTCTTTTATCGTCCAAACACAGAGAAGTCCTAATAGCTAATTTTTACCCCAGGCTGAAGAGAAGCTCCGCAAGGACCCTCAATTAAACCACGAGTACCTTCCCATTGCTGGTCTCGCCGACTTCACCTCCGCTGCGGCGAAGCTCATTCTGGGCGGTGACAGCCCCGCCATCAAGGAAAACAGAGTACGACTCTTCCTTTCTACTCCCTCCAGATCGATTTCCCTCCTTCTCCCATTGTTCTAACAAAATCTCTACAGGTCGCCAGCTTCCAAACCATCTCCGGCACCGGCGCTGTGCACCTCGGTGCTCTATTCCTTGCCAAATTCTACCCCCGCACCGCCAACCAGCCCGTCTACTTTTCCGCTCCGACATGGGTCAACCACCACCAAATCTTCGGTAACGTGGGCCTGCCCGTGCAAACGTATCCGTACTTCTCGTCCTCGACCAAAGGTCTCGACTTCACCGGCATGATCAAGGGCATCGAGGCCGCACCCGAAGGCAGCATCATTCTGCTGCACGCATGCGCGCACAACCCCACCGGCGTGGACCCTACGGCAGAGCAATGGAAAGAGATCGCCGCTGTGATCCGGTCGAAGAACCACTTCCCCTTTTTCGACTGCGCCTATCAGGGCTTCGCCTCGGGCGATCTGAAACGCGACGCCTGGGCCGTCCAATACTTTATCGAGCAAGGCTTTGAGCTTGTTGTCGCGCAGTCGTTTGCCAAGAACTTTGGTCTGTACGGCGAACGCACAGGATGCTTCCACTACGTTGCTGCTCCCAGCGGCGCCGAGGCCTCGTCCACCGCCACCCGCGTTGCCTCCCAGCTCGCCATCTTGCAGCGTTCCGAAATCAGTAACCCTCCTGCATACGGCGCGCGCATCGCCTCTGCCGTGCTCAACGATCCCGCCCTCTTCGCCGAGTGGGAGGGAAATCTCCGCACGATGAGCGGCCGCATCATCACCATGCGCAAAGCTCTCAGACAGAACCTCGAAAACATGGGCACCCCGGGCACCTGGAACCATATCACGGACCAGATTGGCATGTTCAGCTTCACTGGTCTGACCGAGTCCCAGGTCATGAAGCTCCGCGAGGATCACATTTATCTGACAAAGAATGGACGCATTTCAATGGTATGTAAAGCCTTTCCTTTTTACATTTTATGTTTATTTTCAATTTCTCCTTCCCTTTCCTTGTATTTCTTTTCTTACACCTTCTTTATCCCTTTCCTGAAAAAAAGCTAATACATTTCACCGTGAAATAGGCCGGTCTTAACACGAAAAACATTGAATACTTTTCAAAATGCGTCGACAAGGCTGTCCGGGAATCTTAGAGAGATTTTTTTATCTCCTTTTTCATTTTATTTCTCTCTCCGTTGAACCTTTTTCGCTTTTCTTTTTCGAGCTCTTACAATACATTCCATAACATGCTAGCTTAGCTTGTTTACGTCTTATGCCATCCATCCATTGACATCATGCCACCCAGTTTCCGGCCTCTGCAACCATTTTCCTTTTTAAAAAAAATGTATACACCTGAGAAGCAAATATAAAATAGGTAGAACTTTACGGAAATGACAATGATAGTTAACAATTTTCTATTGATCTTCTATTTTTCTCATACGGCCTTGCGAAAACCTCTCGTAAAGAAGGCTGCCTGCTCCCTAGAATAGATCATGGAACGAGAAAGTTTGAAAAAAAAAAAAAAAAAAAAAATTTCTTGAACCGGACATGACAAGAATTTGTGAGCATAAAGGCAAAGATACTTGTGAGAATCAGAAAGGCCAACAAAGGAATGTGAGAAGGTAAAAAAAATAAAAGTAAAAATAAAAAAGATGAGAATTAATATATAAAATAGATATATAGGCTAAAAGTTAAAAGTTAAAGAATTTAAAAATGGGTTCAGAGAAGGGCAAAGGGAGAAAAGGAACAAAAAATAAAAAAGAAAGAAAAGAAAAGAAGCACAATGAAACTAAAGGGACAATAAATCCCCATTCGCAGGCGCAATAGTAGTGCCCGGTGCACCAGGACTACTATTACTATGCCCAGGGCCAATAGGACTACTTGGTGCGGCGGCGCCTCCAGCCATGCCCATCATTGGGCTATTACCGACGTAACCGCCGCCATTGAAACCGGCACCACCACCGGCAACTCCTCCTGCTGCTCCTCCCATCGGACTACTAGCGAACATGCCAGCCGCTCCGCCGAGCACGGGGGGCGGGGAACCGAAACCGTCGTTGGCGACGATGCCCATGGCGGCCATTTGGGAGGAGCCGACGCCGGCGAAATAGAGGTCTGCGGCGTCAACGGCTGCTGCGAGATTCGCGCGCTGTTGCTGGGCTTGGGCTGCCGAGGAAGAAGGAGAAGTGGCCAATTGACCGTTTTGGTAGGCGGCCGAAGTGCCGGGAATAGGCATGGCGGTGGATGCGGTGGTGGGACTGAGGAGCTGAGCGGCTGTGGTAGCGGAGGCAGCAGGGTTTGCTCCGAGCGAGGACGCCGCGTTGGTGATGGGCATCATGTCTGGCAGGTTCTTGTGCAAGTTTTGCTGGGACTCGATGAAAGTGGGCAGACGCTGGAATTGGAGTGCGGGACTGTGTTGGACGCGGCGAGGCCGGGCTGAGCGGAAGACTTGGTGGACTGGTTTGAGGTAGACGGTGGCAAGGGTGCCGACGTTGAGACAGAGTTCTTCGAGAGTTGCGGGGTCGAGCTTTTCGGATTCAGCGGTGATAGGGGGTTTTTCTCCTAGCACGACTTGTTTGGCCGTGTTGGGATCCGAAGATAAAAGGCGCCAGTACATGAAGCCGCGGTCGCGCAGGTCTGGGTTGTCGGTCTCTTCGGTGGCCCATTTGAGCACTTTGGGAACGAGTTGTTGGCCTTTGGTAGGGCGTTGGATAAAGAGTTTGACGGTGGCGGTGAGCAGGGCGAGTTGAACCTCGACGGTCTCGTCGGCAAATGAGTAGAGGAAATCGTCGAGGAGAACGTCCGAGTTGTCGATCCGGTGCGCGTATTGGCCAATGACCCATATCATGGCCGCTTTGGCTTCGGGTTCATCGAGCGAGTCGAGGTTCTCGCATAGCGTGGAGATGATGGATTCGTATTGATTGGGGTATTTGCGGAAAATGTTCTTGATGACGACCGTGGCTTCTTGTACAATGTAGGAGACTTTGGTGGCGACGAGTTCCAGGAGAGTGTTGATGCAGAGCCGTGCAGCCGGCTCAATTTTGATGGCTAACTTGCCAATGGCACGGACAGACTTGCGGACAAAATGGACGTCAATTTCCGTTGCATATCTTTGTGCCCTTGTTAGTTAATTGTAACAGCGCATGGCATATAAGACGCGATACAAATCATTTGGATTTCAGGATATCTCAGCTCTGGGGTATGACTTACTCTCTCAATTCGGTCAAGACTTCGTTAATGTTTTGCTCTGTTGCCAACATGAAGATGAGCTCCAACTTTGTCACCTTGACATAGATGGGGTCATTGTATTTGCAGAAAAAGACACGGACATCGTTCCGCAGCACCTCCGGCCATCGCTGGAGGATCAGCAGAGCATTTCGAAGGGCCAAATACTGCACTTCGGGCCCTTTGGCAAGCAGAGTCACTAGCGGTGGCGAGAGCTTTCGACAAAGTGACTGAATCTGTTTCGGGTCCGAAATGTAGTTCATGAGATAGAGGATGACGCGGATGCAAGTCAGGACGACAGAAGAGTTGGAATGAGAGAGACGAGGAGAAATACGTTCAGCGAGGAGCGTAGCGTCAGCCGTGTCTTGCGGAACGTAAGACATCAGGGCTTCAAGAATATATGTTTGACCCCACCTTATCACACAATTAGCTCTCATGTATACATGAACATACGTATATGAGGTACATACTCTGAACAATCTGGCAAAATCTGAGTCACTTTAGACGCGCTTGTATAGTCTAGAGTGAGCTTGATGGTGTCGCTCCTCTCCCAGATGTCCATCAAAGCCGCTAGGGCGCTTGCCACGACTGTGGGATTTCCATCCCGCAGCATCAAGTTGAGCCGATCAATCACATCAGATCCCTCTACCAGCACCCGGTCATGGTCGTAAATTTTTGCGACAGTAAAACACGCCGTTTTCCGCACATAGGGATCTGGATCTTTGAGTAATTTCTTTAGGGGACTCATTGTGGCCTCGACGAACTCCCGCACGTGAATATACGACATTGTTCTAAGTGCAAGTGCACGTACGAGCGGGTTGACGTCGTCCATATCCTGCAAAGCTCAATATCAATTGATTGTCCCAACTTTCTATTACTCTTCATCCTGACGCAATAGACAATACTTACTGCAACGAGAATGGGCAGAGCCTGCATCGCCACGTCAGGCTTCAAACGAGCATAATTGACCAAGAACAAAAAGCACCTGCTTCACTGTCAGCGGACAGTTGTTCCTTCACATATTAGTGTTGCTCAATGGATTGCTTCCGTACATCTTCTTAATCTCCAGACTGGGTATTTGCATGCAGCCGACAATATCCGGAAAGAGCGCAACCATGTCATTATTGCTCATTGTCATGTTCGCAACGATGCGTTTCAACGCAATCTTCTTCGCCGAGTGGTTCTTGTCCTTTTTCCCACCGCTGTTGAGCTCCGCGCGGAGCTCTGCTACTTTGCCCTGTTGCGAACGAGGATAAGGTGAGCCTATATTCGGAAAAGGGAAATGCGGCGCGGTGGCCAATTCAAGAGTAAACATTGTGAGATGTACGCAGTTGTGCGCATTACAACCAAGAGACGTGATAATATACAACCTGCGGAGGGCATGCAGTTCCACATGCTATTATTTCCCCTTTACAGCACCTCCTTTTCAAGGTGCAGTATTAAGAGAGAAACCCCCACAATGGAATTATGTGCCTTGATTGACTGGGGATGGAGCGGAATGAAAAAGGGACCAAAACGTACTCTGGCAAAGAGCTTCGCATCTCCTCCGGCAACGCTCATCATGAAGCCGGTACCGGGCCGATGGGGCTGAACCTGTCGATTGTAGTCTTAATGGCGACACCAGCCCTCCGACTAGGATGTGGCGTCCGAGACGACAGTGAGTCGCGGGGTATTAGACGCCGCAGGGGGGGTTGTCTACTGCGGACGGTTTCAAAATAGGCACTGATGCTCTCTGATGATGTCGAAAAGACCAGGAGGGTGGGGTATAGTAGGGGGGGCCGGTCACATGGAGTATCGTGAAATGCGGGATTCGACAGCGGTTAGGGTCTCATGCTTGATAGGAACGTCAGCATAACGCCGGTGTATACGGAAAGAATTCATAAAGAACCGAAACTATACCTAAGACTGTCTTCCTGTCTCTGTAGCAAGCAACCAATGCGACAGTCGTCCCAGTGATGTATCAAAGTGGTCTCAAGTCAAATCAATAAAGTTGAATTGTTTAGGGAGAATTTAGGGTCGCCCATGATGGCTATAATGGATACACACCAACTGCATCTTACCCCCTACCCCCCTGCCTCCTTTCGGCTGTCGGTCCAACTTCTCCGTCCTTCCGCCATCATCATTATCACCATAAGCAGCTACTTATATCAGCTACCCGTAGTCTTTTTGTTCACCTTACCATTCTCAACGGCGTTTCTGGTATATCTTTCACGAAAATGGTCGAGCAAGTTCCTCTCCCGCCTCCACCTCCGCAATGGGTTCTCGATCTCGACTCGAAGCCCATTCGCAAGTCCAAGCCAGCTAGCATTCCCGATCCACCAGGCTATGTCGCCGGCGGTACTGGCAACACGAAGGTAATTATATCGTTCTCAGACCATACTTTCTCTCTTTACCTCGCAGAGCATGCTCCTCTTTCTTTGCCTTTTATGAACACTCTACAGTGTCTAGCGCTTCACGTCCACGTCTGTTCATTGAAAACTTGTATCATTGCTGATACGCACACTACTAGCGCACCAAACAAACCCAACAGCAACAACGCACTCCCCCCACCGCCGAAGAAACCAACCAACTGAAGCTCAAGAAAGCATGGGAACTCGCGCTTGCACCAGCCAAGCAGCTGCCGATGAATGGCATCATGATGTACATGTCTGGAAATTCGCTGCAGATCTTCAGCATCATGATGGTGTTTATGCTCTTCAAGGGTCCCATTCAAGGCCTGATGAATGTGAACCAGGTGTTTTCGCGATTCGAAGCAGAAGGCATTCAGAGTCAGATGCTGGGCATCAAGCTTGTCTATGTTCTTATGCAATTACTTGCGCTCGGTTTAGGTGTTTGGAAAGTCAATGGCATGGGATTGTTGCCGTAAGTCTTTTTTTCTCCTTTTTCTTTTCCCCAATCAAATTATGTTTTTCTTGTTCTTCATTTCCATCTCCACTCCCATTCCAATTCCAATCCCCACCCATCCCCATTTTTGCTTCATCAACAATCTATCAGATGCAGTCCACATCCAGAATAAAATGTGGAGACTCTTGGAACAATGCCTAGCTAACATGTATCAAATCAACAACAGAACCGCACGATCAGACTGGCTTGCATGGGAAACTGAACGATTACCACTAGAGCGCGCCATTCCCGCGTTCCGATGATCTCAATCCCTCTTTTCCTTTTCTATTCTCTATTACTCTCTTAAACATACGTTTTTACATAGCACATGTATTCGTGGCCCCTTGCCGTAGATGCGAGTGTCTCGACACGTTGACGTTATTTCATGTATTCGAGATCAACTGCGACCATATCAAAGCTCTCAGACTAGTATAACCGCTCTAAATGAAGATCATCACCTTTTGCCACAAACTCCATTGATGTGAAATATTTTGATACTACAACATTCTAAACTCCATGATATATACTGCTACTACAACAATCCACGCAAAGCGTGCACAACAATCAATAACCACGGTTCCTTTACCCTCTCTTTCCACTTCCCCTTCCACCTCCCCTTCCGCTTCTACTTCCACGCCGATTCCACCTCTTTCCCACCATACCATACCTAAATCGCATCGCCGCTCTCCAAGCGGCCTCTCAATTTCTCATACTTGCTCAAATCACTCACACTCGGCCTGACCTTCTTGAGCGCGTCATGGAAATCCTCGAGGGCAATCTTTCTCCTCGCTTTGACTGCACTATATCCTGCCCTTCGCAAGAGAGACTCCAAATCTGCGCCCGAAAAGCCATGGCACGCGAGGGCCACTTCCGCGATCGCGCCGCGCTGGGATTCGTCCGCGACAGGGAGTTTCTGAAGCAACGCGGCGAGGATTTCCACGCGCTCGTCGGGGCCAGGGAGGCCGACGAAGAGCAAGGTCTCGAGACGGCCGGGACGCAGCATGGCCGGGTCGATGATGTCGGGACGGTTGGTGGCGGCAATGACGTAGATGCCTTGGCGGCTGGATAGGCCGTCGAGCTCGGTGAGCAAAGTGTTGACGACGCGGGCAGAGGCTTCGGAGAGGGATTCGTCACGGCGCGGGACGAGGGCGTCGAGTTCGTCGAAGAAGATGACGCAGGGAATGGACGAGCGGGCGCGGACGAAGACCTGGCGCACGGACCGCTCGGACTCGCCGACGTACTGGTGCGGTTGTTAGCGGGTGCTTGTTTTTGGGTTATGTGGGGATATAGGAAAGAAATATTGAATGGATAAAAGAGGGTAAATACCTTGTTGAGTAATTCTGGACCTTTGACGCTGATAAAGTTTGCTTTGGACTCATTGGCGACAGCTCGCGCGAGGAGCGTCTTACCGCAACCTGGTGGGCCCCAGAGCAAAACACCGGCAGGAGCGGTAATGCCGACTTGTTCGTACATTTCGGGGTTGCGGATGGGCTCGACGATGGCGGTCTGGAGTTCTTCCCGGATGGCCTGGAGCGCGCCAATATCCTCCCAGGTAGTATCGGGCACGGTGGCGAAGCCTTCACGTTTCGACGAGGGCTGGATTTTGGGGAGAGCATTGAGGAAGTCCTCGTGAGTGATGGATACGGCGTCGTTGGCGGCGGCGAAGGGTTCTTTAGCCTGGGCGATGATTTCGCGGAGCTCTCGCACTTTGAGGGGGACAATGGGAGCACCTTCGTCGTCGACGGGGCCAGTCGTGGTGGTGGTGGCGGCGGGAACCACGGCAGTCGAGACAGGAGGGTCATCGAGTTCCATGTCGTTTCCATTTTCGAGTGCAAGTGCATGTGTATGGGCGCTGGACTTGAGCAGATCCAAGTAGCGCTTGATAGCTGCAGAACCAGCCGTTGCGACCAGGTCGTTTAGATCTGCGCCAACAAATCCGGGCGTCATCTTGGCAAGTCGACGGAAATCAAAGTCGCCATGGAGACGCATGTCGCGCGTAAGCGCACGAAGAATCTGCTCACGATGAGCCTCATTTGGAACGCTCAGGTTTATTTCCTTGTCGAATCGACCTCCTCGTCGGAGGGCGGGATCGAGAGCATCTGGGCGGTTTGTAGCAGCCAGCACGATGACGGCTTTTCCGTCAGTCTTTTCGAGCGCTAGGTCATCCATGCATGTGAGCAGCTGTGCCACGATGCGCTTTTCCATTTCACGCTGGGCGCTTTCACGTTTCGGCGTGATGGCGTCGATTTCGTCGATAAACATGAGACATGGAGCCATTCTCTTGGCTTCTTCAAAGAACTCGCGGAGCTGCTTCTCCGACTCTCCCGACATGCCCGACACAATGGACGGGGCTGAGATTGGAATGAACGGAATACCAATTTCAGAAGCAAAGGCGTTCGCGATCATGGTCTTACCGCATCCCGGCGGACCATGCAGAAGAATACCCCGAGGAGGCTGAATCTTTGATGCGCTATAGATCTGAGGTCGTAATAGCGGAAGAACAAGCAGGTCTTCAAGGTCTTGGATAATCGAGTCTACGCCGCCAAAGTCTGCGAGACTGACATGCGTAGGGGGCGAACGGTCGACGGTCTCTGCCGGCGCAGGTACTCGGCGCTTCTTCTTAAGCGGTTCGCCATTTGTTTGTCGTTCGCGCTTCTTCGATGATGCTGACGGAGGTGTCTGGCCTGGCGCGGGAGATGCGGCTTCAGATTGAGGTTTCGAGGATCCCCACATTGCTACGATACTCTTGTTCATGGAATTTGGTTCCTAGAGTAGTGTTAGAACTCAATTTTAGAATAAAAAATCCTCGATCATTTGTCTTGATTTACCTGCTCCGGCTCCGGCTCAGGATCTTCAAGGCCGTCAAATTCTCCATCAATAGAGCCCGGGTCGTCATCGGCTGTCTCTTCCTTAATCACGGCAATAACCCGTTCTATGCTGTCCTCGAGAAGCTTCTTGCTTTTGCGATTAAGACTCGAGTTTGACCGTTTTATGCGATCATATACTGTCGACGAGGTAAGGCGAAATCCTCGGCCATCGTCATACTGGGACTGCTCATCAATAAATTTGCGAACGATTTGGTAAATCTATAATTGTCAGTCTGACCCAAACCATGTAGAAATATATTTCAACCAAATATCTTTAAAAGACTTACTTCCTTATCCAGTCCATGGCCCAGCGTGGGCCTGCCTCCACGAGGTCTCGCAGGCATCTTGCACAACTTGACGTTTATTAGCAGGAACAGACGATGAGGATAATGTTTTGGTGTTTTCGGTGTTTCGTGAACGAAATTCGGGTCCAATTTTCTTCCCGCCCCGGCATGTTCCGTCACTATCGATAGGGCCACAATCATATCAATCAATCTCCCCGACCTGGGGGGCAAGTCAATATGACCGCCCTGCTCATTCCCTTGTGCCTCAACTATCTATTTGACATGAGCAGGGACAAAAGGACAAGATGGGGAATATGACAAGCAGTAACAAGATTTCTGCCCAGGACCGGTACGAGAGATATCCCTCTGCCTGGATGACCACAACAGATCTAACCCACGTGTGCTGCGCATTAGCGCGATCCTGGACATGAAGAACCAGCGCGACAAACTACATCAATATCAGAAGCGCATTACTGTGATAACAGATCGCGAGACGGCAATTGCAAAAGAATGCCTTGCAAAGGGCGATAAGCGCAAAGCGTTACTTGCGCTGCGCCGGAAAAAGTACCAGGAGTCTCTGCTCGCCAAGACCGATGCACAGCTTGAACAGCTTGAGAAGCTCACGGGCAGCGTAGAATTTGCGCTTGTTCAAAGGGATGTGGTCTTTGGGCTGCAACAGGGCACAAGTGTGTTGAAGGAGATTCATCGCGAAATGGGTGGGATCGAGAATGTCGAGAAGCTCATGGGAGAAAGTGCTGAGGCACAGGCATATCAACAGGTGAGTTTTTCCCTGATGTTAACATATAAAGATATATGCCAGGACAAAAATTCAATGGAGCACTTTGCTGATGCCTCATTGTACCAATAGGAAATTAGCGACATGCTTGGTGAGCGCATGACAAATCAAGACGAAGATGAAGTCGAGGATGAACTTGAGGCCCTTGAGCGTGAGATGGCCGGGACCAAGTTGCCGGATGCACCAACGGCTGAACCTGTTCAAGATGAGGTCGTTAAAGATGAGGCTACAGCTCAGAGAGCCAGGGCAAGAGCGCGCGCAAGAGCAAGGGCTGAAGAGCAGGCGTCAAGGCAGGCGGAGCCCATGCTGGCATGATTTCGATTTACAGCTCATAATCTCGCGACCTTTATCACGAACTGGCGTTATTTAAGACCGCATTTTCCCACTCCAGCATTTTGAAGTTGCATTTACAGCGCATATTTTTAGTAGGAGCATTATTTTTGTATCAATAGAGCCAGTGCTCGAGTATATATATGACTGTAGATACCAGTACAATATAATATTCTTAGCCTCACCTTACTATCTGATTACTTGCCATGACTGCTGGATCATTCACGCCTCACAATAACCCTTCGCTGTTCAACAGGTACAATATGCACGGCTCAAAAGCACATGGTAAAAGCATGTTCAAATCTATATGTCCATTATGTTTCTACATACAAGCAGATCCAAGTCGGGCCGAGGGACATACTTTATTGTATCAAGGACCGTTGTTCCTTATCCTTTTGACATAGAAAACGGCAATCCCTTTGATACAATTGACCGCAGGTAGACCATACCCCATGCATTATCTAAGAGCGTATTCCAGCACCTCAGATCATGAGACGCTCGACCTTGTTCTTGAGGGTGCGGATCTGGTTGGTCAGGTCGCTAGCCTCGTTGGTGGTGATGCTGACAGCGATGACGGCACGGCTGACACCGCAGGCACGGCCGAGAGCAACCTTGCTGGGGACGTAGACGTAGGGAACGTTCTTGTCCTCGCAGAGCAGAGGCAAGTGGAGCAGGATGGCCAAGGGAGAGGTGTCAGCGGCCATGATGATGACTTCCGAGATACCACGGTTGAGAGTCTTGGTGGCTATTTTGTATGTCAGCATTTGGTCTTCGCGGAATTTGGAATCGACAGCGACTCTTCGGCCGTCTATTCAAGGATCCGAATACTCACCCTCGTTGGCACCCTTCTTCAACTGACGGTAGTGGCTGGCCTGCTGAACCAGGTCCAGAATCTCCTGCGAGAGGGACTCGTCGGCGACGGGCCAGGCTATATCACCAAGTTAGCTTTTGCTTTTCACTCCCATATATTTCGTGCAATCCAAAAGTGCGACAGATTCTTTCGGCTGGATCCATTCCCCCCTCTTCCTCCATTTCCTCCACACCCAGGCTTTCCACTCCATCCCATCAATTCAATCTCTAAATCCTTCGTCTTTCTCGATCCCGCTTCTCAAATCATCTCAATTCAAAGGACCGCAAGGGACGAAGGCCTCGGAGACAAGGCCAGCTGACGGTCGACTGATTCCATCTCTTCCACAATTCCAAGATGCGACAAAGAGCACCCAAAGTCCCTTTTCAATCCAAAAACGTCCAATTCTGTTCCTCAATTCCGATGACGGATCCAGCCTGTATCCAGAACCTGCGCAGAGATCGCAGAAAGAAAAGAAGAAAACTTGAACGACTTACCAGCTCCGCTTTCAGACATTTTTGTCTATGTATTGGAATTAAAGTCTAAATAAAAGAAATATGGTTGCTCGCCCGAAGGTTCACTGCTTTTGAAATTGCGGCTCGCCCGAGTAAATGGGTTCCCGGCCTAGAAAGACTTGTGCGATGATTGACGAAAAGAACGATGATGGACGACGACGACGCAGCAAGCGGGAAAATTTCCCTGTGCTACTTTGCGCGCACGGGCCACGTTGCCGGCAGTGCGAGTCTTGGGAAGCGAGCAGAAGCGAAGAGCCGCATTGGCAGACTCACAAGAGTCTTGGCACAAATCACGTGTCAAAAATCACAAAACTTGCCAAATTGGTGATAGTGCCTGGAATGTGTTGCTTCGCTGGCTTCACAGCACAAACATTATAAAACTTGTAGAACAGCTCTTTGTTATTATTCTTAACCCACAATGTTGGTACTCTATCAATTGTATGGTTTCTAAGCTAGTTTAATTATGAATTGCATGTTATGATATGTCACAGGACACATTTCCTGGTAAACTACAATACTGTATTATCAAGTTTCATAAAGCTGAAGTAGATTCAGCCAGAATCAATTTACTAATATACTAGTCATAATTGCTTATGTTTGACTTCAAAAGACAAGACAGCTCATTTGATCATAGCAGTGTATTTTTCAAGACAGTCATAAAATCACTCAAGAATTTCATCATATTAGGCTAACTTATTAATTACAAAACAGGAATTAGTATTAGAGGTTCTCACCGGACAATAATATTACGAAAGGAGATCAAAGGGGTTATACAATTCTACCGGGCTTATTGTGGTTCACAATATACAACAATGAAGCTGAATATATATGGACAGATAAATGATGCCACTGAAAAGTGTACTATTATATCAAAGAAATCTAAATGAAAAGTCTATCTGCCAAAAGCACATCCAAATCATCCAACGCGGCATAGACTTTACACCTGGATAATGAAGTAGCTCTTCCATCGCTCTACGTCGCGCCCAGCACGGCAATGACTTAGAGAGTATATTGTACTCCATGAAATAGGATCAATATCAGGAAAATGATGCGATTGGTAGAAGTCCCCAATCCCAAAGCCATACCCTGTCCCATCTAGGTGACACAACAGCTTGGAAGCACGCCCACAAGGCTGCGACTCCGCATTTTGCCATTCCCCTCAATGCTCATCCAAGGCTCGGACGAGTTTTCAAGAAGAAATCGTAATACCTTCCATCATTACTTACCTGCCGGAAAGGCCCAGCAGAGATACATACACATAACCAAGTCCCGTGTTTAGAGGATCAAGGTTTCGTAGATCCAGAGACAAATATTTCTCTAGGAGAGTGACATGTTAATGATTTACACAGAGCAGAAACCATGTCGGCTTCTTCTCAGACGAAGACCGATATCAATTCTCATCGTACGGCGTCGACGAACTCGCAAGCAGGGTCCGCGATAACTCAGACAACTGTCAGCCAAGCTGGATCTTGGGCCGCTCCTGGTTTCGGCGTCGAGATTAGTCGATGGAGCGATGATACACCAACTGAATCAAGCATTTCTGCAAGAGCCACTGAGGCAGGGCTCTCCGGCGCTCGAAATTCCGCCACTGCATCCGTTCTCAGTAGGAGCTCATCAGCCTCGGGAGGAAGTACTGCTAGCAGCCAGGCTGCCGTTTCCGCCGAGCGACAAAGAACTCTGAGCGCATTGGAATATGGTGCGCCGCGCGCTCCAGCTTCGGAAAGGGTTTGCGAAAGTGTGGTGGGAGGCCTCTTGGGTAATAACACAGCATGTCAACAACTGAGCAGCTCTGGGTCTGCTGCGCAGCAGGCGAGGAGAAAGGATTAAATTGATTTTGTCAAGAGGAGAAATATCTCCTTGAGAACATTGCATAAATTATAGGCTTCCCCGAATTCAATCTGAGTATGCGAAATATGCCACATTAGCTCGTATAAAAACCGTTATTTTTTCGGAACCAGACTCAAGTTTGAATGAAACTCAAGTTTGAATGAAAAATCTCAGAAACTTGTTGTCTATAGTTTTTCAGATCTTCCAATTTTTCTGCAACCCAATGATTCATTCTGGGCCTCCAGAACGTCGAAACAGAAGAGCGAAGTTGATCTGATGGAACTTTATCAAAGAAGGGCTTCATCTGGAATCGAACAATGTTAAATAATCCAGATGGTGTTCGTAATGCACGATGGTAAGAATATTGACCAGTTTTGAGAGCACCTTCCATCACGCTTGCGCGCGAATAAACCAAGCCATTGTAGTTTGACCGAGTGCTGGCCTTCTCCTCCTCTCGGAATATATGGACAAATTCAGTGTAAGCAGTTTCGAATGCCTCAAACTCTGGGCCGTGGAGATCGCTTGGAAATTCGCCGGTGAGCCAAGCAGGTGGAAGCAGAAAAGAAACAGGAAGAGAGCATGCCCATTCCAGGTCAATGATAAACTTGATATTCCACTGTTCGTCAACAAAAATATTGCTGGCATGCAAATCTGTCAACTGCATTACAAAGGGGCCATGACGTTGAGCACGATCGGTGAACTGATGGAGGAAAGCTCTCATCAGGAGCAGATCGGTCGCCTGGCCCTGGGCATCCTCTTCGTCAAAGATTGCATTTGGCTGATATAAAAGGCGGTTGTCATGGCCTGATAGCAAGTCCAGATAGAAGCTATCCGCATTCGAGTAGGTTGTGCTTCGTTCGATATTGGTCGGAATGGCAAGATTATCCATCTCGTACAAGTGCAACAGGCCCGGGCGACTGGACAAGCTGATTTGGCCTTGGTCATTCAGGGTCCATGAACCGATTCGAGGTTGAGGAATTTTGCTCAGTGACAGCATGACACGAGACATGTCGCGGTAGAGATTTCGGGTCTGTTCTGGGGTGTGGGGTTCAAAAAAAGTGTCCGAGAGCATCCGTACATCGTCGCCCTCAATCCAATCTGTAATGAGATATCCGTGATCCGTAAAAGTCGTCCTGCGCTTTGGAATGTATTCACAAAAGCCCGAAATTCCGCGCAACCGGCAAAAGAAGCGCCAGACAGAGGCTCGCAATCGAGGCCAGAGAGGAAGAGAATGAGGATGGAAGAACTAAACCCATGAGAATCAAATCTGTTATTAGCACATTACTCAAACAAGCTAGGTTGTCGCGCACCGAGCTAGATAACTAACACTAAGGCCTCCAGGCACGCCGAAGCCTCGGAGCGTCGGAATAGGAACATCTGGACAGTTTTCCTTGATCCATATATAGGTCGCGGCCTCCGAGCGTACTTTTTCTTCAGCATTGCCTGGCTCAAAATATTCGCCAATCTTGAACGGTAAGGGTACTCGGAAAGCCATGTCCCGGCGGGTTTGCTCATCGACAAAAGACACTCGGACGCAAACATTGAAACTGCCATGTCGCCATACGGGGGTACCGTCAGCAGCGCGATCTTCTCTCACAGTTATCCTTCCCAATTCCGCGCTTTTTAACCCGCAATGCGAAGCTACCAGCCTTTGAATCTCGTCGCGTCGCTCTATCATCTGGACATAGAATCCCCCAAGTTTCTTAGGGTATTGCAGGGCCGCTCTCATGTCGTCTTCTCTAGTAAATGCCTCTTCAAGAGTGACTGTACCACGCAGCAAATGTCGTTTGGCCTCGACTTTGACCTCCTCCATAATTGCGAATCGTTGGATCCCGAATGGGGCCGCTTCGTGCTGTTTAGATTTCTAAATATATGGATGCGTGTCACATACGCGCTGTTAAGACGTCTGAGTATATATATCCGTAACACATTTACCGGCCAAACACCACCACTAATGCATTTCTTGCTTGTAGTAGATGTGATCAGTCTTTTGCAACTTTTTTGCCGCCGTCGCCGACACAGTCAAGTATACGGCAGATGTAATTTGAGGGGACCCTGAAATCTGTGCCCTGCTCAGGGGGTATATAATTTTCCGGGTTCTCGGGGGGCGTGACAAAGCATCTCAGTGGTCCAGCTGGCGATTGGGCGGAAGGGACATGCAAAAGCCCGCCCCCTGCTGTCCTGTCCTCCGTGAGAATATCTTGCATTATGCTCATATATGTATAAGATTTGGAACGATTAGCCACCTCTTCGATGGCATGGGCATTATCTGTTGTTCTCTTGTCGTAGAGAGCGCTTAGTGCACGTAGTCTTATCGGAAGCTAAGATTATAGTGGAATAACCCTGTCAAGCTAAGTGCGGGCCTTCCGCAAAGGAGCGAGGACAATGGTGAATGGCATAGTTAATTATTATAGCTAAGGGACAAGGGAGCAATGGACAGTAAGCAATCGCTTACTCTATAGTTATAACTTTAGTTGATGACTTTCGCTAAAAACCACACATATAGCGCTGGCTTCCCACACCCACCCCTCGCACCTGGTTGAAATTTATCCGTTTCAATCAATTATTCCATTATCTACTGTGACCGTGATACATCATACGCTGTAGACTCCTCAAGAACCCTTGTTGCTTGTCAGCCTGGCAGTATCAATTAAACAACTCCCGTCTAAACTGATCAACACTGTAGAAGCATGACAACAACACTTGTGAGTTCTGTTATTTTGACTGCAGATTACACTGTTTCACCAATTCCTGAACAGTTGGTTCTATGATAACCAATTTGCAAAAGATGTAATTAAGCTATATATGTAGAAGGTATCCAGTAACCATGCGAATACATCTTGTGGTATATACTTCACCCCACAAAGCTTCTATCAACGCAATACAATTCCAATAGAAGACTATAAACAAAGTCATGAAGGGAAATAAACAAAGTGGCCCAATTCAATGACAATGATCCATTCAAAAATTACTATAAAAAATACAAATACAAATAAAAATAAGAAGGAAGGAAGGGAAGAAAGAAACTAAAATCCTGCCATTCTCGGCCTCTTCCTCTTGCCGCCCGTCCTTCTTCCCGACGCAGGGGTATGCGCACCCGCGGCTGTCGCTGCAGCAGGCGTTCTTGCACCAAACGCACCACGCTCAATCTGCGTCATGGGCATATCGTTCATGCCTGCAAGGGCATCAAAAGAGGAACGACGATGCTGAGACTGGTCAAGAAACCCCTGGAATTCGGCAGCAGCTGGTGCAGGTCGACCGGCGGTTGCAAATTGAGATCTGGTGGTCTGGCGAAGAGGCGAGGACGGAGGGAACCCTGTAAAAGGCGTAGGAGGAGGATGATTAACTGCTGGACCTGAACCCGATGCTGCTGCTGTTGCTGCTGTTGCTGTTGCTTCTCTATCCTCAAAGCCAGTTCCCAAGTCAGACCGGCCACTGACTCGGGCAGCCGGAGTCCTTGGCGCACGCTGGGCTGCTCTGGGACCTCTTTGCGAGGCATCTGGGATTTCATGCTCCATTTCATCTTCCTCGGGAATAGCATCTTCCACAGGACCGGCGACCTCTCGCTCTCCGCGACTTTCTCTTCTGGGTCCAGGTCTCAAGGCGCTACTTTGCAAAGGATCATCCAACCCATCTGAGGGCAAAACGCCAGACATGTACCCCGGTTCCGAAAAGAAAAGACTGCCTTGTTCTCGTCTTTGATTCTCGCGAGCCGTCAGCATGCGTTGCCGTCGTTCATGTCGTTCTAATCGACGGCGGTCGCGCTCTTCGCGACGACGACGATGTCGTAGTTCGCGAGCTGCTTTTTCGGGGCTAAGATGTGCCAAATCCGCAGGAATACCTCCGGCACCAGTTGCCATGCTAGCTTCTGATGCGAGTCCAGCTCTCTGACTGAAATCGCCATCGTCTCCACTGTATGGTGTGAAGAGACCTTGAGACTGTGACATGGACTGCGAGGCCAGCCCCAAAGTTCCACGTAATTGAGAAGCTTCCCAATCGAAGTTGTCGGGGTCTTCACCAATTGTCCATTGAGAGAGGATCTGACTCATGGACCGAGGTAACGGTGGCTGCGGAGCCACTGGGACATATTGCCGTAGCCGAAAGGACGCGAGGTCTTCCTCGTCTTGGCTAAAGTCGTCGTCTGTGGACGTTGCGGTCGTATAGCCGCGGGTCGAGCGGGAGATGGATCGAGACACGGCTTTACCCTTGCCTTTGCTGGTGCTGATGCTACGACGGCGAGAAGGCGTGCGGCTGCTGATACTACCACTTCGACTTCGACTGCGGCCGCGGCCACGAATTGGGCTACTGCCACGTCTATTTAGGCGCGATGGCCCACTTGCGGCGCCTACGTGATCTGCCTGATTAGACTCTTGCAAGGGAGGAAGTTGTTGAGAAGCCTGTGGTGGAGGAGCAAGAGGTGATGATGGAAACGTGGTCTCATCTCCTACAGCGGTTGCAGGCTGCACTGGAGGCGAACTAGGTGGAAGGTCTGCTGCTGCGTTGAGAGCTGATGGTGTAGTAGTAGCCCCATCCTGCGGCGTTTGAGCATGCTGTGAGAATTGCGTACTGGGATTTGTGAGTTGAAAGCCCTGGTCCATTGGGACTTCTGAAGACGGCTCCACGGCTGCTCGGCCAAGGGGAGATCGCGGTCCGCGTCTAGCGGAATTCCTTGCGTCTGCGCTGTTTTGTCGGCCTCTTCTTTTGCTTGGAGAATCGTCCAGTTCGTCGTGGTCATGATAACGACCCCGTACCGCCAGATTGTATTCCCCGGGAAGGCTAGGTTCGGCGGTCGTTGGTCCTGTAAGAGAACGGGATGCCTGACTTTGAGTGGCGTCACCCACTGAAGGAGCACTATTGCGGATCACCCTGAGACCGATACTGGCAAGGAATAATTCGGCTGCGGCCTTTCGTACAACACGCTCCTTTGCGAGACGAGTCCTCCCAGGCACTGTATTCGGTAACGGGGCTAACCAAAGGCTAATCAGGTAGTCGTAGATGGCGGAGAGAGAATTGGATGGAAATGATGAAACTAATGACGACGGCAACCCCTCCGAGGAAACTTTTCCTGGCTTCGTGCTTGGCTGCAATGGGAACAGATCTGACACGGCAAGTTGGGTAATTGCCAGTCTGTTCTCGCCAGGACCACTTTCTTTCAATTCGCGTTCCCAAAGCCACTTGAGCAGCTCGTCAATGTCGGTAGAAGCTTGATCAATATCATCCACACGGGGTCTAGAGGGGCCAAGTTCTAGGCTAGTAGGAGTCAGTACACATATAAGATCAGCACTGGTGGTGGAAGAGTTGGTAACATACAGAGACACAATTGGACTTTCGCCAGCTTCAATCTTCGCGTCGAAAGCCTCACGAAGCGTGTGCAAATAGTCACTAAATTCGGGATCCTCACTGACGCTTCCCTCGCGAACTTGTATAGCATCCCTGAAAGCCATATCGTAGACTCGCTCGAAAGGCACGGTGTAGGGGTCTTCCACGGTAAGACCATCTTCATCTTCGTCGTCGGACAATCCAATGGCTTTATTGGTCCGCCCCTTACGTCCATAATAACCCTCTCGGCTGCGCCTGGATGATGTTTCTGCAAGCTCGATCTCATCATCGGCTACAATGAAATCATCATCAATCCGATTAGAACTTTTTAAAGTTTTATCGACTTTGCTCCTTATCGTCGGTTCCTCTACGAGAACGCTCCGTGCATGATCATCTTCCCCCTTTCCCTCGTCATGCCTGCGATAATACAAGGCCTCGTGCACGCTCAAGTCGTTGCAAAGTACGGTAAGCTGAAAGAACCTGATACCTTGCTCTTGATATGTGTTTCCTGGACCGGCAGGTAAAGCTCCGTGAGCGAGAACGTAGTCGAGGGGCCGCAGGGTGAGCGTGAGAATGTTGCAAGCGTGTGAGCGATCATCTTGGGTAGCAGTGCTTAGGAGGGTTGGAGGCAGCTTTAGGATATACGGATCGGCAATCGAAGTGGGTAGCGATGGAGGATCGGACGGCATAGCGAACTGGAAAACAGATATTAAATCATTGAGCCGCGAGTATATGAGTATAGACGTGCCGTCTCCTATTTCAAACGTCAGCTCAATGATAGACGTAAATGAGAAACTATAAAGTCAATACCTTCTTCGACTTTCGAAAGATGCATTTGCAAACTTGTATCGTCTTGACTGCGATAATGTCTCCATGACATCAATATCTTAACCGCGCTACGACCTTGATCCTCATCAAAGGCATCTTCCGGACCAGAAACGTCTAGCCAATACAGATGAGTGGACGTTAGAACGAAGACATGGCTTCCATTTGCAGGACTTCGTTTCATGTCCAGAAACCAACTGGTCGAACGAATCATGCCGAGCTCTGGACAATTTAATCGAACTGGTTGCTCCGCGAGATTGAACACCGCAAAGTGTCTCCGAGTGCACATGGCTATAGTTTTGACGTTTGCTGCCCAGCATATTCTCGCCCAGCCATCAGTCTGCTTCATATTGGGGAGTAACTTCTTCTCGTCGAGACCTTCGAAAATGTTTCCCTTTTTCCCCGCATCGCCACGGAACGTCCTTCTCTTCCAAAACCTTCCTTCTGCGTTCCATATGCTCCAGTTCCCTTCCTGATCTATCACCGCAAATTGCCGCTGATACCATGGATTGAACGTTACATCTGCATGGGGAGCTCCGCCCGTCTCGCCGCATTGCAAGGTCAAAATAGGGTTTGGGTCAATCTGAGTACGACGGTGATTTGCCGAAGGAACCGAGGGATCAAAGGCAAACGACGCGCTGAATTTTCGACGAAAAGCCGGACGCAGAATTGCAGTATAAGTATTAAAGCGCACAGCTAGCCATCCCGCGCCTTCTCCGTCACTTTCAGCAAAGCATATCTGTCTGACAGGACCCGAATCGCCTTGCCATGGCGCTTTCTCGCCGTCCCCAAACGTTTGGACGCTTAATCTAGTTCCTTTGTATCCTTTCCAACCTAGTTGTTCTTTTCGAAGATGCACAAGTATCACAGTTTCGCCCAGCTCGCCTCCGGCCACTGCGGCAATGGATACTGTACTGGTGCCTGATTTCTGATTATCAACATCCTCTGCTGTCCCAATGGCAAGCAGCTCGGCCGAAGTAGGCTCGTAAGTATCGGTGACCGTGGAAGCGACCTCTGAAATCTTGGCAAGTGGCGCAAGGAGTTCGAGCCCAGGAACGATTTCCGGATGAATTTTGCTCAGATTGAGTGCTTCGCGCTTCTTCTTCGTCCGTTTTCCTTGCAAAGATTCATGCTCCGTCAGGAGCTGCGATGGTGGTATAGGAACTGTAGAAGTGCCAACTGGATGGAGAATATTTCCTATACAAAAGAGAAAAGAGGGTAAACTGTCAGTGCACATAATTGACAATAAATCTTTGATATGAGAAATGCCATACTCCGACCCAGCTGTCGAGAAAAGTGCCATGTCTGGGTATCTCGATCATAGATTGCTTCTCCAAGGTGCCCATAGAGCAGGTCATTAAGGCGATGGTCAGCCATTTGGTTTGCGCCGAATCCTTGGTGTGTGAACTGTTGCGGTTGTATCCTTCATGTCGATTGCGCAACTGCTGCGCACAGGGAAATCACAAGAATATTCCAGATCAGCTTATATATCACGATTTCTTGTTTGCGCATAGGAAATATGCATCTATCCGCTCCTTTTATCGCGCCATGATTGTGCTCAGAAGGCGGAGATAATAATTTACTAAGTGCCGGTGCCCAAGAGGACTTTTGGTCCGATGGAAGTTGGTTGTCCCTGGCAACCGGCTGGGTTGTCATCCCCCGCCAAAACCAACATTTCGCGAGCAACACCAAATCTCAATTTCATCACACGTTATTACCACTTTTGAGGTCAATAGTTACGCAGTTGCTACTCCTCACAAACCACTAGATCTGCCAGCCAGACTGATCGCAACAGATAATGGCAGCGATGGCATTCGAATCATCCCTTTCATCAAGCGTCAGGCGCGCGTCGACCGCCGTTGTGCCATCGACTATGGCCGAGACACTTCCCAGCATCAATTTTGGATTCGAAGATCTACGCGACCGCATGGCCAAATTTACTGCTCGATTCGATGATTTCATTGAAAAGGGACGGAAACGCGTTCTTGAAGAGAGAAATCAATTTCGCATGAGCGTTGCCGAACTACAAGGTATTGCCAACGCAGGGTGATTTGACGGCAAGAAAAACACATTTCTAATGAGAGACTGTGAACAGAGGACCAACGCATGCGCCGCCGCGATATGGAAATACTGTCTCTTAAAGCATCTGCTCATAATCAAACACTCCAAAAAGAATACCAGGAGACTTCAGAGATGCAGAGCGCCATCGCAGCAGTGACGGCGCAACGCGACGAACGCGCAGCTCACCGCGATAGACTGAAGCAACAAATTGCCGATACCCAAAAGGCTATTACACAGCGAGTCGACGCGCAAAAGGAGCATGCGCGACACCTGGACAACCAGTCGCGATTCAACGTGCCGGAACTCGACTTCTGGCAAGACTATCTCGGTCTAAGAATTGAAGGGGCGGGCGTGAGCGACCACATAAAATTTGTGTACACCCATATTGACGAAAAGGACTGGGAGAGAGAGGCGTGGTTTGAGCTTGTCATGGACAAGAGAGAATATGAAATTGGACATTGCAAGCCCAAGATTGACAAAGAAAGGGCGGACGCGATTGTGGAAAAGCTCAATGAGACGAGAGACTTGAGAATCTTGCTGAAGGGCATGAGGGTGGCGTTTATCGAGGCAATGAAATGAGATACCTATTCGATTCTGCAATGTCTATAGGTACTGTGAGGAGAATGGACCCACAACGCTTCATTCGATGTTATTGTTTTGGTTTGCGGTTATTTGGGTTTTGGGCAATATATGACTGAATATACAGTGTAATGATTTAATGATTCTTGACGTCTGATCTATTTCAGAAGCTCCTTTCGCATTCTATCTAGCGTCTCCTGACTTCCATCAAGCTCACTTAAGTTCACACACGGGTGAACACAGATGATAAGCCACGAGATCAAGTTTACAGCGCTTTCTGCGATGCACATAAGCAACTCCTAACGCCGAGGACCCATATAAATTTTCTCCCTCAATCCCTTTTCCCTCTAATTTTGACCTATGTGTCAAATTTCCGGCCCTCCTTCCTGTCGCTCGTACGGGACTCACATCCCCCCACGATGCAAATCACTTCCTAATCCCTCTTTTGTCCCCACAATGGCCTTATGATCTCCCGGATTTGCAGCCGCCTCATACAGGAACTCAATCGGTTCGCGGTTCAGATGCATGTACTCTCCCTTGAAGGCGATATAGTTAATTCTCGTGACTTCTTCATCCTCATCGTCCACATCATCTCCTGCGCCAACTGCTTGCGCGAAATTGTCCACAAAGAAGAGTGTCAGAGACTGTACGGAGTTGAATAGTGCCCGTTTTACTGGAATTTCCTGAATGTCTGATGACCGCACCAATTGCAGTGTTTGTGTAGGCGGCGCTTCAGATGCCGTGCCGAAATCGAGATCGTCTCGGTTTTGAAAGACCTTTAATGTGTGGGGCGCCGAGGGCGAATCGCTGGTTCGAAGGAGGATAGAGTGTAGGCGGACTTGACCGGTGAAGCTTTTCGAAAAAGTTAGCTATAATTGAATGGTTCAAGGATAAAAGTAAGGGCAAAAACACGCACGGAACAAACATGAGCAATTGCTCATCCACATCACTTTGAAGCTCGGGCTCAACAGCGAATCTGTCTCCCCATGTCTTCTGCACAACTGCCGCGCCAGATCCCGGGGCCGCCTCGTTTAAAGTTGTGATCTTGCCAAAGTCAATCTGCTTGTATAAGAGAGATTGCAAGGCGGGCTGGATGTCGTCGGAGTGGTCGTGCACATGGCCGTGGCCGGCGTGTTCGTCGTGACAATGGTGTGACATATTCTTACTCCTGTCGCTTCTGAGCTTGGTTAGACTCCAGTCAATTATACTTTTGATATCGTTGACAGAGAAGCCTGTTATGTGCGGCTTGAAATATTCTTGTTTATGATGGTATTTATGAGTTCGGAGGGGCAGAACTTAGGTCGCTAGAATTGACGTCCGAGGTCCCTCAGGGTCCTCGCCAGTGACGTCTCAACGGTTCCTCCATGCTACAGCTATATTCTCAGCCCTAGAGCCGGAGAATTGTTTACAAGGGTCTAACATGTTGCAGCCGCCAAAGCTGTGCATATCTTTCGGTGTAACGCCTCCATTTTATAAGTTCAAACCGAGAAAAGAAGATTTTATAATTTTTTACTTGTTCTGACTATTTGCAACATTCTAAGTCTCTCTTCACGCTTAGGAAATGAGACTAGGAACTGGGAGAGCGCGCTTCTGCGTTAAGTTCACTATCCATCATTCTCATGCGAACGTGTTATATGTCTATATATTACTCTCCTCGAAAGGAGGCCGCCAGTTGTCATCGGCGTATTTGATAAAACTCAGGCGCAGCCTCTACTAGCCAGCTCTTTTCAATCTTCGTAACGTCCCTGATATATGTCTTATTACTCGTCTCCATGATCTCATGAAAAATGACCCAATCTGCTTTGCGATTCTGTAAGGCTATGATTAGCACCTATGGATCACCAGAGAACGTTTTAATCCCAGAAGGTCAGGGCCGCAGGTAAAAAGTACTTACAAACATCAACGATGTCGGATGAGCATGCAACATCGTACCACCGCTGACTGTCCTGAATGTCCCATCGGGCTGCATGCGAGCCGCATGTGCAAAGTATCCTGTCGTCAGACATTTTCTTATTTTTGTTCCCTTGTCTTCTCCTCCGACGGATAAAACGCCGCCAGAAGATAAGCTTTCATCGACGTTGATTCCAAAGCGCTCCAGATAACGCTTCAATTGCGCACGGATACTGACGGCTCGAGTCATCGATTTATAATTGAGATAGTTATCACGACACCATTTCGCGTCCTTTTTGCCTTTGGTGACAAACGTCTGGTAAACATTGAGTAGCGTCAAGTGATCACCTTCTTCCACGGCAAATTTACGTCGCGCCGTCTCTGTGGCTTTTTTGGAGCCCTCATGATGAAACCACACTGCTCCTTGGAGGCTAGTCATTGCTGCAATGGAGAGTATCTCGCTGAGACACCCAAATGAGGGTGCAGAGAGCAGTACTTTCGCCATCATTGGTTCAACAGAAAGCTCGGCCATGCGGGTACCAAGCGTCTTCGTTAATTTTGCGTAGTCATCGAGCGCGCCGAGAGAGTAAAGGAGTTCAAGGGCTCGAATGACGAGTTCGGCCGGTGGAGACGTGAGAAAATCGAAGCGCACAATATTGTCGATGCCTAATGCCTTGAGTTGGAGGACAACGGGGGCAAGATTCGATCGCTGAATCTCTGGAACGCTAGCCTCTGGTAGTGCGTTGAACGCGGACTCGGTGTAAAGTCGGAAACATTTCCCTGGCTTGGTCCGGCCTGCCCGGCCAGCACGTTGGGTTGCGGATGCTTTTGACAAGGGCGTAGCGGTCAAAGTTTCAATTCCAGTTGTAGGGTTGAAGGCTCGGAGTTTGACGAAGCCACAGTCAATCACGTAGACGATTCCGTCAATGGTAACGGAAGCTTCCGCGATATTGGTGGAGACAATAACTTTGCGGGTTTTTTCTGGCGCAGGCTCAAACACGTAGAGCTGTTGTTCTGTCGAAAGGCCGGCGTAGAGTGGTAGAGGTTGGAGAGACGATCCACGAGGATGGACTGAGCCCATGCGTTCTGCAATCATTTCAATAGCGGTATCGATTTCTTCCCGGCCAGTCAAGAACAATAGAATGTCTCCTTCAGCTTCCTTGGTATGTATATCAAAGACGGTGTTGACGGCTCGTTGCACATAATCTTCTGCTGGCTCTTCCAGATACAAGATGTCAACTGGGTACATTCGTCCTTCGAGACTAATGATTCTCCCAACATCGCCGCCAAGTTCTTCAGGATCAGCCCCTTCGGCAGCGCTGTCTCCAACGAAGAAGCGTAAAAAGTCTTCTGCTTGCAGAGTCGCGCTGCTAACAACTATTCTGAGATCTGGTCGTTTCCTTCGAATCTTTTTCAAAATTCCAAGAAGGACATCTGTGCTAAGGGACCGTTCGTGCGCTTCGTCCACCATGATGACCGAGTATCGCGATAGTAATGGATCCACGAGGGCTTCGCGCAGGAGCAGACCGTCAGTGAGGAATTTTATTCGCGTTTTCGAGGAAGTAACATCTTCAAATCTTATGCTATATCCGACCTATGGAACGGTCAGCACAATTCTAGCTCAAATTTCAGAGACGTTTCCCTTATTGAGATAGTTATACCTCTTGGCCGAGTTGGCACCTCATTTCATCCGCCACTCTTGCAGCAACTGTCGTGGCAGCCACTCTGCGCGGCTATTTCCATATATCATGTCAGCTCTGGCCTTATCCACATGCACAATGCGACTCGACTCACCTACCTGCGTCACAGCTATAGCCTTGCCATCGGCGCACCATCCTGCTTGCTCGAGAAACTGGGGTATCTGTGTCGTTTTACCGCTTCCAGTCTGGCCGACGACAATGGTTACAGGATATGTTTCAATCAAATATAGCAAACTCCTCCTATGGCGCGCGATTGGAAGAAGAGATGCCGGTTTGTGGAGAGAAGGTATATAACTGCCGGAGAAGTCAAAGTCGGCCATGGCGGATGACTTCCACGCTCAATTTGTATAATTCCTGCCCTGGACCTCTTTTTGTTCAAACCCCTTTTTATCCCCCCATGATGCTTCCCCTAAAGAGCTTGATCAAAGTGTGCTCATATACGTCGTGAAGTAATTTTGGTGTTGAGGGTTTGTAGATATGCGGAATTGTTTCCCTTCTGACGTCGCGAGAGCCCTGACCACGGGAATTTCCGCACGAAAAGTCGCTGTCACTCTCCAACAAACAAAGTCTTTCTCAATTCGGTCCTTTATGATAAAACGCTTGTGAAATATAAAGATCTAGAAAGGATATCAGGATGGTATACTATTTCTCTAGCAACACTGTCTCCCCGGCCGCGTTTATCTACGTTGGCAAAGACAAGGTCGAAAGTAAAACCTCCGACCCCTCCCCCGCCTCCGAAGCTTCTCCGCGAAAACAGAAAGCTAACTGACACTCGGCGCGTGCAGATGAGGATCTGATTAAATTTGGCTGGGAAGAGGACGTATGGTACTGTTACTCCAAATCTTATTGATAACATCTTGTAGACATTTATACTAATAACTCCATGAAGGGTACGTTTGGCACCTACAAATGCTCCTCGCGACGCACGTATATATTCAGGTCATATATACACGACGAGAATACTATGGCCTGTATCTTGTTACGATTATATACCAACATAAAGCTATAGTTTCATGTTGATAATCTTTCGAGCGCTCACATCTATCTCCGGATGCGCGATGGCGAGGAATGGGACAAGCTGCCGGAAAAGCTGGTGCAAGATTGCGCACAGCTGACCAAAGCCAATTCTATTGAGGGTATGTCTATGCTTTTGTTTGCGTCTCTACCATTTAGCATCTGCATGTCTCTGTCAATATGGGGTCCTTATTTTCCGGATTCCCCAAACCATACTCAACCTTATGACCGGTCAAGCACTGATGCTAACACAATTACTCCAGGAAACAAGAAAGAAAATGTCTCAGTGATTTACACGCCGTGGTCTAATCTGAAAAAGGACGGCAGCATGGCAGTTGGACAAGTTGGATTCAAGGATCAGAAAAAGGTGCGTTTCGCTTCATACACTTTTTACGCCCAATGATCTTGTTGTTCCATCAGCCACACGTCGACCTGTCCCAGAGGCAAGGTAGTAATGTTAACATAACTCAAATTAAGGTCAAGCGTGTTCTCGTGCCGACCCGCGAAAATCCTATTGTCAACCGCCTGAATAAGACAAAAGTCGAAAAATTCCCAGACTTGCGCGAAGAAAAGGAGGCTCGGCTCAAGGCATTGCGGTGGAAAGATCGTGCCGCGCAGCAGGAAAGGGTACGTCTGGCTCCTATATTTGCATTCCAATTTTTGCCCACAGCTGTACGATCCTTTGTAGTTTGGTTTCTTGAATCGCATAATCCCTGTTTGCTGAAAGGCATAAGAAATGGAAGTGGGAAAAAAAGCTAACATGAATATACAGAAAAAAGAAGAACTACGCGTGGCCAAAGAGCGACAAGAACTTGCGTGGCGTCGAGACCATGCCTACGACGACTTGTTCACAGAAGACAACATGGAAGAAACGAGTAATCAGAATCGGGATGCGGACTTTTTAGACGATTTCATGTGATACCAGACTAGGTGAAAACAAAAAACAATCTGCGCAATTCACGATATCTCTATACAGAACTCATACCCGCGCCGATCACGTACGTCAATAATATTTTCCTAGAATTTGGCATGTTATATATAAATCAGTACAACTTGATATGTATATCTTCCAAAAAAACAAAAGTATTGATACATTGAAGTGCAAGCCCAAGCCCTAACCCAAACCAGATGTGTTTTGATGAGCAGCTCACAAAATTTGCGGTGGGAGAAAAATATAATATCGATGGCAAACACAAACGATTTTCTTTGCCGATAATTGTAGCTCTCGTGTTTGAGCATAGATCTTTCTGGATATTTTGCAAATAAAGTAAAAATTGAAAAGTCATGAGTTCCAGTGTAGCTCTTTCTCTCTGCCCAACGCCGTTTAGAGTAACGAACCGTGAACCAGTAGCCAGTAAGGCGAATCCATATTTAAATAGCAAATAAAGAAAAGATCCGGCGACGAGAAAATAAAAGGCAACCAAGGTGATACTGTCAAAGCTGAAATATGGGACTCAGTCTCATTGCTTCGATTCGCCTTGTTGCCGTCCTCTGGGTGTATCAAAAATTGGTCCGAAAATTTTGGTTTGATGAATAATAACAGGAAAGAATAGATTGGTGCGGGATGGGAGTGGACCGCCGTCGGCCGTATTCAATAGTCTTCGACCTTGTTGATTTGTTTCTTAACGGCTTCAAAGGACGAGAAGAAGATGGCATTGACAAGTGCTGAGCGGGTCATTGATACTCCGAGGCCTGGATGGCCGAAGACGCAGGTTAGTACGGTTTCACCGCCCAATGCAGGTTTCTAGCGGAAGAGGAGGATGCAGGGCGTACCTCGGTACATGCGTCGGTTAAAGAATTCAATCTTTGGTGATTTAACAAGCTTCCCCTTGCTATGCATCAAACAATTTCGTTGGTATATGCTTTTCGCCGAGTCAATCGGATATATCTAGACATGGCTGAGGTCAGCACTGAGAGAATAGAATCTTTGCCGTCGCAAGTACATACACAAGCCCAACTGACGAGGCCACAAAGACCGCCTGCTACGACCACGGCCAGCGGGGATGTCGGCGAGCTGTCGCTAAAGGTGGCAAGCACCTGTTTTGAGCTCTCATATGTCATAAAGTAGATTCCCGTCCCAATTGTGTCTCGCACTGTGCCGCAGAAAGTCAGTGAAACGTTCCGAATAAAAAGGGAGCGTGGCCATAATTTAGAAGCTTACTCAAATGCAAATGAAAACCCGAATACAATCCAGTAACGCCTCTATGCTTGATGATATTTTGTGCAGTCCTTAATGTCCCCTTTTGCTGGTAACTTTCCCGAATCGGGTCGTCGATGCTCGTCACTTTAGTCCGGGCCATGAGCACGGAAATTTGAGCACTCAGCTTGGTCAGCTCAAAGGGGCACGCAATTGCTGTAATGACAGCACCGCTCGTCGCTCCAGCTGCTCCGAAACATGCAATTGTCGACAGACTAGGGTAGCTGCCTTGCATATTAGCAATGACGAGCGGCGCTGTCCCCGTGAGTTGCTCCAGCCATCCCGAGTATGTGTATTTTGCCTTTTGGTAGATGGAGAAAGATACGGTTCGCACCACGGTTATACTCGCAAGGGGTGCCAGAACGCCTATCGCTGTATTAGCGTTTTCCTCGAACTGCCCAGTACTGTTTTTGATTTGCAGAGTACTGACCACGCCAAAATCCTCTCAAGCCCTCGGTCCGATAGGTATGATTCAGGCAGTCAGATAAGCTATCAAACTTATAGCTACATCATCATCGTTAGCACCATCAAAAATACTCAAAGTAAACTTCAAAGAGCTAGATGATGCTTACGCTTGCATTCGCGTTTTAACAGAATCAAGCGGATACTAAAGTAATTAGAAGAGTCAGCTCCATGAAGCTTTATTTTATGCGTTTATCTCATCGCCCATGTCCTCATTCTCCATCTTTTTTTACTCTTGAAAAAGATAGCATGAGAGACAAATGAAATGGAAACATACGGCCGAAAAGGTGGACAAAATGCTGCTTGTGCTTGCCGCAATCTCGGTACGGTAATGTTTCACCCATCTCTTTGGTCGCTCGGTCGGAGGTGGCGGGGCATATGGCACATGAAGCGTGCGAGGGTCATGCGTAGAAGGAGACTCGGGCATATTGATATCTGACGGGCCGAGACGATGGCGCTCCATGAAGACCGGAGGTCCTCAAGGCAGTCGCGATAAGGCCTGCACAGAGTGATGGTCCATGAAGAGCTCCCGCCGCAGCGAAAGAAGGTGGGCTGGAGGAGCAAGAGGGGTCGTTATGAGCGGAAATGCCAGGCGCCAGAGCAATAAGTACTCTAAAGAACACAATTGATGCGATCGTCAGGTCGTCGCGTGCGCTGAAGGGGCCACAGGGTCCGAGTTCTTATTGTCCTCTCCGCAAATCCTTTTCGATTTTGCGGGGTTCGGCACAAAAATGGTCGAATCAGCAGGGATTGAATTGCCGGGGTTGGTGGGGGTTGAGCCGTGAGAGATAGAGAAAATGTAGAGAGGGAGAAAGGAGGAGCAAATGGTGGGTATATGAGCAGGACGTATAAGAACGTTGCCAGGGGGGTTCAATATGATATACGGTGGTTTTCTGTGGGAAAAGGTGCAGTGGTAGCAATTGTCGTGGGAAATGTTTCCCCCAGACGCGGAAAACAGTGAGTGGGGTGTGAGAGTGAACGGTGGAGTGGCCGGAAATGGCTCCTCAGTGTCGCGATGAATCCCCGTCTTTATCGCCTCACCAGTCCTATTGCAGACAAGATGAGCGTGACGAGATATTGGGCTTTCCTCTTCCTTTTCTCGACGATTTTGGCAAAGGAAGAAACAGATTTATAGCACTGAGACCCTCTAGTTGAAAACGCTTAAGGGGGGTTTAGTAACTACAGCACATATTGGGAAAGTTACGCATCTTGAGGGACAAATATGCCGCATTACACATGGCCGATAAGCAACAGATGATATGATTATTTTATAATGGTAGTGACGGGGCCAGCTTTCTGCACTTGTGTTCTAATGTCCGTGTCACTCATAGAACGTTTTGGCTTTTTTATTGCACAGTTAAGGTTTGCAGAAACCGCTGCGGGGAAGCTGTCAAGCCTCTGACGCCGTGATTGCATTCCTTGTGTTTCCTTTCGACCCTCGGCAGTGTGCTGCTTGTGATACTGCAAGTGATGAACCGGGGGACTCCTTTAAATCCTCCGATTGCTGCTTCTCTGGTCTGACTGACCAGGTTCTATCTTACTGCGCATTGCGAATTGCGAAGTTTCTTCTATTCGCTCTGATATTCTTCGCCCTCAGGACCATTCGAGCTGGGAGCTGAAACGAACTCACCTCTGCTCATCACGTGATCCAACATAAGGCATGCCGTCATCGTCGGTCCTTGCTTCATCCGGTACCTTTTTATCAGCGAGCTTTGCCTAAAGCCAGCAAAAGGTGAATTGCTACCTTTCCTTTCCTTTTTTTTTCAAATTTTGTTGTGTTTTCTCTGTTAATGATTACAGCAACAGGAAGCAATATTCTCTGCAACTACATAGTACTACAAATATCATCTTCCAATGTATGTACCTGGACCTCCTGGACCCGATTGAGTCGCACTGCAGCAACTTAACTTACTCACCTTATTTGCGGCAGATTCGGCAATTACATAATCCATTCTTCAGGCTATTTCTCGGTTATATTGCCTCAAACGGTCATTGTTCCTGAGGCTGAACCTCGGCAACGGCGGAACCTTCCGTGTGGCATCGTCGGTCCCTTAAGTTCCCGCAGTGTCCTCGTTGCTTCCCCGACATCCAATCCGGCATAGGCGGTGAGGAGTTGACCGTCTCTTCCTCCCTTGTGGCATTGTTACCTACCTGAGATATGAGAAGTCCAGCCCGCAGGCAGGCGAGGATTTTCTTTTGCTGCGAAACAAGGCGCCGACCGTAATTATCTTTCACCGAATATAAAAAGCAAAAAGCAAAAAGCAGGAGAGATTGAGAGAGGGCAGCTTCACGACACAATTGCCGATTGAAAGTCACTCCACGGTCCTCTCTCTCCATTCTGCCCCACAAGGCTCTTTCCACAAATGAGCCACTTCATAGCTTCCTACCTAGTAGATCCCGTCGTTCGCCAAGCCCGCCGCTTCTCACGCTCCGGTTCTGGTGCCAGCTCCGACAGCGCATCGTCTAGTTCGCCCCGCGCTGCTGTTGCTCTTCTTCCGTCTTCTTCACCATCTCCATCACATGATCCTGTGCGGATAGGAAGGCGTCGTTCCCGTGCGCCGCACGACCTAAATGTGCAGATAACGCCAAACGGGATGACAGACACACCTGCCCCTTCTTCCAGCATCATGGGAGATGCGCCATTGGCTTCGTCACCAGCAGCTAGACAGGCGGATCCAACATATGGAGAGGCCTCTAGACGCGATGATATTCCCGAGGGTCTCCAATCGGCTGCGACATCATCACCTTCCAACATTTCTCTCGCTGGCGAGGGCAGTGCTCCCGGCAGGTCGACCCCCGCATACGATGCCGAAGATGCGGCTCGATCAGCATCAAGCGGTGCCACAGGGATCAGCGCTTTACCGGCGGACGACGGAATGAGTGTATTGAGAACCCGCATCGTGGAAATTCGAGAAATGGAAATCCCAGAAACGGCAAAGGCGCAATTGATGCACACCCTAATGACGGAGAATTACACCGCGAGAATGACCCAGCAGAATCTGTTGCAGCCTGGATCGCCCATCAGTCCGCTTAGCCAAGATCGACCTTTTACCCCAAGCTCGACAAATTCCGGTAGTCGATATATCCATGATGCTTGGACTCCGCGTTCAAGCGTCTCCATTCCAGATCCTGATAACCCGTATGGCCTAACGCCTGACGATCTGCAACCGACCTTTGTCCCCCGCATAATCCCTGCGCTGCAAGCTGTGAGCGAAACAGAAGGAGCTTCTGTGGCTGAAGAGGAAGTTGATGAGCCCCGGCTAGGGTGTCAACACTACAAGAGGAATGTCAAACTGCAATGTGCCGACTGCGCGCGCTGGTATACTTGCCGATTTTGTCACGATGAAAGGGAAGATCATGCTCTAAACCGACGAAAAACGAAAAACATGCTTTGTATGGTCTGCAGTTTCCCGCAACCAGCGGGCGCACAGTGTCAGCAGTGCAACACGACCGCTGCGTACTATTACTGTGAGATTTGCAAGCTCTGGGATGACGATAACGAAAAGAGTATATACCATTGTGACGATTGTGGCATTTGCCGCGTCGGTCAAGGTCTTGGAAAAGACTTTTATCATTGCAAGGTAAGCAGATTCTCCCGTACCGTTGAACGAAGTAGTAATCTTTTCTTTGAACCAGACCTGCGGTGTTTGCATGTCCATTGCTATTGCGGACTCGCATCGTTGCATTGAAAGATCAACCGATTGCAACTGTCCCATCTGCGGCGAGTACATGTTTACCTCCCCACACACGGTGGTGTTTATGAAATGCGGGCACAGCATTCATCACAAATGCTTCTACGAGCATATGAAGACATCTTACCGATGTCCCATCTGCAACCGAAGTGTAGTAAACATGGAGATTCAATTCCGCAATTTAGATCGTGCTATTGAGGAGCAGCCGATGCCTCCACAATTTCGAGACACCCAGGCAGTTGTTTCGTGTAATGACTGTTCTGCCAAGACAATAGTTCCCTATCACTGGTTGGGTCTGAAGTGTGGCGTGTATGTCCAATCCCTTGGCGTATTTTTTTTTTGGCGACATTTGTCTTCTTGTGGGCTTTAGTCTCATTCACTGATTCTTACCTTGCAGATGCGACTCGTATAATACTGCGCAGATTCAAATCCTTAGTGGTGAAGAAACTGCTCCAGCCACTGATCAAATGGCAGCAGCACTGGCTCCTCCCGAACGACGACAAAATGAAGGATCTATTCCATCAACTCGACCAACATCTCGTGGACGAGCAGCACGCCGGAACGGCGGACCATCTGCTCTGCTTGATATTCCGGATCCGCCTGCGAACCACCACACTCTGCGCCGGCAGGTTTCGTCTGCTTCCGCTACCGACGCAGTTCGATTTTCTCCATACCATGTACCCCAGCGCGCCGGTCGCTCCGTCTCGCCAATGCGTAACTTTTCAGACCTCTCGAATATCGCGCTCGAAAATAACCGTCACGCGGACGGTGACAGTCTGGCGTCAGATGAAGATTCGGTAGACTTTTGGGGCGCGGATGGCCCGAGCGATCGGTTCATGTTTAACTTTGATACGTATGCCGAAGACAGCAGCGAAGATGAAGAAAGCGAAGATGGCACAAGCGAAGCACCCAATCCAGAAGACGAAGATGATGATGATGATGATGACGTTGATCACATGGCACTTATTGGACATCGATGACGGTACAAGAAAAGTTGTACCCTCTACTCCTATGATTTATACACTCTCAGTCGGTCTGCCATTTGACAAGCGTCAGAAGAGATTTTTGTCCTCTGCTTGTCCTTTTCTCTTGTTGCGCCTGCTTTAGTGCGAGCATCTTGTCACTCACACTTTGCATCTGGCGTTCTTTGGCACATTTTGGTCCTCTTTGATTCGGCGTGGTTGGTCCTCCACCGTTTTCACCCAATAAGAAAGTGAGTTTATATTTTGATACCACAAATCCAGTTTACTAGCGCCCGCTTTGTATTCGCTGCACATATGCCGATCCATTTCTATTTTTTCGGGCATTTTCATCGGTTCTTTTTTATCTTTTCGTCTTTTTCTCTTACCCAAATATTTTTTGACATGGACTGGAAAGGAGCACCAGGGGGAACTTCAACGCAGAGGATACAGCAAGGTTAGATTATAAGTGGATAAGGTGTTTAGGTGTGACAATCGTTGGGACAGTATGTATATTTTATACGTGTGTAAGGATAGTATCGGAATGAATAGGCACCACGCCTGATTAGAATGCAATAATACTACTTGATCATCGAGAGTACCAGTTCCAAAAAAAAACTGGTGAAGTGTTGTCCGCCTTGGCCATAAAACGGCTTTTGAAACTTTAGCACGGCAAGCAATGGGTCGGACAATAGATCGATTAGTTTTGTACGAGTAATGTTGTTTTAAAAAGCGCGGCACACGATATGCTGGAGCCATACTCCGTATGTTCTGTCCCCCTTTGCGATATTTGACTCTGCGCTTAACTAGCCTTATCGCTGGAGTTGCCTGACTTTCAGTTGGGAACACCAGACTTAGGGGCAGTGCATAGTTATCCCACTAACCCAACTTAGCGCCCAGACCACCACCCCCAGGGGTCTAAACAAGAGTAAGTGAACGCGCCGGGTAACGATTCAACTACACTTTCCTCCCAAGCGCGCCGGTCAGCCCGCGACAAGAAACGTTCTCAAATTGCCCAGATTTTTTCCATTGACGCGTCTGCGCAAAAGAATCGCTATTCTCAATTTTAAAACTCTCTCAGACATTTCTCTTAACTTCTCGAAAGATCTGGCATCGGACACATTCATAGTTACCAGCGTAAAAAGACTTTAGGAATCAGTGTCAAATTGCAAGGGTCAAAAATTCAAGCACAGCGTGGTCACGGGAACACGGGATCACGGCCAGAGGTTCAAGGACCTTGAGGGTATCAGCGCGGAAAGAGCCAAGGAACGCAAGAAAGAAAATTCCTACAAAGTACAATTGAGGAAAGAAAAATAAATATCTACAGACCATGGCACCACCAGCGCAGCCGCAGCCGTCGTCACAGCCAGCAGATTCAAAACGAGCTGCGGCGCGAGAAGTCATTGATATCTTACAGGAGATTTCGACATTACTGGTACGTTTGGACATATCCCTTCTATAATGTATAGACTCCCTACTCTGCTTTTTTACTGCTCCATTTGTTCCTTCGGTTTTCTACACTGGATTGGCCTGCGTTGGATCTCTGAATGAATTCGTTATATTGGCATTTCTTATCTCATCTACAGCCTGACTGATAATACTGCACCCAGGACACCAAACTCGACCGCACGACCCTCTCGCTCTGTGTATCGCTCATTGAGAATGGCGTCAACCCAGAAGCTCTTGCGGTATGTTGAACTTTATCCTTTGAATCATGCATGGTCCCTTTCGTTTCGTGTCTTGGTCTCGTGATGTCTGCGCGACTACTACCCTTGTGTTTTTTTATTCTGTTCTGCGTCTTCAAATGCCGTTCACTAATATTATGAAATGGATAGAACGTTGTCAAAGAGTTGCGCCGCGAAGGCGATGCCCTGCGTCATCAGCGAGACCATGATCTCGTGTACGAGGAAGACGCTCGGCGGGGAGATTATTCTGACTGAGGAGTATCCTAGGTCACGGGATCAGGCCTGACGCGTGTTTTTAGTGGGTTTTAGGTGTATGGCGCAGAGCGGTACAATAGCATACATGTGGTCTTTCATTGTCATTTTTCCTTTTTCCCCCTTGCTGGATTTTCTTACATAGACATTAGCGAGTTTTCAAGATGATCATATTCTTTCACAGAGTCTCAGCATTCGAATAATATGACAAAATAATTAATTGAAGCCATACACAGGCGATGACCGTAGTCACTTCACCCGAGCATTACAATCGACTTGCAAGGACGATTATTAATACCTCTTAGGTCACTATTGACATATGGTAGTGAAGCTGTGCTGGGAATCCCTGGTATACAATACATCTGTACAGGAAATATTGGCCTTCACCGCGAGATGTTGCCGACTCCGCCGCATTCGCCACGGCCTACGCATATATAAGTAAACGTTCACCCAGCACTTTCCCTCCCGCTCAAGGCCTCACAGAGCCACAGCTCATCTCCTAGTGTTGCAGCTCTTTGTCATTGATAGGTTTATATTAGAATGACAGCTGGGAAAAAAAGTTCTAATCCATTGTACGTTTGTACTTCTATTGATAATAATGGCCTACTCTATGTCAAAGCAGAAGTATTAGAACGGTGTTACTCTTTCATTATTGCCTGAATAAAACCATAAAGAGGAGAGGACGAGGCGCATCAAACACTATAGGTACATACATTCAACAAGGGCAGCAGAGAAAACCATTGATGGACAAAACCCATTTGACGCCATTCAACGGCTCATTCATGGACTCCCGGGTTATTTTATCTTTCGTGGTCAATCCCGTCTTTCGTTTTCAACCTTGATTTTCTCCGTACCCACTTGACAGGTAACCACCTTAACATTTTTATTATGTATCTTCTTCCGTCCTGAGGATGGGTGACAAACTTCGTGGGGCCGCTCATAGATACTGAAAAATGTGTTTTAGCATGCCCAAGCAGTTCAGCCGGACTTGCAACATGACATTAGGTGGCAAAAAAGACCAACTAGATACTACTATGGCATTGCAATACCCTCGTAACATATTGTCAATCTGTACAACGTACATCTAAAGGCAAAGTTTTGTATAGTCAAATATTGGTTGCCCCTCTTCATGGCTTTAGAGGGCTGCAATCTGGGATGAAATGTTCACAATAACCTCATAATACAAGGGTTGACAGAAACCACGTATCAATAATCAAGACAGAAAGCACCTGGCATAAATGACAGCTGAATAACTATCTTTAGCTTATTAATCATTCCATTGAGATTAGCAGTTCTTGCCAGCATCTTATAGTCAAACATAAATTATATCAATAGGGTAGCTCAATCCCCTTACAGACCGTAGTTCTTCTAGAAAGCACACCATTGCCAACCAGCTATTATAAATTAGGGATGGGTGAAGTACCATGCTGTTTTAAGCTTCAATGGTAATGGAAGTGCCAGTTTTGCTTGAAATCGGTCCAATCACACCACTGCTGGGACCTTTGCCATCCTTCTTAGCATCTCGTTTCTTCTTCTCCATGCAATTCGGGCAATCAAAAAGTCGATTGTGGCATGATCCCTTCGAAGTCTGTTCAGGAGTTTTGCATGGAAAGCCTCGTCGATCTGCAGCATCACACATGTACACTCGAGGCTGTTGAGGAATCAACTTTGTGTGGCGACATTTGTATGTCACTGGCGCTGGGCTTTCCACTCTACACATTTTTTTTTGTTCGGTGAAGGCAACCTGAAATTTGCATCGGGGATAAGTTGGAAATTCAAAGTTCAACAAATAAATTGTACTCACTTCAGCAGTATGCAACAGAAGCAACAAAAGAATCGAGATGTTCAATTAGGAGTTTGTTAAGAACATGCGGAAAAGTTGGCGGGAGCAGCTCTCCTCTTAAATAGATGTTTTTACTTGAACTCCCTACATGTTCTCGCTCTCTATGCCAAGTAGACACATCTCGCTCGTTGATCCAACCCAACCACTTGGCGTTGCTTCTGGCCGACCAACGGCCTCTCTTGGTTTCCTATCAGTTGCTTATTTGGTTTGATGAAGAGTTATTCCCATACAGCTAATCCCAAGGTTATGAAGTTTGGCCTCCAGCGCCAAACGCTTTGGCTGGATGGAGCCGCTGGCACCTTAGACGCTCCTAAATGGGTTTAGACACGATATTGAGTTTTGGGTCGAACCCCGGCAACCTCAAGCAGAGTATTGCTACCTACCTACCAGGAGCTATGTCACTGACTAGTAAATCAATCGGAATTGATATCAATTGTGGCTTTCTAAATGGCAACAGAAGTAGCAATCACACGCATAAAGAAGGACATCACGCATCTCCCTGATATTCAAAGTGAGCAGCAAAGGTCGATCAGAAAATAATATACCGCGACGATGCCATGACTTTGGCCCTCGGATGGTGAACCAGTGGTCGAAGGCACGGGCCGGGCCGCTGGGTGCAATACCATTGGCTGTCACCTTTCCCACGACGAAATCATTGTTTAGAGTCAAACCTCCAGATATACTAAAATCACGTTCATTTCTACCATCGATCATTTGACATACCTTTGCTTGGTTGGGCTTTCCTTTGATTGGCGTGCCGCACAGCATGGTTTCGGGGTGCCTTGAGGGTCTGGAACTGTCCGCTAACCGTGCGGCATGCCTATCCTGTTTGATCTGCAGTATATAGATTGCTTTCTCATGCCGCGCCATGCATTCGTCCTCCTCCATGTTGGTTGACCTGTTTCCACTCCTCCCAAGCCCGCCTTCCCAGGACCTTCATTGTACATATGGACTAGTTATATTCCGCGTGTATTTAATATCTGAAGCCACTAATCCAATCGAGCAGTCATAAAAAGTATCTCTCCAGCATGTCCACGACTGAAACGGCTGGTTGGCAAACTCTCTCTCTCTCTCCCCCCCCCCCCCCCCCCCCCCCCCCCCCCCCCTCCTTCCCGGGGGCGTTCAGCTATCTTGGCAAGGGATAGACGATTTTCAGCCCGTGAACACCATCCAATAAATTGGAAGATCCTGTGGATGCACGTCTATCTTTTGAGGTATTGTGGCCAGCCTGATAGGTGACGCTAATACAACAGTATGAACCGAGATTTTGAAGCAGGGGTTTTGAGGCCAGACTATATCTACAGTCTTATATGTTGATCGCCCATTGATGCCTGTTTAATCTCCAAAGAGTAAGGTATATAAACCCAACCCCATTCCCCCGAAAACAAGAAAAGTATATATACATTAACGAAATTCCCCAACAAGATCCTTGGCGGGCCATTCGTACACAACTTTTTCAAGTATTTGCAACCACCCAGTCAGTCTCCACAACCTTCCAAACATTGCAACTCGCCTTTCGCTATCGAAGATTTATCTTACTATCAACGCTTCAAAATGCCTGGCCTCCTTCTTCCCGAGATTGATCCCCTGATAGAGCTTGACGTAATCCAACCAAATACACTTCACTGTTTTGCATGGGACGCGCTTAAGCGCGACCGTTGCAAGGGGCTGTATCTTGCCATCCCAAAGCTCCACGAGGAGCTCCTGCTTGTCATCTCTTGCGAAGCCATTGCCTATGCAAGCATAGCCATTCGTTTGAGCGATGCGCGAACCGTGGTGGAATACTGTGACACTGTCGATTATTACTGGAAGTCAAAAAATTCTCATTTTCAGAGCGAATGTGGTAAAGCCATGCCGATGAAGGCATTCTTGATTTCACTTTCAAATCACCAAGTAGCACAAACACAGTACTTAGAGAATGATGTGCGGGTCTCGAAAATTAAAATGACCAAAATGTCTTACGCAACGTCAAACGAAATCGGACTCGAGATACGGACAAATCTGGCGCATCTTCCACGGAACCAGTTGGAGTACGACCTTTTAGTGGATGCACGAGATGCAAACATTGAATCTAGACCAGACGTTCGTCTTGACCCTGAGCTATTGCAAGAGTAAATTGACGATGAGGTGGAGGCCTATCAAACTTAGATTTAATTCAAAGATTGACGCATCAAATTTGTTTATGATCTATTGGTTGGAGTTCTGGATCGAAAACGTTATGTTTATGTGGCCTCATATTTTCAATTCATGTCCCTACTTTGAACGAGCTCCCACAGCGCCCAGGTCTCCCCTGCTGCGGTTTTCTGCCTCTACAACAACAACGAGCTAGCCACCGCTGAACGTTCGACTGAAGGTTCCCGCCAACGCTCTCTCTAATTTTCCGCAACACTAATGGAAGTGAGGAAATCCCCTCTCTCATTGTTGGTTTCTTTCCATGAATGACTTTCCGAATATTGGGGTTGAGATACGATGCTTCGTTCCTGCAAAAGCATCTGGTATAGTGCGTTGGTCAAATGGCAAGCATCATGTCCTTCGAATCGGGTAATTAGAGTGCTATGACAACCAGCCTCGTTGATACTGCAAACGACATCTCGAAGCTTATCGACTCGATTGCCAATTTGCCAAATTTTCTGCTGGTTCCTTCGCTTTATTTTGACCGAGAAGGCATGAACCTCTCAAGGCATGGCAGTATATCTCTACTACAGCTTTGCGTCGTGCCAAGGGATCGAGTGTACCTTATTGACATACATACACTCCATATCCTGCGTGCAAGTCCATTGTTTCAGCTTTTACAGTTACAGCCGCCCGAATTGACAACTTCTGCGTCACCACCTTCATTGTTTTCCCAATGTGTAGGGCTGGAGGCCGTCTCTGCCAAGGCCTATCAGCTAGAGAAAACATCACCCGCGGAGATGGCCATCTTAATTCTGAGGAGCTTTGGCTTTGAGCAGACCGACAAGGAGGCATGAGCAGTGACAAGTTAGTTGATCGGCTCTATGTATCCCTTACTCTAATTTTCTCGCCAATTGGCAAGTGACTGATGATGAACTTGATGTACTCCATAGTATATTCAGTGTAATTTAGCACAGCAAGTCATAGATGCAGATCCTGGACATGCTAGCATCCTCAATGAGTTTAAACAAGCATCTGGCCATTGTACTACCTTGAATCAGAGCATCCTTGATTTTGTTCATTTAGATAACATTTATCATTTGAACCAAATTGAATGCTATCTACATGTAGCTTTCTTGTATAGTCATATGGTTAATAAGAGTAAGCAACAATTTATTAGATAAAAATAACTATATGATGTTAGATTATATAATGCATTATAATTAATCTTGGCTTAATTTATTAATTAAAGTACATAGGTCTGGCATAGATTTATCTCATTCTCTAGAGGTTATTTAAACTTAATATTTCTTATCTATATTTCTAGATTTATATACAAGATGTAGTTTGACCAAGGACCTCTATCATTAAAGGTATAGTAGCAAGATGCAAAAGCTGTCATGGTAGCTGGGTCCAGACCAGCCCGACTGACAATGGCGTTGCTCCAGACCCCTATAAGCACCCAGCATGTTACATGCATGACAGCTACAGCATAGTCCAGCAGCTATATGCTGCATATATATTGTGGGGTAGAATGCTCTGCCAAAGGGCAAGCATTCTACTTTGATACATAGAGCCTAGCTATCACTCCTACTCCGCTTTATCTCAGCTTATTGCCCTGCGTATCTCAGATATCACTACACATTTACGAGGCACGGCCCTTATATGAAGCTTGTCAAGATGGCCTAGAACAATCTTTTTGATACAAAATCTTAATACAACTAACAAAAGAACTTAGTCCATCTCTGTCAAGTAGAAAGCATATACTCTGTTGGCGTTTTCTTCAATTTCAGATCGCCTTGGTTCTCACGCTTGAACAGCAAAGAATAAATCAACTATGCAAATAGTTGCTGGGACGGTTTTACAAAAAAAGTCTTATTGATTGTCTAACTGGGTGACGGTTCGGCCTAGGTAAACTGGTAACCATGAGGAAGCTATTTTCGGAGTGGAAGCAGAAGAAAAAGAGAAGATAAAAGTAAAGATGGAAAGAAATTGAAGGTGAAACGGAGAATGAGAAAATAAAAGGGAGTAAAAATAAGAAGTATATGGTAGAAAGAATTTAAAAAAAAAATCTATTGTTGAATAAAACCTTACCCACTGAGAAATCTGTCCGTCATGACATTGGCCCCTTGAAAACCCTGTAGGCAACTGGACTTTTGCAATAAATAAGGGCAGATATTCCGAGGAAAATTGCGGCGAGTGCGTAGGGGTGTGTGGATATGGGTGGGTAGTAAGGCGAAGAGGGCCGAACTGTCTATATTGTGCTTCCATAAAATGCTCCGACATGACGCCTGCATTCAGAGGTGAAAAGAAAAAAAGATACAACGAAAGGCAACAATCCGCCTGCTTGTATTTACACGCTGAACCAAACAATGACGACAACAATATAGATGATGAGGGTGGCAGCACTTGACTGGCCGACCGAGTTATTAGCCGCCGCAAGGGAAGGAAGATCGAATCCTTGGTATTAAGGAAGAAACCGAGGTCAAAAAGGGAAAACGAAATTGGCAGTGGCGATGGAGAAAGAAGAGATCCGTTTACGGTCTCATTCCCCATTGCGGCCTCAAGGCTTCAGCAAGATCTGCCTTGGATCCAACCATTTCCTTGGGCAGACGGCTGACACGGTTCGCACCAGCGCGCAAACTGTAGGCTTGACCCGGCGAGATGCCGCCGGTGGCGTGGCTGCGAATGCTTCCTGCATCGCTTCCGGTGTCGGCGTTTCTGAAGCGAACGGGAGCAGCAAAGTCCAGGCCAGTGAATGTGCCAGATTTTCGGAGCAAGTGCCTGTAAAACATATTAACGCAATATCCTGGTGAGTTATAATGGAAGTTTTCACTTACGGGCTTGGCATGGCGGCGAGGTCATCAAAAGAAGAGGCGAGCGGCGTGTGGGCGCGAACGCTAGGCGAGTAAGGACGTGCACCTCCAAGAGGAGAGTCAGCACGAGCTCCTCCTTGCATGTCTCTAAAGGTGGTCGGAGGAGCAAAGTCGATGGGCAGGACATCCTCCTTCAACAGGTGAGGCGTCGGAAGGACGTGAAGTGGCTTGGGTGGAGCCATGGGTTTCCGAGGAGCGGGATCGCGTCCGCGGGGTCCCACGGGTCCAATGCGGGCGGAGGCGGAAGAAAATGCACGCGGTCCAGGTTGTCGGAATGGTCCTGGCGATCCATAAGAATCCATCCCACGGGGCGGACCACGCGGAGGCGGTGTCATAGCGCGACGAGTGACAGGCTCCGCCCACGGCTTGGCAGCCACAAATTCTCCTAGAATGGGATCGTAGTGGCTGCCATCAGCTGGATGCGCGTCGACCGGGTAGGCTTGATACTCAGCGCCCTTGGGCATTGGCTTGCTCTCGTCAAAGTACTCCTTGTAGAATGACCGAATCCGGTTCGCTCTTTGCTCTGGGTTATCAGTGGGATCGTCTGGAGGAAGGGGACGGAGACCCATTGACAGCCGACGCATATCAATGCCTAAACCAGCGGGATCAACAGCGTGCAGAGAGTAGTCTTCGGCAGAAGGGAGTGGGGCGTCCAGCGAGTGCCTCCTAATGTGATCCGACGGCGCTGCTGATCCATTGGGCGAAGGCGGCGTGACCTCGATGCCATCGCCATAGTCACTTGCGTCGTCAATGATGATGCTGGGTCGAGCTGCTGCATGTTCAATGGAAGCTTCCATGGATTGCTTGGCGTTCGCCTCAGTGAGCGAGGTGTCAATCGCCGGGGGCGGGCCCTTTCTGTTCTCAGTCTGCTGCATCGATGGCGGCTCGGCAATAGTAGGGATCGATAGCGCTGGAGGCAGGCTTGCGCGTTTGGCTTCAAGTGTGGGATCCGGCTTGTCCTCAGACTCCGGCTGAGGAGCAGCCAAAGGCTCACCCGCCTCAATCAAAGCACCCAGGTAATTGTTGCTTCGTCGCATGTCGCCGGTATCGCCTTCAATATACGAATCACGCTTCCCTTGGCCAGCAGCAGAGGCACTAAGATCGGATCTGTTGGAGAACATGGACGTGCGTTTCGAACGAGCTGGATCACGTGTTGGCTCGGGCGTCTTGAGAATGGGAACGGTGGGACCACTCAGAGGAGGGGTCGACATGGACATCCTCTGGGCGTTATGAAGCAGACCTTGTTTCATGCCGTCCTGGCCGAGACCGCCAGCAGTGGACACGGAGTAAATAGACGCATCCTCATTCATCCGTCGTGGGCTGACGGGCGACATCTCATCAGAAATGTAGATTGTCGCCGGACGGTAGGGGTCGTTGCCGGTATCAATGATGCGAGATAAAGTATTGAGCGACTCTCTCGAGCTCTGCAGATTGGGCGGCAGGAGGTAGGGGCTTCCCATATCCATAGACATGCCACGGCCGCGACGACCCATCTTCTCCGCGTCAACCTCGGTGACAGTCATCTCTGGAACCCCCTTTGGCTCCCTAGTTCCGTTCTTTGTAGTATTCGTGGGCGTAATTTCCATACCAAAATCCAGGGATTTGTGCTGATCATTGGCATCCTCCTTTTGTAATTTCTTGACATGTCTTCGATGCATAACCGTAAACAGCACAATGGCTACGAGCACAGGAATACTATTTGGCAAGATGAAATCAGCTGCGTGCCGATAAACGGGTGCAATCATGGGGATGCGTACCACACGGCCAGCACGATCGGGAGAGTAGTGGTGATGTTAGAAGATAGGCCACCCCCTGAATTACTGGACGAAGACGTCGTCTCGGCACTTCTCCTCACCATCGACGCCGTGTCATCCGCAAAGTCATCGGCAGATGTGACCGTCCTTGGCTGCATCATCTGATCCCGTCGAGCCAGCTCCAGGGCATGGCGAACATGAGGAAGCTGGCTCATTATGCGATTATCCGAGATTGGTATTGTGGAAAGTTGGCGTCAGGTAGAAAGCAGTCCAGTTGGTGGAAAAGTCGTTCGGTCTCAAGGCGAATATTAAACAAAGACGGTAGTGTTTAAATTTGGGACATACGAACACAACGCTGACCCGACCACATCAATAAATCACCAAGACAACAAAGAGCGACTGTGGTGAGAAAGTAAGAGAGTGACAGTGTCCGAAGGACAACAAAAAGAGTGGCTGTCCACACGTCAAACGGCCACAACCAATATGGCCAGCGCGGGACGGAAGAAGCAGTTTGGGAGAGAAGTTGAAGAAGAGATGTCGAAAGGATGAAAAGAGAGGAGACGGGAAGAGGGGAGAGATAATTGGGAAGGGGAGCGGTGGTGCCAGTGGGAACCGGGTGCGCTTGACCGAACGAAGGCTTCAGAGATCCATTGTGGCTCACCGAACGGGGATGCTCCCTCGCCCGTAGCTCAGGAGGAGATCAACGAAGTCCTTTTTTGGGCACACTAGGTGCGAGATGCATGGCACGGCGTACGCCTTAACCGATTCGAGTTGTCATAGTACGGGGGGAAAATCACACAAGGGGGTTGTCGAGGATGGGGGAGGTGCAACAAGCACCCACGGAGTAGAAAGTTGCCGGCGGTTTGATTGCTCGAGGAAGAAATAACGGGGACCAAGAGGGAGCTCCGTCGAAGGGCTCAGGGGCTGTGATACACCGTCAGATTGTGGATCTGCAGCAATTGATTGGTAGACTGCACCGTACCTGTCGCTAAGACCCGCTCAGTTCCTGACTAAAAGTCGAACTAAATGCGGGTCAACCCAAAAGCTCTACGGCGGCCTCCTATAGCTGGCTCAGAAAGGCGACCTTATGAGCTTGTCCGAGCGGTCGCCTTGGTGAAAGAATTGTTCGTCAACATTTGATCCCTGCTCGAGATAACCTAGGAAAAGGAGTAGTCTCGCACGCCACCGCGCTGCAGCGAAACGCTGAGGCGCACCACCCATGCCATAACTCCGTCTATACGGAGTATCGAACGGTAAGCCCCGTAAATCTCTACTTGGTGTCCATTTTTCCTGCTCCTGGGCGATCCTGGCTTCATTTTACCGAGGCGCCAAAGATCACTAGATTAGGTGTGAGAAATAAGTGAGATTTGAGGGACGGGCGCTGTATCTGTCTCTTTCGCGGTGACACCAGAACAGAGAAGGAAAGTTCCTTCTTGAGGCGCAGTCGAAGGAGCGGTCGTGATGGGTCATGTTCTGTATCGATTTCCACGTGTACCTTTGTATGCGAGGGGTGAAACCATCATGGAGGAGTGTAGCGGTGTGTTGCACACATGGCAGAAAGAATCCAAATGAGCTACCGCGGCGCGTGATTCCCGCCAATGGCTTGGAATTGTATCTACCGCTTTGCGCTTCGCCCCTTGCATGTTGGCTGTAGGACGTTATTAAGATGCACTTGGCCATCAGCACATTCACCATTGATTTCGTGCAGGATAATAATGTCGGGAGAAGAGATGTTTCATGATTCGCTTCGAAACATAAGGTATCTTCTCCTCCCCAAGTCTGGCTTTTTGTGCCTCTTAGGAAAGAAGCCACAAGACCCAGAACTTACCTGGGGCATTTCTCACACAACCATTAACAGACACGTTCAATTTGGCGTTTGAATATAGATTGTGCCTCTAAACTCGCACCCTGTAGTGGTTGCTTTTATCCCAACCATCCTGTCATCAAACGGTTACAGCTGGTGGAAGATAATTAAAACCAGAAGTACTCCGGTACTGTCAAGCCCTAAGCGAAAGCATAATTGTTATGATCGATCAAAGTTGCATAAATTCTGGCCAGGAAAAGCTCTGCCGTCCTATAGCGAGTCTGAAGAATAGTAGAGAATCGATTCTTATCTGCTAATAGAAGGTACGAAGCGTATGCGAGCCATTCAATTTCTAACCGTATTTTATAGCTTTGCTGTCTGGCAGCATATTAACATATGTAGTTTCAGTATGCTTGCATACGGGGGAGTGAGCAATGGAAGAATGTTCGATTGTAACTACGAAGATTTCCACTGAACAGCACTCGACCGACAAATTATCTTGTTCACATATGTGCAGAGAATTAAAAATATTGTAAAGGCCGCTTGATGAGGTCAAATTCATGATTCTGGCGATGATGTTCACTAAAGAGATTGAGATGAAGCTTCTCCACAAAAAGCAGCTTGGTGGTTGCCTGTTCGGCGACGTGTGTGCTTACGTAATCTGGGGAATGATGCATGTGGTCAACCAGAGGGGTCGATGGGAGAGAAAACACAGTCATTTTCCACTCCCATTTGTGCTTTTCCTTCTTACCCTTTTTGATTCAGACCCGGTAGGGATCGTATTCAATCAAAGATGGCAGATCAAAAGGCATCCGAGAAGGCGGTAAGCCAATGTTTCCACGTTGGCGCCAATGATTCCATAGCTAACAAGCTCAAAGACAACGCCTCTCAAGCAATCCTCTCCAGCTCCCGAGGCTGAGTCGCCCACCACTGCACGTGAGCTCGAGTTTGATGATGGGCCTCAGGAGACAGGTGTAATTGGAGGAAAGGAAGGTGAATCTGGTGCACGGGTTTCGAGCACAGAAAATCCTCCGCCCAAGCCGCCCCGCCCAATGAGCCCCCAACAACAGGCCGAGGCAACGCTCAAAGAAGCTTTCCCTTCTGTCGACAGTTCGGTGATTAAAGCAGTGCTCGTCGCGAGCGCGGGAAAGATTGAACCTGCGTTCAATGCGCTTCTGAGTATGCATTAACACGTCTCAGTAGGGGACCCGACAAAGAAGAATACTGCGGCTAATCAAGCACAGGTATGACTGATCCAGATGCTCGGGCTGAGCCCACTCCTCCTCCGCAGCCTCCTCGGCCCTCGAAGACTGCCCGATTCACTAGCACTGGGCAGAGCCAGATTGAAGCGGATGAGCAGTATGCTCGCCAACTCGCCGAACACTACGGCCATCCAGGATACGGCTCGCGAGGATGGGGCGACCCTCCGTTGCCACGACGTCACCAGGATAGCGGACTGAAGCCCAATGAGCTCTACGATGATAAGGAGCACAGCTTCATAGATGGTATGTTAATCTTGCCTCTCTGATCTAGAACCATCCGAATTCCTTCTGGCAATATTTAATATGCTCACAATTTGACGACAGACGATCTCCCTGTTATCCGCGAAAACATCCGCAAAGGATTCTTCGAGACCCAAACGCGGGTCAACAAATGGGTTTCTGACTTTAGACGGAAACTAGATGGAGAAACAGAGGAAGAGATCAACAAGCAATCGAACGCCCCCACCGGCCCAGCAAAGGGCTACAACCCCGGCCCGCCCCAACAGCCCTACGGATACCGACAGCCCGGAGAGATTGGGCGTCGGAGTGGTGACCGCGATCGCTATGACGCCGACCCAGCAGTGCTCAGCGATGACTTTACCGCGCTAGAAATGCGCGATGATGAGGGTACGTGCAAGTCTTCTTTCCATCTTCTATTCGTCCTCTTTCCCTCATTCCTGCCAACCCTTAGCCCCCGAGGTTCAAAGCTGCAAAGATCTCAAAAACGCATCCAACTAACATTACAATAAGCTGTCTCTCCTCCGCCCCGTCGTTCGAGCCGCCCGCTCGCCAACCCTGATTTGTTCAAATCCACAGCTCAGCCTCCGCAATCTGGGCCCGTGGACGAAGTCGATGCCGCGGCCCGTGCTCCCATCTCGGCGCCCAGCACTGGCCGGCGTGCCTCAGCTTCCGGCGTTGCTTCTGCACCTGCCAAACAAAGCAAGTGGCAACCTTTGACATCCATTGACCCAGCTCCAATTACCGACAATGACCCGTTCAGCCTTGGCGACAGCGAAGACGAGCGTGAGTCCAAGACAAAGGATGTGCGCGCCGAAGCGTCGGAACGGCTCAAGAAGGCCGCAGCCGAGAGTAAAGCCACCGAAGGGTCAGAGCAACAAGACGCATCGCAGCACCGGAAGAGCCTCGAACCCCATGCGCGCTCAGGCAGTTTGGGCACAAAAGACCAGGTTGCGGAAGAGAAATTGACTGGTGGATCATAATCTGTTATCGTTCTACGTTGTATAAGTCTGTGTGCGTGAGCGGGAGGTGGACAGAAGTTGAACCGAGAAGCCTGCATGTCCGAATTCAGCTACAAAATTGTATGCGTATGTGTGAAAGGCAGATAAGGAGAGGGAAAGCAGAAGAAAAGGGAATGATTGTTCTGGATGTCATAATTCTCTCATTCGTTATTCCCACCACTTGCTTCAGCGTCACTGTCGAGATTCCAGTAATAGTCTTGTCATTTATGTTTCCGCCAGGCGATTACAAGCCTCTCATATATCCCAACCAACCTATATCCCCAATCGTTATCAATTCCATACCTGTCGTTAGCTAGCTTTACCTACCTTATATATTTGTCTTTCTTAACACTAGGATGAACAACAAGTTCAAATGGTGCCCAGTGGCTGCACAAGCATCCGCTGTCATGAAATCTTATAAGGAAAAAGCGAGCAGTGAGTAGCAGGGAACCAAACGCGCCTGACGCTCTCTTGATTGCTCTACATGAATAGAAAATCCCGGCCTTCTTTAAAGTAAAATATTCTAAGCAAAATGTAGTACAGCGAAAAATATTATTATTACTATTTTTATTATTATTATTATTATTATTATTACTATTATATTCGGGTGAGTGCAGGCCTCTGCCAGATTGATTTGTTCTCCGGACACTCCGCGCCTCGTTGAAGACTTGTACAGTATGCGTCTAACTCACATGCCAGGTAAACCAGACTGTGTGTACTCCGTACTTTGTACAGTAAAAGTCACTTCCCAAGTGCCCGCAACCCCAGACCTTTCCCACAAAACCCCCAAAACCGCAGAACCCCAGGGTACTACTAAGGTACGTACTGCGGTACCGTCGTACAGCACTGTACTGCTGTAGTGTGATAATTACAAGTGGTTTGAACGGACTCTAGCGTCATAGTAGCATCATCTGGAATTGTCTATTTTCGTACTCTGTATAGAGTATATAAAGATCCAATCTAAGTCGCGGACTCAAGGTCTCAAGCTCTATTCACCAACGAATCAACCAATCCACGATAAAAAGCGCTACTCTGCGTTTCGATAATAATTTGGATAATAATTTGGATAGTAATTTGGATAATTAACAAGAACGCAACGAAACGACTGACGCGATTGACACGATTGACGCGACAATAGATATCTACATTAGCAAAATGAGCGGGGAAGTGGAAGATAAGCACGGCGAAGCGATTTACGAGGGCGACCATGTGTATACGCGGATTCGGGGCGGGAGACATGAGGGCGAGGTAAGTTGGTTTTTTTTGTTATTTTTTTTTTTAATTTTTAGGGTGTTTTTTATTCCCTCCCTTGTTTGTTTGGGGGGGAAAGGGGCAAAAGATGAGAAAATAAAAAAGCAACAGGGAAAATAGCAAAACAAAACAAAACAAAAATAAAAAACATAACAAAAAATAATAAAAGAAGAAATAAAAACAAAAAGAAGAAATAAAGAAAAGTAAAAAATGAGAAAGTGGGAAAAAGAGAGAGGGAGGGAGGGAGGGAGAAAATAAATTGATAGAATTCACGTCTTTCCATTGCCAGAGAACGGGATAATATCGTGGATCCGTGGCTTTCGCGTTGAAGATCTGATAAAGACTTGTTTCGCATTTCTAGCACGTGCAATTTCGAAGACTTTATATACTAACTAGATTGACATCTCAGGTCGACAAGGTTGTCATGACTGAAGAGGAGGCTAAGGAGGAAAATGTGAAGAATCCTCCCAAGGTAAAGCTTACTTTCCTGACGTTTTGTGGTTCTAGGTTATTGACTGTATTAGGTCCTGTTTGAAGATCAAAAGGGCAAATATGTGGCTCATAATCCCGGGACTCTGGAAAAGCAAGAAGAATAATAACATAGGGCTGAAGCCGAGCAAGCGTGAGACATTTTCTTCCACGCGCAAAAAAATGTCGTGCATATTCAGTGGGAGAGTAGTATGAGAAATGGTGGCGCTTGAGAAAAAGGTTTCTGTTCAGGTTCAGCTTCGCGCCACATTATTTCAGCCAGGTCAGGTTTTTAATGCCGTTGAGTTTGGATCACTTTGGGAGAGGGGGGTCAGTGCCTGACCAGGGGTTTGGGATTTTCGAATGTTTGTTTGGTTTGTGGACTGGGTGATCGCGGGATGTACATCTGATGGGGATTTTGCACGTGCTGTTCTCATAGTATGAAATCGTTCTTGTCATCGAGTTTGACTTCTGTCGTTCGGGTCAAAAGTACAGGAAAAGAGTCAAGTAACCGAAGCTATCACATGAGAGGATTATGATGCTGAATTGTGGGGGATCGACGGGTTCGCTACTCGAATTGTACCGAGACAAACACTGGTCCAATCGAGCTCTTCTTCCTTTCGTGTTCGTCCGAGGGCTATGCTGGGAAAGTGAAGAGAGTGGGAACTGTGGTAATGAGACGATGGGGGCAAATTAGCGACGTTGTAGCGCTGTGTTGTACTGTCGCTCAGCTGGTCAGCGTCAGTATAGGTAGGTAAGGTAGGTAATTTGGAGGTCATGTCGTGTAGAGTCCGACCACCATCTGCCGGTGCTCCTACTCCATCTTTGACCCGCAAACGACCTGAGTGACTTTGGGAAAGTTCAGAGCGTTAGACGCACGAAATCACGGGTGAGGGGTACATGCTCAGGGTCAGGGTTACAATGCAGATGGCACGATTAGCAGAAGACCCTGTTGATGCCGGTATTCGTGACAGGAAGACACTCGCAGCGTGTTTTTGCCCGGACATGGGCTCCGGCCAGTACGATGAATTCCACAGCCTCATCGCAAGGGTTCACAGATCAGAGCGACAAGCATAGAATGAGAAAATCCATAAGTTGTTCAGAACGTCATTATTTATGTAATCAGTGTCACTGTCGTCATGGTCATCATGCTTTCCAAAATTATTCCTTTTCTTTTTTCCTTTTTGAGGGGCGCCCTGTTTTGGTCTGGCTGCGCTTGACGAGCATAAGCTTGCTCAGCCATGATTCCCAAGGGTTCTGGGCCGTCGTCGAGCTTACAAGCGACCGACCAATAACTATTGGAGGGAGTGACAGCAAGTTTAATGCAGCTCCCAGTGTTGCTTGCTGTAGGCCAAAGGGTCCGTCACTCATAGCGTGTTCGCGGAACCCTCGCCTCTTTACCCTATCTGCACGTCGTATTTTGCTCTGGCTCCAAAACTTGCTGACGAGATTGGCATGGCGGGTCACGGATAGGTGAGGAATGAGTGGTTGATGCGACCGTAAAGTCGTAGGGCATAATTTTGGTTTGCAGGCCTTTCAGGTCAGCGTCTGACTCGCTCCTGCGACCATTCCTAACTCATCCAAAATTATCATCAGTAGACTGGCGATTGCTTCGTATAGCTCGGGAAGGCAGTTAGTGTTAGGATGACTTAGGCTATCTAGCAAGCAATTTAGTCGTCCAGTCACTCTCATTTAGGTCGGAAATCGTATCCCAAACCGTCAGTTCTACCTGCAGGCCCCAATCGCACAGCAGCACCATTTCTCCTCTCTCTCTCTCTTTCTCGTTCATTTGAACTCTCCCCGCTCTCTTCTCTCCTCTCTCACGCACACACACACACACTTTTTTCTACAACACATCAGCAAAGAATAAACTGCAATTCTCGAATCCTTTGTCCTGCGTACCTCATTTCCTGTTGAAACTCGCGTAGGAGAAGTCACCCTTGCATCATCCGGGCAAGGTGAAACGGCGTGCGTGGGCAGATTGGACCGAAGCGGGCTCGAAATCCGATTGCGGTTTAGACGGAAAAGAGATCGACAACTTCCCGACAACACGGTCGGCCGTCTTCTTTCTAAGTCCGAATTCATCCAAACCAGAAACCACAATTTCCCCCCCCCCAACCCAACCCAACTCTTGTCTCTCGCTTTCTCTATACTCTCTCTCTTAATTGCAGATTGTTAATTCATCCATTTGTCGATAATACTCCACGAGAAAATAATACTTTCCCCGTCTGTTGCATATTTCCCTGTCAATCGATCGGTCTCCACGGCATATTCGACGGGACGGCAGGATACTCGCTCATTTCGACGCTCATTTCCCATCTCTCATTTGATCGTGACGACACAGCTTGTGCGACGTACTCCATTTTGGAGTGATCGCCCATACTAATCGATTTTGCGTGTAATCTTGTCCAAGAGGCAATTTAGTTTGCCATCATGTCCAATTCCACTGGTGAGTGCCTCAATGGCCGTTTTTGTCTCCTTTGGAGAGCTTCTCTTACGAAACTAACCTCTTCTCATGAACTTCAGCCCCGGCGGGCGACTTCACCTCAAGCGCAACATCGTCATTCAACAATGGCGGCTTCACCAGCAGTGATACATTTACCTCTCCCACGAGCACGTTTCAACCCACAACCTCGTCCACTCCTACAACCAGCGCTCAAACGCCAACAACAACAACTCCCTTTCAACCAACCTCATCAGACGCCTCGTCAACGCCGACGACTTCTCCAGCGACCTCCGCCACATCTTCAGCTGGACCTCCTGTCGTAACATCGGAAATTACGCAAAGCGGCACTTCTGACACCCCGCTTACAATCACAATCACTTCCACTTCAAACTCTCCAACCCCTACTCATGCATCCACAACTGGCCATAGTTCGTCCTCGTCACATACTGCTTCGAATGCCGCCGCAACGTCGAGCGGTGGTTCGACTCTTCCGACTACCGGAGCCAGTACCTCTGGCCATCATGGACTCACGACAGGAGGCAAGGTGGCTATTGCGGTCGTCGTCCCCGTCGTCGCAGTTGGCTTGATTGTCTTGGCGCTTTTGTTCCTCTGGCGCAAACGCAAGCAGCGAAAGGATGCAGCGGATATGCGACGAAAAGAGGTGGAAGAATACGGCTTCAACCCGAACAATGACCCCACGCTGCCACCAGTCGGCAACATGGACAATGGCGAACATGCAGCTCCGTACGAAATGCGTGAAGACGACAGCGGATACCGTGGCTGGGGAGCCGCACCCAATGCTGGACGAAAACAGTCCACAAATCTCTCCAGCGGCGGTGCCACCGGCGTTGCTCGATCCGATAGCGGCAGTCAACCGGGCGGCTATCAAAATTATGCAAATGGCAACTCGCCCACGCAAGGCACGACTGGCGCCAACTCCGAAGCTCATTCTGGCGATCCACTGATCCACGGTCATGAAGCTGAGTCCATTGGTGCCCTCGGTGGAGCCTCGGGAGCTGCTATGAATAGTGCGAACAACAAGCAGGGCGTGCACCGTGGCCCCTCAAATGCATCCTCTTCTTATTCGGCTGCTGGCCGTTCCGACGCCTCCGGTGACGCTCCCATTCCTGCAGGCGCCCACTCACCCACCTACTACACCAGCGAAGGCACCTTTCCCGACGACCCAGCGTACTATACATCCGCTGGTGTTGGTGGACCCTACGGAGATGGTTCTTATGGAGGAGGCTCTGGACCCGGTCAACACGGCCAACCAGTGATTCGAGACGTACAAGCGCGGCGGAATACACGGATTGAGAATCCGTCCATTTTCCCACAAGCCGGCAATACTGGCATTTCGCAAAACTTTTAGTCGTTCCCTTTTTATTTTTATTTTTTTTTCTTCTTCTTCTTCAATCATCTTCTTTTAATTCCTTTGACATGCCACTCTCTTCTAACGAATCTTTTTCTTTATTCGTTCGTCTATCCATCCATTTTATACATTTTCTTGTCGTATATCTTATTCGCAGGCTTGCTCTTTTCTCCCCTCCTACTACTCCATTTACATGCACACATTCGCACCAGGGTTATGGAAAGAGTCTTTCGCGCTTGCTCACTTATCCTCGATGGCTTCTTCTTCTTCTTCTCTCGTCTCGTCTCGATAATACCGGAGTCTGGTCCGGTGGATACATGTGTCTTTTTAACGAAAATTACGCATGGCCGTTTGGGTCCAATGACCCTTGCAATATATAACATTTATCCAAGTAGTGTGAGATGGCGCTCGTCGTCAATTAATAGAGTCCTCTAGTCGTGTCGGACAGTTGCAAATGACACCAGTTTAATATCTCCCTTGCCACGGACTCTCTATTCGTTTATAAGACTAACCGGAAATCAATTTGTATCGATTGACTACCTATCGTTCAAGAAACAAACCTCCTCTATGGTCCCATGCCCTCTTATACCGCATGCCGACAGCAATCCCCAACACGATGAGTGACCACTCAGTTTCCGGCTTTACTCAATTGAAATCTATAATTCATGCTGTAGCTGCGAACGTAGAACCCTTACCATCATTATTAACGAAGTTATTTTGAATGGCTTTTACATGGAATACTTTTTTCTTTTCTTTTTCTGTACACTCTTTATGTTAGATAGCTCACACGCTCCCCATCCCTGTAATTTGATGGCAATGTCCTTTCAGCATGTAATTTCCTTTTTTCTTTTTCTTTTTCTTTTTCTTTTACTTTTTCTTTTTCTTTTCCTTTTCCTTTTCCTTTTTATTTCTGCTTGTCTGGTTCTCGTAGAATCGCACAGCTTGACACGCTGCATCTCGACTCCCGTACTCCGTCTATGTGCCTATTTACAGAGTAGAGTATACAGAGTATCGCAGCGATTGGCGGCACCGCGGCGGACCCGACTACCTGACGACCTGACAATCTGGAAACCCGGCATAACGTACCTGTACTCCGTAGTAGCAAAGGATAGACAGAAGAACGAGCGTATGGGATTGTGGGTTGCCGATTGTGGGTTGCCGATTGTGGATTCCGGATTGTGGATTGCTAATTGTGGTGAACACTGTCCCATATAACTATAAAGAAAGGCGTCCTCGGCGAACGTGTCTTACAAAAAAAAAAAAAGGAAGGTGGTTTATAGGATGTCAGTATTGTTCTATTAATAACTACAAGGTGGTGTGGTGTAATGGTAGCACGTAACGTTGTGGATTCACAGCGCCGTTCCAATCCCGGTTCGATTCCGGGCACCGCCAACATATTTTTCATTCACTGAAGTTTCTTGAGTCGCGAGATTCGAGGATTTTTTTTTATAATTTATAGTTTTTTTTATTTTTTTGAAAAAATTCTTTACAAGTATTATTACCCTACTGATAAATTGAACATTAACAAGATCTATGCTCGGAGGTCCAAAACCCAACGTGTATTTTTATCGAATTCGATATTCTCTTCGCCCTTCAAACCAGCCAAACCAATTTCCCTCAAATTCCTAAATACCTCAATGGCCTCATCCAAGGTTTCATTCGACGTGTAACCCTCGTCCGTCACAATCCCGCGCAGCTCTTCCCACAGCTTTTGGTTCTTATTGAATGGCTCAACTTCGTCATGATGTTTTCTGATTTCTTCTTCCGAAAATTTATATGGACATGGCTCGTCTGATTGAAAGTGGTCCCATTCTCTACAGAGACAAGTAAGCACCCTTTTTTTTTTTTTCTTTGTGAACGAACTGGACTGGCCTACCTTTCAACACGCATCAAGCAATCCTGGAGTGGGTAGAGACAATTGTCCCAGGTGGAGCCAGCAAAGGCCTCGAGCTGCTTCAGGGTTTGACCATGAGGGTAATGCATCATCTTGTGCATCAAAGGATTTGTCTCCGTGGTCAGGGTTTCGTAAGAGTGAATCAAGATAGATTCGGCCACTTGATGTCTGAGCTGATCCTTGGTAACCTCATCGAGCTGTTTGAAGTTGTCAGGCAACTTCATCGACAATTCATCAATCCCGTAGTCTAAAAGCGATGGGGGGTGAACTCCGAGGAACACTGGAGTGATCCAGGCTCCCTGCCAGTCGATAATGCTGGAGATTTCGCCTTGTTCATCGATATAGATATTACCCGCATGAAAATCCGGATGCCAAAGCCTAGGTGAAGTGACTTCGGAGTCTTTTGGAACAATGTGCGAGATGGCGGAGAGGAATTTCCCCAAAGCAGCGAGATGGGCTTCCGGCGAATATTGATCATCGCTGGTATACTGCCATGGATTCACGACCGCTTTCTGCGGATCGGCATATGCTTTGATCCAGTCGATTTCGCGGCGAGCGACCGACTCAAGGTAGTCTACCGACGACTTCCCTGCCATGACTTATGAGCTTAGAATTGAAATGTAATAGGGCTTTTGTTGAAGAGCATACAGGGACCGTGGTATTGGTGCATATCGCTGCGTTCCTTCTCCCAGAATTCTCTTCGAACGATAGGTCCAATGCAAAAACGCGATGTGATGCAATTATTGACTTCTCGCGAACCACCCGTGGTCGTAGCAGCAGGCTCGCACCCTGGAATCTCACTGTCGTTAAAGTACAGTGATCCTATCCTGCCGGATGGCATCGTTATTCAAACTTGCACTACCATCAGGCCTGTAATATTGGAGAGCAGAACATACTTGTTGAATGATACAGAGAGCAATTTCCTCTCGATATCTACAATTCTGCGGATGATATCGCGTTTAGCTCGTAATTGAAGATTCTTCCAGACGTTGTGGAGCTGGGAGCCTTTTGCTTCTTCCATGATAATGTATTCGGCACCAACAGGATTCTGGTCGGTGGCGTTCCATGAAAGAACTTTTGGTGCGGGCAAGTCCAGGACGGTCCTGGCAAACTCCATCGTCGCAACCTCAGATGCGGTTGTGAGCATTGGTGGACCAGCGTTCGGGTGAGGGATCTTAGCTATGACTTTTTGACCATCTTCCATTACAAGGCGATATGCCTTATTGTAGTTGCCCTCTCCGATTTTCTCCAGAGAAATGCACTCAGTGGCGCCGACTGCCCGGCAAGCTGCTTGTTGAAGGCAGAGAACATCAAAAGGGCGGTATCGGGATTCGAGCTGCGCCCGCTCGTTCCAAAGCCATCTTCCGCTTGTGTAGCGGAATAAGGAACTTGTCTCTGTCGGCACTTGGGACGGCATCGGATGTTCATGCCTCAGCACGCGAAGAAAAGTTGAGAAGGACTTTGAGAATTTCGGAACAAAGCTTTGGTGGAACGTCATTGCCAGGAATGACAGGTAAAGCATCTACACGCTGAATAAACCATATAAACCAAGCAATTCTGGGGACAGACGTAAGAAAGATGATCCAATTTGCTTGGTTATTAACGTAATTTCTGAGCTGGCCCGAATGATCTTTAATTGCCCCAGATGGGGGGGATGCTTCCTGGTTCCCAGCAATCGTACCCGTGTTGGGGTTTGGCACCGGGCGGTAAAGTAGTGCTACTCTTTGCTTTGCCGAAGAAAATCTGCAGACCATGGGGAGTTGGCACATCTAGCGCCGGCGCCAATTGTAGTTTATCCCCGCATAATCCAGCGCTATCATTATGTACTTTGGAGCACCTCGTTCTACTGTCCATGAAGTCACAACACTCCAGCACAGCTTATTTTATTTCTGCTGTCATCATGGCCTCTTATAAAAGGAGAATAAGAAGGAGTCTTCACTGCTCCCGGTAGCACGCACCTTTCAAATCCTCAAGAAACCCTTCTCAGAGAAGTTTATCTACTCTACTAGACGATCCACCCTTCAAAATATCCTCTCACACTAAGACTGTCAGGTACAGACCTCCTTCCAAAACTTTCATCCTCTCGCTAACCGAATTTAGGCATTGATACATATCATGTCGTCTATCTCGAAGTCTGCCTTCAAGAAATTCCTGGACCAGATGCCATTCGGCAAAGTCGTTCAGAAGACTAAAAACGCTCACCGAGGCCAGCGACTTTGGCCTTCTCAAACATCGAAAAACGATAAAAAGTACAATTTCCGGGCGGATAAGGGATCGAAACTTCCGGACGGACGGCAGGAGATAATCATCCAGGCAAACAAGAATGCTGACGACAAAGGTGTTCGGGAAAGTGCACAGAAGGACAGTCATAGGATTGTGGCAAAAGTTGCTGTCGATCCTGTCAAGGACCCGCAGGGGGATAGTATCAATGAAGATGCATTGAATTCTTTTGAAGAAAACAACTAGTATTCGGGTATATGAAAGAATTTGCTGAGATTTCTAAGGGCTTCTCTCCTGGGCTGTGTAGCGATAAGTCTAGTTAAAGCAACATATCCCAAATCCAACATACAACCCGACCCAATATCAAACTTGGAGTGTTCCTGATAGGATTCGATTCTTTAATGTAAACTTATAAATGCTCACATATCCACTCTTCCTCTCCCAGTTCTTTTGCAGAGCTACGCTTGCCCGGCTCCCATTGCAACATTTTCCGTATTAGTGATAAAAATTTCACTCTGTCGTGTCCCTCAAGAGAAGTTTCCCTATCCTCGAGCGGAGTGCGTTCCGGTAATGGAATATTAGCGCAGAAGGCACCTAGAGAATCAGGCATAGTTAGTGGATACAATTGTTCCCCAGATAATACAAGAAGCTTGACTTGCCCTCATCCGAAAAGAATTTGTGGCTTTGCCTCCCTTGGGCAAGAAGCGTAGGCGGTGGCGGGCCAAGCAAACTTATTATTTCGGCGACGTGGGCTCGACTTCGGTATGTCTGGAATTCTGGATCTTGACCGGTGAACAAGGACTCGCCCTCAAAAAGATCCCAAACCTGTGACGTAAATTTAAATTCTTTTATCGCACCAGTCTGGTTGTCTTACCATACATCCCACGTTCCATATATCGACGCTGTATGTCCATGGGGCTTCCAGAATCACCTCCGGTGCTCGATAGATGTTGGGTTGAATATCCTCCAGGTGCTCTGTGTCACCGACCATGGCAGAGCCAAAGTCACATAGGACGGGGGCGCCCCATTCCTTGGGCATTTTAAGTTCTCGGGACACGTAGATAGTTCCTCCGTCTAGCTCCTTCCTCGGACAAGGGTTTTGAAGCTCCTCCTCTAGAAAAGTCGCTGAAAACCAAATCATCAGTGATGCCGAACATGATGTTATCAGCCTTGATATCTGATAGAATGCTTGAGTAAGTAATAGAAGCAGGATAAAGACGAAACAGAGTACTTGCCAGTATGTATGATCTGGCATTCTGTATGCAAATAGTCCAAGGCCAAAAAAAGACACTGGAGCACAAATGCCAGGACTGGTGCAGGCAGCCTCTGTATCGGGTTGCAGTGGAGAAAAATCAAAACACTTTCCCACAGCAGCGGATGCACGAGGCATCGATGTTTGTCTTCAGGTCCATCAACATCGAACGAGTCAAGTAATGACCTCACAGCATTGTGGCCCAGATGGCTTTTTGAGCCTCGCTCCATCCGTTTGTATATCGTGAGCTCATCATCCAACTGCTGTCCCATGGATGCAGAGTTGATGTAGATTTTGAGGGTAACATAGCGACAGCAGCTTTAATTTCAGCGCGTCAGCAAGCCAATTGAGGATCATTATCCCATGAATGCCAAGGGATCTCACTTCATGTCTCGCGCTAGCCAGACAGTTGAGCTAGCTCCAAATCCTAATTTACCTACGACTTGATACCGCTCCTTGAAGACTTCCCCTATTCTAGTGGGATAATACCGGAAAGCACTATAACCCGGGATGGTCTCTTCTTCAATTTTTCGACTTGCAGATATCCGGACAAAAGTTGGGCTGGAGAAGTTGAGTGGTCTCCATGTCCGTCCGAGCTGAGGCAAAGACCGCAGAAAGGACGGTAAAATGGCCTGAGACGATGGAAAAGTGGTTCATCATGCGACGCTCTATGAATGGAAGAGCAGAACGAAACTGGTCAATACTGTAATGATGCGAATGTTATGAGTGCAAAAGAATTAAAAAACCCGCACTGCGTGACTGGCGGAAGGCTGTCGGAGATCATCAAGTCAGGTGATCTGCTTCCACAAAAGCGACTCGTCGAATGCAAGAGACTGTAAGTAATCCAGCATCATGACTGGCGTTACAATTAACTATGGACTGCGCGGCTAGCTAAGACGAATAAACATGCTCGTACAGCGAGTGAGACATCGGTACTCCGTAAGATGAGTCCTTGTTTCAGTTACGTAAAGAGCTTCATGGCAGCAAATGTAAACTCCCATCGATAAGACTATTAGCGACGGGCGTTATACGGACCCACGATAAGGTTATCGGGTCGGAGATCGTCACAAAACAGTCGAAATGGACCACTGCGGTGGTCCTTCGACGAGATGTCCGTACCTTATTTTTCTATTCTGTCATGTTCTGTAAGACAACTGTATGGTTCGTATTAAATGCTCACAACTAACTTGTTATAGCGCCGGTCAAATGGCCACCAGCGCTCCCAAAAGTAAAATAAAATTAAAAAAAAAAATCCACTTGGCAAATCTCCTGATTCTTCATCCAATGCTTGATATAAAATTCCCCAAGGCATCTAAACTAAATCTCTCGACAGATTGACAGCAAGGAATGATGACTGGATGAGTGGCAACCCCTCACCGAAAGGGCCATGCCGATGCCCACGCCTCAGCTGCTTTTTTATCATCTTTCATTTTAGTCATGATTATATTTCCTAGTTTGGTTTGGTTTTGTCTTGGCTATTCATCCCCAGAAATAGAATTGGAGAAAGTAATATGTACTATTATCCCATTGGATTCCAAATCCTTATGTCATGGGATTACGCTACAGCTAAGATGAGCTGACGTCATATAAAATGAATTTGTGAATCCAGGCTTTGACTCCGTTTCATCGAGGAATTTTTTAGTTACTTCAAGTGATCAATGAAATCTACTTTGGCCGTTCGCTCTATCCTTGGGTATTCATGACAATGCTGTGGCTCATTACTCGCGGATAGGGAACGGCGGGTTCGAACCAGGGTAACCTTTTATCCATTTCTAAGCACAGATGGTAGAGGTCAAGTAACATCCCGTTCGGGAGTCTCTAGCGGACCGAAATTCCAGGACAGGACTTTGTCGTGCCCGATATCGACTAATTGCAAGTTTACTCTTTTCAAGCCTAGATATATATTTCTAGTTATATGTTGGACATCCCTGTTGGAGATTCGGTTCGTGATAAGGATGACACCCAACAATTCAAGGCTACAGGGGCCTTGGTCACCTGACCTTCAGCGGTATATTTACTCAGTCTTTCGCGATAGTTATGATATAATCCTGTACCCCACCATTAACAACCCAGACACTTTTTTCTCTTTTTGCTAATTTGCGAATAACATTTTCTACATACTTCAATTACCATTTTCTGGTGCATTTTCTTTCCGTCTATTTTATTGTTATTTTTTGCTTAAATACGATAAGAGATCCTTCGAGCTATTCGCGGTTCTTCGGCTATAGAACAATCCCACGGTCCGCGGAGCTTGTCATACGGCTCGATTCGCGCTTGCGGCTTTGGCAACCACTTCCATTGATCCATGGGCCTACAGCAGATTCCGAGAACGGCTGAAAATATGCACTGAGATTATCGAGTACGCTTTTAGGAGTTGCTTGTCTTTGTTGTGTTCCTTACTGACTTTAATAGTAGAGTGCTATTGAGCGAGTCATAGGCATGACCAGGCGAGGATAATCAGATAATAGTTGAGCCTATAGTTATGGCTGGTATCATTTACCAGTATTGAATGTCTTGCTAATGGACAGCGGGCTTTATGTACTGGTAGTTTGCACCTCGTTCGACCTACTCACCACATGATTCTAAGAGAGGCTAGCCGCTGGCTAGCGGGTAGATCGCGCTGACGTACAATTCTCAGCTTCTCATCTTCTTGTAACGCTTGCTGGATCATGCTCAACCAGGAAGTTCCAAGGCAAGTAAACCAGTGCTGGCGGCGGACCACCGGAAAGAGTCTTTCCGCCTTTTCCCTATAGAAATAAGCCTGTTCAATGTGGCCTAGCCTGGAGCTAACATGTGCAAGAGAATAGCACACAACCATTTGAAGAAAACCTTCCGACCAATTTGTCTTCTCGGCCATAGCCATGACACTGTTCCAATTTACATGGGCCTCAGTCCAAGCACCTTTCAAATGCGAGACCTTTGCTCTACCAATATACATTCGTAGCCTGTTGAAACTGGCCATGGCATCCCACTCGTTCTCGTCTGTACATTCAAGCTCGTGGTAGATTTTCGCTGCCTTGTCGTACAAGTGTTGCTCAATCAGGACCTCCGCGAGTGATAGTTGGAGTGACCTTGTGCGCCGTAACTTCTGCAAACCAAGCTCCTTCAAGATATCAATCTTCTCCGCCAATAGTTGAACCTCGTTGGCTTTTCCTAGCTCGCACAAAACGGCAGCATGTTGGGAATATATGCCCGCCGAAATCCCACTTGAAACTCCAGAAATACCATTTTCAATCATGTTGGCCAATTGTTCCTTAAGACTCTCGTAGGCCCACTGGAAATGGCCCTGAAAGCGCCAAATCTTACTTTGCACAAAAGCTTTTCGGGCCAAAAACGACTTCTCTAACTTTGAAGGATGCGATTCATTCAGCGCAAAGAACGTTTCCAGCAATGACATTGCCTTAGAGAGATCTCTTTGGAAAAGAAAGTTGCTTGCTCGAGCAATGATTAATCCTCCAACATATGCATTCCGTCTTTCGTTCTTCTGGTGGTGCTCACAGATTTGCGCAAGATGTGTGTCATTTGTATTGTTGAGTCGCTGCACCATGGCCGTGCGAAATTCCAGCCATGCCCACAAGTGGGAATCCAAACCAATATTGTTCTCCTCCAGGGTTTTCCTGACGAGCTGGAGGACATGCACCTTCCAACTCCTGTCTGAAAACCACGAAGCAGCCAACAGAGTCTCCAGAAAACAATCGATACCAAGGGCAGAGAGCCGATCTGATCGGGTCGGATGTAGATGGTTCACGACGTACTGAACTTGCAATAGCTGTGATCGACCAATATCCCCAAAGCTAAGTCTAGTTAATTTTTTTTTTTCACCTTAGAATGGATATATAACTTGAGGACATAATTACGTACAACAAATGAACATATTGGTCCACAGGAAATGTAAAATGGACAAGTAAAAGTGCCTGGTTCTGCCATTCATCTCGATCCTCTATGCTTCTCTCAATATCAGACGGTGCTCTGGGATTCATCTTGATGATTGGGGAGCCAAAGGAATTGGTAGTAACGGTGTGGATGAACCCAAGAGTCTCGAGCCTTTGTGTCGCATTGACAATTTTTTGTTTCTCCGATATCACCGAGAGAAGGTCGCTGTTGAACCCGACATTGCTCGGATGGACATCTTCGATTTCGCCTTGTGAGGACCATTGCTGGCGCGGCTGCCCGGCACGGAGGAGCATCCCGCAAGGAATGTTCGACCCATCCAAGAAGCAGAATAACTTCAATAGAGTCGCGGCGTCTTTTGAATCATTTTCAAGCTCGTCCAGTGTGAGGAGCTTTGGGAGAGTCGTTGTGTCCGATACTACCGACCCTTTTTGAAGGAAGTCAGGCTCCAGTTCGCTCTTGCAAGAAAATAATTCTTCGAACACACCTTCAGGACAAGTCTCGTCGTCGGATGCATCTGTCATATCTACCGAGGGTGCATTATTGACACTCTTTTCGCAGGGTTTGGGCTGGAAACTGTCAGCTTGATCACAATAGTTCGCTCCTAATTTTTCACAACGTACTATGTTTGACAGCGACGAAGTTCCATGACAGGCAGACAAGTGCCGGAAATGCCATGTGTCTTCAAACAAAATTAGAGGATGGATCTATTTCGAGATGTCCTATGCTGAGGCCTCACCGTCTTGGTCAGATAAGAGAAGGGCTTTTTTTTTAAAGTGTTAGTCAAAGCAATGGCGTGCTTGGAGATTTTACATTACTCACTCTCCAGGAAGACCTGATACTTTTCGCAATGTTTCAGTACTCCCGTTCCAATATCCAGAAGACCAAAGCGTGTTCTTTCACCAATCTTTGGAACTTGGACGCTTTCCATAAATTTGAGAAGTTTGTCAAAACTCGCATCACTCTGGCGAGAGACATGCCAGTCGGTCAATGTCAACGCAGTGACCCAAAGGAGAACACTGCTGGGTCTCATATTGCAAATTTGATTGCATCGGCGAAACTTTCTTTTCTCTCGATCAGCAGCCTGAGCTGGGTTGCGGTGATACTTCCGACCATATTTGCCGTCTCGTGGTTCGAAGACAGATACCAAGCGAATCAAAAAGGTCTCGAATTTCAAAGTATCGGAGGAAATTGCTGCCTTTGCTTTATCTACTCTAATAGTGATATCGTGGTCAAGGGATTCGCATTTAGTTTTGAGCAAATCCGCTGACAATTTAAGAAACCGTTCACTCAGGGACTCAAACTCTTCGGTCATATGACTGTCCCGAAAGATTGTGGTCGCAGCAAGTCTCAGAAGAAGACATTCTGCTATTTTCACACTTTCGGAGAGTTGACTGAGTAAATTCATGGTTGGTAGAGAGGGCGTCGGCGTTGGGTTGCTGGCCATTTCTTTGGCTGTTTTGCTTTGTAGAGTTTCCGCATTTCAAGTTTCGACCCTTCGAGGAATCTGGTCGAGGTTTTCTGTGTCTCGGAAGCACGATTTAGATTCTTTGACGGAATTGTTCAGCCTCGTCGGTCTAAAGCGGGGTTTCACATGAGTACATGTACCGATTGCAGGGATAATGTAGACTTCTTGCATATTTCTATAGAATTTGATAGTTAGACGTCTTGCAGCGTCAATCTGCCCCTTACAGGGGTCAGAATCGAAAAGCACGAATAAGAATAAATGCCGAATCCCTACCAGGTACGCCACACCAACCGGAACGATTTGCCTCGCGTTTGTCTTGACATATCAGTTATATTTTCTGACCGTGGTCAGGATATCTCCAAACCCTTTTTCGACCTCTGCGGCTCTGCCGAAGAACAAAAAACAAGGTAACTCGGGATCTGATCACAATGCGGTAGATGGCCCCTTGCAATATGGCTAGGGAATGGACATGCCAGACCCTGCGGCGTAGCATATAGATGCACAGCTCGGTCATTTGAATGATAGCAGCGGTAAGGCCGCGAAAAGAGGGAAAAAGAAAAAGAAAAAGAAATGGCTGTCATCACTTGAAATCCCCCCACGAATCAGGCTTTCCAGAGCCCTTGACAAGGAAGTCTAATCCATGCTCTCTGCCACAAGAGTCTTTTCACCTGCTTGTGATTCAAGTCTCAGTCTCGCGATTTGATGTGCATGTGTCCATGGACATCCCACTTTTGGTAGGCCCGAACGTTGCTGTTATCCGTGACATCTTCCCGTGTTGCTATCGTTTTGCCTTTGCCTATAAAAAGAGAGGAGCATGGCGTAGACGTTGATGGCAACAGTATAAATCTCGTCATTCGGACAAACTTTCGTCCATTATCAATTGTTTCTTAAAAATCTAAACTGCTATCAAAGCTTATCTACAAAATGAGCTTCTTGCGTTGGTGGCGCCGTTATATTTCTGAAGATGTAAAACCTGTCGGATGATTGATACCAAACTTTCCTGTTCTGATTAGATGCTTTAGCACGAAACACTATACGTTGTCAATTATATTGGAGAAGAACATAACGTCCATCGGCCGCGAGAAATCACCGTGACTGCTCAATTTCGCTACCAAAAGGAATCTGTGATTCACAGTTTGCCTTCGACCGAATTCCTTTGCGCATCAGGGGCCAGAGAGGCCATGGGAGAAGAGCTATATAATGGGCTCATGCGTCGGACGTATCCGGATAAGCAATGGCCGCAAGAAAACAAAGGCAACTCAATCTTTTCATGGCGTTTATGCTTTGCGAGAGCTCGTTGAACCGGGAGATTTAGATATCTGTGATGAGGCTAAAGTCGTTAATAATTTGATGAAGTTACATCATAGGCCAGCTTTGGTTCCCGTGTGAATTACCTCCGCAAGCCGTGGGGGTATGTTGGTATATCCTGGCCGTAGTCCCACTGGGTCCCACATTAGCCTTAAGCCCCTTTTAGAAATGCCATCCATCCGCTCATGGATTCAGCGACAATCATAAGCTCGTGTTCATATCCCATCACAAAAGCCACTGAGAATGGCTGGCGGTCGTTATGCAAGAAGATGTTTTTGAAACTTTGAGCCCATAATGGCCGCCACTGCTCCCCTCCCCCCACCATCATGGGAGCCCACGTCGCAGAGATTCGACCCCTCATTGCGTATGGTTTGGATGTCCTGTCATGGCATCGCGTGCACATCATGGTATATAAGCTCTTCCAGAACTTGCTCGCTGTCCTATCGTCCACTCGAGTTCAGAGCTCTCAGGTGTCAGCGATCTTTTGAAAAAGAAAGAGAAGGAAAAGAACGAGAAAGCCGTGGCAATTGACAGTGACGCTGCCAGCACAATGGAGAAATATCCTGAACTTGCACTTTTATCTTCCTCGTTCCAAGCTTTATCGCCTCCACCCATTACGCCTTCCATCTTCGCAAAAACCCCGCTCGGAATCCTGCGGCCTCGACCAAATACTGAAACCCCTTTTCAGAAAGAGCGCCCGGTAAGTCAGGGAACCAAACCCAGCATACCCAAACGAGCTGACATAGTAATAGAAAACCGGCCCCAGACCGTCTCAAAGCGAGATAGCAGATGCCGTCGATTTCATCAGTCAAATTGAGAAAGCCACTCCTATTGAGTTTGAAGCCACTGCACTGTCAGTCGGAAGTCCAAACATACCCAGGGAGAAGCCTAGACGCTCCAAGCACATGAACACCTTTCTAAATATTTCTTCCCTAGGGACTTCACTCTCGAGATGATAGTTCGGCACCCAGTTCTCTTCCCAGAGAAATTGGACCAAACTGCTAAAACACCTGCCACGATTGGCTCTCTAAACTTTGAAACGATTCAGCAGCAATTCAAAATTTGCATGAATTATGTTATCAAGAGAGAACGGGCTGCATCGACACTTGTTTCACAGACCATGGATACAGCAGAGAAACTACGACAGCGAGAGGCCGAACGTTGCGAATTTGCAATACGTGAAAGTTTTGCATACCTTTCGAAATGTGCTTCGCTGCTACTTGATCCCATGTACAATTCCGATTCAAATTTTCGAGGAGATATATCATTTGACCAGACAGTGCTTTGCATTTGTGCTATCACTGCACATGCACTCAACAGGCTCAACAACTTTGGGGATATGTCACATTCCTTGGCTCTTCTCTGCTTCCCATTCGAAAGTCTGGGCAGACTTCAATTTCTGTTTGAAGATCAGCCGCCTAAGCACTTTGCTGAGAATTCAATTGCCCTATTTGATACTTTGTCACCTATTATTTGGGAGCAAGGTCGATGCTTGCTTTTGTACCCTGTCAGCGTCGTCATTTCAGCAATCTACCATAAATTGAGCCTTGAATACGCTGGGCCGGCAGAAACTTTACGCAACATCTGCCTACAGAAGCTTTGGTCCAGACTTGGCTCGCCGTGCAAGGAGCCCGAGTTTAAGATTTAATGGTATGTGGGTGTTGGAACGTTGTTTATATGGGAGACTGGGTTGGTGGGAAAGCTGAATATGCATTGGTTGAGCGTTGTCTTCGGTTCCGACACCCTTTCTTTTGTCTGAGTCTCTCCGCGATGGGAGACAAGCGAGTAGAAGCCAATAGGATGGTTAATTACCACGATACGGTCTGGAGCTTGTTCCTTTATATTTACGAATTATGAGTGCGGGGTACTTTGCTGTTAAATCATATTATCATACTATGTGATGGTTTTATTTTATCTGAGGATTCAGCTATTCCCTCATCACAATCTCAAGTTATTTGCTCGGCCCTTTATATTTTACAGGTTTCTCACTAGTGTAGATTGTGGCTCTATCGCTCATCAAAGCATCAAGTTATGAGGAATCTTGTGAAAATATATTCACCCGCTTTTTCCGATGGCATTTTGATTACTTGGGCCTAAATATCCGAAAGGAGAGAGACGCATTAAAAGCCAGAACGGATGCTGACCTTTCGAAGGCCATTGCGTAATGAGGTTCTATGATTTATCGTGATAAGATAGTACACAACTTTGGGTAATAGTGCAAAGAGGGAAGAAGCGCCAGTAAGAATTTAATACGGGTCAGGCTCTCGTCTGTCCATTTAAACGCTTTCAGTTTCTTGCAGTATTCTGCTTTGCATTCGCTTTTCGTTTTCTTTCCTAAGATGATGTCTCTTAATTGAATAATCGCATCAAGTCTATCCCGTCTATATGCGCCACCATTTATCCAATGATCTTAACGCCATGTCCAACCCTTGCCTGATCACCCCATAAAAGGAATTCTAGGCGCCTTTATATCGATATCGCAGATTTTCCAACTCAGCCACATCGACTAAGAGCATGGTTCGCTTTGCAGTAAATACCAACGCCGATGCCACTATAAGTAATACCGTTAGATGTAATTCAATTCGGGAAAGATAGACGGAGACCTACCTCCTGGCAGTAAGCATAATATCCAAAACCCGTCAGGCGCACTACTTCTCCCCTTTAATCGTACCGCCGCCAGCGCCAGCAAGGCGCAGAGGCCTGCATTCAACACACCTAGATATTGCTCAATAGGACCGCCGCCCCATTCGCCCACCTCAAAGTCCATTCCCGGTCGGAGCGGACGCTTGCCTTTTGGATCGGGCTTGGCACGCAGCGGCATGTACCAGAGGCTGTATGCGCTTGAGAGCAGGGACGTAACGCCGAGAAGGCTGAGCAGGATGTGTTGAAAAGAGCGAGCATTGTACACCGGATGAATATAAGCTAGGTTGAGCAAGAGTAGGACGATAACGAAAGATTTCTGCAGAATATCATGTAATTAGCTTTTGCAAAGGTGCATGTTTACTTCCATGCGGTACGAAGCAGCAGCAGCAGCAAGATGGTTAAAAGGGTAATAACACGGCTGGTAAAATCTAAGTAACCAAAAACAATAACTCAACTCACAGTGTAAAATGCATTGCGTTTCTCGTCTTCTTCTCGAAGCTGCTCAATGAATTTCTCCTGCTCTGTATCGTGCAGGGTTACGTTAGCGTCGGTACAAGGACAGGGAATAAATATTCAACTACCTTCTTCGTCCATGTGTTCGGGAAGTTCATCCTCGTCTTCATCTCCAGGATACTGGAAAGTCTTTCTGAGCCTAGTTGTAGCCATGCTGAGCGGTATACTGATGCGAGAAATCAGTCGGAGAAAAAGAATAATAAACTATCAGCTTGGCGCAGCCTTGTGATGCAACCAAGCACGCACGAGCGCACTATGTCCCCGTTGCCCCGAAAGCTATCCGGCCTTACGTTTCTCCGTTTCCGATGCCTAGGGGTTTTGGTAACTGGCAACTCCAGCCGAAACGAAAGAGAATCAACTCCTACTCCGGTAGTTCACCAATTCTGCCGCCTCAGTGTCAATACGAGAAAGCTGCTTAGCTACCTTACAAATCTATCGTCGGGTTCATTCGTCAATTGCTGACTCGACATTCCTCATGCTTCGTCCTGGAAGTGCGACAATGCCCTTCCGGCCCCTGCGGCCGCGCCTTGGTGTCCCACGAGCCACGGGCCTGCGGACTCTGATCGCTGCTCCCAAGCCAGGCTCTGGCCCGCTCATGGAGCGTCGGGCAGACCGTGAATTGCCTTCGATCCCCAACCCTCGGCGATGGATCTACACGCTTCCTATATTCGCTGTCATCACTGGAGTTGCGACACTCTGCATATTTAATTACCAAAAGTCATCGAGCAGTGTCGTAAACAGTACTCTCTACGCCCTCCGCACCCATCCCGAGGCGCGAGAGTTGCTTGGGAGTGACATCTATTTTGCCAACCGCATTCCTTGGATCTGGGGGGAGATCAACCAGTTACACGGCCGCATCAACATCCACTATGCGGTCAAGGGAACAAAGTCTACAGGGCATATGCGCTTCCAGAGCTACCGCAAGACGAGAATGGGCTACGTGAGTGATCCCTACATCACCTAATTCGCGCTCTTCTTGGGAATTTTGCAGGATAATCATAGACCGTGTTGTACTTTTTGAGTCACTTATGGATACATTGCTGACAATCCTTCTAGTTCGAAACGACTGAATGGAGCCTGACAATGCCGGATGGCCGCAGGGTTGAGCTGTTGGAGTCTGCAGGACATGATCCCTTCCGGGAAGAAGCTTCAAATTGAGATTGGGGGAAGAAATGTAAATATGTGAGAGCGTAAAAGGACTGTATAGTTACAGCATTTGGTCAATTGGCATTTACAAGGCGTTGGGCGCGCTTTATTTTATTTCCTTTGCTGTACAATATCATGAGCGAGTACGCTGGATCATACAGCATGATTGCTGGTATATATAGAAGCGCATTTAGACAGGGAATGCTAAATAACGTTTTGAGCTTTTAACGTTTATACACAAGCGCTTGCCGCGCGCTTGAAGACGGCGTTTGCCATGAGAACAAGCGGCGGTGGCTTCACAAGTGCCGATATTCGGACGAGATTCGGGATCGAATATTCTAGTAAACGGGACTTCTGAAGCGCTATACAGAGTAGATTTGGCCAGGCTCCCTTGGTCATCATAGGCAAAAGATATCATTGTGCGTTAGTCAAGTACTGGCGCAGACCCGCTCTAGAAAGAGAGAAAAGAGTTAGATGTAATCAGCCGTGGTCACATCCAACGACGATACTAAATAGGAATCAGAGTGGCGAAAATATGACACATGTTTTGTTTAGATTTTATACGGCAGCTGGGTGTGGTTTGTTCTAATGGAGTCTAGAGGTGAGGTTGTACTGTATGTAAAGGTGTACGGAGTAGAGTAGGCGTTCGATGGGGTGGTTAGCTAGTCTTCGCTTCAAGAGCTTGCTGAGCGCACGTGCGGCTGTGATTGGATTGTATCCAACTGTCCGCTTTATCAACGACAGCTGCATTCCCAACCGCGGAATAACAGCATCAGCCAACAGACCTCATCATCAGGCTTCTTTTCCGGGTTCATCTCCGTGTCCCGCCGGTTCAAAATCCCCGCTCCAGTATTGGTTCTCGGCTCTATTAACACGCCCAGTTAGAAAGAAGAAACAGGTGGTTATATCGTGCCTCTATCGATATCGCCGCATTGGGCCCCGCACCACTACAGGTGGAACCCATTCATCATCTATCCCACGTGCGCGACCTCAAAAACTGCGTCAGAATCTGACAGAGGATCAGCCTGGAATAGTCATTCTTGCTCAATTGCAGACAGAGACATACTTTTGTGACCAGTCTTCGTCGCCGTCTTTCTTCTTCCATTGTAGCGGTGCCCGCAGCTACTGTACGGTTTCGGGTACCGTGCATGTCACTCGCCCATCAAACCTACTAGGGTAGCTCACTGATGGATGAACTGACGTCTTGATCAATCTCTCTCCTGTGTCTCTAATCGTCATTTGGGTCTTTTTGCTCATCTGTCTTGTTTCCTTTTATTTCATATACCTTGTGCCCCAGAGGCCCTGTGGGCTCTTCGGGCCTTTTTTGTACTTTCTTTGGCCGCTTGGTTGCATTGTGATCCATCATGTACGTCCTTTACTTTCCTCCGGTCGTCCCTGGACTTTCAGCTGCGCGTACGGAGTCCGTTCCGCTGAGTCTCATGTATCCTCCCGGCTGACCATGCACTTTCCTAAATCTAGGAAGTTCGGCAAGCAGCTGCAAAAACGACAGCTGGAAGTTCCGGAATATGCAGCCAGCTTCGTTAATTACAAGGCGCTGAAAAAGGTTGAGCGTTACCCTTCCAGTCGCTGCTTTTTCGTTTGACCCCACTAACACCTTTCACAGCTCATCAAGAAGCTCAGTGCAACTCCTCTACTGCTCGCCCAAAATGAGGCTGCTCCGCTTGGAGAGCATCTCGACCCGCAAGCATCCCTCCAGGCAAACAAGGCTACCTTCTTCTTCCGGCTGGTGGGCATCCCCTTACTCTACAGAAAGCCTGCTCGAGGATCGCTCGTTAACGGGTATCTTAGGAACGTGAGCTCGAGAAAGTCAATGCTTTCTATCTCCAGAAAGAGGCCGAGGTCCGTTTATGCTCCCGTTATCTCTCCATCTTGCTTCTGACAACGTTACTGTGCAGTTGAAACTACGTTTGAAAACCCTTGTGGACAAGAAACGAGCAATTCATTCGCGCATCATTGCACAGTCAAAGGTCTCGGCTAGCTTGGTAACCCTGCAAGAGGGTTTCGAGCAATTTGGAAATGATCTCAACAAGCTTCAGGTTTGCAATATCCGTAAATATCGTGGACATTCAGAGTTCTGATGATTTGCAGCAATTTGTCGAAATTAATGCCACCGCATTCTCAAAGATATTAAAAAAGGTTTGCTCCCAAAAATTTCGCTATTGCAAGAGTCGCAAAAGTCACTAACTAATTTTGATGCGTAGTGGGATAAAACTTCAAAGGTCTGTTTAGAAAAAAGTTTTCTCGTCCCTTCCAATTCCCGAAGCCGAACTGACCAACGATCAGTCACGCACAAAAGAGCTTTATCTCTCTCGTGCTGTCGAGGTGCAGCCATGCTTCAACAGAGATGTCATCAGCGACCTTTCCGATCAAGCAACGACAAGTCTTCTTGAGCTTGGCGCCTGGTCGGACGGAGAGAAGCTCCAGTACGAAGCCAGACCTGCGGAACACGTCGTGAGCGGACAGATCCCCGGCACCGACGAAAACGATATCGATGCGCAGATTCTTCAAGCCGTCCGAACAGGCAATATTCCCGCCTTGCGAGATTTCATTGTTCGTCTGAAAGATTCACCAGATGTCTCCGAGAGATTTACGCGCACATTCCTTGCCTCTGTCAACGACGCCCCGGACGAGTCCTTGGCGGTGCTGCTCGAGACAAACTTGGTTGACCTACACGCCCAGGAGGATATCAATGAGCGCAACTGCCTTCATGAAGCCGCCATGTACGGTCGGGAATATGTGCTGAATGCTGCCATCGCAGCCAAAGTTGATGTGTCAAGAGTGGATGTCTACGGTCGGACTCCGCTACACTATGCTAGCATGAATGGACGAGTGGACGCGCTCCAGACTTTGGTTGCAGCTGGCCCCAGAATTATCGACACGATGGATCATGACAACTTCACTCCTTTGATCCTGGCTATTGTGCATCATCAGCTACCTTGCGTTCAACGCCTCCTCTCTTTCCGAGCACGGGTAGATCCCAGCAGCGAATCCGACCATATCCCATTGAATCTAGCATGCCAGCATGGTTCAGTGCCGATTGTTGAGCTTCTTCTGCAAAACCACGCGGCCGTACTTCCTGATGCCGAGGGTCTCTATCCTCAGCACCTTGTGGCTCGTTCAGGAAAGTCGCCAGAGTTGCTGCTCATGCTACGGGAGTACGGAGCGGATCTGGACCAGCTTGACAAGCTCTACCAATGGACACCTTTGTTTCATGCGGCGAGTGAAGGCCATTTACGCTCTCTACAAGTGCTGTTAGAATGTGGCGTTCGTCCGGATATCAACGATGAAAAGGGACTGTCTGCAGTATACTATGCTGCTTGGGAAGGCCACCTCCAATGCATGCGGCTTTTGGCGGCCGCAGGAGTAAAAGCCGGCTTGGCAAAATCAGCCACGCCTCTTTCACAGGCTTCAACGGCACCTGCAGTGCCCGCAAGCTCGACCCCGGCACCCATGGCCATGGAACATGACGCAATTCCGGACCTATCTCTTCCGCCTCCGATAATACCTCTCCGACGATATGGACACAATTTCCTTGATTCTAAGACCTTTGTCGCCATCAGCTTCGAAGAGGCCGGCGCTCACGCCATTCGATTCTTCCACGACAGCAAGTATCCTGCCGCACGTCTTACCATCACCTCGAAACTCTCAGATCTTATTCCTCGAAATGTTTTGATTCCGATTCAGGAAGATTCAAGGGTCATCTCCTTCCAGATTGACAATCTGGATCTGTTCACGGTCGACTTTGATATTTTTCCGACATTTGGCTCCAAAGTCATCGCTCGTAGTATTGCGTTGCCGAACAATTTCAATTCGCAGCTCAGCAGTACGGGACATTGCTGTCTGCCGCTTTTCGACCCACGGCTGCGTGCGATTGGTCAAATCAGCTTCAACTATCAGGTTATCAAGCCGTTCCACGGTATCCCACTGGAGATCACCGATTTTGCTACGTACTGGAAAGCAACAAGTCAGCGCGATGAGCAGCCCAGTGCTTTCATTACTGGCTCGAGTTTGTCGGGCGAATATGTCAGGTTGTTTGTTCAATTGACTAATGACGGTGTGCCTGTCCTGTGCCCGCAGTGGACTGTGAACCTTGGCGGGATTGAGTTCTCTGTTGGGCGCTTGACATATGAGCAGTTTGTCAGCATCGGTGCTCAGCGTGATCAAGGGGACGAAAACCTAGCTGCATTGGCGAACTGGGAGACCCAAGGTGACATTACCAAGATTCACCAGGTCCTCGCAACCTCATTTGCATCGCTCAAGGATGCTCTTGCTGTTATGCCGCCAAACCTTCATGTTGAGCTTCACGTACTATTCCCTTCTGCCACGGAGGAGCACCTCTCTGGACTTGGGCCAACGCCCAACATCAACGATTTTGCGGATGCCATTCTTAGTGACGTCTTTGATCATGCGCGGCAAATGAGAGAAAGATCTCCAGATGCGCTAAGATCAATTGTCTTTACTTCCTTCAACTCGAATATTTGCGCAGCTCTGAACTGGAAACAACCCAATTGTACGCACAACCCCCGAAGCCATATCGGCAATGTTGTTCAATGAAAAACTAACATTTGGTCACCAACAGACCCGGTATTACTATGCAACAACCTTGGTTCTGACCCGGCGTCGCTTGTCGGAAATACGGCGACTGTGCAGAGCAGCGGTCAGCATTCGATATCCGTGAAGGAAGCCGTCCGGATAGCCCAGGGTAACAATTTTATGGGCTTGGTGTGCTGTTCAAGATTATTGGTATGTTCTTCCGATTCACAACTGCACATGGGCGTGTTTCTTTTCTAGATTGGCTGACTTCTCGTCTTTTGCTCCAGGATATGGTGCCTGCTCTTATCGAAGCCATCAAAAGTGCCGGTCTTGTCTTGGTCTCCGATACGTCAGAGCAATGTGCGCCATACCAACGCAATTCGGACAGCGAGGACGTGCCCATGCCACCTGCTCCCGCATCTAACAACACAGCATCTTCCGCTTGGCCCCCAGGCCATTCATTTCATGGCGTGCCTGATGGCATTGACGGCGTGCTCAAGAGTAACGGAATCTTGAAGTTCAACGAGACGATCGACATGTGACGTGATGCGATGGAATGGTGTTTGCATATTTTGGATTTAACTTTCTTGCTTTCCAATTTCTACTTATATACCTAAGAAGTTTTCTCCTTTTACTCCACTTGAGCGCATTTGCTCCTCCATTTATACTGTCGATACCATCACCACTAGTCTCTTCGTGGTATGAGAGTCGGAAGGTGGGGGAGACTGGGAACTGGCATGGACAGACTTTGTCGCAACCCCGACCCCCTCGTCCATGGGCTCCAGCAATGTTTCAACAAACGGAGTCAAAGTTTATTTCTTCCATATTTTCAACACTTTTTCTGATATCCAGACACTCCGCTGACCTTTCGGACGCATCCCTCTACTACACTACATCCCTCTCATGCTTTTCCGTCATGCACTTCCTCACCATTCGATTCGCTCCTCACTTCAGACATGATGGAATTTAAAATCGTTGGTTATCTCTTTTCTTTGTCCTTTTATTCTGCTATATACACCTTGTGTCAGAGTCGATGTCTAAAAGATTATTTTGTATGTATGTTTGTAGACGGGATGGAGTTTGCTTTTGGTAGACCTAAAGAGGAGTGTCTCAGATAGGAATGGATTATTTGAAATGAGAAAGTCAACGTGCATTCGAATGTTGAACGTGAACAAAATGAGAGTAATTTAATGGATACTTGTATCATAGTTTTATCTCCTACCTGGAAAACTCGAATGGTAACGCTCAAGAAAAGTCGAGTTGTCTTGATTGCTAGATATCATATTTTCTTGTTAATGATAAACTAAAATTGTCAAACCTCATTTAGGAATGATAATTTTCTTGACGTCTCACCCTAAAGAGTTAGGATACTGACTTGAAGCATCCGCTGGCCTCCGCGGCAAGGACCTCGCATAAATTTATGCATATTGCACAACAATGCACAACTTTCGCCTTAGCGCCGGGTCTTAAACTCCCCCAAGTCATTACCCGTTGAATAATCCTGCAAGCAAGCAAAGTCGGGGAGCATTTCTATCAAACTTCACAAAAACTTACCAACATCACGACGATCACGTCTCTTCTTTACCGGGCATCCCTCCAATTGCCTTGCCCATAATGCCACCTAAAATCCCAGCGCTGCGGCCGCGCAGCATAATACCGTCCTCATCCGCGCCGTGCACTCTCCTGCCACGATGTTCCGTCTTGCTCCCATCAACCTCAGCATTAAAGCGTTCGACTGCCCTAGGCTTCTCAACTACGACGTCACGCTCTATCCGCCCCGTTCAACCTCCTCGTCCCGACCGCTTCAACATTGGACCCGGTCTGCCAATCCTCGATGGCTCGCAAGCAGGTGCACTTCAGCGCAAAGCCGCTACCACTCCTTTGCGCACAGGAGTGCTTGCTATCAAAAAGGGCATGACGGCACTGTACGATGCCGAAACGGGCAGACGCACACCTTGCACTGTTCTACAGCTGGACAGGCCCCAGGTTGTCTCGCACAAGACTCGCCAGCAGCACGGATACTGGGCCGTCCAAGTCGGCAGCGGCTGGAAGCATGCGAGTAACGTCACACGGCCAATGCTCGGGCATTATGCAGCAGCGGAGGTCTCGCCCAAGCGTCACCTTGCTGAGTTTAGAGTGAAGGATGAGGACGGCCTGTTGGCTGTAGGCGAAGTGATCAAGGCGAATTGGTTCCAAGAGGGTCAATTTGTGGATACGAGGAGTAACAGCAGGGGAATGGGCTTTGCTGGTGTAAGTTTTTCCCCCGCCCTCCTTTCTTTTCGGTAAGAGGAAAGGTATATTTGAGCGGTGCTTATTCGATTATTGTATCATTATAGGGTATGAAACGACACGGTTTCAGCGGTCAACCTGCTTCGCACGGTATTTCCTTGACCCATCGTTCGCTCGGTTCGGCAGGTCAGTCCCAAGGCGGTGGTTCCAGAGTGTATCCCGGCAAGCGCATGGCTGGACGTATGGGCAATGAGCAAGTCACCGTGCAGAATGTCAAGGTTCTTAAGGTCGATGAAGAGAAGGGCCTTGTTATCGTGAATGGTTCGTCCTTTCCCAGGTTCTCATTCTCTTTGGTGCTTCTTGGCGCAATCCGTCTGTGAAAATCTCTTTACTAACGCGATATTCTGTATCCAGGCGCCGTTGCCGGTCCCAAAGGCTGCATCGTCAAGATCCAGGACGCCATCAAGAAGCCCTGGCCTGAGATTCACACCAGCCCGCCATCTGCCCAGGATGCTGCCGATATGTTGAAGGCTACTGCTTAAACCGTTACGTTCCTTTTATCTCTTGACCACCATCCAGACGAATTGGTCTCTCTTCGCATACAATTCAAGAGATGATTCATCCTCGTCAATACCTCTGAGATAAGCATCATAGACATTACGTTCCACCTCGCCAGCAAAGCATAGTGAGCGGCGATCCTGGCTGTGGGAAATGGAATGGATTGGTTCTAATAGCTAAACGCGTCTGCGGAAAGGCAATAGACTTTGTCACACCATTTCGCGCCATTAAGCCTAAAGTCTAACACAGTCATCCGGCTGGGTTACACCTTTTTCGGATTCGGAGTTGTTGTTATTTTTCTTTCACGGGGAAAAGCAGGCTGCGTACAGTATCCCTATGCAAGCATCCTGCCGGAACAGCATTTGTTTACGTTTATCTGTAAACGTTACTTACATTATTCTCTGTACGACTTGTTTCTGTTATATATCTGCTTCTTTCTACTCCATCCCCCGCCTGTGGTACTTGTACGTATATGTATACTATTTCTACCTCCCTACATCCTTACACTGATAAGTTTTACTCAAATACCGGTTTGGCACTGTCCCTTGTTTCTTTTCACCTCTTGCTCAATTTCTTTTTCTCTTCTTTTCCAAATCAGATTTAGATATTCTTTAGACCTTGGAATGTAAAATTCATATCACTCATCTCAATTAGATCAATGTTATCGTTTAGTTTCATGAGTCTGATGTTTTAACCCCAGTTTTATCGGTAGCATGAATAATAACTCAATACACCTGCATTGGATATTGTAGTCCATATAGTTGAATGCGGCACATGTACTGTATATCTATACATTTCACTTGTCTACCTTACCTACCTGTTTTATCTGGTCTTGTTCCTTTGCATTCTAGTTCGGCAATGTTTCCCAGCTTTTATCTCATGTTTAGCCGTCTCCCTCTTCATCCTGTATAAGATTTAGATATGTTTAGAGTGGAATGTAAGATTCAGATTTGCGTCTCAATGTTTTCAGCTACTATCGTACAATTCTTGATTATTGAAAAGGTTATGACATCGACCCGTGTGGTCCTCAAAGAGCCTTGCTAAACCACCGATGCTGAAGCGCTTCTCGCGCACTTATTCTTTTCGTTGGATCCAAACTCGTCATTTTGCCTACTAAATTCCTTAGATCTGGGTCAACGAAATGCCAATACTCAAAAGGCTGCCGGGGGTCCTGTGGAGAAAAGTCGCCGGCAAGTTCGATGAGGCGCTTATGAAAGGGGTTTTCTTCCCCAATGTGATCAAGAAGGCCATTGAGGCCATCGTTGTCAGCAAAATAGGATATGTGTCGGCGGAGAATGTAGCGCCACGACTCTTGTGCATGGAGCTGGTCGTTGCTGACGCGAAAGACCATCTTGTAGAACATGACGTAGATCATCTTTAAAACAATATATTAGCGTCTATTTATAGTTCCAAAATCGGGTTTCAATGCTCAGCGGTGCGTTCCGTTGCACCAGTTAGATTGGCAGTCATACCACAACGCCAAAAGAAAACACATCAGAGGCCTGATTCTGGCGCGAGCGGGCCCATGCCTCGGGGCTTCTCCACATTTGATTACCGCACAGCGGACCCCTTAGCCATTTTCCTGGCGGCACAACGACGCAGTCCTCCAGGTCTGCGATCTGCACTTTATCGATTTTTACTTCGCCTGTGGCGGTGTCAATGATCTCGTAGTTGAGGAGAATGTTGTTGGGTTTTATATCTGTTATCCATCAGCGCTGCGAGTCTGCAAATATGCGAGGACCGCAATGAGGAGAAACCAGAGGATTTTCCTAGGAACGATGCAATGCTCAAAGTAACACTGACCATTATGTGCAATATGTCTATCATGTAGCTCAATAAGACCACGCAAAGCCTCTCGAAGAATACCCCTTCTTGTCGCTTCGGGCGGCCCTTTTAAAACAAACTGAAGCAGGTCTTCCCTAAAAAAAGGATAAATCAACAGTTTATGCTCGCGAATGCTATCAATCACTGTTCGCACATTTGAGCACGAAGACAGCGACCTTTGGAAATCCAGCTGGTACTGAAAATCGCCCGGATTTATATTTTTGATAACGTAGTCACGTCCTTCGGCGCTTCCCCACATCGGATTAGCGAACTATTTTCAGCCAGCCGCGGCAGTGCTTTGGGTCAAATCAACCTACCGCGCGTGATATACGCATAGAAAGGGCTTTCGCCGCTCTGCGAGAACTTCTTGAATCTCATAAGCCCGCCCAGTATCGCTGTTGAGCACTACACCCGGAATGAACGGTTCTTGGCTAGATTGTGACGATTGTGACATAGTAGACATGGCGTAGCGTGGGGAGCGTCGCCAACTAAAACAAAAGAGTCGCGTCATTGATAGCAGAGTTCTGGACGAGGGCGACAATTGCATTGTAATAGATCAGGGATTCGAAAGAACATTATCAATTATTGATGGGGCTGGCAGCGTGGAAGAGGTCACGAATAATCTTCTATATTTGTGGATACCTATCTGGATTCAGAACATAAGCTGCCAAACCTGAGCCGTGGTATTATCACGTGCCACACACCTTAGCAACCTCAGACGCATCCCATTCTGTGATAGACACCAGACGTTTACTAAATTGTGTATATAGTTATGCTCTACAGGATTTTTACTCCCACAGATAAGCCTCTTGGCTACCAGGCTACACTTTTATATCTCCTGATCTTGGCAATCTACCGGGCACAGCTGCTTCGACCTGTGGCCCAGCAAGGCAGCACCAAGCATGAGTTCGTAATCCCGTCAGCCTTGTTCAAGAAAAGCACGCCTGATTGCAGCCTTGCCGCCTTACTAAAATCGGGTTTTCTGGAGCGAATCAAGAGAGACTCCGCCTTCCTGTGACTATCATTCTAACCGCTGAAGCTTCTTACCCAGCACATGTGGCTTCAGCCCAGACGGGATGCTCTTTGACAATACAGTCTTACTGGCTGGTTGTTGCAGCGAGAAATTCCAGCTGACAGGAAAGACTCGGGATGTGTTGTATGCTGCCGTGAATTATGACCTGGGATATGAAGAGGTGGAGAATGACAAGAGCTCATTCACAGACAAGCGGTCGATACTAGTTTCACGTCTCATATCTCCATTCACCAATCCACCATAACTCCTCCTTTGTGCATTGTCTGTGTTTTTGTCTGCTTCTTCGTCTTCAATTTTGTCTTTGTATCCGTCTTCTCCGTAGTCAACTCTTCTTTGTTACCAATAACATGCCCTCCAAAGCCAAGGTCCTCTCAACCAAGCTTATCGCCATTATTACCAAAGGCAAACGTACTGTGAAAGTGGGATATGTGGACAAAACAGAGGCCTGGAAACGGAATTATCTGAGTCCGGATATGCAAAAGATGTTCAAAGAGACTGCAGAACAACACCTGCTCACCTTGCGAGGGGATACTGACATGATAGCTCTTCGGTATGTAATCTGTCCCGGTCGTGACCTTCTCATCATGCCTCTGACATTGAATCGTGTAGGGAGACTCCCCATACGAGCAAATCTGATCAACGCTCACATATCACTGCAGTTGAGCTCAATATCCAGGGCGAAGTTACTGAAACGCACCACTTCCCTGTTGAATAAAATATGCCCGGCATCACACGGGTTTCATGACCTCAAACGGAAGATTGTATTGGGATCATTTATGGACAGTCTAGTGAGGCAGCGGACGATTTCTAGCATGGTCCAATGTGTACCAACTGGATGGATGAGATGGTATAAGGGTTATTGATAATATTGATAATACATGTTCCACACATGAAATTTCCGGGCTGTGGTCATCTAGACCATGTTTCTTTTGATTGAAAAAAAATAAAATAAAATAAAATAAAAGTTTGGTTGCTCTATTATAACATGAGCTGTTGCAAAGCAACGTGACTTACGTCGCCGAGAGTCATCCGACATGAGGAACACACCCGTGCTATAAACATTCCTAGGGGATACTATGGTCGGGATCCAAAAACTTACAAGGTTAATGCCCAGTTTTAAGGTGCTCCATGCATTCAATTACATCGTATATGTTTGGTAATTATTGCAAATAAAGATGGTATACTAAGTAGAGAGATTCGGCACTAGATCCAAACGTGTTCAAGGTTGGCAGTTCCCCCAAGACCGGGCGAACAGCCCCCAGCGGAGTCAGGCCGAGGGACGCTCTCGCGCCATATTCATTCACCCACTCTCAAGCCCGAAAGTCGGCTGTCTGCGGTTGCGTCGAAGAAGAGTCCCGATACATTCATTATCCCTGCTGTAGCATCCCAGCATTACTTCCCGGGCACTTGCTAACCGTTTGGCCGGCGCTCCGCCAACACCATATGAGCATGTGACTCACTTCATTCATCGAAGTCTCATCTCATTGTCTTCCTTTCATCATCATCTATTTCGCTGCACAATTCGATGCTTTGAGGGCTTCCATTAGAATCCACAATGGCTTCAAAGCGGAAAGCGACCCAAGGCGCCGTCAAGGCCAGCAGAATGTCCAGAATCTCGACTCCAGGGTCGGTGACCCCGCGCAGGATTGAAAGTGACTACTCTCACGGCCCAAGCGGACTGCCCGATCAACGCAACACGATAATCGCCCAGAATGTTCAGAAACTTGATATCAGCTCCTTTCCATATATGCTTTCGCCAGGCATCATAGATTCGGCATCGGAGTACTTTCAGCCTGGGCAGAAAAGAGACTTGACCGCCCTCAAGTTAAAGCCAGACCATCATAATCGGCCGCTTTGGATTGATGGCTGGGGAAAGCTTACCCTTGAAAATTTCCACCCGCTGGCGCCTCGGGTGCAGGATTTCCTGACTACGATTGCTGAGCCAACATCACGACCAGCATTCTTGCATGAGTACAGGCTCACGACCCACAGTCTGTACGCGGCGGTCTCGGTAGGTTTAAATCCGAAGGATATCATCCGTACTCTCAAGCTATTCTTGAAGAATGAGATGCCGCCAAATGTCATTGCATACATCACGCACTGTGGCAAGAGCTATGGCAAAGTGAAGATAGTGTTGAAGAGCAACAAATATTTCGTGGAGACGGCGGATCCGGCAGTGCTGCAAATGCTGCTAAAAGATCCTGAGATAGGACCGTGCCGAGTTCAAAACGCCGAAGAAATAACCACCAGCGTTTCAACGATGGCTGGACTGGCAATTGCTGGAACAAAGGACGCTGCTGATATGCGTGTAGCCGAGAGGGTAGAGGATCAGGTCGAACGAAACTCGAGGGTAGAGGAGGTGTATTATGCTGCCTTGGGTGAGGATGACGATGAGGACGACGTTCAAGATGCCCTTCACGCATTTCAAATCGAAGATGAGAAAGTGGGAACGGTCGCGCAGCGGTGTTTGGCATTACTTTACCCTGCGCTCCAGGAGTATGATTTCAGAAATGACTATATCAATGCAAATCTGGAGATAGATCTACGGCCAGCAACTCAAATCCGACCATACCAGGAACAAGGACTCAGCAAGATGTTTGGTAACGGTCGTGCAAAGAGTGGCATCATCGTTCTGCCCTGTGGAGCTGGAAAAACTCTCGTCGGCGTCACAGCTGCTTGTACAATAAAAAAGGGGGTTGTTGTTTTGGCCACCAGTAATATGTCAGCAATTCAGTGGAAGAATGAGTTCGTAAAATGGTCAAGTATTAACCCAGATAACATTGCCATCTTCTCTTCGGATTGCAAATCCCTGTTTACTGGAAATTCCGGCATCATAATTACAACCTATTCGATGGCGACAAACTCGCGAGAACGTGCTCACGAATCGGCGAACATGATAAAATTTCTCCAGAGTCGGGAATGGGGCCTGATGCTTTTGGATGAAGTACACGTTGTCCCCGCAGAAATGTTTCGAAGTGTTATTGGGACCATCAAGTCTCATGCAAAGCTAGGCCTCACAGCCACACTTCTTCGAGAGGACGATAAGATTGAGGATCTAAACTTCTTGATCGGGCCAAAACTGTATGAGGCTAATTGGATGGAGCTGTCGCAGCAGGGTCACATTGCAACAGTCCAATGTGCTGAAGTTTGGTGTCCCATGTCCACTGAATTCTACGAAGAATACATGAAGGCCAATGCCCGGAATCGGTCATTGTTCTGTGTCATGAATCCATCCAAGTTCCAGGCTTGCCAGTACTTGATTAACTATCACGAAAACCGCGGCGACAAGATCATCGTCTTCTCAGACAGTGTGTACGCCCTAGAAGCTTATGCAAGAAAGCTGATGAGGCCCTATCTTTACGGTGGCACGGGCAACGCCGAGCGGCAGGAGATTTTGGATTTGTTCAGAAATTCTCAGCACTGCAATACTCTCTTCCTCTCCAAGATTGGGGACACCTCTCTTGATCTCCCGGAAGCGACCTGCCTGATTCAAATTTCCTCCCAGTACGGCTCTCGTCGTCAGGAAGCTCAGCGCCTCGGCCGCATCCTACGGGCCAAGCGGCGAAGCGAGGAAGGCTTCAATGCCTTCTTCTACTCGCTCGTGTCCAAAGACACGGTAGAGATGGTCTTCTCGTCCAGGCGGCAGGCCTTCCTCGCTGACCAGGGCTACGCCTTCAAGGTGATTACGCATTTCAAAAACATTGAAAAGACGCCAGATCTGGCTTTCGCCACTCCCGAAGCCAGGCACGAGCTCCTACAAAAGGTAATTGCCGAGCTCGAGAGTAAATCATGGAAACAAGAGGAAGAACGCGAGAGCGCTGCTCTCTTGGCGGATGGGAACTTGTTTTACGGCCCGGACGGCAAGCCGTCGCGTACAGCTGTCAGCGGGGCGGGGGACAGGAGTGCGAAGAAGATTGTGAAGAGGAAAAGTGGCCCGCACAGCGACTTCTTTAGGTCGCTCAGGCGAGAGAATGAGAGGCGAAAGAAGTTGGCTTAGATATCCGTCTGGAAACTTGTATCATACCCCCATGAGTTTAGAGCCCTGTAATGTTTTATATATGGTCCAAACTTTCCAGTAATCTTCTCTTAAATTTCATTTGTTGCTAAGTCTAGACAAGTAGACTCTTTAGACTGCTATTGTGGAAACATGTTTCTCATTAATATGTCGAGCCACAAGTCTATTCTCGCAAAATATGCAATTCTGTTTCTTCTTTTTCTCGAGAAGCAGCAAAATGCATGCTGCCAGCGGCATAGAAGACACTTGTTTTGCGTAACATACTCAAATATAGATTCCCAGGCAAGAGATGCTTTTTGGAGCCTTGGACAGCTTAGGAATTAAGGTTTTCGGCGTAGTTTTCGGCGACGAGAGCACAAAATATCGTACGGTGCAGCAGTGGCCAGAACAATGAAAACCTTCAAAGTCTCAGAACGGTAAGACAGTTAGAATGTCATGGACCTGTGCACCATGCCGCGCAGCAATCCAGATCAATTTTCCAAAGCACAAGAAAATCCATCAAGACGTATTGGAAAGCTTGAAAAGGATAGAGTGTAACTGTAACAGTTGTAAAATTCAATGTCTTTATATCAAGCGAACAAAACACTTGAATGAGCGTTAATTTTTAACATGAAAACATTTGAATACAAGTACTTCATCAAATTGTAATGAAGACATATCATATAATTGCATCGTTATATATCATGCAAGTTAGCAGACTCAGGGAATCACGAATGATCAGAGATTCAGACACAGGGAAAAAAGGAATGGTGAAAAATACTTTGAAAGGGAAGGGAGAGGCACAAGAGGGCCGGGGGTAAAGAACTACCTATATATGCTCCCGAAATATATTCTTTAGAGAAGCTGCTTCTTGAGTGAAGCCATGAAGAAATTCACTCCACGTCACTCAAAGATAGTTAAAAAAAGTGACCTGGGCTGTTGATCCCCAATATGGAATCTACTTTAAAAGAGGGGTCTTAGCTATTGAATCTAATCGGTATTTGCTTGAAGCGTGCTGCGATCTTTCACAGTAAGGTCTATGGTTTTGAAGGGAGACCAGTGATTGGATATGTCTTGGGGGAAATTTGTGGAGAAATGCTCTATAAGGTGATTACATTTGCGGCACAGCTTAGGGTGATTTGTAGAGAACGATTGGAAAAAAGAATATGATTGTGAATATCAATCAATGCAGGAGTACGACACATGTTGTCTGATTTCTAATGGAGATATATATGCCCCTCTATCAATTAAACCTAAATCTAAACGAACTTAGGACAAGATTTGAATGAATGATGTCTGGTTACTATGCGATATTGAAACCAAACCATATTTATACCAAGCCCCATAATGGGCGTGGTAGAGATCCCGGGCGGATCGTCTCTGTCCGGACACGATCCATTTTGATCCCAACATAGGCTTCTCGACGGGCTGGATCTCCTACAGTGACGGACCAAGTTCGCAAACCGTAATAGCTGGCAATAGAGTGCACAAGCCATCGACTAGAACAGGGTTAGCTCCAAAGAATCATCTACACTCGGGAGGAAAAGAAGAAAATAGGATGTGAGGGAGCGTTGTTACTCACCCAAAGCTTGCACCATGATCATCCGCCAGACTCTCGAAGACTAGCCTCTCAGGATGTGCTGGTACCTCATCCAAGCTAGCCCGGGACGACGCCATGTCGTTCATCTGGCCATTACGGCCAACAAAGACGATCTCCTCGTCTTCAGAGTCCAGGTCGCCGAAATCATCGTGAGCAGAATGCTTCTTCTTTTGCTCCCATTCCTCGACAAAAGCCCTCACCTCTCGCTCTAACGCCTCCAGTAGACTCTTCGCGCCCCGTGCCCGCTTGAACTTCTCCCGGAGTTCTTTGGGGATCTTGCCAAGACTATCCTCTCTTTGGGTCGTTTCACCTTTTGTGTCGTTCTTGGTCTTGTGGTCCCTGGCTAATTTCTCGTCCCAGAGGGGCGCAAGGTAATATGGCACAGCATGCCGAGGATATGTTGGGTGAACCTCCCAGTCGCTTGGCAATGGGGGTTGCGCATGAGGATTGTTCAACAGACGGTCTGAAGTGAAATCATATGAGCGCCAACTCCCAGACTGAGCTATGGATGACCAAAGAGAGACGACATACCGTTTTCCCATCGCTGTCGACGGCGACTGCCTTCTTTGCCCTTGAGTAAAGCCTCCCGGCGCTTCAGGCTATCTCGTCGAATGTGGCTATGACGTCTGAGAGGTGTATCCGGGTATGCTTGCGGCCGAGGCGGGGCTTCCAATCTCACTCGATTAGAAGTCGGTTCGTCGAGGGGAATGGTTAAGGCTACTGAAGAGCCATGAAAAGCGGGAGCCGGTGAGGAGAGGATGACATTCTGCAGGGCTTCGGTAGCTTGTTCAGTCCAAGTTTCGATTTCTAGCCGGCTTGGTCCTGGGGATGGGGTAGCGGTAGCATTCCCGTCTTCATGGGTCTCTGGGTTCGGAAGGATAGCCATAATGAGAAGACGACTTTATTGATAAGGCCAGGATGTGGCGGATTGTTCCAGGTTCCCCGTCGCGAATTGCAGGTCCGAAGAAGAGAACGGACTGTGATCAGTCAATGCCAAAGGAGTTGGAGGCTCAGGATATGCAGAAGACGTCTCGTCTATGTTGGGGTTTAAATGGCAATGGGTGATGCGCGATTGTGCGGATAAGAGCCAGTTCGTCTCCAGGCTTCATCCCCAAGTCATCCAAGCTGCGGCTACAGAACCGGATCAGGCAGGGTTAATCACTTAACCGATCCAATCATCGCGGCTCTTTCCGGCACGCCCGTCGGGATCTTGATAAGTAGATCCCCACCAGAAGGCTGAGCCAAAGAGCCTGAGTCACTCCAGCCCAAAGTAGGAAAAAGCCATTATCAAAGAGAAATGAACATGTAGAAGTTTACAGAGGTTCAAGTGAATCGAACACTTGACTAAATTTTTTCTCTCAAACCTTTTCTGGCAACACTAGATACAGGCCAATGATGCCAGTACAATATATACCTCTGTACAGAGTTACTCACGCGCTCTCTGATGTCAGTTGTGGCGCGTGCTCCGCCCCCGCTACCACTGTCACTCTCGGGTCTGGTCTCTAAAGCGCGATCTTATCGGGCCATCCCCAATCTACTGGTTAGCTCTCGCGTGACCCAGGGACTGCATTGCGCTCTACATTAAGTAGTAGACGACAACTGCTAGTGTCGCCGCTGACTATCTTGCGCTTTGATCGAGCTTTCCCCAGTCATCAAACACCATTCAAGTCATTATGAAGTTAGCATCGTTACTGGCGCTGGGAGGCGTTGCCTCTACTGTCACCGCTATAGCGATTCAGCAGCCGAATCAAGCGGTCTTTCAGGATGAGAGACTTCCGGCTACTGAGAAGTTCCTGATCGAGCTCGGTCCTGGTGAAACGAGATGGATCACCGAGGACGAGAAATGGGCGCTGAGAAGGGTAGGTTTTCGCATTGCCTTGTTGTTCAACGCTTGAGCGCATGCCTCGGTGTCTTTTTGTGGATCTCTTGTGAGCCGACTAAGATGAACTGACTTGCTGGGGTCGCATTCTAGAAAGGCGTGAATTTTATGGACATAACGGAAACGGTTGACTTGGGAAAATCGATTTCCTCCAAAGCTACCGTGACGTTTCCGAAAAGGCCAGTTCACAATGATAGCCTTGTGCCGCTTCTGAACAACCTGTCCAAAGAGCACATGCACAAGAATTTAGAGCACTTCACCTCGTTCCACACAAGGTACTATAAGTCCTCGTATGGCGCCGAATCGGCAGCTTGGCTGTACAGCCAGGTCAATCAGACCATCTCTGCGGCGGGAGCGAATAAGTACGGAGCGCATGTCGAGCTTTTCAACCATCCGTGGCGCCAGCCCAGCGTGATAGCTCAGATCCCAGGAAAGACTGACAAGACGGTCGTGATTGGAGCGCATCAAGACAGCATCAACCTCTTTCTCCCTTCGATCCTTTCAGCACCCGGTGCGGATGACGATGGAAGTGGAACGGTGACCATTCTGGAGGCTCTGAGAGTTTTGTTGCAGTCCGAGGATATTGTCAAGGGCAAGGGCGAGAATACGGTGGAGTTTCACTGGTACTCGGCCGAAGAGGGCGGGCTGTTAGGCAGCCAGGCTGTCTTTGCCGCTTATGAAAAGCAGGGCCGTGACGTGAAGGCAATGCTCCAACAAGACATGACCGGATATATTCAAAAGACGCTTGATGCTGGTGAACCTGAAAGCGTCGGCGTCATCACGGATTATGTTGATCCGGGGTTGACAGAGTTCATCAAGCAAGTCATCACCGAAGTATGTCTCGAATTTTAGCTTCTCCCGTGACTAGATGGCAAGCTGACTTAAGATAGTATTGCGACATCCCATATGTCCTTACGAAGTGCGGTTATGCATGCTCTGACCATGCTTCGGCCTCAAAAGCTGGATATCCCTCGGCCTTTGTGATTGAGTCCGACTTCAAGTTTTCGGATAAGAAGATTCACACATCCGATGACCGACTAGAGTATTTGAGCTTTGACCACATGCTTCAGCATGCTCGTCTCACTCTTGGACTGGCATATGAGCTTGCCTTTGCGGATTTTGACTAGATTTTGGGGCGTGGTGTGATTAGATTATCTTTTCGGATGTTTAACTCATGTAATAGATTCAAGCATCGACTTGGTGCCGAGGGATGCCCAAGTCTAATGTCAAATTAGCGATACGTTTCAGGGAATCCTATGCAAGTTAAAGTGATTTCAGATGCCCTTCCGCGCCATTCCGTCCAATAAAATGAGATCAATTGCAATTCACAGTACACCCGAAGCTGAGGAGATTGCAAGTAGCAATAATTGAATGTGGATTTCTAGAACGCTTGTGGGATTCGGACGAGGCGGCAAGCTGAAATGGATACCGAATGAGGTACCTTTTGTCGCGTGTTTTCTCTTAGCAATGTAAAGTACCATTCGGTCGTAAGACACCGAGAGCCGAAATGCTCACTTGAGCATCTTCAGCAAAGGACCAGCTCCACTTCATCAATTTGTGCAATTTCATCGCTGAGGGCTCTTAGACTGTGGAGCTTATCTCCAGGTTTTCAACAGAAGAATTGGTTGGAAACAAATATAAAATACCTTGCCAATTCAGAAGCGTGCGGTGTACCAGCCAGAGTCGAACTTGAGCAAGCATTGTTTTAATCTATGTTGATCTCCAGAACCTTATACCCCAGCTATGAAATGGCAGTCTCCACGCCCGAGGAGCTAAGAGCTCGTGCGGTGAAAATCATGCAACTTCTTTTCAATAAGAAAGACCTCGAAACTGTCTCGTTTTTTATCCATGAACAGTCCGAATTTTATCACGACGACCGGCCACCCGTCTTTGGTCGAGCGGCTTTCTTGGCTGGTTGGGAAAAGGCCTGCAAATTCATGCCAGACTTTCAGCTAGACATTATCAATTCGGTCGTCGATGGTAGACGTGTCTGGCTCTTCTCAGAGATATCTGGCCTCCCGAATGGAGTGAAAAAGGACTCCATTGATATGATGACATTCGATGAGACGGGTCTCCTCATCAGAAGTAAAGATGTGCAAAGAATCAAGAACGATAATAGGCTCGACGCCTAGGTTTCCTTCTATAGTAAGCTTCTTCTCAGATGTAAATGACAGTCGAAAAAAAGGGCCGCGCTCATTGACCCAGTTGAAAATAGGAGCATCTCGGGTTTTTTTTTGTATCAACCAGTGTCTTTTTTTTATATACACCGTCAGTCCTTGCAAACTCTTCAGTACTTATTTAAAGTCGAGCTCCCCAAAACAACAATTTTTAAAGGTGCGCTATTGGAGCTTTCAATATTGGACGAATTTATGTTATATGTTTTATACTGGTGGAGAACCTGGGAAATCGCGGTGGAGCATAAGGGAATGATGTCATAAGTATTTGTCCGATTTGGTTCCTGCACGAAGCAGTGTAAACAAAAAGTCCAAGCAATGATGATATAGTCAAACCTCAAGTTTCATGGGCGTTATTGTGTTCACTTTAGGTGGTCGTCATTTTGATTTTAAGCCCTTCTCGGAGCATTGGGTATGGCCTCCGATCATAGAACACGCGCTCTCTGTCGAGACAGTAAAGCGGAGGGAGCGAGTAGGTCAAAGGTGGGGTTGTTGTCGTCCCGACATGCTCGCCAAGGGCTCGGACATGGCCCGCCCCCCGCATTTCGCCATGGTTCAATACGAGTAATTCACCCATTTGTTTCGTTGGCCATAACAATGAGAAAAGCCCTGGAAGGGGTTGTCTGATTTATTGTGCAAAATATCAGCCAACTAACCCACGTGATGGGTTGAGGTTTGGCCCCGACGTCAGCTATGACGGTTAGCTCAAAGGAGGAAAAGCTGGATATGACTAGCTCCTTCCTTTACGTAGCTTGTCAGTAGGAACGGTGGAGTTACGCGCCAAGGGCCCTGTGGCGGGGAACGACGCGACGGCGTAATACTGTAATGCTGTAGTTGCATTGGTAGGTAGGCGATGAGAGAGATGCCCTGTTTTTCCCCAAAACGCTCCCACTACCATTTCTTCCACGATTTCAATTATCGCCATCCACCCCACGACAACATCATTTCCTAGGCAAAGTTTGCAAGCTCATTGCTCTTCCAGTTGCACTCATCTCTATCATCGGTTTCCCAAAGCTCACTGTGACATCCAAGTCTGCAGACATCATGACTACTTGGCACGACCGGGTACACTCTGGTATGTGATTTCAGTTTTGCCCTGTTGTTCCTGTCTCTGTGCTGATCAAAGTAATACCGCAGTCAACCCCTTTTTGACTCGAGAAAACTATTCTCGACGTAGCATCACTGCCTACAAAATTTTCACCACCCTTTCTTGGTTGCTTTTGGTCATCGTCACGGTTCATTATACCTTCGCCAAACCCCACGATGGCCACCATCGCCACACCATTTGGGGTCAGAACCACCACCGCCACACGCCTTTTGCGCTGAACTCCATTATCACCAGCATCTACTGGATTGTACTCTTCGTTCTCCAGTTGGGCTATGTGTGGCACCTCTTCAGCTCTAACACTGACGCCGTCAATGCGGCCGCCAATGTCGGCAGCCATTTCATCTTCAATAACTTGTTCTACTTTGCTTTTGTGATGCTTTGGGTGCGCTCTCATTTCTGGATCGCTGAGCTCATCCTCATCATCAACTTCTTCAATCTAACTGCTCTGTATTTCCGTCACTCCACCTTACCCCGCCTGATCCATATCCCCGTTGTCTCAGGCCCCCTGGCTTTCAATTATGTCGCCCTCTTTTGGGTTGGAGCGGCCATGGTCAATGCGCATACATTGCCTGCTCGCATCCTCGCAAATATTGCAATCTGGGGTATCCTTGTCTATGGAGGATTCTATCTGATTGCATTCAAGGACTACACCATGGGCTTCGCGCTCAGTGTGCTTGCAGCTGGTAAGATTTTCGGCGGTAAATTTGTACGATCGGGTTGGCTAATTCATCAATAGCATTGGGTGTTGCCCAGTTCTTGACCCATGTCATTGCGTTCCAGTGGATCTTTGCCTTTGTCATTATGGCTCTTTTGTTCATCATGACCATCCTCATCTCTCTTCCTGGAGCGCTTGGAGAAAAGATTCGATACAGACAGCAGGGCCAGGTGGTCAGCGAAGACCGTGAACGGGCCCCGCTTCTGGATGACCGTTAAATCTCGACTATCTCGGAGAAGATTCCTTCCACGAATAGGTCCAGTTCGAAAAATAAAGAAGACGATTTTGCTGTGCAATGGTCCAAACAGCAAAAGTTCCTCGAGCAAAACAGCGAAAGTCTCTTTTGATTCATTTCTTTTCTTAGGTGCCTCCTTATTTTACTCAATTCTCACAATGGAGGCTTTTTTTTTCGGCACTGTCTAGGGTCATGTTTCTGGATTTGGCATTTGCAATGGCTTCGCGCTTCAAAATGAAAACTGTCTTTTTTCACTTTGGCATTCTCAATGTACCTGTTCCGTGAGCGTCAGAAGCCTATGGCTGGCTTAGTTCACAGACGCCTGATATGAAAATATAAGTTGGAAGGCGAAAAAATCTTTCTGCCTCTTCGTAATTTTTCTGCACGCTCAGATGAAGAAACTTACGTGACCCCCTTCACTAACAACATTGATAATTGTAACATCGCAATGTTTGGCAGCTTTTGTTTTAAAATTGCCATCACGGCGAATGAGCTGACAGATAGCACGAGTCCGCGGAATTGGCCTGGAGTGAAAGTTCGTATGTCACTCATACGAGGATTCCGGGGGCTTACCGGCTCCGGAGACATCACCATATTCGGCAATCAAGAGCCAAACATGTTTGAGCGCCACGCGGCAGAATGAAAAAGAGATTACGGAAACAAGACAAACAACTATTTGGGAAGGTGCGATGAACTTGTGTATACACGAATCGTTTACCTTTTCTCATCTCCCGCGCCTTTCACCATATCTCACCCCGTTAATCTTATTGATATACCTAAGGTAGTAGGTACCTAGTAGAGGACGGAACTGAGGTTAAGCCGTCTCTTCTTTCGGCTGAGAAACCACCAAGTTGATACGCTAGTGGAAGGGGACGGCCAGCTATGGATTCACACGGCTTCCCCGCAATATTATCCAATGCTGGTTTCCAGTAGACTCACCCCACTGCGAAGGTTCGAAATGAAAGGAACAGGGCCTACCAGCAACCCTTGCCGGTTTCTTTCGACTGGGAAGGTGTGACTGTTCCTGGGATTGCGGGCCGAGGTATTCAAGGCACAGTGTTTGAGTTTACTCCCCCTTTCCCCCAATACCCTCCAATACCATTGCGCGAAGGCTTCGTGGGTTGGTTTCTCACAATGCTGTCTTACTAGCTTATTATCGCAGAGCAGGGCAGGGTGAGGTGAGCTTGCGAGTCTCCAGTGTCATTTTCGGCGAGTCACCTGGCCTTGATATTTGAAACTGGCTCCGCCATCTACGCCAATGTCTACAATTATGCGGCCATACACAGGGTCCGCTACCCAATCGGTCGCCCCGCACAACGTCTTCTCTGCCACCATCTCCAACGTAAATGTTCACAACGTGTTTGTTGTCATCGATGAGGGACCTATTGCGTCTCCTTTCCCAGGCCTATAATCTGCCGAGATGGGAATAGTTACTTCGATGATGACCCTTGTTTACGCATCTGATGAACCGTGACCCAACCTTTCGCAACTACTTGTTCCAAATCAATCGTGAACCAACTCCGACCCCTCTCTGGGGTTTGGCAAGGTGGGGAGCTTCCATAAACTCTATGGACTAGGACAAGCAGAAGTGTTTTGATTTATTTCTCAAACTCCTTTTTATATGAGGATCGTCCAGCTTGCGCACATTGTTCCGCGACGCATTTGAGCATTCCTCTCTTGCCTCTTATCACCGGAGTGGGCTCGCAAATCATGGTGAATTTATTCTCCTCATTTTTCATTGCAGTAGGTTGTTTTGCCATTCGTGGTCTGGCATCAGTCGACAGCTATGTTGCCACTGAAGATCCAATCGCACTACAAGGCGTCTTGAACAACATCGGCCCTAGTGGTGCGGAAGACCAAGGAGCTGCCTCGGGCATAATCATCGCCAGTCCATCCACTAACAATCCTAACTGTACGTGCTCATCACCGAGGCATGTCCTTGCTTTGATTTTTCATTTTCTCTGTTTTCCGTGTTTTCTAGAAATGCATTCAAAATACGCTCTCAAGCTCAAAATGGTCATAAATCTGTCATTTTGGGGGGTGGCGCAGCAAGCAAAATCTTCGGCGAGTCCTTCCAGTCGTTTAGTATATTGATTGTTCGAGTGATTATTAGCTGAACGTTATACTGTGAGATAATGCTTACCTCCCTGGGCAGATGTCTACACCTGGACCCGAGACTCGGCGTTGACGATCAAGGCTTTGACCGACTACCTTATTGCCAATGGAGACACCAGCCTTGTGGCGGTGATTGAGCAATATATCTCGGCTCAAGCAAAACTTCAAACGATTTCCAACCCCTCAGGCGGTCTATCGACTGGAGGTCTAGGAGAGCCAAAATTTAACATTGATGAGAGTGCCTTCACTGGATCATGGGGTCGGCCCCAGCGTGATGGTCCTGCGCTCCGGGCCACAGCCCTCATTGCCTTTTCGAGGTATTTGATCAGTAAAGGGCAGACCTCGACAGTACAAGACATTGTTTGGCCAATAATCCAAAACGACTTGTCATATGTCACACAATACTGGAACCAGACTGGCTTTGACCTATGGGAAGAAGTTTCAGGCTCCTCTTTCTTTACACTCAATGCTCAACATCGTGCTCTGGTGGAAGGCAGCACCCTTGCGAGCCAGATTGGAAAGTCTTGTTCATATTGCGACTCTCAAGCACCGGAAATTTTGTGCTTCCTTCAAAACTTTTGGAACGGCCAATACATTACCGCAAATATCAATACAAATGACGGGAGATCAGGCAAAGATGCAAATTCTATCCTCGGAGTGATTCAAACTTTTGATCCGGCAGCAGCCTGCGATGACACCACTTTCCAGCCTTGCTCTGCGCGAGCTTTGTCGAATCACAAGGTTTTGACTGACTCGTTCCGATCCATCTATTCGATCAATTCAGGCATCCCGCAAGGATCTGCGGTTGCGGTCGGCAGGTACCCGGAAGACTCATACTACAATGGTAACCCTTGGTAAGTAATCTTTTTATGCGATTGCAGATCTCATTTCGGCCATCCACTTTCTCTGGTGTCGTCCGTTCTCCGACCTGGTCGTCCGATTAATTGCGTCTTGCAGGTATCTCAACACGCTCGCAGCAGCGGAGCAGCTCTACGATGCTCTCTACCAATGGAGTAAAATCAATTCTATTACAGTAAACAATGTCAACTTGGCATTTTTCAACGACCTGGTTCCTTCAATCAGCACGGGAACATACGCTGCTGGCTCATCGACTTATGCTGCTATCACGTCGGCGGTCAAAGCTTATGCGGATGGCTACGTAGCCGTGGTACAGAAATATACTCCTTCCAATGGGAAGCTGTACGAGCAATTTTCCAAGAGTGACGGGACGCCGCTGTCTGCAATTGACTTGACCTGGTCTTATGCTTCTTTTCTCACCATGGCGGCGGCCAGAGCGGGCCAAGTCCCCGCCTCTTGGGGTGAAGCTTCAGCTCATACTGCTCCGTCTGCATGCGTCGCTAGCTCGGCAGTTGGTGTGTATAGCACACCGACAGACACCGTCTTCCCAAGTAGTAGTCCGACCTGTTCCCCTATTGCCAGCACTGTTGCAGTCACCTTCAACGAGTATGCTATAACCACTTATGGTGATACCATTAACATTGTCGGCTCCATATCGCAGCTTGGCAATTGGAACACCAACAATGCCGTGCCACTAAATGCTAATAACTACCCCACTTGGAGCGTCACCGTCAATTTGCCGGCTGGTACTAGCTTTCAGTACAAATTTATCAACAAGGGCGCCTCGGGGAGTATTACTTGGGAAAGCGATCCTAATCGATTCTACACTGTTCCTACGGGTTGTTCCACCACTGCAACGGAGAATGACAGTTGGAGATAGTAATGTGTGTCTGAATCAATATGGGGCTTCATTGGCTGTAATGGAGCCACTCGTTCTCTTTCAAGGGCAGGGATGATCAATGAATTTGTAACCAGAACACAGAGAAATACTAAAGCAACTGAATAAGGAATAGGTGTCAGTAAATTCAATCTGAAAACTTCTAAGCTGATTATTCCTGGGATACGATATCGGAGAGGGAATGGGCCGAGGTATATTTTCGCAAATAAATCTTAGTTATCGGATTTAATGCCTGTAGGATGATACACCTTGTCGCCCGTTACACAAAACTTTTGAACATATTTTAAGCATTATTTCACTTCGCCATTGATGTTTTGAGTCAAGAATCTCAAAGATCAAATGTTCCTGAACATGATACCCGCATTGGGGTGGGTCCGATTTCATGCCTTTTTCGTTCGGCTACCTGGCCCTCTCAAAACAGGGCGTCGTGAGTCGTGATTGCGTCAACGGCACAACTCATCCTGATTTCCATATCGGAAAATTGCTCGACGACATGCAGATTATCAGTTATCAGCATGGATTTCCCACAGCCTGACGCGATCCAGGGCATGACTGCCCAAGCCAATGGGCGTTGTTGCAGACTTTCTTTACAGAGCAGTATGGTCCATTGCAGAAATTTGGTTCCACAAGGTTCAAAGCATTTACAAATAAAACGTTCTAGATCATTGATCGGCCTCCGAAGATCTTCCGGAATGCCGAGGATTATCAAATTTTGTCTTGACATGAGAGGACAATAGTTACATGGATAAAGTCGTGCTTGTATCGGCAATCTGCAGTAGTGTTTGGGACCACAGAAGCTGGTTGTGTTGTTCGCATGGGTAAAGCGCGCCTAAGGTCAGACCCCTGTTGGGATGCTTTTTCACCACCCAGCAACTTACTACCGCTGTACGTGGGCCACCATCCCTATTTTTACGACAATTATCATTACTATACGACACCATGCAATTCTGATCTCAAATCGAATCTCCAAAAAAAAATTGATAGGTGCTTGACTTTCCCTCCCGTTGCCGTTACTCCTTTTTTCCCTTCCATTCTGTGGATGAAGAGCTCCGGCACCAGGTTTGATTGGACACATGGCGGGAATAGCTAGCTCGTCTCGAAGGGGCCGCACCTTGGATCAAAGGGCCGAAATTTTCTCCGCGACTGTTCTAGAGATCTTCAAAACACATGGAAGTGAAGCAGATGACGGCTGCAGAGTCGATACCGACAGGCATGCATACCCTGGAAATATTCGAAGCTTATTTGCCCGCTTTTGCCAAGAATTGAAGCAAGACTTTTTCTGACACTTCGGCAGGGCCAGGTGAGACGCGGGCTGTACCGACTTCGCCATCGGAGCTTTTGCTTTTACAGCTCACCCCACTCAGCAGCCTGCTGCATGCTGGCCAATGATCAATTATCTTTTCCCTCTACTCAATTTCCTTGATACGTCAAGACGGCAGGACGGCCGACTGTTTGGAAGAGATCTTCACCAAGTTTCGGTTATTACCAAGAAAATTTGCATATCGATGATTATACCATTTCAAAAAAAAAAAATTTTCTAACCCCTTGAGCTAACACAAGCTTTCCGTCCCCGTTCCTCCGAACGCCTACAGCTTATCGCGCCTCTTTGCCAAAGTATCGACAGGGCTGCGCTGCAAGGGGCTGATAAGAGTGTTCTGATTGATTTTTTTTCGGCCGTAAGGTTCAAGTCTTGCGCTCAGTAAAGAAAGCGATTATGGCGATCATATGCAAGCGAACTTTGATGCCACCATTGTTGTTCTTTCTTAATGGGGGTAAGGAATGTTCATAGTATATCCATGTGTTGATATACCACGCTGAGCATGAGGTGTCAGTTTGTGCATAGGTGAGCAGGCCGAAAAGAGACGGTTCCACGCATTTGTGTGTGTGAGTGTGTTGTGCACACGTGCAGCTCTTCAGTTACGGAGTATGAACTTGAGACAGAGTGCATTGTCGGACCGGACCATGATCTCTCTCTCTAACTGACCCCTGTCAAGCTACCGCTGCCAGCCAGGGATTTCTCAGCTCATTGACGGTCTAGGGCCCGCCGTCAAAGGCACCGCTGCAAGTTTGCCTGGCGCAAACCACACAGGGACCACGGCCCAGTGACACAAGCTGCTAAGTGGCACCACCAGGTGCGATGATTGTTATTTTTTATTTATCATTATTATTTCCAAGAATGCTTTCTAAATGCAGCATGGCCACGGCTGGCTTGTCATCGGGCCTGAGGCGGGCCTGTTTTTTCCCTAAAATTTGGGCATTTTCTACCCTGTGTCCTTGATGCTGCAGGTCGGCGGGGCGATTTCTTAGGGAGCCCATTTCCCGAGTTGTTCTGTGGGCCTGCTTGTAAGAACCCCTGGTCCCTTACGCGCAGTTGGGACCAAATGGCAAGATGATGCTTCTCTTCAAACGAGGGAGGTCCTCAAGCGCTACGACGCGAAGGGACAAGGGTAACTACAACATCAAAAGGTCAAAAAGAGAAAGTCTAGTCCGGCCGTCCAACGGCGATCCCGTTCGTGCTCTGTGACGGATCTCAACGGTGGAACCCCTAATTCGGATGACATGCCGGTAAGAAAGTTGATAGGGCTTGAGTCTAGAGCAAAGCGAAGCTACCGCTGAAGTTGCAGCAACTGTTGCGGCGAACTCCTTTGTGGTTGTGTTGGATTCTGTCGTGTGGTGATCACCCCTAACCGCGCAATGTCGGTCCCCCTCTCTCTTCTTGCGGGTTTTTCTCCTTCCCTCAATTCTCTACCACTTTCCTTTCCTCCTCCATGTCTTTCCCTTTCGTCTCTCTGTTTGCTTATCGTTTGCCACGCCGAGAGCCGCCGCCACCGCGCTCAGGCACAGTCAGCGCTGGATGGCCAGAAACCTGTTGGGAAGTGGAGAGGGTAGAGCCAAGATGATGGGGGGTCTTTTCGGATGCATTGCATGATGGCTGCCGCGTTTGCGATAGGCAAGAATGTCCCATCGCCCCGTAGGCTTCTTGCACGAGGAGATCTCGCGCATAGGGGACCAAGGAACGGCTCAGGGATGCGAAAGATAATGGTAATAAGGAAGCAGCCAACAACAGTCCAGAGAAAGGGTGGTGATCCCGTCTATTTACTGTGACTGGCTGGTCCCAGTAGATTTTAAAGGGAATAATGGCATTGGCAATAACTTTTTGGGACAATTCAGATGGACAATCGTAAATCGAGCCGCAGCTGGCGCTGCAGGTGTCTCGGGCCAAGCATTGAGGCTTTCGATTCGGTCCGGACGTTGACGCTTGCGGTTGCTTCTTTTGATAAAAGGAAGAGAGATTTTATGTTCTTCGCAAATTTGGTGTTTTCGGAGGGAATTTGACCCCACCTCTCTCTCTTCTCTTCTCTCTTTCGCCGTCGTTCACCAATTTGGCATTTGGAAGCTGTTCGCAAGCAGGGTCTTCTTCATCAATGATGGGTAGTACCTATGATAGACAAGGACGCACAACATGACAACGACAAAGGCACAGGATGAGGCGCAATACACTGGACGCACACAGACACCTTTGCTTCCCTTCCCCTCACTCTCTCCACTCAGGCCCAGACCCTGTTGACCGCATCCGATTACAATTCGTAAGAGTAGTGTGTCGTCTCATCTTCCACTCTAGAAACCTCTTCGTCCCTCTTTCCATGTGTACGTCTCTCGTTGCTTGCCACCACAACCAGAAACCCCTCGGGGATCACGTCTTCCTCTTAAAAAAAAAACCCCCCCCCCTGTCCTAAATTGTACGTATCAACCGTGGGACGTTTTGGTTCCTGTGGGGTCAACGGAGGGATGGTAAAGGAAGTCGGTTAGACATCCAGAATCTCTCTCCCCCATCCATCTGTGGTTCTAATCGATCTATTCTTGTCCGGCACTTCGTAGAGATGTGTGCAAATCTCCCCGGCGGTGGCCCTAGAATGGCTCCGCTTTATTTCCCCATGCGACATGAAGCTCGTCTCTTTTGACCAACTCGACGCTACCAAAGCTACTACGTAACTTTATCTCCGTCTGCTTTCCCGTGCTCGTTTCTAGATTTAATTCCATCCTCTTCTCTCTCTCTCTCGTCTCCGTCTTTCCTTCTTCCCTATTCCTGTCTTTACTATATCTACCTGCTTCCTTCCCTTCTGGCGAGCAGCCTCTTCCACCTTAACCGCCCACCCCCAATTAAAAGCTTCAACTTTTGTAAGGCCGCGGATCGGCACTTGTGCAACCAAGCGTCAGCCACCAACCACACCATCTCCTCGCCAATCCTAACTCGTCCAGCTCCGTAGCTCCGACGACCACGAAGACGACGATTTGAACTTAATACTCTCACAGCTCCCCCCACTCAGCCTTCTTGTATTACAATGGCTGGCAAACCTGTCGACATCAAGGTCCTAAAGCAGGGCAATGGTCAAGACCGCCCCCAAGCTGGCGACACCGTGACTATCGAGTACACGGGCTGGCTTCACGATGCCAGTGCTGGTGCAGGCAACGACTTCAAGGGCAAACAGTAAGATTCCTTTCCCAGAGAGACAGTGAGCGAGAAAGAAGCGCTGTGGAGAGTGGTGGCTCTGAACCGCGACAATGCCGGCGCCATCTCATTTCTTTACATAAACTCTTCTTGGCCTTTTCCTTTTTTTTTTACTAAATCACGGGTCGCAGATTCGATAGCTCCCGCGGCCGTGGAGACTTTGTCACCCAGATTGGCGTCGGCAAGGTCATCAAGGGTAAGTTTGCCTGTCTCTTGAGCTTGGTGGAATATTTCATCAAACATGGATGACCATGATAGGTTGGGACGAGGGTGTCCAGCGCATGACGCTCGGTGAAAAATCCACGTTGACCATTGACTCGTAAGTGGGCCCCATTCGATTAATTTTCGCCGGCTTCTGCTCTGCCCCGTCCCCAGCAGACGAAGATTGCATTGTGCATTCATATTTTCTCTGATACTAACTTTGCATCTATAGGAGCAAGGCCTACGGAGAGAGGTAAGCTCTTCCACTTTTCTGATTTGAGCATTTTGACAAACCAACCCGCCTATTCATAATCTTGATCATTCTCATATCTTCACCCCGCCATGGTTCTCGCTGCACTCGCAGGCTCCTTGGCGCCGCAAAGGCCCCACCCCTATTCAAACAAGTATCACAGAAATTATTTTTGCAGTTCTCTTCAAGGCTAACGGTCGATCGTGATTATAGTGGTTTCCCGGGCCACATTCCCCCAAATGCGCAGCTTATCTTGTAAGTAAACCCTTTTCAATTAACAACCCGCTTGTTTTCCTTCTTTTTTTCCTTTTCTATTTTTCCCCCTCTGCAAGTTTTATTTTTTTTTTTTTTGTTTGTCTCTTTTGTTTCTTGATAATTTCCCTGGACGTCGCTCTCTTCACGGCCCCAGAATCTCCCATAACCAGCACTGTGCGACCATATGTTTCTTCTCGGCCGAGAATCAACTGGTCCAGTTCGCGTGGCCCAGCCCAATGGACGGGACGTGCGATCTAGTGTAGTGGAAACTGTGGGTTCTTTCTCGGTGGGGAAATAGAGACTGGAGCCGGAGCCGGGCTATCAAGTGTGCGATGTGGATTTCTTTCAACTCCGTCACGCCACACGACCTTTCCGGTGCTCCCAAGGTCCGAACATTTTCTACAAGGGATGCAAAATTACTGCCCAGGACTGCCAGTTCATCTTTTGTCCTATTTCTCCTTCTATTTTATTTTTTCCTATTTTTTTGGTCTTACGTCAGCTTATTTCTTGGGGGCCGCACTTGGTTGGCATTTCTCCGATTACGGCACTTGCTTTCCGATCATCAGATTCCCCCATCAGCACCTTTACCGCCTTTTCCCCCCTATCGTTCTAGCATTTTCACTGATTGGCTACTCCATTTTTCCCCGGCCGCTTGTCCCGGAGCTCAACTCCGAAAGACTCTTCTGCGCTTAATTGGGCCATTGTGCCTCGATTCATCGCTCGTTGATGAGCACTTGTTTCTTCTTCGCACTTTTTAATTATCCATTACTTGTCGCTGTTTCTGTTAAACATCCTTTCTCCTTCGTTACCCACTTTTGCCAATTTTGTTTTCTTTTTAGCTCTTCTTGGCCTTTTTATTTGCACTTGCTTGAGCTTTTCGGTCATTTATTTCGTCTGCCATATTTGAAAACTGACAATATTCTTTCCAACTAGCGACGTCGAGCTCAAGGGCATCAACAACAAGCGCGCTTAGATTTGTCAACTTTGCACCACATGCCAGTATGCTCGGTAAACCGTTTTGTCTAAGCTGCGGTTTCGGCAAAATGGCAAACTGAGCGCAGAGACAAATCAGCATGAAAGGGCCTCCCTTTTTGGTTTTTATTTTACCTTAAATCGTCGTCTTCTTTTTTACTTATTTTCCCACCTGAACCCCGTCCAAGAAACTAGAAAACACGTTTTTCGGTTTATGTACTTACTGTAAGGCTGTATCAGTGCAGGAATGAAAGCAAAAACCCAATAGGGTATATGATAAGAAGAAGAAGAGAAAGAAAAAGATAAGCAAAAAGAGACAAAGTTGAAAATGTAACAGTGGACATGATGACATGTAATGACATTTTTTTTATATTATAATTACATTGGTATCCTATTGTAATTCATATTTAGATTATTCATGCAAGTGTATCGTGTCGTGTGTTTGATTGACTTTGTTCTATTTGCAAACATCATCATCATCATCATCATCATCAGTCATTAATAGAGCAGAAACCGTTCCACCGTCAATGTCGGAGTGTCGGAGCTATTGCAAGGGAAAGAGCTGCATGGACTGTGTCAAATGTCCTTTCTCCTAAAGTAGCTCGAGCACTGAACTAGGCATTTACATTCGATATTGGACATTGGACACTTCAGGACGGGGCCTAGGAGACGAAACAAGATCGATGATGACAATGAGAGATGATATGATGGTGTGATAATGTGATGATAAATGACAACAATCTAGATTACACTCTGTGATATCTCTCGCTCAAATTATCGCTCTCAAATCTCTCAAAAGAGAAAAGAAGAAAATAGAAAAAAAAAAAAAAAAAAAAGAGTATATCTTTTGAGAAAATAAAAAAATAATGGTAGGTAGAAATGAAATGAAATGAAATGGACACAACGGCACACAAAAAATCTCTAGGCATCAACAACCCATATATCCATCCTGTGTCCATGAAATGCATTGTCCCGCTTCTTCACTTTCAGGTCCAGCCAAGCGAATTCTCGGCCATGACGGGTGCCGAAATTTGCGCAGTGCGTGCACTGTTGCCGTTACTTCGGCCGCTATTCCGGCTTTCCCGTTGACCCCCTGCAGCAGTGCCAGCACCCGTTGAGGATCGTGCTCCTGACATGTAAGCGCCAACGGCAGCTGTGCCCGTACCGCTCAAAATTGGGCCAATCGGTCCACCCATTTCAGGCGAGTTGCTGCCGTCCAGCACAGAGCTGGCCCGCTGATGGTTCTGTCGTCGCTTCTTATACCGTCTAGCAACGAAGAACATGGCTGCGCCATACGCGGCAGCGCCGGCTACAACACCAAGACCGATACCAACACTCGTTCCGCGTACAGGTGACGAGCTAGATCCAGTGGAACCGAAGGGAGCTGCGTTGCCGGCAGAGTCTGAAGATGCGGCAGCGCTGGGGCTTGAGCTGGTAGAAGAGCCGTACGAGTTGGACCCCTCAATCGGCAGAGTTGGGTTAATCAAGGACATGAGCGTGGCAACACTCGGGTCGGGGTTCTCATAAAGCTTGGAATCCTTCGAGTGCAGATCCAGCGACAATTGATCGACAAGATTGCTCGGAACGTACACCATTGCAAGTGTAGTAATGTATCCGAGATCCTTGGTCGTATCATAGGGCTGCAGCATCTGCATCACTACTTGCTCTTGGGGAATGCTCAATCCGTACGAAAGACCGGCCGGGAGATATTGGAAAATTTGGGCCACGGAGAGAGAATTCTGGACCACGAACGGGTAGTTGAGCGCATAGTTGAACCCAATCTGGACCAGAGTACTGTTGACTGGCTCCGTGGGCATGCCGTTAGCAGGCGCAATGATTCGAGGCAGGGTAGAAGGAATGCCAGTCTCAGTGGCCGTCACGGTTGCCGTTGCGCCTGTGCCAGTTGAAGAAGACGTAGGGCTGGCAGACTGCGTCATGATTATGGTCGGGATGTACTGCGAAGTGTAAGTATCCGTGGCAGTAGGAGTCGCAGTTTGAGGTCCAGTGACTGGCGCTGTCGAGGTAACAGAGGGCGTCGAGCTGCTTTCGACAGAGCTTGCGGGCTCAGATACAGTCGGTGATGGGATGAATGAGGTGTTGGATACACTGGTCGCCTTAACAGAGCCTGTCTCCGAAGCAGAAATTGTAGACTTGACAGTATCAGAGATTGATGTGCTCGTGCCGGAAGCCAAGCCAAACGGAACACCAGTGGTAGTTGCAGAAGAAACCGATACACTGGAAGCATTGCCCGAGGGAACAGTGGAGCCACTGGTAGTGCTGGCTTCGGCGAAGCTTGTTCCAGAGCTAGACGCCAGTGCACTAGCGGCAGAGCCCGAGACCGCGGAGGTGTTGCTTGTCGCAGTCGGAAGAGAGCTAGTGTCAGTCGTAGTTCCGGAAAGGCTGGTCGTCGATGCGGCGCCAAAAGGCACCGCAGTCAATCCTGAACTGTCCGCCGTGGTAGAAGGTATAGTCGCGTTAGGCTCTGTTGCTGAAGTTGTCGTCTGCGCAACAGCACTTTCGCTGACAGTGGGGAGGATAGTGCCATTGGAGTCAGTCAAGCTGGTGGTCGGCACGGCAACGCCAGATTGGGATGTAACGCCAGTAATTTGGGCCGGGTAAGTTGTGCTGATACCTGTAACTAAAGGAACAACTGAACTATTGGGTGCAACATCAGTTGGTGTGACACTGATCGAGACCTGTGTGCCAATGCTCGATGCAGCCGCGGACAGAGAAGCGAGCACCGATGATGGTTGGAGACTGCTGGCGGCAGTTCCCAGCGCAGACAATGAGCTGAGAATACTACCAGCGGCATCAGGAGTCGTCGTCGACAAAGCCGCAGGTATGGCCGATGTAGGGGCTGCGGTGCCATTAGATCCGGTCAATGTACCAGCCGCACTGGCCGCTGCTCCTGAGAGTGCCGAAAGAGGTGTAGCGGATGCATTAGGTGTGGCAATAGTGCTTGCAGCAGGGGTAGCACCTAAAAGACCGCTACTTGTGATTTGTGAGGCCAGGGACAGTACGCCAGGAACGAGACCGACACCGGACGTTGTCGAACTGGATACGGCGGAGGGGGTAGTCGATGATGCAATTACCGGGATCACTATAAAAGATGAACCGGTTGAGGAAGTAATGTAGGATGTAGACGGAGAAGATGTTTCAGCAGCGGCAGTAGGGGCAGAAGAGTCGGTTGCCGCGGAAGAAATGGTGCTGGCGTTCCCGGTGGACTGAGCGGCCCCAGTCGTAGTTTCCGAGGTGTTCGCTACTCCGCCACTGCTCGACGGCCCAGCAGAACTGGAAGAAGCGGCAGCGGCGACGGAAGACAATGCTGTTGAAAGTGCGGATACACCAGTTGGTAGGACTGAAGTGGGAAAAACTGAAGCCGAAGCAACCTGCGATACATCAGACGAGAGAGACGCAGGAATAGCTGATGTTTCGGAGCTTGCGACTGATTGGGCGACGGATGAAATCTGAGATACATTAGAGGAGAGCGTAGCCGGAACAGCCGACGCAGCCGACGTGGCAATTGATTGGACAGCTGAAGAGATTATTGATGCATCAGATGAAAGTGATGCAGAAACGCCAGTCGCTGCACTCGAGACGACCGACTGAGCAGCTGAAGTAATTTGAGATGCACCAGAAGACAGTGACTCCGAAATTGCCGAAACCTCAGACGTCGCAGCAGATTGCGCGACTGAAAGAATGCCACCAGGCCCAAACACAATTCCATCCGTGGTGGTCACGGAAGCGCTAGTTTCTGAGGTCGCCGAGGCACCAGCGACGGTAGAAGGCGCGGCAGTAGTAGCGGCTGCTAGGGTTGTCGATGGGGCAATCGAAACTTGACCAGAAGGCCCATAGACGATCCCATTTGTTGTGGTCGGAGCGGTGAGGCCCGCAATGGGCAAGACGGAGGTCGAAGAGCTGGTAGCCGAAGTGGTATCTGAATCCAGCGCCGATGAGATCTCAGAGGAACCGCTCGAGATGATGCCCGAGGGACCAAAAATAATACCTGCACCACTCGAAGATGAAGTTCCCGAGGACGCGGTAGCTTGAGAGGTCGTAGCGGCAGCAGTATCGAACGAAGAGGTGGACTGGGCTGGAATAATAGTTGCCGGCAAACCGCCCGTTGAGCCTACGCCCAGTCCTTGGCTGGAGGATCCAGATGAAACCGGCGACTGACTTGTAGCAGATGCAGCAGCGGGCGTATTGTTAGTAGTCGACTCGCTCGCCTCCGAACTGGATGTTGGTTGGAGAATGCTGACCGGAATACCGCCGGTTGAACCCAAGATATTGGAGACACCCAATCCCTGCTGAGTGGTTGTTGAAGAAGCCGCAACCGACTCCGAAGACGTCGTAGGCAGAACTATCGAGCTAGGGATTCCAGCAGTGGATCCGACATTGGCGCCCGTGCTCGTTGTACTGGACGCTGCTGCGCTAGACTCCTCTGACGAAGTTGTGGGCTGCACAACTATACTGGGAATGCCGCCAGTGGATCCAACAACGTCAGATGAGCTTGTAGTGGACGACGCAGCAGTTTCCGTTGGGGTGGCGGACTCGCTGGAGTCGGCCGTGGATGAGCTCGGGAGGATAATCGAGGAGACGAGACTTCCAAGAGAGCCAATGACGCCTGAGGAACCGGACGATGAAGGTGCGCTTTGTGTGGAGGTCGCTGCAGATGGAGATGTTGAGGCGGTGTTTGAAGAAGTGGGCAGCACAACCGACGACGGAATCCCTGCTGTGGAGCCTACAGCAGACGATGCGGCACTCGAGGGACCGGTAGCAGCAGCCTCAGGGCTTATTGTGGGTGCTGTGGTCGAAGAGGACGAGGTTGTACTCTCTACTATTGAAGACGATGCTGCACTGGCAGTCGTAGGTGCGGAGCCGGTGGATGGCGAAGGCAATGGACTCGAAGAGAAGGCGGCAGAGGAGGCGCTGCTGGCAACAGAGGCGGAGGAGCTAGGACTCGTCTCGGCCGCTGAGGCACTCGTTGTCGCTGGGGCTGAG